CCACATCATGACCAGGCCGCCGCGGATGAGTGGGGGTGCACACCTAGTAGCGCAAAAGTATCAGGCGATGTGTATGCAAAGATGACTGCGACAACGACGCACTCAGCCGAATACACAGGGACGGTGGCACTCTTCGGACCAATCCCAAGGCCGAGCACAAAGCGGGCGACGAACAGGTGAGGCCACGAGTTGGTGACACCTTGCCAGATCATCAGGAAAACTCCCCGCGCGAATTCACAGAAAATTAGTGCTAATGTCAACTAATGACGCCCGTGACCATTGGTGGTCTTATATCTCGAGATTTGCGAGCTGGATAAGTTCCTTGAAGGTAATAATAGGCATACATACTTTACTGCAGGCCCAAAAATCAAGGACTGTATGCTCAGAACACGTACAAGGCAAGAGAGACCATCTCTGCGTCTTTCCAAGTCAATTGAAGCCTGCCCTAAATACGGGCGCTCACACCACAGCCGCATCCCATTGCGCGCTCGACGCTCCGTTGCCACGTCTCTCCTTCCGACATCAGTGTGCCCACCCAACCTTTCCTCCTTCTTTTCACCGCTACATACGGGAGTAGCCAGTTTGACTGGTGGGTGATCTAGTACTAGCGGACATGGTGGTATGAGAGTGATACTACAGAAGCTGGGGTCCAGGTGAGTTGTAAGATACCATGCTGCATAGCAACTCGAAGGTGCGTAATGTACTACATCCGAAGGTAAGTCGTCGTATGTGGCCTTGCCCAGCCCCACTTTGCATTTCGCGCCTCCAAGAAGTAAGTTGCGGTAGTATAAGCTCATCAAGAGAGGATCCGGCCCACGTTGTAGTGCTATGTGTAGTTGGATGAGGTCGGAGTAGCGTACCATGTTGGAACTTAGTATACAAGTTTATAGATTACTATGCAGTGTAATCATGCTAGTCGTTGTCGTACCCTTCAATATATTGAATCTATCGTACAAGCAACTAGAATCTGAAAATACCAAATGACAGCCTGAATGGCGAGCAAATAATGAATGACCGCCGCTACGGACCCTGCCTACTAAGGCAGCTAATGGCTGCTGGTTAGCAGGGGACTTATCTTTTTAGACTAATGGACTAATCCCGCTGGTGAGGGATAATTTAGCTCGCTTAACGCCAATTCGCAGGGGGAGTTTTTCCTGATGCCCCGTGTACTGGTGGCGAGTCCCAAGCACTCATCTCGACGTGAACGTGCCCCAAGGACATTTTGGTGATAGTTTGAGAAGGGTTATAGGTAACTCAGAGAACTCCGATAGCGTTTTGACCCCCAGGCGCGACGTGCACGGGGAGCACGACGACAAGCCTCTGGAGGCACGCTTGGACGTACCTGTAAGCGGAATTTCTCGGGAACATCCGCAAAGCACAAAGTTCGACGCGTAGTTGAGCCGATACACTGTGGCGCCATACACGGCTCGACCACGGCTTGACTATACCGGAAACTGACGTTCTGCGAAAGACATGACCCGCAACTAATGCAGCTTACACGCCTTCGCACAAATTACCCGCCCCCAACGCGGCGGCACGTAAGACCCGCCAAACTACCAATAGCATTAGCTACACCACACCGACACCTGCCCGTCCGCGCCCGCGCTGACGAGCCACGGCTGCCGGGGCACCCAGCGCACGGCGAACACGCCCAGGCCGTCCTTGACGTCGTGCCCCCGCAGGATCTTGAGCGGCACGATGAGCGGGTTCGTCATCAGGTCGTTGTACACGCGCGCATGGAACACCTGAATCGACCCGTCGTCCGACGACGACGCGAAGAGCGGGTACGTGGGGTGGAAGTGCACCGAGCGCAGCGCACGGGCGTGGTACCTGTCACGGCGGGAGTGCGGGTCAGCGCCGACGAACGAGAATAAAGATGACGTTAGCGGCGGGTGAACAAGCGGGCCGTAGAGCACCGGGAGGAACGTGCGGAGAGGTGCGATAAAAAATGAAAGCACGCGAGAGGAAGCCGGCGCAGGGCCAGAAGACACGAGCCGGATGCGATGACGTGAACGGACTAGCGGCGAATGGAGGGGTTTGGACAGGACAAGAAGCGGAGAAGATGATCGGAGGTAAAGAGCGTTGGCTAGGGAACGACACACGTACCGAAGGATCTTGTACGGCTTGTCGCTCAGCTCGAGGTCGAACCAGCACAACTTCTTGTCGTATCCCCCGACGATGAGGTGGTCGCCCGACGGGTGGACGTCCATGGACGAGATCCAGCGGATGCCAGGCATCAGCGTTTTCAGGAGCGTCTGCTCCGCGAGATTATACATCCGCACATAACGCTGCGTCTGATGGGCCAAAGCGTAGGTCAACGCAGGACGCGGGATATTCGGACCCGAGGAGAACAGATGAGTCAATCAGAACAAAGCCGTAGCGGTTGGATGATAGGAATTACGTACTGCGACGAAGAAGTGCGGTTTTGACGGGTGGAATAGAACGAGCTGGACGGCTCCTTTCACCTTCTTGAATGGCGCCTGCGAGTGGCGCCGGGATACTTGATGAATCCAGACGCCTGCCTGGCCTTCCGCTACAGAACACCAATGCGGATGGTTAATTTAACCCGTATCACGCATATTCCGCTTCTCATGAGAAGATCGAGAAAAACGACACGTACACACTGAAGCGAGATAGTCGCCTTTCCGGTGCCAGACAAGTTGCTTCGGCGGCTCTGGCGAAGAAGGGAGGTTGAGGGTGAGAACGGGGGCATCAGATGATGATTGCGCAGCGGGTACGGATGTCCATTTGACGGCTGAGGGAGCAGAGGGAGCTGGTGGGAGGTTGGCAGGGGCGAGAGCGTTCTGCGTGGCGGCCAGTATGGGGCCAGGGAGATTTGGCGGAATAATGAAATGTATGTGGTCCTCACTGGGACAGGATGGATATGTTGAGCACCACGACTCAAGGAAAAGGCAACGAAGACCTACATCGCGACGGCGAAAAAGCTGACGTCTGTTCGTGGACACCACTCGACGGCCCCGACCTTGCTCTTGAACGTCCACCTCTTCACCTCCTTCCCGACGATGACCTCCCATAACCTCACCACTCCACCTTCATCGCCGGTTACGACCCAACCACCGTCCGAGCTCACGCTGAGCGTACGAACTCGCTTCTCCTCATGCGGGACCTGTAGGCTCCGGTAAACCGGGAAGGGCCGCAAGCTGCTCGGGCTCGGCAGCTTCGGAATCAAGCTCTCCGGATTAATCTGCAGCTTCACTCTCTGCACGCGAGGCGCAAGGTACAGATCGAGCTGACGGCTGAACCGCTCCTTGATAAATTGGTCGTACGCGGGCACCAAACGCAGCGCGCTGTATTTTTGAGGCAAGAAGTCGCGTTCGCGGTCCTCCGGGTCCGTCTCCTCCCACTTCTTGCGCTCCTCCTCTGTAGGGAGGTACTCCTCCGGCGGATTGTACGATTCTGAGTGTCCGGGCAAGCGAGGCTTCGGAGCGGGAAGAGGGGCGGGGGCGTTGGAGGGCTCATCGTTCCAGATAGCGTAGAATTGGGGTGCTGCGGACGCGGTTTTGGGTTTGTTGGGGAGGATACGACCTTGACGGATGGCGCGGACGATCTTCATGACCTTCTGCTTCTCCCATTTACTCGGGATCCATCTTCGCTTGGGCTCCGGAGCAGCAGATATGGGCATAACCTCCTCTTTGCCCTTCCCAGTGAACCATTCCACCATAGGCTCGTATGGATCGTAGTTGGCGTCGGGATTTTCGTTCTCTTGTAACCGTCGGATTATGTCCAGCTCTTCTGGTGTGAGAGGCTTGTCCATTTGAAGATTCTTGTCAAACGCGGAGGTCCTGCAGGATGTTCAGGACACGTCCATTTGTTGTGTAGCCATGTACACTCACCAAGACTCCGGGTCCTCCACAGTCTTCAAGAACTTATCTAGCTCGTCTCCTCGAGCCGGGCGGAGGACCTTCTTGCCGTTAATATCGTAACCCACATGCGGCAGATCGTCGTACCAATGCATTGGTATATTACCGACACGATTAGGAGTCTGGCATGCGCAGGAGTGTGTTCAGTAAACTTGACATGAGTGCAGTGATCGGAAGGTAGGGAAAGCGGTCGCACTTCTTCTGTCGAAGAGTCCGAATCGTAGTCAGGCTCAATCTCCGGATACACACGCTTCGGTTGACCAGTGATATCCGAGATGATTGTTTTCGCCTGAGGAAAGATATGGTGGTCCTCCTCGTCCGAGAGGTCTCCGTATTCTTCGTCCCCTTCCTCGTCTTGTTCATCCCCTTCCTCTTCGTCCTCCGAACTCGCGCCATTTGCGGCGTACTCCTCGTCGTCTGTGTCACTGCTCGTGTCAATTTCCGGGAATTCTTCAACTTCTCCATCGGAGTCTTCGTCCACTTCCTCGCCCTCGTCTTCGCTACCCATCTCAAGCCCGACCTCTTGAGGGAACGCGGACGGTGGAGAAGCTGGTATCCCTTCCTGGGGCCCAGCTTTCCGCTTCTTTGAGTACTTCTTCACCTCCACAGCAGCAACCATAGTCGAGAGACTGAGCACAAGATAAGCCTAGCAATAATGAACCTAGAGGGGAAAGAGAGCGTGCTCGGCGAAACAACGGGCGGCTACGAAATTTCCTGTATTGCACGCACCTGAGCGAGGGCGCGAGATGGGATCGGGCGCGTCCTTGGGTTGCGATCGCGTCTACGGACTCGTTTGTCTGCTCCTCCTTTACGCGTCCTCTGTTCTTCCAATTGTTCACAAAATGGTCAATTATGGCGGTGGTGAGAATATCCTAGTGCGACGCGTTTGAGCTCCTTCTCATGGCTGCTCTAGATGAAGTCTCCGCGTTAGTCCTCGACTTTGGTACATCCTCCCTCCGGGCTGGGTATGCGGGCGACGATACCCCCAAGGCCATCATACCGACTTCCTTTGGCTTCATTGAAGAGCCCGCAGAGGTGAATGGGGGAGATGTAACGATGGGAGAGGCCGGCGCAACGGAGGGTGAGCAACCGCAAGCAAGCAAACCCAAGGTCAAGCTATATATTGGGCAGAACGGACCTTCTCTATGGCGGAGCGGGATGCAGATAGGGAACCCTATGCAAGATAGCCTCAGTACGTTAGATTAGCTCTTATCCTTATGTGCCACGCTCAGAGCTGTCGCGCACGCGATGCAGTCCAGAACTTCGACGCTATTCCGCCACTCATCAGCCACGCCCTCTCCGAAGTCATGCGTTGCAACGCTTCAGAGCACCCGGTCCTCGTCACTGAAGCTGCCTGGAATTCACCCGCAAACCGGGAGCGTATGGCGGAGATTATGTTTGAGGAGTTCCAAGTACCTGCGTTCTACATTGCGAACACGGGCGTGCTCAACGCGTCAGCACCTCTTCCTAATCTTGCACCTCGCAAAGTTGACCCTGTCTCTGTTTTAGTTTTGCCGCTGGAAAGGGCTCAGCACTCGTAATTGACGTCGGGCACTCAACAGCGAGCGTTGTTCCCGTAGTCGACGGGTTCGTCCTGAGGAAAGGTCAGCGCCCCTCGCTTTAGCAGCCAACTACGCCCAGCATATCTGAGGAATAGTTTGTGGCCAGGTCTCATGCACTGCGCTCTGCCACAGCTCGTGCATGCGCACGCGAAGCACCTGCTTACGAGTCCCACACCGACGCGACAAGGCATTCAGCTCATCCCGCACCAACTCATCGCCAGCCGCACAGTGCGTTTGCTGTTTCCCTCGTCGCATCACTGATGCCTCCCAGCTTACTCGCCTGGCTACTCTCTACCCTTCTCTCCCGTTTCTCGCGTTCGCGCATGAAGCCAGTAGATGCCGGTGTCCCGCCCAGATTCACGCTTCGTGAGGACAGGCGAGCAGGCACGACCGACAGCTGGCGCGCCTGGGCCGAGAACCGCGAGGTTGAGGAGTGGATTCAGAGCATCGGCGGCGTCCTCCCGCAAGGCTGGAATGACTCCGCAGCGACTAGCCAGGGTTCGCGCCACTACGAGTTCCCGACCGGGTACAACAACTACTTCACGGGCGTCGAGCGCTACGCCGTTGGCGAGCAGTACTTCGCGCATTCTGCGCAGCTCATGGTTGGTGTCTACCAGTGTATCTCTTCTAAGCATCGCTATGTCGAGGCTGATTGCGGCTCCGCCTCAGGCGTCGAACCCGAACCTCCCTAAGACAATCCCCTCGTTGGTCACGAGCTCGATTGGCCAGTGCGACCTCGACCTACGTCAAGTCCTTTTGGGTAACGTCGTGCTAACTGGAGGCGGGAGCCTCTTCGCTGGCTTCGCGGACCGCCTTGCGAACGATATGGGGAGGGCCTTCCAACACGTGGGTGCCGTGTTTGGCTTGCTTTCCGCAACTCACTGTACCATCCTTAGGTCAAAATTCATGCGCCTGGCAACCCTACCGAGCGACGGTACGGTGGCTGGCTCGGGGGAAGCATCCTGGCCAGTCTGGGCACATTCCACCAGCTGTGGATTAGCAAGGAGGAGTGGCAGGTAAGGCACATACACGAGTAGAATACTATACCCAAGCTTAACTAATACTCCACGTCTCATCAGGAGCACGGAAGGGCGATCGTTGGCCAGCGGTGTAAGTAGAAATGCAGCCTCGAAGGTGAGGACGGAGACTGTAGCTTCCGTGCAATTACTCGCTATCTCTTGTTGTGACGTTTGTATTTGTCGTTGGCACTATATGGGCCGTCTAACCATGCGTTACAGAGGCAGAAGGATGCATTATCGTATTCGACTGGATGTACAGAGGGAACAAACGCAACGTGAACGAGCTGCTGCTGAGCAAGTACGTACGTAGCAGGTACTGTATACAAGTGCATATGCACCACGCGAAAAGTGTCCTCACGACGCTTGCGTGACGCCTCTCGCGCACACACGTCCTTGGCGTCGCGAAAAACGCACCCCGCGTAGATGACAGTCAGTGCAGTAACTGTGTACCGTTCGCGACCCGGGGAAGCGCTGCTTCCCTGCGCCGTCCCATTACACCACTGCGCTGTCGAACCTGATGCATGCGACCGCAGTCGCTGCCCATAACACACTACTCGAACTTGAACCTAGGAAGAAGCGACGGAACCCTACGCGTATTTAGAGGATATCCCAGAGCCGTCCGTCGTACCGCCCATCCCGTCGTCAACCGCCGACACAGCCGGACCCTTGACAACGACGGGGAGGGGGGGACGGCACGCGGCAGGGGATGAGGTAGGGGTGATGAGTAGGGGGTTTGAATGGGAACCAGGACCAATCAGGGGGGTAATCGGAAGGAAAGGAAAGAATGGGCACAGGCCAATCTGCATACGGGACAGTCCGGTTTGGGGGCACGCTTTTTAAATATGCTGGCAAGGCGAAAGGAAGGTGAAGGGGTGAGAGACATCGTCCAGGCAGATATATCGTACAACTCCGCCGTCAAGAGTCAGGAACAGTCCGTTGAGCTGGTGTCATCCGAGGAGGCGGGTATGCAGGGCAGGGCGCGGGTAGGACAGCGTGTCGAAGCGAAAAGTCTAGTAGGCCTCGACGACAACCACCTGGCGCTCGCGGGCATGCTCCAGGAGGGAGTCGACGGCCTTGCGCCTGCTACGAGTGGCGAAGTTCTTCGGGACAAGCTCCTCGTTGTTGGAAGGAGGACCACGGGGCTGGCGCACAGGGGTGCTGATCAGACGCTGAACGACCATCTGCGAGTCCTGGGGAACAACGACATTGATGCCGGGCACGGGCCGTCCAAGCCCGAGACCCTCGTAGAGCTTCTTAGAAGCCTCCTCGCGGGGAGACAGAGGAGGAACATCTACAGAGGAGGCTGACTGAGGGGTGCTCGGGGACGAGTTGGACTTCGACGATGTAGAGCTGTCATCAGCCTCAGGGCCATCAGTATCAATGGCGACAGCGGCGACACCAGAATTCGACGTCTCGGGTGTAAAGCGTAAGGGGGTCGGCCGCGCCTTGCCGATCGTAAGCCCAGGTGGAGGGGAGACACGCTCGCCAGGGGGAGGAGTGACCTTGACAGTAGGAGACGAAACAGTGCGGTTGGCGCTCAAGACCGAGTTGTTGCCAGGAGCACGACGCCATGAGACGGCGGCATCCGACTTCGACTGCACGGTGGGCGTGGCCGGCGCACCGAGAGAGGTCCCTCCGCTGATGACCGTAGTATAGCTAGGAGTTGCAGGGGGACGAGCGCCTACAGAGGAAAAGTCGTCTTCCTCGTCGTACTTGCCAGAACCGATGCGGCTGCCAAACCTGCCGTTGAGGGCGGCGGTCATGGGGACCTGATCGTCGGAAACGCCCAGTTTGGAACGGAGCTGATCCGCCTGGTTGGCCCGACGCATCTGCGCGTTCATGGTCACGGAGCGCATATCAAACGTGGTGTTCATCGGGCCAGCAGTGGAGGGTATGACATTGGATGCTGCGCGGCGGTTACCCTGTTGAGCCTGACGCTGACGCTGCTGCGCGGCCTGTGCCGCGAGGAGCTCAGCCTGGTACTGCTGGGCCTGAAGAGCCTTTACCAGGTAATCAGGATACTGAGTAGCTGCGAATGCACTGGAATCGAACCATACCTGCATACGGGCCAACTCCATCTGCATCAACTGAAGCTGAACCTGCTGGAGCTGATTCTGGTTCATGGCATAGTTATAGCCCATGCCATTCATGTTCATGACATGCTGCTGTTGCTGCTGGAAGCGATTCGGGATGCCATCGACAGCAGCAGTAACGGGCGCTTGACGAAGGCGGTTGTTCTGGATGTACAGGTTCTGGGACATCATGTCAGAGAGTTCATCTTCTTCCTCTGGTGGGTAGAAGTTGTCCTCCTGGTTCGGAGTGATGATACGGGGTATGTTGAAGGTGCCGGCAGGCGCTGCCGTATGCGGCACATTAGGCATAGAACCCGAGGCAGAGCGAACGCCTCCGGTACGGAGACCGGCAAGAAGAGACGCGCGAGGGTTGGGAGCAGGAGTGGCGGCCATATCGTGATAAATGATCGGGGATATACGAAAAGCTTGTGGTTCCGGTCTCAAGGTTGGTTCGAGCGTGGGGTACGGGAAACAAACGAGGGAGAAATACAGCTGTGAGAGCACGCGAGTACGGCAACCTGTCAAGACGGATTGTCGGGTAACATACGCTTGATTGTCTTACCTGAGGGGTAAGAGGAGATTCCTTGTGGAGGCAAGCAGTAGGATGGGCACGTCTATCTCTCCCTAGCACTTCGCGGTGGGTAGGTGGCAAGTTTTGCAGAGTTGCTGCGCGGTTTCCGAGAAGAAAAGGCCTTGCGAGGCGATTAGAGTGGTTTGGCCGAGGAAAAGACTTGGCGCGTATGTAAAGAGGTAGAGATATATAGGGTAGAAAGTGAAGACAGACGGAGAGACAGACAACAGAGAAAAGGAGGAACCACCGAAGAGGTCAGAGAGAGAGAGGACAAATATCAGAGGCCCAGTCAGCGACTCACCACTATCGCCATCTAGCCCCGGCCGGACCCCGGCCACCTGTCAGCCTCCCCATCACCGGGCCAGCCCCTTTCCCGCCTCCGACTTATCCCTGTCTCGCCTGTGCAATGGCCATTATCCATTCGCATTAAGTACATCCTACAATACCGGTACACTCATATGTCGTGCTCTGTTTGGCATGAGGGGAATTGAAATGTGATGCTCCCTACAGGCCCCAGCTGTCGGCGTCTTGTCTCTTTGGTCCTGGCAAGGACAATAGAGCAGCTGACGTTGGCCCCGCCTCTCCACACGCTTTTGTCTCGTCAGCCACACGCTTGCTGCACGCTACAAGTGTTTCTTCGCACTAGCTCGAACCCGAGCGTCGAATACGGCACTCCGGATAGGAGTGTGTGCCGTGTGGAACGGATTGAGCATCGTCTGACGTTTGGATGTTGATTGGTCTCGGCCTCCGGACACCCCTGTGAGGAGGCGGTACCACTCACCTTGACGTACAGCTCCCAGACATCAGTGAAGAACGCCTTGATCCCGTCGTCGTTACGGGACTCGTGTAGCAGCACGAATTTCATGTCTACCGGAACAGATGCTGTCAATTGCCGAGTGCCCCATAAGCAAGCCCAGTTGCGAGATGCGTACTGCCGGGCGTCACGAACGCTGAGACCGTCCACTCATTGAACTTGTCTACGGATTTCAAGTACCTGCTCGTCGCACACATATATTGCAGTAGCAGACATGTGAAGGCTGTGTCGGTGGAGATGTAAGGGGAACACGAACATTACACTGTCCTTGCGCATAACCTCCTCAATAGCGTCCAAACTCGCGTTCGCTATCATCTGTATGACATGCCTGTCCTGCCCACCGCCTATCTTCACTGTCCCGCCCTGTCCATGGTGTGCTTGTGTTGCCACAGTCGCGCCAGACAAAGCACTCAGTGTCCCAGCGAAGGCAGAAGTGGACCAGCTGGGAAGGTTGGAGGCCAAGGGAGATGTTGTTGTTTGCGACGGCTTAGAAGAGTAATGTGTCAAGCTGTAGAGTGGGGTGTCTGAAGGCGACAACAAGAACAGATGATGAGACATGGCTTTGATGTCAGTAGGGTCAAACGGGCGAGTCTGGGTCGGGATATACACAGCTGCGGGCGGTCGATGGAGAGCGAGCCCACGACTATCGCATAACGCATTGGAGTTAGAGCTCTTGCCAAACAGGGACAAGCATCTCGGATGCCGAGAGGCCGCGCCGACTCAGTTGCGGACACTAGTTGTTACTTACATCTTCTGCTCAGGCTTGTCCTGTGCGGCCTTCTCAACTTTGCAACCTGCCATGAAGAGGTCTCTGCTATCAATTTCTCCCCTTTTATCCTCTGCTAGATTGTGTTCAGGGCCTCTCCAGCATGGCACTTGGCTAGGGCCAAGGATATGCACGTCTGTGCGGCATTCAACGCTCAGCACGGGCGCTCTTCGACAACCTCTGACCCTCCTTCGGACTCCACCATCCGTCTCCCAGGGATACTCCGTTCTGAGATTTGTGGCTGGAACACTTTTACGTGCAACGCATAGAAGTGGATTGAACAGAAGCTCAAGGGGAGGTTCCGGAGGGTATGGCGGCGGTCCAAACGGCCCATGGCAACGATTCCGCGACCGTCTCAACGCAATCCCGGGGAATGTCCTCTTCTGGGGTATCATTGGGCTCAACGGTGTCGTCTTCGTCTCATGGCAATGGGCATGGGCAAAATACGTGGGTGCTCATACGTTTTGTGCACTGAGCATTGTCCGACGATCTCACAGAAAAGTATGGGAGACGCTTCCTCGTACATTTGGATGAGAAACCACTTCATTGCTAGCGCGGACAACATCAAAGCGGGAAGATGGTAACGCGCATCTCTATCTCCTTGAGAGCTCGAGCTCAGCTGCATTTTGTAGGTATACGCTTCTAACAGCGTGCTTCTCTCATGCAGACACTAGCCATATATTATTCAACGGGTTCACGTTCTACTTCGTGGCCCCGCTGGTGATCTCCATCCTCGGAAATGCCGGCTTCCTTAGCCTGTACCTCGGAGGTATGCTTCTTGACCGTATTATCGCACCCACTTAGCCACTGACTCGTTTGCTACCGCGACAGGTGGCATCGTGTCCAGTTTGGCCGGAATTGCTTGGCGTAACTACAAGCAAGGCAATCAGCCATCAGGCTCATATGGAGCTAGCGGTGCGATCTACTCCGTCATCTCGTTCTTTGCTTGCGTCGCGCCCACCGCCACTTTCTACCTGTTCGGCGTCCTCCCACTTCCGGCATGGGGTGTCGTGACGGGTATTTTCCTCTGGGACGGTTACAGCGCCATGAATGAACACGTGAGTGCTTAGTGGCTTTGCTGCTCTGCTAGATATTGACTTGTACACAGCGCCTTGGCACCGACACCGCGGGTCACATCGGCGGACTTCTTGCGGGTATAGGCTACTTCATTGCAAAACGCTTCAGGGTATTCTGAAAACCGATACTAGCTCTTTGCTTCCGCGAGGACAGTCATTCTCCGTATGTACCACCAGATATAATAGCGCACACCCCTCACTACAGCAATTGCACGTACACCATCACTCTTTGCTCATTGTAACGTATCCTGTTCAAGTCTTACCTGATATACGAGCTTCGCCCACAAAATGCCACATGCCACATGCCACAGAAACGGTGTCACAGAAGAATAGGATAAGATCGCTTCTCAAAGCATGATAAATTACGGCTACTCAAAGGGCAGTCTCAATGGGTTGGGCAGGGTCTTTCGGACCAACTTCGCCAAGAGGGTAGTAGCCGAAGAATAGGATCTGGAAGCAAAACGCGACGGCCACATGCAAGGCAGCGAGGAGAATGATCACGAGTCGCACGGGCTTTGCGTCGGCCTGCAAAATTTCACAGTCGGCAGGATGTCAACAACAGTCCCGACACTCCCGGAGATGCACGAAGGGTGACGTACCGTAGCGAGCACAGGGTAGACATTCGCAACTAGGAACCACCCAGACACAACGAACGCAATTCCCGTCAGGACCCATCGCGCGATTGGGAACGGATTGATATTCAGGAGCTGAGGCAGAGTCAGACGGTGGCCCATGCTCTCGGCAAGAGACGTACCGCAACGGGAATCCACACAAACTGACCGTACCCCCACACCGAAACAGCCTCGATGACGCTCCACTCTCCGACGCCGAGGTATCTTAGGGCGAGCCACAACAACACGGGAACCCCGATACCATACGAGTACACCAGCCCGACGGCAGTTGAGAGTAAGCCGAAGTCGTACTCAAGGATGGCGCCGGAGGTGTTGCCGGGATCTGATAGCCACGCCGATATCGAGGAGGCAAGGGAGGAGGATAGGAACAGGCAGAAGATGAGGGTGGTAAGTGTCCAGAAGGGACCGTAGAGGTCCGCGCTAGGTGTTAGGTGGGCAGAGAGGTAGTTTGGAGAATGCGGGAGGAGAGTAGTATAGCACCGTTTCAGAACCTAGTTCATAGGGACAGTTGAGAAAGAGGCGGCGTGTCGAATGAATGAGCCGAGGAAGACATGAGATGGGGTCAATGAACACTCACCAACTTAGTGTCGACGTCGAAGTAGGGTTGATAGTACTCAAGCTGCCAGAAGCCAGAGCTTTTTGGCCGGTCAGAGAAGTATCCTTGTTACCCAGAGCAGGCGAAAATATCAGTGAAGAATCGTACGCAAGAATAAAACGATTATCACGTACCTCGACCTGTGTTACTCTCCTGGTTCGCTGCTCGCGCGTCCGTGCTCAAGAACGCTGCTCATCCAAATTTGACTTAGCCTCGCAGATACCAATGTGCAGGTGCAGCGATCGTACACTGGAATTGAAGTCTCTCCGGGCCCTCCTCCATCCGCTAGTGGACGGAACTGACGTCAGTTCGAAGGAACTGCAGACTGGCCTGGAATGACTCACCTCATCAGCTTCAATTTGCACGTACGCCATGGGGGTTCAACCGTGCAGCCTTGTGTATCTCAAGAGATGTATTGGAAAAGCAGTATGGTCGGTGCGAGGCGTATAGAGTGTACCGCGGTTGCTACTGCGTCAGACAAGCGCCTGCCATGACACGTTCGCCCAACATGGAAGGCGGCTACGAGCGGCAAGCCGCAAAACTTGTCACTGGACCGATTCGCTGGCACGAGCCGAACCCCAGCCTAAACAGTGCCTCATGAGCATATTGATAACAATCGGATGCACATTGCGGCGGATACTATAGGCTACATGGTTCTAAAGTTGTAGTTTTCAGCGCCTGAGCGCAAATTATGTCCTAGAGGTAACATACAGTCTCTACGACCACAAAAACCATCATCAGCAAACGCGACCAGGAGTTCACTTCTGAAATCTGCTGCGCTCAGTCGCTTGGGCTTGTACTACGCGTTCCATGGCATCAAGCCACGTCTCTACCGCTGTACCTCCTCCAGAGGCTGGATGATGCTTTGAAATGCCATTTGGTCGAGAGCTCTGGTGGGCAGGAAGTGTGGGAAGGGTGCCAATATATCGTGCATGGGCTAACACCGGTAAACGTCGCAATGAACGACCGGACATCTCTTGGTCCTGCGGAAGGAAGTTCAGTCGGGCAGCACTTCAGGGAGAGCGCCACCGAAACATACTCTGCAACTTTGCGCTAGTCTGAGCAGGCGGATTGCGAGCAAACGTGACCGTTCCCGTAGATCATGCGCTATCGAGCTCGCCGTACCCTCCGCACCGCGGGTATCTGTTGCCGCCAATGGTTGCGCGGTCAGACTCAAATTGGAGAAGTCGGCCGTTCGCTCATAGATCTGAGCCTGTGCTAGCCCCGGGACGTCCTATCTTCCTAGTCAGTGGGAGGGACTGCTAGAGTGAGCGACGACACTCACCACTTCTGCGACGATGCCCTTCTTGACCAGTTCAAGCAGGCAGCCACGAAGAATCTCGTATATCGCCTCCCTCGGAGGGAGATCGACATACTGCACGATATCTGCGCGATCGACGAATGCAGAGTCTGCCATGTTCATATGCTATAAGCGGCTTGTTATGGCTATAATCGGACAGCACCATACCAATCGCAGTTGCAAGGTTACTTGTCGACATGACGAGACAGTTCTTTTTGTGCTTGAGCTTGTCTAGTTGCGTCAAGAGCGCATTCACCACCTGCATGTACAATGATAAACCGAAAATCTGCGAACCAGCCTGTTGGACGACTCACCCTGAGTGCATCTGACGGCTCTGTCCCCGCCATAGCTCCAGCTCGTGCCGCCGTGAGCGACTCAACCTCATCTGGAAAGTCATGAGCATTGTAACACCGCGATAAGGTCGAAAGACACACCAATCAGGACAATGACGAAAGACTCCTCATCCTCCACCATCTCCATGATGCTGCTGAAGAGCTTCTGGACAAGCTTACCAGACTCCGAGAACCACCGAGAGAATAATGAATGAGAGTTGATCTCAAGGAGCCGCGCATGTGAATAGCTTTGTTTCGGACGCCGTGTCAACACAGTCTACATCTAAGTGCTGACACAATGCACTCACCGATGCGACAAGCGAATTGACAACTTTTGGGCCAAGGCTCGACACAACGAAGTCTTTCCCGTGCCGGGTGGGCCGTGAAGCAGAACGACACGGTTCCATGATACAACGTTGACTTTAAAATGTAAGGCGATGACTCTACACATTCACGGAAATCAACTCACAATCGACATCGGCGTCGCTGAACACGACTGTGGCGTAGATGTAGTCTAGTAACTTGGACTTGATGTCGTCGGAATAGATCAAGCTCTCCCACAAGCCCTCCCATGATGAGCTTGGAAGCTCGCAAGAAGTCGCCGCCATGATTTGGTCGTCGTCACCTCGGCCGCTGCCGCTGGTGAGCTCTTCGAATGCATCTGTGTCAGTTGGCTGGTAGACGTGTATTTGTAGTGTCGTTTGTTCGATGGGTAGCGAGGATGTTGGGCAAGGACATTCAGAAGCAGCTATCCGCTGGATAGAGGAGGCCAGCAGTGGTACGTCTTCCCAGCCTTCGATCACAGAAGGCAAGTAGATGTCGGATAAGGAAGTAGTAAGGTATGAGTGGACAGCATTTCGAATAGTGTCAAAGCGGGAAGTCGCGTTAGGGGCAACGCGAACTTCGACTGAAGTGCAATAAGTATGATAGCAATTGTATCGCCATGAATCACTCACTGTGCACTGGCCATACCGTACTCCGTCGCTGGACATTGGCCGGTGAACCCGCTCCCACGGGAAAATCTTCTGTTTGCATTGCGTCGGAAATATGTGGACCGCAACCCAGATATATGCGCGTCCCCGGAAATAACTAAGGCCAATAGGTTGAGAGGACTACGTAGCTAGTGAGTGGAGGTTTGGGTGATGGTGGGAGGAGAGTAAGACGCGTGTGGCCACGACCACAACGCGTGCCACTTTGACGCGTCTGGACACGTGACCGTCCTAGATATGATGACAAGCGTTCCCGGTCTCTGCTCTCTCTGTTCATCCTCGTCCACAAAGGTCGCTATTCTGCTTGATATTTGCATCTCCACTTGCCTGTCAATATGGCTGAGGCAGAAGTCTGTGTAGATTGTCCACCCGACAACCAACAAACCGCTGCCCCTATGCTAGTTCCTGAGCCGACTACAGTCGCGCATAACCCTCTCGATCCATCCACTTTCGTTCCTCCCTCGTCTCCGATATCACCTAGCGTCACCATTGAGTTCTGCGATAGGGTATTTACGCTCACTGCCAAGTAGTCGTAATTGACATGACCCTAACAAACCTTCCTAGTGCCGGTGGTACGTTTAAGCGGACCCTGCCGAGCCCGTCTGTACGTATTGACTACTCACGGCCTTACTTGACAGGCTGCATCGAGCAACATGGGTATCAACGGAACTTTTCCTCACGTTCCCCACTCCCGCGCTGAGGGTTATCACTATCATGCCTCTCAATTCAGAGGAGACAGCTGGACGATTCCGTGTATGGCTCTTCCTTGACGGCAAGCCCCCTGTTCTGGTGTGGGACAGGAAAGTGGAAGGCGGGTTTCCGGAACTCAAAGTTCTCGTGAGCTCCGCTTTCTCTTGCACAGTCGCCGTCTGCAGGTCTGATTGGCTTTCCTTCCAGAAGCAGCGCATACGAGATCACATACAGCCTGGCAAGTCGCTAGGCCACTCCGATAAGTGAAGCGAACGCCTCCCTGCCCCGTCACATCTTCGTTGGTGGTCAAGCACGGCTCTGTGTACAAGCTGGTGGATCAGAAAGTCTATGTATTGATCGACTCACGCACTATCTGTATGTATCATCGGCTCTATCGCATCCATCCGAGATGTGAGAACGTAACGATTGCTCGGATGCCGATTTATCTCCTCAGCTATACACACTGCGATGTATCGCAGTGTCTGTCTGCTCGAGGGTATGGGTGGCGGCCTGCTGCAATGTCGCCGTGATCACATTTCTAATCTGTTCCGGCTCCTCAGCAAATCTCAGCCGGATCCATATTTCTCTACTTTGTCCAATTTCATGCCCGTTCTGGTGAACGTGTTCTTATGATCTGCCGCTGAACTGGATGCTCGACGGGCCCCGTATGACATATTGTCAGGCGGACTTCTCTTCATCCTCAAATAGCTACTTCCACGACCTGCTCATCTGGCAGGTGGACCAGCGACATTGTCCGATGTGTACGTACGTATTCCCTGTTGATGTACTCCAGCTCTCATCATGCATTGTTCCTTTCAGAATCGTGAACGGCAGCGCGGACAGCCTGGCATCCTCTGTAGGCCAAGTTGGGACCCCAGACCCCCCACCACCAACCATCCGTTCCACAATACCAATACGTCACTCGTCACCCGGCTATCTCCACCACACCTTCGGGTCCAATGTTCCCTAATACACCCGTACGCCGTGCTATCAGCGCAGCTTGCTGACCCTTCCGGTCATATCGTCTTCCAGGCTGTCATTCTGTCCTCGCCTCGCCCAACCAGTCAGATCGCGGACTGCGTCATTCGGCCTCAAGGCTAGCACCCTCCCACAGAACCACAAGACCTCCTCGGACACTCTTTTACGTCTTAAGGCGGAATTCGAACCTTGCGCGCCAGTCCCACTCACGACCCCTGCAGAGACCCCGAAGTCCGCCCGCCGAATCCCCGCAGGGCGACTCTCCCGCCTAAACCTACCGTAAGCACGGGGACGCCGTCCTCTTCTAGGTCGCAAGTTTCCTGATTTCGTTCATACGGAGCTCAATTCAAGAGAGACGGTTTCGTTACGCTGTTGATACCACGTTTTGCAATCATGCGGAGCAGCAGACTCATGTGGCTGCGGAATATAGCTAAAGCCGCCGAGTGGACCTTGACAGCGACGAGCATGTGTGTCAAACATCAATGGACTTCCGTGCTGGCCCATTTATCCTCGACATGGCCGCTGCCCCGAGCAGCTCACGCGCGAGGTCCAGTGGCGCCTGCCAGGGCACTGCAGACCATGTGGGCCGCGGATACATACTGCACAGTGTCGCTCGTCAAAGCACGCATTCAGAGTGGTCGATATGTGCGTCGTGCGTCTTTCCATCTTCTAGCTTCTGCTGGTGGACTTGATAGGCTTTCGTGCTCCACCGATCGCCCTCTCAGCAGACTCCCCTGAAATTCCCCGTCATATATATAGCCCAAGGATGCGTCAGGTATGCGCAGCAATCAATGTTCGAGTGGGCGCGGCTTGCCATGTCGAGCCGGTATCCTTGTTGAGATAACAAACGCATCAGAAGATCCAAAATCCTAACCACCGCCCAGCATCGCGGCACAGCCTTACGGTCTGACTCGGATGGCTCCAGCGCAACAGTGCCGACACTGAGGCGCAGAGATCGAAGGCTAGCTCAGACCGCTGGCCAGCCGGTGGTAGTAAGAAGCCGCTCCATTGTTTCGCTAGGCCCGTCCGGGAAAACCTTCGTCGCCTATACACCGCCAGCACTATTTGCCGCCCCCAGTGCTGGGGCTTGGAGCGTAATGTTTAAGTTGGCAGCGTGGGCAGCCAGCATCAAACTCTACGCCTGTCCGGGCTTTCCTGTGAGTTTAATATGGATGTTTTCGTCGTTGAACGCCGCGGTACCTCGCACGTTCGCTCGACCCGTTCTCGATGGTTCCCGTGAGCATACAGACCATGCCTGAACTGACGATCCTCCGACTCCGCAGCATCTTCGCGCCTGGATGCATTCCGGAGCTGGAAGATTGGATGACTTTCCATAAGGATTTACGGCTCTACGGACGTCCGTAGATTTCTAGGCGGGGTTTGAAACAGTCTCTGGATCTTGGGCGCTAAACAGGCGGCATGTTCTGCTCATCATCAGCACGTGACTGGAGTGGCTTATGTCATGTCTGTATCTGGCATGCAGTTCGCTTTGTCATGATGGCTCCTTCCTTTCTCGTGGTCACGGCACCGTATGCCGAGGTCTACGGACTGTCTACGGCCTGTTAGAGATTTAGAAAGGGGGGTCGGACCCCCCTCCTAGATTTTGACGTCCGTATCCTAAATTTCATCAGCGGAGTTCAGATCTGGTGTCGGCAACACTGCCCCTTGCCCAAATCGGTCTGTTTAGAGATTTACGGACGTCCGTAGAGCCGTAGATAGCTTATGGAAAGTCATCCATTAACTGCCTCGAAGAGGGTGAGCCGGACGGCCCGCCGCAGCCTTCCACCATTCCAGACCGTCACCGGGCCGGCTCAGACAGCCCGCCAAACCCAAACCGAGATTTTCCTATTACCGATCGTTTGAGAGTTCACATTTGAGCGCGCTCTCACATCCGCTAAGGCTAAGACTTCCATTCTCCCGTTCACACATGGGAGAATGTTGTACGTTGCGCATGCACACTGCCTATGCGGACTAACGTTCATGACCAAAGTCCATTTGTGGTGAAACGACGAAAGCAAGATGGATTGCGTGCACATGCTCAGCCCGATAGCAAGACCGCAATACCAAGGGACGACAACCGACTAGCTAAATGCCGATGAATAGTAGCGACTATTGACAGACGATCCTCCGGACCAGCATACACGTATAAAGCAGGGTGAGAGGCGATTCATCACCGCCAGCCTAAGGGATATACTCTAACAAATATCGTGCAAGAAACAAAAAGTGAGCGTATGACTACATACTACCTCAACAACGATGAGGATTAATGGGTACTGCTAAGGGGGAAATCCTACACCTCTTTCGTACAGAGTCCGTCCGTGCGCTCCTAAGTAAGCGCAAAGCAATATATACACAGAACAACCCAAAAGACGAAAAGGAAACGTTATGTGTCCGATGGCAATGATATCCCGAGCGAGCCCACGACGCCTGCGTCCCCAGGACCGTGGCTGGTGTGCGCAGCAGCATTACCACTCGCCTCCGCGATCACGAGACTGACTGGCGTCGGGGTGTTTCCGCGCGTCGGCACATGGCGTATCTCGAGAGTCAACGGTGCTTCAGTCATGTGCTCCTCCAGGTCCAGACTGTACCCATCCTGACTGGCGAGGAACGCGACGCGCTCTTCCGAGTATGCAGCGTCCATGGCGTCCTCGTCCTGAAGCTCTTCGTCGACAGCCTTGCGCGTGATGTACGAGAGGTAGATGAAGATGACAAGACAAAGAGCAATGCCCGCGATCGTCGAGTAGTGCGAGAGCGTGCTGCCCTCGTTGTCATCGTTCTGCTCTAAGCCTGGACGCTTGACGTGGTACTCGGCGAAGGAATGAATCGAGCTTCCAATGCTCGTATGGATGATGAGCTTCGGGAGAGATAGCGCCGTGCAGAGCAGGTACGTGCGGAGGGTCAGCGAGGGCGATGCCGCAAGAAGGCAATTCATGACGTTGTATGGGTAAGGTGCCAGGCGGATGAGGAAGAGAAGCTTGGGGTTGTTCTCGATGGCTCGTACGACGCGCTTAATCCAGGTCGTACATGAAAGCCAACGTGAGATGCTCGCGCGGAAGAGCGTACGGGAGAGCGTGAAGACCACCAATGCGCCTGTGAGCGAGGCACAGTACGATATAATGGCGCCGGTCCAGGGCCCGTAAGTATAGCCGGATAGGATAATGAGCGTGGAATACAGAGGTATGGGAGCTGCGGGGTACTATGTTAGCGTCTTCTTCACACAAGCAGGTCAATTTCTACCGGATGCTAGATCGCGCAACTGCGTATCCGACGAGTCTGCAGTGAAAATGGATCATAGCAGAATGATGAGATACTCACGAATGGTCGTTAGGAAGATGAGGGTGAAAATCACAGCGTATCCCAAGTAAGCGTCCGACTTGAGCCAACGTGATAGTTCGTCCAGACCTGGGGCGGTGAGAACGCGTGAAGTGTGAACATTCTGATAACTAAATAAAGGCGGGTGCCTGACATTGGCTTACCTTGGAAGACCTCGACTTTCCAGAAACTGACGGCGACGAGAAAGCCCAGGGTGGTCATGATGTACACAATTATTGGAATCCAAGGCTTGAGTAGATTAACTATCCGCAGACTGCGTGGACGAGCGTATGATGGTGATACTGAAGGGTGATAGGAGGCAGAGAGTGAAGAACCATATGGAGAAGCCCAGCTTGACGCGATCGGACATGGAGCCGGGGAAAATGGTGGCTGAAGCTGCAAGGGACGCGAACGTTGCGTGCGTTGCGAGCGGATCCAAGGGGGTATTGAAGAAATGGGCGAAGGTACTTGGGAGCAAGAAAGGTTGGAGGGGCCAGCAATCGGCGACGAGTCTGGAGGGGGGCGCTTGGACAAGTCCTGGAGCTGAGAGAACTCTGCCTTCTCGTCGTAGATGTCTTGAATGTGCGCAAAACGATGGGGAAGCGGTTGGGGCGTTCGATAGGTACGTGGCGACGACGACGAGGCAGGCAGAGCTGGAGAGGCCGGGCGAAGGGGGGTACCGCGCGAGGGCTGTCCGGGTCGAGAGGAGGTGTGCAAGTCCATTGCAGTGATTGGAGGCCAGTCCAATTAGGAGACTGAGACTGAGATGGCAGAGGACGAAGGGCGAATGAGGCCAGCCAGAGAAAGCCCGGTGCGTCGACGATGGCTGGAACTCAAAGGCCTGAGGAGAGCAAAGCGAGTGGCTTCTGATACACGATTGTATATATTCCCTTGTTCGCTTCCCACGCCTTCTCTACTTGCGATCGGCGTCCCGGCCCCTGCCCGCCCTCTCCTCTCTGAGTCGTAGCGCCTCGAGCTCCTTTGCAACGCACTCGAAACATGACCGGTCTTCATCCATATATGCAATACCAGCGACGACCCTAAAGCTGCCACCAGCACTGCGCGTCGGAAGCTGAGTGTTCACGAGGTATTGCAGCCGCCACGTTCGCCCAAGTTCAGCGCGCATAGGTGGCGGTGTCTGTCGTTGTGTCATCGATCGTTGCTGGGTCCCTTCTGCACAATATGATCTTCCCGATGTTCTCAATGATTTTGTCATCGAGAAGCTCACTCAGATCTGCTGGGTCAGTACGGGGATGCCAGTCGGTATGCTCGCGAAGCAAATGCGCGGCCATGCAAGGGTACAAAATTCATCATAAGTATGAGTAGCCTCTGCTGCGGCCGACGTCTCCATCTCGGATCCGCAAGATGCGCCGCCACGTGCTCCTACCAAACGTCTTCCCAGGCAACCCCTTCCGCCACCGGGCTCGCAGCCGCCGGCACTCCGTCCAGCGGGCCACCACAGCGCGTTCACTGGGACTTCTCCAACCCGTCAACCACTCTGCCCATCGTCGGTCGACTATTGATGCTTGCTCGGTCATCTTGCGCTGCAGCGATGTCGACGCGGAATCACTTGCACACCCTCCGCGCAGTTCGCGTCCAGATGCGCCCACGCCTCCTGAGCTCGCAAGCGCGTCCGCCCTCTCCCCATGCGCGATTCTACACGGACTATGCAGCGGGCATGATCCCCGTCGCGCTGCTCGGCTCTGCGGTCTACATCGTACGCCCGACTCCTCTCCCACTATCTTTCTCTCACTGCGCACGTGTGGTAAGACCCGTTTTTCACAGGGTTTGCGAACGTGGCAGCAGCATCTGGCACATGAGCGGTTCCTCGAAGAGGCTCATGCGCATGTTCAACAGCTCGAGGCGGAGGTCATCGCTCAGAGGGAACTGCTGAGGTCCCCTCCACACGCCGCTCAGAGCCCGGTGTCAGATGCGCCGGCTGAGGCGAAGAAGCGGAAAGGATGGTTACCTTGGTAGTATCACGCGGCATTGTTTGAGCAGTCAGTCTCCTGTCATTTGCAATTGTGTAGCACGTTCACATCATTCAAACTTCTGCCACCAGTGTACTCTAATTAAGGCGACGGTAAACCACTGGAACTAGATCCTTGACGGCACTATATATATGATGGGTATAGCATACGTAAGGTAACAAGAGGTCAGTACGATTAGTGAGGGCTAGCCTTGCTCAGCGCGGTTTTGTGACGATCATATAGCTTAGCGGAGCTAAGATTGGTTGCAACGTCTTCGGTCAACAAGACTGCGGCTTTTGAATAACGGACAAGGCAGAACCGACCTGAGAATGGCCGAAGCAAGACCGGCGAATGTTTGAACCTGGCCTTTTGCGCGCTTCAACCGGAACACGTCGTATGCTGTGGCGAGGCAATGAGACCTGCGCGCATCATACGGACAGGTTTGGAACTCACAGACGAAGATCAGGTCCATAAGGAGCTTGAGCCTCGTCACTTGTATCCAGTGGTCTTGCCTCTGAAGACGAGCAAGCTCCTTGTGGTCGAACTTCTGCGCACTGGGATTTGACTTCCCTGTCGCGCCAGCCATGGACTCGTCGTATAGGCGGCTTTCGACTAGACGTGATGCTGGTTCAGGACGGCGAAGTCAAACCGATAGAGCGATTTCACATACCTTGATGCTGCTGCTCAAGGATCACACTCCTCTCGACGCTGTTCTCTACCAGGTTCACGAGCGTGCTCGCGAACCAACACCAGTCCGCAAGGCGCCCCGCTCTCTCACCGGCCTTCTTCCCAATGAGGCCGAGCTTTGAGAACGTGGCCGCGTCGTCCGCAAGTCCGTTGACAAACTCGAGCAGCACAGGCGGCGGGGCGTGCAGGAAGGTGTGCAGCAGCGGCTTGTGCCTGCCCTTCTTGGCTCCTCCCGCGTACGAGTCGGACGCGTGCTGAGCCAGGATGGAAGTCAGTGGTGGCAACCAGTTGAAGAGGATAAGGCATTTCCTAGGAACACGGGGCAACATACGTCAGCTGCAGCACACGCCACAACATACGATACACATACCTTGTCAGCGAGAACCCAGCGATAGCGGAGGTCAGGCGTTGCGTGAGCTCCGCCTCCCATGCTGGCCGCTTTCGGCCTCGGAACGCAGGGCTACTTGTGAGCGCGAGGTGGAAGAGGAGGTACATCTTCATCGAGTACTGTAGCAGTTTCTACAACATAGAACGCAGCCGACGTCATTCCGCCGATCCCGTCTGTCAGCAAGGCACTTGATCGTTTGCATAAAAAGAAGAGAAGCACTGGGCACACGAGGAGCATGGGAGGTAACGTACAAATGCCTTGTCGCGCCCGTTAGAAGACTTGAGCAGCTCCCGCCACACGTCCTCCCTCCGGACGCGGTCCTTGGCCGCGTCCTGCTTCTCCTCATCTTCCTCCTCCGAGTCCTCGGCCTCGAAAGTCTGCGATGTAACTTCCTTGTCTTCCTTGGTGTCGTATATCTCGGTGCCATACACGTGGGACCCATTCGAGATGATGGATGTGCGCGGGGTCCGAGGAGGGTGAGACGAAAGCGGGTTCATTTGGAAGGACGAAGTGTCGTTCGGAGGCTCGTACGAGGGTATCGACCCATGGTGCGAGTCGTGCACTGTCACGAACGATGACGACGCCGAGTGACCGTGCCCTCCGTAAGGAAAGGTTATCGAGGACATGCTGTCGCAGATAGCGTGGCGGCCGTCCTGAAGGTATCCCAAGAGAGGGCGCAGTGCGCGTCGCAGGCACAGGCGAGCGCGACACTGTATGTGCGTCCTATTGCCGCATTCGGCGGAAACGCCGCCACGTGTTAATATAACCAGCCAAACACGCGTCAATATCCGTATCTGGCAGCCACCCCGTGCACGCTGTGGCGGACGACGAGAACCGTTCCAACTGAGGCTTATCGTTGTCTTCTTGCTCGTCGTCCTCTCTGGCTTGCTCATGACCACGACGACGGTTACAATGGCCTCAGGGCTCCGCTCACCACCCACCCCTCGCTCGAGTGCACCTTCACCTCGTCCGAGCGCACCTTCTCCACGGCCGACGTTCGATGCTGACCTCCTCCGCGCATACATGAAGGAGCTCCTGGCGACGACGCTGAAGAGCGCAACATGGCCCGAGACGAAGGAGCGCGATAAAGTCAAAGCATGGATAAAGGAGATCGGCGAGCGCGTGAAGAAGCGGATGCTAGGTGTGTGAGCGCACGGCGGGTTTTGGCACTCTCCTCCACCTATCCGGCTGACGCGTGCCCGACCACCCGTAGAGATTCAGCCTCGAGAGTTGTGAGTGACCACGATCGCGCCGCAGCGTGGTCTTGTAACGAATGGCGTCACCCCCGACTGACGTTGGCATTTCTCTCTCCCGTGCGACCGTTCGTTAAGTAAATACATCGTCTTGACGCAGATAAATGAGAACGCTGGGCAGGGAGGCCGGTGAGTGACTACATTCGGCATGATTGCTTTTTGTGTACGGGTTATTCTGACCGTCGCGAGGACTCTACCCGTCCCTCCCGATATTCTCTCCGAATGCTCCAATCGGCTTCGGATTTCGCCTGCCAATTCCAGAGCCGATCTTGTGTGTCACTGGGAAGACTCCGACGTCGTAGCTCAAGAGGTGTTCGCCAATGTACGTGTCCGCTATGTACCTGCCTCTCCTTCCCTTTCGGCGCGCAATTGGAGAATGGATTGAGTGTAAATGATCGTACTGACCTTCCGTCCGTTGCTTGAATAGGACTCCATCATTTGCATATGCGTCGCCTTCGCTGTTCGGACGATATAGCGGCCGCCTTGTCGATCGAGCTTCGTTGTCTTGCTGCCTTTGAGACGACAACCCATATCCCCGCCGTTTGAAGGACCAGGACTGTATTCGGATATACCCATGACATACGGCACTTGCCAGAACCACCCGAAATGCCTAACGCCATAACATGCACCCGTGAATCCGGCGCACCACCCGCCGGCTAGTCCACCCGATCTCCACCGTCATAAACCCACCAGCTATCAACGATCCGCCGCATCGGCGGCGCGTTCGTGTTAGGACGTCATGTTCGAGGCGATGGTTCAGGGTGGCGAGGGCCGGTGCGGTGCGGTGTCGTGTGCTGGTAAGCAGGGTTCCGACGTTTGTGACCGCAGCTTCCTCGTTGGTCCAAGCCTGTAGGTCAGTACGCGCCTTTGCACAATTGCGCCACTCACAAAGACTCCGCGTTCCCGCGGCTTGCAGGGCGACCGGGACGAAACCAGCGTTTGATGACCGCCTCCTGACCCGTTATCTGGACGCTCGATCCCCTAGTCCCATTCCATGCTTGCCTTGTTCTTGGCCCAATCAAAAGCGATGCTGTGTTTATATTGTCCTTCGTGTGGCCGTTGTTGCTGCATCTGGGGTAGCTGAGCGCTGAGCTTTTGTCTCGTCTGCGCCTGACACTCCACCGAGACTCTCGTCGTGTACTCCGAGGGCGCAACGCCCGTCTACTGCGGATCTTTCCCTGCAGATTTCCATGGGCCCTGAGCCGCCCTGGCAGTTCATAGTACTGCCTGTGCACCGTTCGATTGGAATACGAGGTCGCGCTGCCCGCACGACACCAACTGCAGGCGGAGGTGGCGTACATCACGACATCATGAACGCTATTCGGTCGGAATCCTGCACCGCCCAGGACCGGCCGCCTCAAGAAAGGACATGCTAGTGTCATACACAGCAGCTCGTCATCTGCCTAAAGCAAGCCCACTCTATCTGATGGCTCGGACTCCGGGTCTGCGCGAGCCGTCACAATCAGAACTCTATGCGGACAGGACTGGAAATAACGCGTCGTCCAGGGTGTCAGCGACCTGGGCAGCAGATGCGACTATCGGGCGCGGGTCGCCCGAGACTGGAAGCTCGCCCCGCTGCCCGTAGCACGTACTTACGGGGCAGACAAGCACATGAAGCTTGAAGTATCAAATGATAGCGTACGGCATGGCTGGCTGGCTGGATCATGGGGGGCCTGACAGCTGCTCGCACATATCACAGAGCGGGATGATTGCCACACAGTTCGATGGACCCGGCGGTGCGGCTTGCCATATGCGCTCTCGCTGTACATGAGCCACGCCACCCGTTCGGATGGAATGCGGCGCAAGTCCACCCCAGAATTAACGATGTGAACGCGCACAGCTGCGCGGTGTCCGCCGGCGCGCCAAGTCCTGGTTATGGCCTGCGCATATGGAGGGCCCACGGGTGTGGATACTGAATTGGGCCGCGCTGCTCACGCTGGGTTGGCTGACGTTGCTCGCGCGATACTCGCATGCTGGACGGTATCCCGAATACGTGGACCCGCGCACGCAGCCGTCTGCTCGCGGTGGGAGACTATAGTCGCTAGCGCACCAGCTGGCCTAGTGCGCGCCATGTACGTCCGAGGAGGCTGTATGTAATGGGCCCGTGGAGGCGCGCAGCACTCTGATACTTACGAATGGCAGGGCTTGTGGGCCGGCCTGGACCGGGGCGCCACGTATGGGGCACTGGAAGGGAGGAGGAATTGACAGAGTTGGGAGGTGATTATCAGGCTGATCGATGTGCACCGCTGACGGACATGATGCGAGGGCCAGATGGCGCATCGCTTGCTCCGCCGACGGGCGCCCGACGTTTACGCTGCAGCAGCGTGACAGCGGACCCCGGGGACCTCCGGGGTGTTCACATGGGAGATCTCGAGTATCTGCGCGCTGCCCGTCGGATCTCGTCCGTAAGCGGGCGCGTTCCGGCCATTCTCGAGCAGCTTTGTGGCGTTCGGAAGCAGACTCGCTGCATCGAGCGAGGAAGCTGCCCTGAACGCTCGCGGTAGAAGCACGCCTCTGCCCGTCGCGAGTCAGCTTGACGTGTCGACACGCTCTCTCTCCCTTCCACACCGTCCTCTTGACATGACCACAGTCCGTTCAGATGGAACACTCCTCCACCAAGCCCGTCCGCCGGGCCATGTCTCGCCGTCTGCATGTCCGCCGTACTACCGATGGTCCTCTCGATCGCTAGTGAACTCGACAGTCGAACCACGGACCGTCCCAGCCTATCGCTTCGCCGGAGCCACCCACAAATCCCGCAACTATAATTGATCGACACAGATGTTCTCCGGGCGACTCCGGCAAGCCGTCCTCCCTCTTGAAACGTGCGCATGGCGGAGCAGCGAACCGGACAAGCCAGACACCCAGCCCGCACTCCGCCTGATCCTGCCTTTGCTTTCCGTGTCAGCGAACGTCCCAAGGCACACCACACCGTATGTCCTGGCGGGGACAATACGGCACCATGGGCGAATGATATCACAGACGCGTTCCGCATTACGGCCCTTCGTGCTTCAGGTCCGGCACAAGGGAGGCCCATTCAGTCGCAGCACAGCTTGGAAGCGCTTCTGATTCCGCTAGCCCCAAGGTTTGCGGCTTTCCCACGCCTGCTTGCAGCTTGAGGCTTGAGCTTGCGTTTTTCTGACCTATCGGAGATCCCGCTTGTCACGCCAACACGGTAGAGGAAACCCTTCCGGCGCGTTCCCACCCTCTGGGGGCTCTGGCCTCCTGGTCGTTGCTCGACTCGAGATGTGGTGCTGGAATATAGCGGAGGTGCGTTGATGTCAGCAAAATGAATCTGCGCTCTCCCGATTTACCCTGAAACAAGTGGCTGTGGGAGAGGGAAGGAGAGGCGTCATCGGCGAGGACGCCTCCGTATGTATTGCTCGGAAGCACTACCCGTCAGCATCACGACAGCCCTACCACCGGACCAAGTGAAGCCCAGCGACGGTGTAAGTTAGCGGCTTGCGGTGTTAATTCCACCCGCCCCGCACACGCTTCGCTCAGTAAATGAGATCGAGTGCTTTCATTTATCCCCGCCCTCGAACTCTCTTCATTCCGCATAGTAACGCCGTGTCCAGCCAGATACGTGGTGCTCGCCGCCCACACGGCCCCTGTGCAGCCAGCTACGCCGGACAGACAGCGCGTCGACCGCTGAACGCTGCCCACGTCGCTCCTCCGTATCAGCTGGAGCGTGGCCGGCAGCCCGCTGTCTGCCTGATCAGAACAACATGCCGCCGTTCTCGAACGCAGGCCGGGACGCAGGGCCCCCCGCCGCCCGAAGGAGCAGGTGATCGTCAGACGGGCGGAGAGTTCGCGAACCGCGCTGGCAGAACCCGCGGAATCCTCGAGGGAAACGCGCCAGGGAGCGACGTGGGAACGCGCTGCAGAGATAGCTGCTCGGATCTGGGGCCTTTTGCCACGAACGCGAACACGGACACGGACCCGCACCCAAACGCGAGCGAGCCCTCCTCACTGGGCTCTCTCTCCGCGCCTGCCTGTCCGTCCGCGCGAGAGCGAGTGAGCGACGGATGACGGATGACAAGGTTTTCATTACGCACCGCACCCCAGAAGTTTTTAGAGCGCGCCCTCCCCTCCCCCGTCTTGCTGATCGCTCATCATGCCCTCAGATCTATTGAATGCGGGGACGGCCCGCAAGACGAGGGCACGCCAGGGGCCGAGTTTGTGACGAGGGTATATTGGTCAATGCCTCCGAGATGCGCTAAGACCGCCTCGTGGACGGTGATACGCACGACACCAAATACATGGGCGGTCTTTGGAAACGCGACGTAGATGGGCGCAGCCGCGGAGCGACGGGATGGGAGAAGGCGGGGGATGCTTCCGGTCTTCCCAGTGCGCGAAGAAGTGTAGGCACGCTTGGGACCGTTGTGGACGATCGACATGTTCCTGAGGAAACCGTGTGAGAGCAGCTGCAGGCAGCGTCCGGAATCCCCGAAATGGGACTCCGCGAGCTGACCGATGCGCGTCGTAGGCATGCAGACATGCTGGTGAGGGGCTCGGGCTGTTCCTCGCGCCTAGGGCTGAGTACAGGCATCGCGTCCAGGACACAATGCCTATTCTGAGCTGCGCATATCTGATCACGGTGCACGACGATTTGCCATATCAGCCGTCTTCGACTCAATATCGACGAATCGGACGGCGAATCCGCGATATGCCTGCAGCTGGGAATTCACCAGCCATTCGTCAGTGAATAGCCCGTGCGAGGCATGTGCCGAAGAAGTTGCCAGATCGGGCCGGAAGACCGCGAGCCCCTGCGAGAAGTTGCTCTTGTCGAACTTAGATGCTTCATACTCACCTCCCTGAGGACATTCAATCGGCAACTTGCAGGCGCTGTGAGCAGTTACTCAACACGACTTGGGCTCATAATGACTGTGGGGTAGCAACGGACGCTGACGGTGAACATGAAACCGCAGCAACCGGCCTTCCTCATGAGAGCTGAGGGTGGTTCCGAGCCTATCACTGTTTCATGGGGTACGTTACCTGAACACGGCAACACATCTTCAGCTTCAGGCGACAGCTAACCCGAAGCGAGTATGGAGGCGTACGTACCGCGTTGTAACGGAGCAAGCCGCGTTGGTTCTTGTTCCCGCACTAGCAAAGGCACAAGTCCGCGATTTTTCCGCACTGGCAGTCGAGGGACGAGCTGCGGCAGTGTCCGAGCCGTGGACAGGGAACCTGCTGAAGGAGAGCACGCGGTATCAGCTCTGCCCGTGCGGTGACAGCGAGGCACCGGAAGGCTCACACAAGGGCTATGACGCCATCACGGTACTTGATCCTGGCACTCAGGCTAAAGTCTCCGGTGAAGGGACGCATGTGTGCTTGGGGATCTGGCTGACGCGAACAGAACCAAAAATTACAATTCGTACAAATGAGAGATGTGACTAGATGCAAGGATTCTAGTCAGATGCTGGTAGCTTACGGCACTTGAGAGAGCAACAGCTGTGGAGAAGAAGCGGCGATCGGAATCGACGGGTGTCATTGGCGATGGATGGCTGCAGCATGGCGCGAGAATGGTTATACGTAAATGCACGGCGTTCAGGCTCCTTCGCGGTAGAAGAGTCCCATTAGGTCTTGCTCATGGCGCTATCTCTAGGGTCGTGTCCCAGTGAGTAAAACACGATGAGGAGGTCCTTTCCTTACGTTACCTTTCTCCACAAGGGACCGCCGCCTGAAATCTTGACTGCCGACTTACGTGCAAATGAAAAGGGGCTTAAGTCCGGCGGCGTGGGACTTCGCCCTGCACGATAACAGCCATGGCAGTATTGGAAGGCTTTGTGTTGGAGAAGCGACCTAGGGGACAGAAGTTGGTGTGAGAATGGAACCGCCGCATGTTCGGATGTTCTCCATTGCTAACCTTCGGCAGAGACGCGGCGTGCGAAACCTGCAAGATCTATAGCTCCTTGAGCATTTCAACTCACTATGAGATGGCAAGGTCGCCGCAGAGGCAGAATTCACGAACTCTGAGCAAGTATACTTACCATATGTCGTTAACGTGGCCGACTACGGGGCGACAGAGCCACACAAGATCAACACATTCCGGAGCGGGACCCACATATTGCCTTTTATGGTAAACCATTCCACGTGTCTACTGAGCGGCGGTCGCTCAACACGGGCGCTTAGAAACCAAAAGAGCCCCGCTCTCCCATGGAGCTCTGATCGAAAGAGAAAGCCGTAAAGAGGTGTATAAGGGAATGGTAGCCGGATGTTCTGCATGCCTCATAGCACCGCATCCACATTGAACGACCCCCAAAAATCCGCCTTCTGATCTGAGAATATGGGACCATATGGTGCATGTCCACAGTCAGACCGCGGTGAATCCAGGGCTAATGCAACCTGCGCATGCCGAAATTTACAGACTTACCGGTAGTACCAGAGTTCCCGCTCACGCCCTTGCGCAGAGACACCGGGACTCCCCGACGCCAGCAAACCTCTTTTTCGTTACCCGACTAGCATTCGACTTGTCCCCGCCAGAGGTCCCGAAGCACAATTTCATTTCCAGCGGTGGTGACCATCAATTGCATGTCATGGCCCGTACGGAGAGATTAATGAACGTACCCTATGTGCATGTGTACCAACACAAGGCCCACGCGTGATAGCTCTTATGTGTTGTCTCTTCTACGCAATTCTTCAAGGGCTCGCGGTGTCCTAGGGAATATATCGTCATTCTCTTGGGTCAACACGGCCAGTTCCATCAAGGGTATGGTGAGTATTCTTTCTGGCTGCTCACGGACGGACAAATACAGTATTAGCTATGTTTTGTAGACTTCTTGCATTAGTCTGGTACTCACGGTCACCGATTGCAGATAAACGCTCTCTCTCTGCTCCGAGTCCCGCACTGTGCTGATGATCCTTATGACTAAAGAGTAGCGCCGGTTTATGTAGCCAGTCAGAAGACGCACCCGCTGGCGAATTGCATGAATCTGACGAGGACGGCTGGGCTACCATTGGGGATTCATGATTGACAAGATGGGTATGCCTAAGATCTTGAAGGGACAGTGTCAGGTTCAATACAAAGCTCTGCACGCGCGGACGATCTTGGTCGTGACTAGCGACGTTGGTTTTCCTTTTCGAGCGGATAGAGAAAGCCGGTCACGTGGCAAAAATTCGAGCTCGTCACTGAGGGCGGCGAGCAGCAGCGGACGTGTCTCCGACCAGTCTGCGCACACTGGCCCTCCGCCTTCCTCTGTCGCATGGCGCATCGATGCGTCCGCAAGTTCAGACTTGCAAAACCCGCCTCCCTCGACGCACGACACTTTCACACCATACCAGCTCGCCATGATGCACCAGCTCTTCCTTTGGCAGAGCACTCGACCTCTGCGTCTGGCCCCTCCTCATCTCGACGTAGCCCTCTTGATGTCTTGCGGGAGCAGAAAGTTTCTGACCTAAGAAGCTTGCTATCACTGCGGACTCCGAGCCCAAACCGCGTCTGGGGAAACTACCTCGAGCTCCTCCAATTTTACGGCTCGGCGAAGGTTCCTCTGGACATTCACCAGTCTGTTCTCCGGAAGTGCGCCCCACCGGCTGCGCACGTCCGCGCTATAGCCGCTAGAAGGGTGGCGGCCGGACAGAGGTACAAGGAGGATATGCTGTACGAGTCTCGTTACCAGAGGATTATCCGTAACATCCGCTCCGCCGGAGACACGCCCTCTCTCTCAGACTATCACTGTGTCCTCGACCTCTTTGCCGCAGTTGGGAACCACAACGGCGCAATGATGGTACTAGCCGAGATCGGACGCGTCGGACTGGTCAAGGACCCGCGAACATACGGTCTGTGTTTGCAGGCGCTATGTCACCGGTTGACTCTCCCCGTGTGGCACCTGGACCGGCCGGCCCTGGTGGACGAGGTCACGGAGCATTGCATGACCATATTGAACGAGATGGCAGACAGAGGTGTGCCCTATGCTCCTGTCAATGTGGATCTCGCGTTCCGTATCTTGAAGGAGACTATGAATATGGAGGGCTTCACCATGCTCATGCGGAATGCGTATGGAATCGACCTCGCGTATCCCGATCGGTCTCCTCTGGAGTACTGGGGAAAGGTGCGCGATGCGGCGACAGAGGTAGAGGCTCAAGACGGCCAGTCTGTCCGGTTCCCCACCCAGCTCCCCTTCACTCTTGCCACCTTCAACACGGCTCTCGACTACCTCGCCCGCTCAGGGAATGTGACGAAGCTCGTGCAGACGTTCGAAGTCATCACGAACCCGCTCCCTTCCACAACCTCCAACCCCAACTCCTTTGACGACGAGGACGACGAGGATTTTGGCGTGTCGAATCCTCAGGTAGCGCCTTACAGATCTCCCCACGTCCAGCCCAACACGACCTCCTTCCGTACGCTTCTGCGTGGCGTATGCGATGCTGGTCATGTGGGCCTTGCACGGCATTACGTCCTTGTCGCTATAGCGCAAGAACGACAACAAGACTACCTCCTCTTGCGCTCTGCACTTACACAACCACCAGACGAGCTTCCTGCTCCTCGCCTATCGATTAACCGTAATCTTCTGCTCCCCGTCTTTCATCTCGCGAACCGCCAGAAGGACGTGGAGCTGCTACGCTGGATCACCGTCAGAATCAAGCGCGCCGTCCGCTGGCACCGACATGCCATCAAGTATTACACCAGCACCCGCACCAGATGGGTTGAATCTGGAGTCTACGTACCGAAGCGGGCTGTTGAAACGGACCTCGAAGACGATGTTGGCAGCGATCTGCCGTCCGCCGCCTCCACATCGCGGTTCTCATCATTCTTTAGCCCGTCGTCCTCTTCGCGACAGGCATCCGCGACATTTGACGCCTCCTCATCAAGCAATGAGGACTTCACTACGTCTGCCATCCAGGCTGAGGAGGGGCAGAAGACGTTCGACGTCGACTTGCACTTGAAGCTCCTCGAACGCGAGCTCCTCGAGCTCGAGGACTTAGAACGACACGCGGACGTCGTCCTGGGGCGCAGCACGCAGCGCCTCAAGGAGCGTCTCGGGCGGCGGGTCTGGAACAGCAAAGATATCTTCCTGCGCGACATCGGCCGCCGGACGACCTTGCCGAAGGCGGTCTTCCGCGAAAACGTCAACTTCCGCTCGCAGAGCGAGGTCGAGGCGAGACAGTTGAAGGAGCGATCGGCAAAGACACGCGAGAGGCCAACATGGGGCGCGCCACCGCCGCTCGCTAGGACGGGTCCGATGGGCGAGCAGTATACAGCGACGAGCTCCGTGGAGCGGGAGGAGCGGCCACCCAAAAGCTCTCGGGAGTCGTAAACTGTCTGGCGCAGTTTGCACCGCTGCTGTATTTTATAGGTGCGTACTTTGCGTGCTCTGGCTGCATTCGGGTGACATCCTCACTTCTCGGACCAGATACCATCTAATTACACTCTACACACCTTTGGAGACCGTAGGCTGCATGGAAATACAAAGGTATGTTGCGGTTTGCCTAGTCGCAACAATGTCGGTAATCTAGACGATCTTTGCGATGTGTCAGGGCAGGTGTTTTGCGTCGGACTAGCACCGTTGTATTCCCGCTCTTTCATTCTCAATGCAGACTATGGAAATTCCGTAACGAAAGAGTCGTCGAGTCTTGATCAGGCCAATTCAAGATGGTCGAACTCAGATCAAACTGGGTGATTAATAGCGCTTAAATGTTGCAGTGAGTCCGCCGGCGCTACAAGAGCGTCAATCGAGACTACCGCAGCACACCCAAATTCTCTGGGGGATTTGCCTGTCCTCATTCTTTGGAGCGATGAGAAGCATCTACGGGAGTTTACCTGTTCCCATGGTGAGGCGGTTGTCGCCTACGACTGCTTTCCGGCGTATATATCCCGCGGTGGCCACGATGACTCTTCACGACTTTGCCACGTCCACACACCTATCCTTGTGTCATCTCTTTCACCTATGGAGCAAGTCTGCTTCCAATTCGCCGAGAAGGGGACTTGTCGGTTCGGGGTGCGATGTCGCTTCAAGCATGTTGCTGGGGCTTCCGCTGTTCATGGCGAAGGACAAGAGAAGGTACGCTCATGGGCCAAATGACGAGAACCACTATTGTCCAATTACGCCACTTTTATAGCCCAAGAAACGGAGTCCGAAGGGCAAGTCTAAGCAGAAGGAAACCCCCAGGAACTACATCGCCGAGTTCTTTGCCCTCTACCCGGAATACCCGTACAACCCCTCATCATCGTTCATGGTCGAATATTTCGCCATGTGTGATCTCTTCGCTTGGCCGAGACATGGTAACTGTGACGAGAGAGATCTCGCTCGAGGCCGCTTAAAGGATGCCATGGTGCAACAATTCAATAGTACCTATGGGAGAGACGTCAACGACGTTGTGGCTTGGCAGAATCTATGCAAAGCTCTCGAAGTTGACCCTGTCCCTGACAACATGCAGGATTGTCAGAAGGTACGTATTCAGAAGTTGTATTATATGATGTCAGTGTTCAGATACCGAGTCCACGCAGGTCATCGAAAGTGTCCACGTCAATATATGCGACCTGGTAGAGGCGCCGATTCTGGGCCCACCCCGAGATTTTGGCTCCGAGGAGGCACTTGCCATATATTCTAAGAGCACGGGCAAGATCTTCCCCAGGAACAACGTCCATGCGGGAAGTCTCTTGCGTTACTTACTACGTCATATATTGAGCCACCCGGGTATAGGATATCGTAGAGCGTAGATGGCAAGCTTGTACCGCTCAAAATTGCCTGCTGGATGTCTCGATTTTGGTTATTCCAGCTCGGACTCGCGATCCCATATTCAACCCATAAATGTCTTGGTGCAGATCATCACGCTTTCCCAAGGACCAACGAGTTCTTCGGCTCCCCTGTATGTAATTACGTATCCCGATGTCAATCGCGCCTCATGCAGTCCTGAGGCCTAAGGAGAGAGGTATAGGCATCCGGACCGTTGCATATGATTATGAGGGAGTGCCGCCATCGGCATGCATATGACCAGGTTGCCCCCGAGATCCTCGTCGGTTTGTGGGCTATCCTATGTCCCGGTACAGAGTCTTATGATGGCACCGTGCAAACAGGAGCTACAAGGTTTGGGGATCACCGTTGTTTGGGCTCGGCAAGCTTGGACCTCGGACCCCAACGCTGTCATCGAGCCGTAGTCGCCGCGTGGTGAGCATAGACTGCATGGGACACGCCTGGGATTGAAGCAAGGGAGCGCGACCTTCTTTGCGTACCGGGCATATTCGTAGTAGTCAGCGGTCTCGAACTCGGTAAGCTGGCTCAGAGAGGAGCTCGTCATCACAGTATGTCGCTTCTGTTCCCTGGGCTTGGCCCTGTAGATCATGATACTCACGCTGAGGATAAAGGCACCACCGGCGGCCTCCGATTCTGATCATGCCGGTTCAGCATTACACACAGCAGCATATGGCTCTTCCTCTCGATACAGCGGGGCTTCTAGTCTGCGGCGTGTCTCCCAGGTTTCCCTGCCACCGTCTTCGAGGTTTCATTCATGCAGGGAAGCCCGCTGTACTGCGCTCCTCGCAGATCCGGCAGGTGCAAGCAAGGCACAAGCGAACAAGAGTTCGCCCATACGCTAGAGAAGCTAGCTTAGCACGAGAGGCATTTAGCGGAGGTCAGTGCGCGAGATAGAATTATGGACAATCAACACTAGTGTAGCGGCGGACCAGGGGTCACTTATTTCATGAGCTCAAATGAATCGGATATGAACGCTGACAGTTGCATTGTGGCTCCAGCCTTGCGCAGCACTGTCTCGCATCCATTCACACAGGCAGGAAATTATATGAGCGATAGGCGGACAAGGGTCAATTAAGCTACTCACTAGTGCGAAGAACCGTTTCAAGTCGCATGAGAAAATACAGGAAGATACCATATACACATAACTGCTCTCGACGACATTGCATGGACACAGAGCATGCCTACAATAGTGCGTGAGTATGGCAGATCACTCCTGGCGGGTAATATTAGCCAGAACTACATGTGATCTACTAGGAGTCGTAAGGTGAGCATACTGTGGGCCTCAGACTAAACGCGGCGCGGTGTGCTCAGACGGCCGTCAATCCTGCGCATCTCGCGTTCCAGTTTATCCATCGGGGACATCACGGCCCCGCTGATGGGACCCCGCGCTCCATGTTTGTCAAACATGTACGTGAGAAGATTCTTCTTCTCGTCCGGAAGGCCATCGAGAAGCGTGAAGAGATGGGTCTCGTCGCGAAGGATCATCTGGGCAGCGATGGTCGCCGCGGTGGCGGCCTCGCGCACAGCCAGCGCACTCGTACCTGAGCTCTCCGTCAAGGCCTGTGGGAGAAGGGAAGGGAAGTCATCGACGAACAGACGATGATGAGTACGACGATCAGCTGACGCCCGGACAACCGCATGCGCGCAGAGAAAGTAACTTACCGAGATGAGGGTGAACCGTAATCGAGGTAATTCCTCTTCCAGCACCTCCGCTGGGAGACGCAGGAAAAATTTGCCAAGGGCGATCAGGCCGAAGGCATACGTGCCATCCCTAATCTCCGTGGTCGCCGAAGGAGGAAGGGGCGCATCCCGGAACGCACGCAGCGCCGCATGCAGGGTCGTCAGCCCATACACGGGTTCAATGCGACTCGTGAGCGTGTCTCGGAAGAAGTTGGTCGCTTGCATCACCTGCAAAGACGTAAGACGACTGCGTACCGCAAGCGCAGGACTGAACCCAAACCGACAGGGAGCACGTACGTTCATCTGCCCGCAGTATCTGATTTGCAGAAGCACGCCGAAAATGTCAGCTTCGCGCCCCTCGAGGAGAGGCGCCTGGTTCTCCAGCATTTCCCACAAAACGATCAAGCCGTACTCTAGTTCTTCGGCATTCTAATTGAATCCATGAGAACGTCGCTATCAGCACTCACTCAAGTTCCGCGGCCACACGTACGTACGCACCTTCAGAGGGTCCAAAAATCGGACCAATGCATTGAACAACTGATCGAACAGTCTATCCTGTGTCCAGTAAGCAGACTTACTCTGGGCTAGCTGCCGCGCAGATCCATCAAGCGGTGACGGAGTGAGAGGGGCGGAGAAAGCCGGGCTAACGGGTGAGAGCGACTCTATAACGGGATTCTGGATGCACAGCTGGGCGAGCTTCGTGAGCACGGCGACGTCCGCGGTATCTTGCTCCAGCGCCGCAATGAACGACCTGAGGGTTTCCTCCCTATCCGGGGTCCCGCTGTCCTCGTGTGGTGTTGGCATCTTGAGCACTGGCAGCAGAGTGCATGAATCACGGATACATCAGCAAACACAATCAGAAACTGAACGGACAGACACCGCATTGCGGCGCGATGATGTGTACACTTACGCGCCATTCTCTTCGCCCACCACTGCCGCGCGCTGTCCCGGCCGTCAACCATCGAGAAGAGGGAAGACGATTTCCCATTGTAGGCCGGGCTGTCCTGGAACAGCGCCGCCCGCTGCATGATGATTGCGGCACTCCGTCTGTTGATTGGTGTCTTCGGGACTGTGGGAACGCTGCTCTCACTCTCACTGCTCGTCCTAGGTTTAGGCCTTCCACCCTGGCCCTCCCCATTGCGCAGCAAGAGGGCGGCCGGGAGCGGAGACGGATGCGCGTCCTCCTCTTCGGGCTCAACAAGCTCAAGCAGGCGTTCGGCCGCGCTCTCGGCCTGCTCCGCCCTCGCACGCATAGCATCTTCAACGATCGGTTGGGCGACGCCTGCCGGCGGCGAGCTTGTCCCTGTCGACAGCGCATTGGAAAACAGCGGCCGCTTGGACCCCGTGGACACGGGCGAGAACGAGTTTGCCTGCGAAGTTGATCGCGGTGCGGGCGGGTAAACCTCATACGGCGTGGAAAACGATATGAGGTTGACGGACTCGTCCATGTCCATATCTGAGTCGCTGTCTTCAGGCACGGGGATGTTCGTCGCCAAAAGCAGAGACTCCTCCTCGGACCCGGCGAGCTGGTGCAGGCCTGCTATAGATAGCGACTCACGATGGAAGACGGGCACTGCCGCCGCGCCAACTTTGGGCGGCCGTGGGGTTGGAGAGGCTGCAAGACTGGTGACGGGATGGACAGGAGACGCCGGTAACGCCGTCTCGACTGCCTTCCGGAACGTTGAGTTTGAAGTGGGAGGAGAAGGGCTCAGGGGCGTGCGTGGTGAGGACAGGCGCCGGTGGAATGTTTGGTCGGGTGTAGGCGACGGCGGCGAGCCGCTCTGAGCCTGCCTGGGAGGGCTCCGCGGGGTGCTTGTACTCGTGCTCAAGACTACATTGGCACTTGTTGACCGAGAGATTGTGCCGCCGGAAAGGATCCTGGATCTCGGCGGAGACGAGCGCGAAACAGGGGATGTAGCGCGGACAGCGCTGGTGGAGCTGCTCGTGGATAGCGCAGGGGAAGTCGGCCGTCTCGTTGGTGGCGACGTCGCGCGGATTGTATGGGACGTCGACGTCGCCTGGTGTCTCAAGGATGGAGGCGCGGTCGCGATGGCTTTGGCTTTGGCTCGGCTAGCAGCAATTGCGGCCGCGACGCTGCTCTTCTTGGTCTTGGGCGGCGTCGTGACTGTGGCCAAGGCGGCTAGCGCGTCAGGGTTCGGACACGCCTTCTCCAACTGCTTGCGCGCCACCGATTCTAGGGAGTGCAGGATCGCAGTGCCACGCTCTGGCCAGATCCCATGGAAAATCCAAAAGACTTGCCGCGCACTGTCCCGCACCCCAGCATTGGCATCGCCGAGCGCCTTCTTGACAATCTTCTCGAGGTGATCGATGGCGCCGTGGCTCTCAATGGCATGAGCTGAGCGCGCGCCATGGACTTCCAGAAATGTCTTCACGTGAGCAACAACATATGCGCGGGTGTTGATTGCCTTGTCTTGCAGCGTGTTCCAGAACAGGGGGAGGAGGGTCTTGGGCTGGGCCGACGTGTGCTGGATGAGAGTAGCGACAGTCGCCTGCGAGATCTGTGCCGCAATTTTCTTCGTGAGGTTCGCCATCCTGAGAAGATTGGTATACAGTAGGTCGCAGAACGGGTCCAGTGCGGTGCCAAGGGCGATAGCGAGCTCGCTATAGAGTGCGCAAGTGTTCGCAGAGACCGTCGTACGCAGACTTGCCAGCTGATAGTGCGGTCATTCATTGTTGTATGTCAACAGATGCACGGTGTGGACCTCGACTACGGGACGTTGCTCACCGTTTTGAGCGAGGCCTCCATGAAACCATTCTTCAAGCCGTGCAGGAACGTGTCTGTATACCGTTCGTGGACATCTCCCTTCAACATACCGCGGACCCTCTGGATCGCGCGTTCGCGGTCGGCCCAGTTGTGTTCCGTCTCCTTTCCCTGTCGACCGGATGAAATAACGTGAGCGGGCCTATTTGCAAAGAGAGCATGAGTGAGCTTCTCCGGTGTTGCCAACTTACCTCAAACGGCCGTAGCATCGAAGCGAACTCGTTCTCAAGGTCGCGGCTCGAAGCAATCTGTCGTATAGAATCAACGGTGGGACGAGCAGGCCCTCCAGTCACCTTTCAGCAAGGAATCGACCAAAAATGCGCTGCTCACGTAGACAGCCTTCGCGTCGAATCCTGCACCGGCGGCGGCGGAAGGACCCTCTCCGGACGGGGACATCACCGCGGCGCGACTGGCTGGCCTGGGGATCTCACTACGTGCGTTCCCTTGACTGACCACGCGGGACATCGTGCCGCTAGCGGTACCAGCGACCGTGGGCCCAGGTCTCCTATTCATCAGTGCGATGCTCGGCGGGACGTACTCCCTGGCTGCCCCTGCGAGGTCCCCGTTCTCCGATCCGGCGTCGCTCAGCGTCCCAGGCGTGCTTGCCCCAGCACCCCCTGCGAGCACCCTGGCGAGGATGCCGTCCGCGATGGTCTTCCGGACGCCCTTCTTCGCCATCTCCTTCTTGAGGTCCGCGCGTGCGGCGTCGGTGGCCCCCGGCCCGGTGAACAGCTCGACGACGGACTGCTTCGCGCACTCGCGCACCGTCGGGTCCGTGTCCTCCATCGCGTCGACCAAGTGCGGCAGGTACGGGCGGAGCGGGAACAGGTGATGCGTGCGCCGCACGTGCACGAGTGTCAATATCGCCTGTAACGTAACCACATCCCGCGCGCACTGTTTCAGTCCCCAGCCCTCTTCCGCCATATAGGCAAAAACCAAATATCCCCGGACGGGCACGCACCTGTTCGCGCACCCGCGCAACCTTGCTCGTCATCCCGCCCTCGCGCAGGAACCGCTCGAAGAGGTGAAGAGGGCTCTCCGGGCCCTTCCCGTCACGCGACCGGCCCATGTGCGAGCCCGTGCTGCCCGCCCGGAACGCGAACCCGCCCATGACGACGAGGGTCTCGCGCGCCTTCTCCCTCGCACGCTCCCGGCTGTCTCCCAGGCGGTCGACGACGCCCCCGCCCGCGGGCATGAGCTGCGTGAGCACCTGCCGGAGGGCGTGTGCGTCCACCGGAGACGACGTGGCGGACGACGTCGACGCGGCGGGCGAGGTCGACGAGGACGGCAGCGGGATCTGCGCAGGGTGGCGCGTCACGAGCAGCGGGATGCACGGAGGGAGGGCCGAGAGCGTCGCAGTGGTTAGGTGTTGGTTCGAGATGCGCAGGCACGCCTTCAGGACTTGCACGAGTGCGTCGGGGTCCGGGATCTGCGAGTCGTCGCGTCGACGTCGATGTCGGCATGATGCACACGGGCTCGGGGGTACGGTGAATGCTCACCTCGGTGCCCGCCTCGAACTCGGCCTGGAGCTTCGTAATAGCGTCGACCTTCGCGTCGATATCTGCATTCAGGTTTCGTTCGAGTGCGAGACGCAGCCAGACGACCGTGCACACCGCAAACGCGTGTATGCGCGCGAGGACGCGAGAACCATACCAGCAGGCACGTCAGATGAAAGCTCCCGGTGCGCGCACGAACACGAGAAGGGTGAACATGAACGGACCGTTTGATTTAGCGCATTGGTTCACGAGCCGCCGCACGGGCGAGTCGTCCATCGTCTTCGTAGTGTCTCCCCGAGGTCGTGGAAAGGCGTGTCGGTCGTGGTCTATAGTACGTGGGCGTGTCTCCCGTGGTGGCGGTCGAAGCTGGCAGTGCTGGACGTCGACAGAGAACCAGTGAGAACCTCGTGAGGATCGCGACGTCGGTGCTCAACTCGCACTCGCGGAGTCCGCAATCGCCCTACACCAGCCGAGGCGCCCGAGCGCCTCCGTCACGTGCCGACCCATCTGTGACTCACGTTACCCGTTGTTACCACACATAACAGTCACATGTGATCCCAGGAAGGGTCACGGCAACTGACGTCACAGAGTAACGATCTACACTGGGAGTCACATCTGGGAGCATTTTGCTTCCGCGAGCGAGCGACGATTGGCCAGAAACTGTAAATCTCGCGCCAGATCTGGGGTCCTAGGGTATACCAATTCGCTATCTCGTTGCCTAGACGCCCTTCCCCAACGGTCGCAGACTCACTTATACTTAAAGTTTCTCCGGGGTGATGCACTACGCCCGCCAGCCCAGCCAAACACCGATCACGCCAAGCGGGGGGTCATGCAGACGTTGCGACGCAGATGCGACACCATCCAATGAGGAGAGAAGGGTATATGAATTGCGCGAAACTGTATCAGGTGGATGTATATACGGGGGAATTGCGGACGAGATCGACACGAAACCAGAGAATAAAAATGTTACACAGAGCGAGCAAAGGTAAAGACCACGGCGGGCGCAAGGAAGCCGGACGCGCGGACGAGCGAGCGAGAAATACAGCGAGGACGGAAGAAGTACTACACGGAAAGCGACAGACTAGCGACATAGCAGACTGGAGACATATGAGACATGTAATGCTGACAGGAATGGCACCGAGGCGATGCACGAGCAGGAATGGGAACGAAAGCAGACGTACATCATGCACGACGGCCGGCGACAGATGGGATGGGGGATGGACGGATGGCGGGAGAACGGTTGGAAAGGTCCGCAGAGATACTATGCAACTGAGATTAACAGCCTAGTCCGTCAACGCCCGACCCGAACAGAAAAACGTAAACAGAAGCGTCCGATGCGCATATCAGAACGATGTGCGGGAGGCGCCGTGAGACTGGTAGACGCTGCGCCCATGTCACCGGACCGGCGCCACTGCAAACAGCATCGCACAGGCAGCAACCATACGGCCATGGGCAACACGGGCAAGTCGCCGTGCGATGACATCTGATCCTGCAGATACTCGCCGACGATGGCTGATGCTGGCGCGGGCAAGACCATAACATGCAAGCCCAGCCACCATCACACCACCTCGCGAGCTGACCAGATCATCGAGTCCCACGTAGCCGCCCATTTCCTTTTTGAGAACCCCTTCCTATCCCCTATGCGAGACTATCCACAACGTTCGTCGGCGTCCGAGTAGAAGCGATGACGGAGGAAACGCGAGAGAGCGAGGCAAGCAAGCAAGATCACATAGAGTTAATGATTCCGAGCCGAGAGCCGAGACGTCTATGGAGTGAAGCAGGGAGGGCGAGAGCGCGCATGTACGGGGGAAGCATCCGAACGCCGGTCCAGGGCGAGAAGAACGAAGTCGAGGCACCAGGGTAGGAGTCGACGATCTACATCTCGTTCTTAGCGTACTGCGGGAGGTGTTCGTTCATCGGGACGAAGCCGTAGTCGGGTGAATCTGAGTGCGCGAACCGATGTCAGTCATTTCGTTCGCTCGTAGATCGCACAGATGCGCCCCGACGTCTTCAAATGGGGGGAGCATGCAGGCGAGACCGCACCGAGTGAAGTAGACTCACTCACATCGGGTGATATCCGCCTCGGCTGCGCCATTGCCATACCCGTCCGCCGCTGGGGTGTTGGCCGCAGAACTAGTCGTGCTGAGCGACGACGCACTCGTCGACGGCCGTACACTCCTGGAACCGGGAACGCCATACATGCCATTGCCTTGGTTCTGCTCGTCAACCGCGTAGGCGAAGTCCCCTTGCGCGGGATTGAAGCTGTAGTTGTCGACGGAGGGGAGCTGAATCATGCTCCGCACACGAGGAATCCCGCTATTGCCCGCGTGGTCTTCTGCAGGGTGCGGAGACGTCGAAGGACGCTGAGACGGGTGCTCAGAGTACGGCGATGGGTAAGGCGACATCGCCTGGCTGTGCCGCCGCTCACGACGGACGCTCAGCGAGCTCCCGTTCGCATACGACTTCGATGAGGGCGGACGAGATGATGACGGGCTCATGGGACGGTGATGTCCCGAGCTAGGCCGTGAGTAGTCGTGGCCGCCGAAGTGGTGCGCGCTCTGGTCCTCGTAGGGCGTCGGCAGAGATGACATGGACGACGCTGAGTAGCCGGAGGTCGGCCGACTATCAGGGGACACCGGTCCAGCGCTGTGGTGGTTTCGGCTCAACGGGGCATAGGAAGACGTGTAAGTGTTTATGGCAGCAGGTTGAGGGCGAGAAGAGCCCGAATAACCGCTAGCAAGACTTGTGCTGCTCGCCGTAGGGTTCAAGAGGCTCGAGAGGGAACCGGTAGAGTGCGCGCTCGGCGCGCCGGATGAGAAAGACCAGTTACTCTGCTGGTCAGAGTACTGGTATTGCGAAGAAGGGGACGGAAGAATCATCGTATCACGTCCGGAGGAAGAATAACTCATGGAGCCGAATGCAGAGGACTGGGTATCTTCAGTAGGGGTAACCGGGTGCAGGGTATGAGAGGAGTGCGAATACATGCCACCGTGTGACGAAAGCGGCGGATCGGAAGGGACATTCAAGGGAGGCAGAGTAGAGCGAGGGTAGCTAGCACCCCAGCCAGCAGCGCCAGGCTGGTTAAGCGGCGTAAAAGAGCCAGGGGCAGAGAATCCCCGCGAGCGACCACCTTTGTTGTAAGGTGATAAATCACCCGAAGGCATGGAAAATGGCATGGCACCCGTACCAATCGCAGAACGCGGTGGTGGTATTTGGGGAACATCGTTGGTCTGTTTACGCGGTTTGGGGAGACGAGGGGGCACGCGACGCTTGAAGTTCGCGACGACCTCCGGAGGCGAGTGCCTGTTGAGGGTAGGGTGCGCTAGAAAAGGCAAAAAGGTCAGAATAACCATAGCTAGCGGTGATTCCGCGGAAGCGGTGTGAGTGCGCGGAAGCGGAACTCACACCAGGTGCTGGCGTCGGGATCGTCGATAGCCGGGTCCACGTTGCGAAGATTGACCTTGCGCATGAAGCCATAAATCTGAGCACACGCGGATGAGCGTCAGGGTCGCAAAGAATCGGAGAACGCATTGACAGTGAGGAAGCAAAGACTTACGTTTAGTTGCCGAGAGAAAGAAGCAAAGCGCGACTGGCGGTAAACGCTGGGCAGGACATGGAGGGCGAGTTGCTCTGGTCGCTCGACGATGATATGCTCTCCAGCTGGGTCCCAGCGAATCATGTGATGATTCTCCGGGCGCTCGAGGAGACTGCACGCAGGGTGAGTCGGGAGAACACGAGAGGAGACGCGTCTGGACGACTTACGCGTAGAGCTTGGTGAGGAACGTTGCTTGGGGCTTTGCAGGCTGCTGCTGGGGCGCGCCGTCTTTTGATACGGAGGCATCCTCCTGCTTGGGAGATTGGGAGTCGCGAGGTGAGGGCTGGGAGGAGGCGTCGGTGGAGTGGCCCTCGGGGATGGACTGCTGAGAGGGGAGAAGCTGAGGCGGGTAGACGATGTTGGAGGGTGCGGAGAGCTGGTACTGGGGGTCGTTGCGGGCGGGGTAGGAGGAGCGGGAGGGGTAGGCGGACTGAGGATAGAGGTCTGCCGACATGGCGGGCGGGGATGTGGAAGGGCAAGAGGGAATCGAATATGAAGGGCACGAGGCGGACTTGAGAAGGTCGGAGGGAGGGACTTCTCTTGTCAGAAGGAGGGGATGGGAGAACGAGGGCAGAGGAACGCAACGCAACACTTTTAGGGCAGATCCAGAGCTCGAGCAATGGATTCGATGGGCCGCGCAGAAAAGGAAGCCCGAGCGGTGGACTTAGTTTCCTCGACCGACCGGTCATCATCTGCGCCCTGCAGTCCCCGGGGGCCGACGGCTGGCCAGTCACACATCGGTCGAATAGAGTTCGCTGCCAGTCACCGCGTCCTTCCAGAAATCCCCCGGCGATGGATCCAGTCAGAGCCTCTGATCGAACACCCCCGTCTATATCCGGACGAGCTCGTCGGCAAGTGCCCGTCCGCATGCCGTACGCGACTCCATTCCTGCTGACAAAGCCGTGCTCGCCCATGGCATCTGCCCTGCTCGCTCTGTCCTCTTGTCGTCTGCCAGCGAGCAGCCGCGCCCTCTGACCCGCTCGAGGCCCTCCAAGCGGCATCTCGGCTGCCCTCCCCCGCCCGCCCCATTGGCCGATCGCCATTCGAGGGTGGTCCCTCAACCTTCACGGGCTCCCACGATCTCCATCCACCCTAGTCCCAATCTGGCACCACGCTCTCCCCGATCACCTGTGTAAGTACCTACCTGCACAGCTTTCGCCCACCGACGCCGGTAGCGCCCGCCTCCCACTGCGACCAGCTCCGCCCAAAGCACGTCCCGCCCCCACCCACCACCGCGAGCGGGAGGCCCTCTTCTTGGCTGCCGCCGGCTATCTGCGATCTCTCTCCGACGCGCGCATCCCGACGCTGCCACGCTGCCGACGCTGCCGTCACGCGCACCAGTCACTTAGCCTGTAGCCTCGCCCGCCTACTCGCTTCTACTTACGCCACAAAGCCGTCGCTCCTCCCCCGCCGCGTGTCTATCTTCTTTCCCATATTCGTCACTCCTCTCAGACTCCTCCAGCACCTCCACAGCGCCTGCAGCCTTCCTCCGGACATATATCAGCCTAGCACTGCTCTCCTCTTAATACATCTCTGTATCCATCTTCATACTCATTTGCGCCCTCCATGTCCTCGGAGCACGCGCAGCACCGTGCCACACAGGACCCTGCCCCGGGCAGTGGTGTGATATGGTATAGATATGCTGATCGTCCATCCCCCCCGTCTCTCCATCCCGCCGGCACACATATGCGCCGCGCCCGCGCTGCGGACGTAATTGACAGCGACGGCCACGCTGCAATCAGTCCCCCCAATAGAGTTCAGCCCTTATCCCTTGAAACGCTGCAACGTGCCATTTTCCGCTCTTGTGCCGTTATAGGCCCCGAGGGGCAGGAAGTCCCCGGCCTAACGGACGCTGATGAGGCGCGTGTGCACAGAGACAGAGATACGCACAGCTCGGAGGAGGGGGAGGGGCGAAGGGGGTCAAAGTCAAATGGGGCGTGCCAGCTTCCAGGGGCCCACTCCTCGCGCTCGCGGCCGGCACGTCTTGAGAACGGCGCGTCCAGGAGAGCACCAGCGAGCAGGCAAGGTTTGTTCGCTCACAGTGCCGCCCTGCACCGGATGCGGTGCGCAGGTTCTCCCAATCGCAATCGCACCGCGGACGCGGACCTGGAGCGGAGTTGAGATGATGGAAACGGGAACGTGCGTCGACGCTACGCGAGCGAAACCTTCTTGATATTCATTTTGGCTGCTACTACTTCCACCCATGGTAACATCGTCCGGAAGAAACATGTATCCAGGAAAGCAGAACGAGAAAATTACCGGGCCCGAACTCGTAACCTAGATGGCGGTGGTCTATAGGTGGCCGGAGAGAAGGGGAGGCACGAGAATCAACGCACTAGTAGGAACCGCCATCGTCAAGGTGGTGGAGGAAGGACGGAACAGACGAGGGGTAACGAGGAATGATGTACAAGGTGACGAGCACAGTCAGCAGGTGGTAGTGGGGAATAGGGAGACCCTGAGTTAGTGATTTTACGTGTACGGTATGCGTTTGGATGAGATGAATGGAAACAATATATGAAGCGTGGACGTGTGCATGGGTGGATATGCGTGTGGTTGATGGTACAAATGGGCAGTGAGAGAGTAACCGAACGAGCGAGGTGACAAACGAATGGACGACGCAGGGCGAAGATGATGTTACACGCTTGGAAGTTGGGGATGATGCGAGGACATAGTGGGGACGACGAAGGAGACCCAAAAGCAATCAAAAACGTCCGAGCCAGCCATGCGTCATGAACACCCAGCGCGAGCGATGCGCCGACTGTTCAGGCACACGACTGGCAGTCTACCCAAACGTGCGACGAGGAATGATGAATGATGCTAGAAAGGTGCGTCAAGGAGCCCGGACAAGTGCGCAACGCAGACATATACAATAAGCGATAACAGACAACGCGAAACGATAGCGGCAGGGGTGGGCGATATGATAGGGAGCGAGAACGGAGCAACGAGTAGAGCGTGCGTTGTAGTTGCGCGTGTGAGATCGATCATGAGAGCAAGTCCCGAGCCGCCCGGAGTCGGAGAGATGTCGAGTGATGAGGGGTATGAGGGAGTTGAATGATGCAAGCGCTGTCGTCCATGTCACCGAGCCAGCCGAAAGGTTGGTATGGTTTGGATCGAGACATTGACAGCGCTCCGATCCAGCCTAGCGCATGAGGCACGCGGGAGGCCGATCGGTTCATGCTGGACGCCTTCCGGTGACCAAATCAAAGAGCCTAGGACGACCGGCAATCTTGAACCCGCGACAGCGGCGCAAGCCTCCAATAGATAGGGACATTCCACTCCGACCACCAGCGACGCCAGCAGACTGCTCGCGTTCAACGACCTCGCAGCATGCACCTGAACGAAGGCGCGCGCCGCACGGTGCTAACTCTCTCCATCGTATTGCAGAGTGATGCTTGAGAACGCGCTAAACTCGTCCACGGTCCTGGACAGTGGCGATGAATCTAGCCCATCGTTCTCCCCTAAACCGGGGGTCCCGGGCAAGCTTGACCCCGCGACGCCCTTGGTTGGGGTATCCAGCGCGCCTTGCCTCTCGAGCTGCAGCGACATCGACTCGTGCATTTGCCTGAAGTTCACCGCGTCCACACCATTCGAGGCTGTGGGCACGATCTGTGGTTTGGAAGCGCAGGATTTGCAGATCGCGGTGCGAGGAGATGCGGGATGGCGATAAGGAGGAGCGAAAATGCAAAGATGATCAGTATGCTGTTCGGTAGCCACGGAGAGGGAAAACAAGGTAGATCCCAAGACTGCCTATGCCAAATCTCCCGGTGCTTTGGGCGGCTGTGCTCATGACATACGGCCCAACGATCAAGGGAGACAAAATGGGCGGCCGCCGGCACAGTGGGACGATGATGACATCGGCGGCTTCTTCAGAATACGTAGCTGGCCCGCGTAAGTAGCAAGCGGGAGAGCGACCAGGGATCTCGTCGTCATCCTGCCAATCGCGATCGGTTTACGGGGGTCGACCGACGGATCTTCCCCTTCCGGCAGCTCCCAATGTCAGATGGAAGATCTCCGACAAGCCCATCCAAGCCCGCGCGCACGATGCGAGCGAGCCGACAACCGCAAGGCTATCAGTCGCTCTTCCCAATTCCCGCGGAGCCCAGCCAATCCAGCATCGCGGAGCACTTTCTCCCAGGAAGCAGGAGCCTAGCAGGCGGCGTTCGGCGCATCACCTAACCTGATAAAGCACATGCGCGCGCGCCCCAAAGCACGTGGTGACCGTGTGTGCGCGCACATAGGCCCGATACGTCGAGCAGGGCACAAAAGGATGGGAAAACTCACAGGAGGTTGCGTGTTCCGCAAAAGGCCCCAATTGATTTTGGCAAACCACTTGTGCTGCTTGACCTCCGAGGCCCCGCTCTTACTGCCCAGGCGGGTAAATTCTCGCTTATCGAGGAGGCGCGTGATGATGTCCTTGCCAGCGCTAGGTAGAGCAAAACGTAATTGAGAGATCACGGTAGCATTAGTGGCTCAGCAGACGATAGGACTAGGGCGGAACGTGCTTACTGTGACACCTTGGGCGTGTCCCGGAAATGAACAGGTAAGTTCAATATATTGTGGAACGTGTCATTTCGCTCGACACCCTTGAACGGAGTCGTCGCGTACTGCAGGACGTCAACAAGGTGTCAGTCGGTGGGAACGAAAGTTCGGCACCCTCGGCCCACGAGCAGAGGCGAGAGGATAAGGAAGCGTTGGTACTCACGATCATCTCATAAATGAGGATACCAAGCGTCCACCAGTCTACGGCGGAGGTATGACCCGACGTTTGGATGACCTCGGGAGCGATGTACTCTATGAGGAAGAAGGTAACGACGCCACAGCGTCAGCGAACCGCTCTCATTCCGCCAAACAGAACAAAGGAAAAGACTCTTACCCTCCGTCCCTACGAATGAATTCGTCCGGAAGTCTGCCGTGCACGCTCGGGTATCGATTAGGGGAGTCTGTGACAGCGTAGCATGATAGCAGCTCATATCAGTATGTTCCAATGACACAAAGCATGGAAGACAGGAGACTGACCCCATTCTCCTCCGTGTGTATTGTCGCGGGCCGACCGCCGCGCTCGCTTGACTGTTTCGCCAAATCGAAGTCGGATAACATTATGTGACCAGACTGGTGTAATAGGATATCTGATACGAGTCCCGTCAGCACAGCATAGAAGACAGAAAACGAAAACTCTCGCGGGATCTCCGCAAAAGGCCGTGGCTTCAGAACCAACACGCACTTTCAGGCTTGAGGTCTCGGTATATGAAACCCATCAGGTGGAGGTACTCCAACGCTGCCGTAACCTCCGCAGCGTAGAACCGTGCAGCATCCTCCGAGAGACACTTTCCTGGCCGTGACTGCAGCGCACGGAAGAACTCGCCACCCATGCAGTACTCCATGCAAAAGTAGAGATAATTCTCCGATTGAAAAGAGTGGTATAGCGTGACGATGAAGGGGTGATTCGCCGTCGCAAGGATCTCTTGCTCCGTCAGGGCGCGCTTGATCTTTTTCCGCTCAATCATCTCCTTCTTCGAGAGGACTGCAGGTCTCGTAAGGAAGCCATTTCAAGTCCACCGGTGGAAGAACGGCGCACCTTTCATGGCAAAGAGCTTGCCGGACTTCTTCTCCCGCACAAGGTACACCTTCCCAACGTCGCCCCTTCCCAGCATTTTGATCTTATGGAAACTCCCAGGACCCACCTCCACCTACACAAGTATCGAGCTCTCTCGTCAAGGAACTTTGAGCTGCGGAATCGAAGGACGCGAACGTACCGACTTGACCTTGATAGAATGACTGGAATACGTCCTCCTGAACGCGATCTTCCCCGGACCCTCGGATGTATGCGCATTTGTGACTCGGTCTTTGGTTTTGGACACCGCGTTGGCACTGATCGACCGCGTTTGTCGCGACGGCGTCCCTCGGGACGAGGCCGACGACAATGTTTCTAGCGAATTCGCGCCCTGCTCCTGCGACTCGGGCATCGGCGGAATACTCTCCCCTGGAGATAGCAGACCGTTCTTAGTCATTGTGCCGTTGGACCGACTGCCAAGCGTGAACAGCCCCTTCGCGTTGGGCGCCGACGCGACGCGACGGATGAAACGCGACGCGTTGGCACCAATGGCTTTGGGCGAGAGCGTGCCCGCACGCGAGGGGGTGGTTGGCGTTGGAGGCATGAAGGAGAGCTGCGAGGAGTTGGCCGTCGCAGTTTGGGGCACCTTACGACCGAGCAAACGTTGCTTGTCGGAACGCTTCTTGGAGCGCTGCTTCTCAGAGCTCGCGGACGGCTCCACTTCTGATGACGGGGCGTGCTGGAAGTAATCCGGAGTAGCCGGAATTCCGTGTACGGCTCTGGTGGGCATAGAGGGATTGGAGTCGCTGGAGAGGGTATTCGAGGAATTGTACGAAGACCGTCGATCCGGAGACGCGAGAGGGGCCGGAATGGAAGAGGCCGCGGAGGTAAGCGGGGTAAGGGTACCCGGATGGGTATGGATGGTGCTGGTGTCAAGAGTGAGGGAGGACGGAGCAACCTTCTTGGATGACTGGCTCCCTATCCTGAATATTGACTTCCATGCAGGTTGACTGCTTGGGCTAGTCGGAGATAGTGGGTGGACAGGAAGAGGAGAATGGTGGGTGATGATGGGGCTGACGTTTTCGGTGTTGGGACTGGAGTGGACCATGGTTGCTTGGGCCTGGTGGACAATGTGGGAGCTCGGCAGGCGAGTGATGGGATGCTGATGAAAGAACGGCAGACGGGTGCACTCGATGTTCTGTCCGGTGCTTCCTGGAGGGCCAGAGAACGAGAGAGGACGTCCGTGGCAGCGATGGGAGCGTAAGGAAGGGATCCAGCGGGGCACCGTCGTCGTCGGGAGTCGCTTACAGCCAATGGCTTGCAAATAACGACAGCGCTCAACGGGAAACGTAACTCAAACTTGCGCTTGGGCTAGCTTCTGGCTTAGTCTAGCATTACTTATCCCGCCTTGTTACTCGCCTTAATCGCTTTACCATTAGTCAGCGTCCCCTGGCGGAACAACCCGGTCTCAGCTCTCTGCCAACCCGCTCCCATCTCTCCTTCAAGCCCTGGTCCCGTCCCTGCCTCTGCACCCCCACCCTTCTCCACGTTGCAGCGACGGGCCCCGCCATCCAACATAGCCGAGTGGGCAGATTGGTCGGCTCGCTTGCCATGCGTACCACAAAGTTTTTAGCCTTGGTTTGAAACGCGCCGGAAATCAGGCACCGTAATTATAACAGGCTTCGGAACCCGCCAGACTCCGCCCACGTGAGACGTCGACCCTTGCCTCGGCTGGCATGGTCATCCTTCCCAATGGCAGTGGGGATATAGGGAACCGTATACAGCATGGACGCCTGTGAACCTTTCTTCGCCAGGATGGTGGACGACAGCAACGCACATCCCAAATCGCATCCGTAGCCAGCCTTACCTCTGACCGTCAGTGCCATACAATCGGATCCTTTTGCACCAGATGCCCTGTGTTACGCTACCGCAATCGCGACGCGCCGTAGTCTTGGGCGTAAGCTCTATTCAACATCCCGCCCGCACAGGTGCGTGCGCTTACACGTACAATGTCGATTGGCTCAAGTTATTGTCGACATCTACCTACTGCAACCACATTACACCGACTGACTGCACCCGTCAGCGTCTGACAGGCTGCCACCTGCAACCCAACGGCTTACTGACAGCTATCTTTCAGACATCTCGGCCGCTTTTCATAAGGCTGGCCTTTCTGATGTGATGCAGATGTGTGAGAGCACAAACATCGCGGAGATGGCACCGGGCGCCCGACGTCCCTTGAGGAAACACCCGATGAAAGGAGCGTCCTACCGTCTGCTTCTGCCAATCCAGAAGACCCTTCTAATTAGCACTCTTCGTACCAACTTAGACTCGTCGCGAAGGCGTATCAAAGCAGCTTGCCCAAGCCCGATCTGTTTGAGGTGGCTTCACTGAACGGCGATCGTAGTAGAAGAGCGGAAGGCAAGTGCTTTTCATCCCGGCGTTTGCGGTTCTGAATAACGTCAGGCAGCCCATCTCCGGACACACGTCTGATGCGAGCTTGGATGATTGATACGAGTGCCGGGATGGGTGGCCCGTTCTATACGAACACACACAAGGGCGCTCTTGTTTGCATACATCCTTTGGCCTGGGAGGAGTAGGCGGTGCGCGTGCGAATACGCCGCAGATGACAGAACGTCCGTCGCCATTCTGTTAGATATGCCCGTGCACACTGATCGCCCGGCGCGCCGGGTATGACTCCCAAAGGCCTCAGTGCGCTTTGGACATTCCGTCAGCTCGTGGGATGACAGAGAGGTATCAAGAGATCTGGGCTCTCTTGATCTGCATCCGGGGATGCGCGGGAGGCAACACATATGCTTTTCTGAGCCAAAGAGGGTGCATGTCTCATCACCTCCAATGATGGTCAAGGCGTATAGTGCGGGCCAACATGCAATCATGATAGTTGGAGAACGCTCCGTCCAGCTTATCAGAGCTCTGCCTCAGATCATCGCCTTGGACGTCAGCTTGTGACCGGTCACCTGTTGGCGTACACCAGTGCACACCCGTATATCGAGGATACGCTCTCTATCGTGGTGACACTGACACCCTGTCGGGGTCCTAGCGCGCAACCATTCGTAACTCTGAAAATGAAAAGCGTTGATGGAACGGGTGCCACAATGTCGATCCTGCCCGGATTAGGTTCGTTCGGTTGACACGGCGACATGATTAAATGTGCGAATGTGCTGGAAGCGATGCACGAAGCCACGGATACGCTCTCAAGCCCAGAGGCATGGAACATGGAGGCAGTCGAGTAAAGAGGGGGGATGCTGACAGGTGCACGCTGCTGCTCCGATCTCCAAGCCGGCGGATGGAGGAGTTAGCGAACGGACGCCGTCCCCTCGGAATCAGCCCCGGCTTCTCTGCGACTCAGAAGAAAGCCTGAGCTTGTCAGATAACGGAAGGACAGCGAGCTTGCGAGCGTGTTCCTAGACGAAGAAGCTTTTTCGATTCCTCGCTTGAGGAAGGCAGCCCGAGAGCTGCTAATCCCACCGACGCCTTCGAACGCTGCCGTGCGTTCTTCAGCTTCTCGTCGCCACAGCGGCCGCCAGAATGGCCGTCGTGGCACCGCACGTTTTGCGTTCTACCATTCCTGTAGGACATCCAATCGGCATCAGCGTGACCAAGGAATGGACTCCTCAGGACGGCTTGACGTGAGTCTGGCTACGGCGCAGGTCGGTTTCCCTGACCGGGTGCTGTCCGGAATTGCCAGCGTTCACAGCCAACAGTCGATGCGTCGTCGCATACGTCTCAGGGAATCGGTCCCCTTCGGTGATGAGAGATGGTGCTGATATGGTTCACGTACTCTCAGTAAGACGGAGAGGCGCAACAAAGCTTAACGGCGTCACGCATCTTGTAGGGCCACAGCCCGTATCATGATATGCAACCAGAAGTGCTCACGTATGTTACGAAAAGCCGTTGCATGGCGGCCGCTTTCCCAGCAGTCTGGGGTCTCTTCACGCACGATATCTGTCATCATGTTATTTCTGGTAAAATGCAATCCTCGCTGTTAAGGCGTTCCCTTGACCTAGTAGCGGTGGTTGAGCCACATTTCTGACACAAAGCTACGCAAGCCTGGGAATTCGCATCTCAGGTGCATGTATGGTGCACAGATAAGACGGAGTTGCAAGTGTGGACAAGCAGAATACTCACATCAAATATGGGGTAAGCGCACGATGACTGGCGTTCAGTATTCGCGCAAGACATCATCGCAGCAAACGCGACACTGACGGAACCACAAGGTATCCCACAAATTGTCAAGGATAAGGATGAAGTTACAAGACTGAATAAGGGAGATTACGTTGACATGCGATATCAGTCGTAGACAAGGGTACACACCATCCACAGAGCATCTCCTCCGCCGAGTATCTGTTCCTGAGAGAAATTGACACGTCAGTGGTCATGACAATCGATACCTACAACGACGAATGGGGTTGAAAACGACATGCACAAGTACTATGAATGAGAAAGTGTTGGCAGCTCGTCGAGCATGTTAATGACAAGGTGGAAGGCATTCAGGTCATGTCAGCCCAATGCGCGTTTCTACAACCGCGCCCCCTTTCAGCAAGATTGCTGTACGGCAAAAGCAATGGGTGAGTCTCCAAGACCAGACACGGCTGACGACCGAGCCTGTCCACCAAATTACCAGAATTGGCTCACTCGCGTGTTGCCTTCGATTCGTTGGGGGCCATTGACCATACCGATCAGGTGGCAGGCGTAAGCTCAGATTGAAGAACGTCTGTAGCGATACAGGTGAGATCTCGACCATCCCTCAGCCATACGCCAAGCGTCAGATGTTACGTTTATTTTGTTCCGCCGACGTTGGCTTCAACGGCGGAGAGCGGCGTTGGAAGGATTTTCCTGACGCTGCGCATCATCCCGAGCGTAACGCGACTGATGATAACTCGTTACCACGCTTCCTTACCAATACGCCGCACAGCCAGGTGCATAGCAAAGTCGAGTTCATGGTAGTATAATCTGAGACGAGGTGGTACACAGGAGATGTATGTCAGAAATAGCCTGACGCTGAGACAATTGGTTTCGAACATGCCTGATCACTAACCCTGAGACAAATGCGGCAGAGATCCGACGCATGCCTCCGTTGAAGAGCGGACGTCTGGGTTTTGTATATGGCCACGCACATACAGGGTCGCCTCTCCGATACATCGGGAATAGTCTACAAGCACAGAGACGTGCAAGAGAGCCTCGGAATGAGTGGCACCCCGGGAAGTTCAGCATTATGCTGGTGGCCTCACCTGCAAGGTTCCTGAGCGTCATCCAATGTCCATCCACAAGGTTGCTCCTGAAAACGACGCATACCGTGCCATGGTGGCGAAAAGTCCATTGATGGCTGCGAAACCGTCTGACTACTTCTGACCGTACCCTTCGGCCGTCAAAATGATCTGATGCTTTCGAAGGGGACCGTCAGCTGTCAGGCATGCCTGCCATCCCTTGATATGTGAATCCGGGTTAACGCATCTGAATTCCGACGGTAAAAATCCATGGAACACGACGGTATCGTTTGGGATCAAGAAGCCGATGGTGCCGGAGCGAACGACAGATGCCGTTGAGGAAGCCTCGCCATAATATAAACTCACAAACAAACTTCTATTCGCAAGATTGGGTTCCCTGGTCGAGCGCGAAGATTCATAGAATATCTGCAAGGTTCATGTTTAGGCAAGAATAGTGGTGCAAGAAGGATGAGCGCCAAGACTTCGTACGAAGGAATCGTGTCTTTACATACTACACGGCACGTGCGCGATAAATGTCTTCTTCATTATGTTACAGCGCGGGGCTGCCCTCATCAACAGTCCGGCCATAGTTCCGTAGTTTTGTGTTTGTGGGTCGTCTCAAGCGGGAAAAGCGGGAAAAGCGGCTGCACCATTTGCAAATCACTTGAATGACAGTGAGGACTTTGGAGTATGTGTCGCCTTGTGTACTTCAACAGCTTTGGGTGAGCGGTCGGCCGAAACCAGTCTGGACTGTAGGCGACGTTTGTCAGCATTGACGTGTTTCGACTTACTGTGCGAGCGAGGGTAGGAGCTAGACTCTTTGAGTCTACGACGTCTCACAAGGCAGCGGTGGCACAACTCTTGACCACAGACAAGCTTGAGCCTCAAGCTCTCATAATACCATGACCTGGGTCCTGGAAGTAGTGGATCAAAGCTCGCCGAACATGGCACCTTAGGCTGCCGCACGTGAACATAGGCCAGGAGCTATGAGGTAATTTGCATTCGATCAAGACGACGAAGCCGGGCGAAAGTAAGTCACGCACTTCGGTGGTCGCTGCGCAACTGTTGGATAATATGACTGCTAATACTTGCAGTACGAGCAATCAGACGAATCCAAGCGACCCCGAGTCGGAACATCTGGTGAGCAGAAATGAACGTATGTGAGATAGTTGAGCAACGAACGCGGCTCGAGGATATCGGAGAGAGAATCAAATTGGCTTACATGGTGCCCGAGCGAATGTCAGCAAGGCTCGGCGGTCGCGAAATTCCTGTCGGAAAGACATGACATGACTGCCCGAATCATTGTGAGAAGGTTACTGCCAAACTGAGCAAGGATGTCATGACATCGAGTCAGTTCTCGCTGGAAGTGAGCTCTCACCTTACTCGGCGTACAGCGTACACACAGACTGTCCCTAGTCTGTGCACTATTTGTTATGGGATGTGCTCAGTATGACATCGAATTGCAATAGGTGAAAGACACGCACAGCTGGGAAGGTTGGGCTAGCTGCCGCTTGTTCGAGGATTGTCGGAGTAGTATCGTGCCATCCCATGCAAAAAGGGAGGATCGTTTCGGTGGCACAGACCAAACCGCCGAGGTCGGACGCTGACATCCCACCACCCTGCTCTCGCGTTTCCAACTCGTCGACACGTCCCGAAACACCGCCAACGCAAGCGAACGTATCTTGGGCCCGGAGCGCTTCATCTCTCCGTGACCCTCGCCCCCGGATGCCCGATGCCTGAGACTAGAGGCGTGTCGCAGCCGAGACTTGAGAGTGCGCTCAGCACCCGCCTGGAACCATTTTCATGAAGTACAGTTAGCGACCGTGCTGCGTCGGAACGCCACGGCGAGGTCAAACCGCCGCCAGCCCTCTGCCATTCCGCCTGTTAAGACGGGAACTCTCATGAATGCCGAGCGCCATGTTAGCGCCTTCATATCGAAATCGGTGGCGACGGTTGGGTGGTGGCTTGACTTGAAACTTCATTCAGGTAGTGCGTCCGATTGCAGGCGTAAGTGATGGTACAGCTACGAAGTGAATAATGACGCACCAGCTCGACGCCTCGAACTCGTTTGCATCCACTACGCCGCGCTTGCCACTACCCCATGACGGCCACTGCGCTCTGGATGGTGCGCCTGTCACGTCGAGATGCAGGGAAGAGAATCACCAATCGGACCGCTGAGACCTGGCAAGGAGTAGGGGTGGCGAGACCAGGTCGCAAAGGGACTGAAAGTGCGATTCGGACCGACGGCCAAATGCTAGAACTGCAAATCAGTTTGTCCTGTCAAGTTCTACTAAACGCCGTAGACCACTTCCGAGCGCGGTGGGGGAATATCGGCGCGTACTCATCGGCTCCAGCTTTGAACGATGGACCACATCGAGACTGCCGGCGTTGGCAGTGCGCAGGGTCTGCGCATTTCGACATAGAGCGAGATGATGGCACGCTCCAGAGCGCAAGTCACTGCGAAACCTCCTCCCGCGCGTCAGCGTGACAGGAAAGCCTATGCCAGTGCACGTCTGGGCGCTGAAACTAAGCTCCGACATCAGGGCGTCTAGGAGCTAGAATATCGCGGAAATGGTAACCAAGAACGAGGTGCGAAAGACGTCCGGGTCATGGAGGGACTGCGCAGATATTTTGGTAGAGGAGATATGAAGTTGGAGAGATGATAACCATGAATCTGAGTGTGCACACTTCCCTCAGCCTTTCGTCGCCCTATCATTCTGTAAGATAAACCCAAGCCACGCGTGAGCTACCGTGGCCAAAGAGCCCATCAGTCCGGTTAGGCCGTGCCTGGACAGCTCAAATCTGAATGCTCCAAGATTAGCTATCGCTCTGAGAGAGACGGGTTCAAGCTCAGACACGCACCGGGTCGGAAGCGACAGTGATCGGAACCTGGACATGCAGACGATCCGGACATTGACTCGGCATCGTGTTCGATGCAAAGCCAATATGACAGGGTGGAGCAACAGCACGAAGAGTTTACGGTAGGAAAAACGTGGATCGATGTAGCGGGCGCAGAGTCCTCCCAAAGTAAACCAGTATTCCTGGTAGAGCGTTGTGAGGCAGACGCGTGTATCCGAGGCACAGCGAGGATGAGGCAATTTGTGCAGGTGAGCATGTATCGCCTTCATTGAGCCTGGGAACGCCCGAGGTAGCTCTTAACGTCATAAGGAAGAATTCCCGGTTTCATGGGCGATCGCTGTAGATGGTAAAACAGCGCTGAACAATGAGGAACCCAACATCGTGTGTCGCACATCGGGCTTGCGCCGTGCGCGAGGCTAGAACTCGAAGGCTCGTTGAAGCGGAGCATTAGGAAGGAGTGTTATGAATGTCCGCGGCCAGCATGTGCTGTGAATATTTTGAGGCAAGGTTGATTGCTATTGGAGGGCGAGCGCATACCTACGAGGCGATCGGAGGATGACATGATCCTGTCTGCACCTAGAGCATCATCCTGTTGCTTGTCAAAGCGCTCGCAACCATATGCGGTTGTCGACGCCGTAGGCGAATGTTCCTACGAACGTCGGTATCAAGACATGGTTGCGGGACGACGTCACAAGATGTCGACGGCCCTGTAGAGCAAGCATCCCGAGGGGTTGTTTGAGCGGTACCTCTCGTCTGTTTGGCGGTGCTGCGCAATTAGGACAATCCCTTTAGGATTGTTTCCGGCAGCTGAGCCCCTGGAACATTCGGTTGCGCGCCGTCCGTCCGTCGGATTCTTCGGTGAATGCGAAGATGTGTGCACGATCTTCCCTATATGAATCGTGGGGGCAAGAATAGCGGCTCAGCGGCCCATATGACATGTTATTTTCCCCGCCCTATAAACGTGTTGTACTTACCGCCACGCAAAGCACCAGCGGCGATGCCGTACTATGTGATTGTTTTGAGAGTCAGTCCGATACTTAGCGGATCAGTGTGCTTGGTGGGAGGAGGGTGACCTGTGGCCAGCTTCAGGTGACTGTCAATGGTGGACTTTCTTCCAAAAGTCATCCCCAAAGGTGCTTCAGATCGCCAAAAGGATTTAGGTGCGCAGGATACGCGCGAGGTGGCGGATGCCTGGGCGCAAGGGGAGCAGGTTGTCCCTGCAAACGCCTCGCTGCAGAAACGTATATCAGCACTAGTGGCTATGGTGATCGGTTGAGACGAGGGACGATATGTAACGGCCGGCGGAGGGGTGCTGGGCGGCGTGACGACTTATCCGTGCACGTCGGAGATTTCGGAGCTGGACGAGCAGGTCGAAGATGCGGCAGGGCGAAGTGGTTTATTGACAAGTAGAATGCCTGTAGAGACGTGAATGGCTGTCGCAGCGCTGCCGGAGCTGCTGTAGAAGACGCAAAGAGACGGGGAAGAGGAGAAATGTATGACCGGCCACGACGGAAGAGGTATAAACATCAGATCAGGGCGCGGGTCCGCTCCGTCTTGCGCAAACACGGCGTTCCTCGCGCTTTTCTATAGTCCGCCTCCATTTTCCGAAAGATAACGACGCTGGCGGTGGCTTATAAGGCTCGTGGGCATCTGTCCTACCTCGCGTCCCCAGCTTGCATACAGGAACCGCTCCCGCCGGGTACTTGGCTGCTGTCACTGTCGCTGGTAAGCTCTTGCCAAATATGACCGCGGCCCGTCAGTCTATACTAAACCCATTTTCCCGATTCTTCCGGGCATCATCACTGCCCACAGTTTAAGGAGGAGTTATAATCCCCTCGCTCTCCACCCTTTCTCCTCCTCGCCCGCCGCCGCGTCCGCCATGTCCTCAACCCGTCGCGACACCGACGAGACCCGTCCACTCCTCCACAATGGCGACACCCGGCCCGAGTCCTACCATTCCGCAGATTCCGACGACACCCAACCACCAGAGCCAGTCGATGCATCCGCGGAAAGCAAGGTCTCTCGGGCTGACCTCTTCTGGGTCCTAGCTGGCTTGTGGAGTGCGGTCTTTCTGGGGGCTCTGGACGGTACGTGTGCCTTCGCTTACCGCTTCGCATACCGTGCTCACGCCTCTCGCGCGTGCCACAGGTACGATTGTAGCCACGCTGCTATCACCCATTGGAAGCTACTTCAACGAGTCGAATCGTTCATCTTACATCGGCACATCCTATCTACTATCAGTATGTTGTTTTACACCTCTATATGGTGCGGCCTTTGTCCCTCGGCAGTTGTCCCGGATCCATAACCATGGCGTGCATTGCAGGTCGACTGTCCGACATCTTGGGCCGTAAGGGTGCTATGCTTCTCGCGCTCTCCTTCTTTGGTATGTCATAGCGTCTACCGGCTGTCAATCCGCGTGTCCGACCTGAGCTCGCGTAGGTTCTGGCACACTACTATGTGGTCTCGCGCCCTCGATGGACGCACTCATTGCTGCTCGCGCACTAGCTGGTATGGGTGGAGGCGGGTGAGTTCCCATCGCGGCCTAGCGCACAAGAATCAGAATGCTAATGTGTTCTGCCCGCTGGTCTGTGTCTCAGAGTGATGACAGGTGAGCGGAGAACAGGCGGGGCCGTGACGTCATGGCGCAAGCTCACATCGCTCGCTGTGCAGTCTCCAGTGTCGCTGTAACGGATCTAATTCCCCTGTACGTCCCTTGCCCGATGTCGTCGGGTTTCGCCTACTCACACCGGCCTTTGTCTCTTCCAGCCGTCAGCGCGGTTTATACCAGGGCATGACTAATATGTACGTGGCTATTCCTGCTCGAGGGACGATGCCACAGTCGTTCATCGTGACATGGCAGTTTGTTCGGCTTGGGAGCCGGTCTGGGAGGCCCTCTTGGAGGATGGATGAACGACGCCCTCGGATGGTAAGTCCCATGCGCCGTTCTCACCGCCCACGAGCTTCCTGACTCATTTGTCACATTCTGATACTCGAATCTGCCATCTGTCGTTCTCAGGCGGTCCGCGTTCCTCCTTCAGGTGAGCTGCAATCGCACCCTCACGGCGCTCGCATGTAACTAATCCCGCAATACGATCACTCCGTATCGATTGCCACAAAACTCTATCGCCTTCAACACCTGACGTGCTCACTTGCATCCGAAATGAACACTTTATGATGCAAACACGATGAAGATGCCCATCCTGGTGTTCTCGTTTATTCTGGTCGCCGTGAAAGTTTCCATCCGCCTTCCGGACGAAGTGGAGAATCAGCCCCTGCATGTCAAACTACGACGTATCGATGTACTTGGCTCGTTCACGTTGGTCGGCATGGTCGGCTGCTTGCTTCTCGGCCTGTCGCTGAAGTCGACCGAGGAACTTCCTTGGGCGCATCCTCTAATCTGGGGACTGCTGCTTGCGAGCGTCGTATTCTGTGTCCTGTTCATCTGGGTTGAGACATCGTTTGCGCCTTTCCCGGTTATGCCCATGCGCCTGATCAGACAACGGACACCTTTGTTCGTGTCGCTCTCAAATTTCTTTGGTAGCGTCGCTGCTTTCTCGATGGTAGGTCTCTCGCGTCTTGCTCGTGTGAGCATCTGTCTGATAGCAGCATGTCATAGATTTATAACGTTCCATTAGTGAGTGCATTTGCGTGCTCGAGCGCCAACTCGACCTGACCTGCCCTGATCTAGTATTTCTCGGCTGTTAGACTTAGCTCATCCACAGATTCTGGTGCGTAACCTGCTTCGTTCTGATTCGTTGTGTACTCACTTCACGTTAAGGACTACACTTATTGCCTCATTCTGTGCGTCGCTAAGAGCACATACCTCACATGGTGTCACTCAGTCTCATGTCTAACAGATTGCCATCTCCACCGGAAGTGTTTTCGCCGGATGGTGAGCGAGACTCATACCATTCTGACCGCAGTCTTCTGACATATCTGTCATGTTTTCTTTCAGGGTGATGCGTCGGACCGGCAGACTGTATAACCTTACCTTATTCTCGTGTCTCCTGACTGTATTCGCCGCAACGCTCTTGGCCATGTGGAACGAGAACTCAGCACCATACCACCTGTGGTTCGATATTGTTCCACAGGGATTTGGGATGGCCAGTGTCATCACCACCACACTCATCGTACGTCCTCTCCCGCCTCCCGCGCTCCGCGTCGAACCCGCATCGGAGCCGTCTAACATGCATGCCTGTCAGGCGATGATCGCGAGCGTCACGCGAGAGGACCTCGCTGTGGCCACTGGCAGTACGTAGCTTCTACTTCGCTTGCCATGCTTCTCGTGCGATGTGACCAACCCGACGCGCAGTCACATATCTATTCCGGACGACCGGGCAGGTCATCGGTGTCAGCCTGAGCGGTGCCCTTCTGCAGTATGTGTTGACGGCGAAACTTCGTCAACGGATACAAGGGCCCGACGCGGCTTCGGTACGTCACACCATATGCCCGTGTCCTTTAGAATCATCCACTCACCATTGCACTCGTGCCGGTGCCGTAACCACAGATCATCGAGGACATTCGGTGAGTCTCGGCTGTCTTCATTCCCGAGGGGCGGAGGGCACTCTCACTGACACGGACCTCCGATCGGGCGACCCTTTTCGACAGACACTCCACGACAATCATCCCGACATTAGAGCCGTCGTTGCGAAAAGCGGCCGTGGACTCGTACGCGGACGCCCTCCGCGTCGTCTTCATCTGCCAGGCCGTGATGAACCTCGTGTGCTTCCTGTGCTGCCTGCCAATCCAGGAGAACCCATTACCGTGCGTGTCCCGTCCTTCTCTTCGCCTCCACCCTCGTGCCCCTCGCCTCGCCTTGCCCTCACGGCATTCCCCAGCCGTTGGACTCAGGGCTCTATCAGATGGTGCGAATCAGTGCTGACTCTTGCTCCTTTCGTTTGGCCACTGCTCGCTCCCGCTTTGTGCTGCGATACCACAACGTAACAGGGGTACCCATCAAGAGCAGGAAGAGGCGTGGAAGCGGAGGGACACTATGTCCCGGACGAACTCGGAAGACTCAGCATGATGTATACCACACTTGCGACACCTTGTTGTAAAATAGCTAGAGGAAGGCGTGGGCACCAGCTGGGGCTGGGGGCATCAACGAGTTGGTGAAACATTGAAACATGTTGTGTGTTTTGCTGCGAGCAGAGATCGCAGCGAAAGTTTTTTTTTTGGCCTCCTCCGCTCCAAGACACGTTAGCTGAGACTGATAGGGTGTGTTAGAAGATAGTGAGCGCGCAGGACCGACTCGCAGGGGATGCGTATGACGCTTTGAGCATGCCAGGCAACCTTCAGATCCTGCTGCTTCACATGGCCCGACTTCTGATTCGAGTCCATAGGCAATTATGGGTGGGTTTATGGTGGCACATTAGATTGGGGAGCCTTCGGGACTGGTCTCGTCTCCTCTATCCATCTCCTCGGCTTCTTTTCAACGACGGTAACGCTTCTCCTTCCGCTCAACCCCTCCATGCCCCTTGTCTCTCCATCTGCATAGCGACCGCGGTTCGCAGGACAGGGAAGGAAGGCCGACGCGGATACAGTGATGACGGACGCGAGGAACGTAAAGCCGAAGAGGGAGGAGATGAACGTCCGGCGCTGGCGGTTGTTGAGCTGGAGCACGCGCGATACCGAGGACGACATTCTCTCTGTGGTGGTCGTTGTGCTGGTGTGGAGTGCTATCCGACCAGAGGAGGCGAAGGCGAGGGAGGGGTCCGCCCGGAGGAGCCAGCCAAGCTGCAAGTCAGTCTCCTGCTACGCCTCGTCGAGGGAAGTCACGCACGTTCAATGTTCCATGTCCTCTGCGGGGCTGGTAGTGGCTTGGACGCCGCGAGGCGTGGGGTGCAAGGGCAGAGGTGGTAGGTGGACGCTGAAGAGGACGAGTATTGGGAGTCGCGGTCGAGCTGGACAGGATCGGGGCCGTCCTGATTGGCCAGGCAAATTCCGCGCCCGGAGAGGCGTCGAGGTCTCTAGACGCCCGCTATCTCCCCCATAGCGCCCACCTCTGCGTCCGTCTCGTCATCTCCATCTACGGCTACTCACCTCCTCTCCTCACCCGGCTCCTCGCGATTCTCCTAGAAGAGGAAGGATAAAATGCCAACTGCACGCGTTCTGCGGGACATCAAGGCGCGCCATGGCGTGAACGCCAACGAGATCCTCCGTCGCGCGTACCTCTACGTTGCCCGCAACCAGACTCTCCCGCCGCAGGTCCGGTTCCAGGCGCAGCTTCAGCTGAATACCTTCGGACGGTATACGAGGCCGACGACGGTCAAGAACAGGTGTACGGCGACAGGCAAAGGTCGGGGTATCATCAGCGAGTTCGGCCTGTCGCGGGTATGTCTTGCCTGTAAGTAAGCGTATGAATAGAGACTGACGCTGCAATCGCGCTACAGTACCAGTTCCGGTTAAAGGCCCTGGCGAACGAGTTGCCTGGTGTCCACAAAGCCTCATGGTAGAGAGGTTGGGTAATGGGTATATCGTAACAGGCCAGTCAGTATCCTGGCATAATTGCATCCGAAGTCTTCGCTCATATGACCATTTCTCAGACAGCATGTTTGATGCTCTAATGCACCAGAATCCGACCCGTTCTCCCATTTCCCTCAGACACTCAGATAGCATTGAGCCAGCGGACTATCTACAAGATACAAAGCCGAGCAGCCCCGAAAGCAAGCGAAAACTAGTGATGAGAGAGCCGGAGAGAAACATAGTACAGCAGCTCAGGGAGGAGACAGAGGACAAAAAAAGAACACAACTAATAGAACGCGACCTCAGCGAATGTCTATGCGTTCGCCTGAGACCCGTCCGCGTATAAATATGGTACAGGATTTTGCCTTGCCACAGACCGTGGGTTAACAGCGCGATAGTTCGTATCCGCATCTAAGCCAAACGTTATGTCAGTCACGTACTTCTTGCTAGCGCTACACTTGGTTTGGTGGCTCCGTCGAGTATTCTCCGACATGCAGTTCGGGATCGCCTCGCTCGCGTCGCCATTTATTCGTGATGTTCAGTGTCGCTGGGTCGACGAGGAATCTGCGGGATAGGTGTAAGATACCGCAATTCACGCGCAGAGGAGCAAGAGGCATACTTGTAGCGTTGCAGCCATGTATCCGATATCTCCCAGTTCTGATGAGCCAGAACGTCGTCTCCATGGATCGTAACAGCGAGACGATAGTCATGCAAGCAATCAACAAGGTTAAACCGCTCTGGAAGGGGTGGTTGTGAGCAACGACAAGGGTGGGAAGGCGCTGTTTCGGGATGGCACGGCGTGAGTTGACAAATTCCGGTGGTGGGACTTACCTCGGAGCAAAATCATACGATCGCGAAGCTCGGGGTGCAGTACCCCGTCAATTACGCTCTCTGTGGTGTCACCGGGCGGCCAAATAAGCATTTGACAAACGTGCTTCTAGCGTAGTTCTCACCGTGTGGGATCGTCCTAGAAGGCCATGTCGAGCGGTAAGAATCACAAGCAAATTACAACTAGTTCGATGACATGATATTGAATCACCTCTGAACCAGTGTTGGTCGGAGCGACGACGGAAGACAGTAATTGTTATTGCGTTTCCAGTTGTCCAGATGGTAGCTGTAAAATGAGATGCCGAATCATCAGCGTCAAGTGACAATATAAATCGTCTCCGGCGTCGCGCACTGGATGAGCTTATAAGCGTCCAACTTCTTGGGGTCTATTTCTTCATCATCATTCTGCCCTTGCCGTGGAGACGGTTGAGCAGCCGACGACGTCCTGGAGGGTGCCGTCATCGATGCCATACTACTGTTGTTGACAGCGGACATCGTCGACATTGGGTCGTTGGACATCGACAAACCATAGCTGGACTGGAAGGACATTGACATTCCCCCACTAGGCGGAGAGCCGTACTGGCCGGAATGGTTGACGGGCGAAGAAGAGGGTGGTACGAACATCGGAGAAGCATTTGAAGGACCGCGCCCATAGTCGGTGGTATAGAGACCATTGGGACCCATGGATGACGCAGCAGGATTGAGGGGGACGAGGAGGGGGAAATTGTCACTGGATCGCGAGGCGTCACCATTGGTGTCAGGACGGGCCCTCTTGGGTCGCAGACCATACGGATCGCTATCGTCCGCTGGACGTTTTCCAGCCCCTGAACCAGAAGGCCCCGCGGTGGTTTCAGACTTGTCCCGCTTATGACGTTGGTAGCTCTCCCAAGCAGTGTCCGTCTCGGCCTTGTTGATGAGATCGTTATACTCGGCGAGCTCCCAGCCGACTTTGGCGAGGATGCCGCCTGTGCCCTCGCCGATGAACGAGCTGAGGCTTTTGAGGAGACCACGTAACACCTGATTCTCATGCATGAGGTCTCGGGTTACGACCGTTAATGTCGGTGGCCCCTCGTTCCATAGCACAACTGACTCGTACCTTTTAGCACCTTCCTCAGCTGCGACAGAGCCTCATCCTTCCCACCCGAGAGTATCTCAACACTGGCCTCGAGATCACGTATCTGCGCAGCCGTATGTAAGCAACAATACGTTCTTCGAGATACTAAAACAAAACGAGGGGAGACTCACGCGCTGTTGTTTACGCAGGCGAAACTCCCTTTGGGCTATACGATTCTGATCACGCCTTGCTGCCTGCGAGCTGGACAGCAAGGCACGCGGACCGTGAGCGTGTCAGCATGCTGAGGAAAAACAGATGATCGTACTTTGGGTTTTTCTTCCTTCCGGGCTTTCCGACGGCAGGAGTCGACGCGCTGTTGTCGTTCGTGTCGGCCGGGGATGGCGCTTCGTCAGTCTACGCCCATATACGCACCCACTTGATCAGCCCGCCGCTACATCGTCCGTGTACTCTCCCACACGCACCTCAATGTCCTGGGAGACGCTGCGGTCGCGTTCGTCAGGCATGGAAAAAGCAGCACAGATGTAATACGCGTGACAAAGCTCTGCGGGACGAACTGGGGCCGATGAGCCGGGGCGAGGGCGGGGTGCGAGGCGGGGAGAGCAGAGGGGATGTTGAAGCCGCTGCTTTCTAACACTCTGCCGCCGACGCGCACGGTCTCGGCGTCGCACATGCCGGTATTCCGTACTATAAGCGCGCGCACGTGCCCGCATCAGGCCGACGACCGCACAGTCACGGCCGCCGACAAGTCAGCCCAGCGTCGACGTCCACCGCCCGTCCGAGCCTCGCGTATCACCTACTTTACTCCATACATTGTTCCAACATGTCCTCGAACCTCCACCGTCTGTCTTCAGCTCCTTTGGTCGGGCATATGGCAAGGTAGCATCTCGTTAACACTCTTGCTCGTCCGACCTCGACTTCTCTAGCGCAAATTCACCCCCGATGGCCGCCAGATCGCCATTCTATTCCCGCGGTCATGTCGAGTTCTTTTTGACAATGTCTGTACCCAGGTGCTTTGTTCTAGCTCGGTCCTGAACTCCCCTCTATCTTCCTCGGCCCATCCGCTCATTCTCTCTCAAACCCTCTTGAGCGATGCGCTGGCCATCATTACGTCGTCCTGAGCTTTGCTGGACGCGGCGGCGCGCCTCGAGCATGCTGCGCTGCTCATTTCCGCCGACCTGGTTGGCTATCCATTCAATGCGAGTCCCGGTCGTCGCGTGCGACGAACATGAGGTTCCCATGCCCTGTCCACTGGCTCGCTTCTGCTGCTTCTACTTCATGTTATCTCCGAACCTCAACTCTCGCTTATCCCGGGTTCGGCGAACATCTGCCACATAGCGGAATACTAGGATCGTGACATGTCGTCAGGGTTCAGAGGACGACCGGTGAATGTGGCACAAGCGATGTCAATAGCAGCAGCCCATGTCGCTGGAACGAGCCACACCTCACGCACATGCCCGCACGTATGGAGGAATGTTTTTACTAAGAGCACACAACAGTCTGCGATACCGTAATCAAGTCTTCGCACGTTTCTCAGGTGTTTACGTCCGCATTTGCAATCCCTCTTCATTGGTCTCGGGAGAAGGAAAGAAAACGAGCTCCGGCCGGTCGGTATTCAGCACCCACATACCCTGGTTCTCTTTCCAATTCCTTGAGCGATGTGCATCGACCGGGAACTTGGCTGGCGTCAGAACCACCTCGCCGACTCTTGCTGCGTCGCTTTCGGCTTGAAGAGCTGTCACTGTGTTGCAGATGAATGTCTCTGATGAAAGGTACGTGCTGAAGCGTTGCTTGTCAGCTATTCAACGTGATGGTTGTCTCGTGAGTTTTCATGAGATCCCTAGTAATTCATGTGGGCATCAAGGCTCTCCTTTATTGCAGCTACACACGAAAGCGTGAATCATCTGGTCGAATATTCGTGCAAAGCCACCGTTTCTCTGCCATTTTGAGCTGCGTGTCCGCTCCCGGTGGGGTTTAGTCGCGAACGGCAGAGACCGGCAGACAGCGAAACTTCCAGCCGGTTGACCGCAGGAAAATGAATTCGAAGGTCATTTTATTGATTATATGCGGTACCACGATTGCTTCGTACTACGCCCACACACATCACACAGCGTGTTTCTCTGACGGTAACTTCCTCGTCATCCAAGCGACAAAGATGAACTCTTCTTGACTTCTGATGCTTCCTTTCGGATTTCCATGTATATATACTTTTCCAGCCTCCTCTCGCATTATGTACGTGGGCGCCATGGGAGGGTAATGCGGCGTCTGACCTAGGTCGCTCCTGCCGTCTTCATGCGGGGCACCCGTGTGGTCTCCGAAGACCATGCGGATCTCATATTGTTGCCCGGGTGCTTCGCGAAGAAGGCTCGCTGAGACCGGGGGCGATGCACATGGGAAGCCATGCCGGGTGCCCAGGCGATTTCTGGGCAACCCCAACGCTCGATCACGCGCGATCCATGGCGGCAGAGCGCTGTCGGACGCGTCTGGAAATTGGAGGGGCAGGTGCAGACGAAACCGACAATGTGGCATGGGTCGGTGTGTGTAAGTATGATGGCGTCGGGGCCTTATCGATGTTGCTAACGTGCTCGCGATGGCGGACTGGAAATGGATAATCGCTTTCCATACGTGTTCGTTGATGCAATTGCGCTCATATCGGATAGAATGGAGAGGACGACAGGAGAAATGCCCTGGACTGAGGCCCCGGCGAATAGAGACGATCCCTGGGAGGAGTTTGCGGGCCATGGCAGTGGTGGCAGCGCTCCTTCCTGCCGACCCTGGACTTCTCGCTGTGTGTCCGGCGAGGAGCCGTATCGGTGGCAGTATGCACCGTCCAAACCCTCACGCCCTACGCTCACTTCCGACCACCGACGTCATATCGTATGTCAGGCGTGCAGCTGGCAGCTGCTAACTCGCAGGAGTCGGATCTCGGGAACGGCCTGGGGCTGTCGGGCATCTCCTGCTACGCTCGGTAATCCACCACGCGATTTAAACTCTCTGCGCAAGGGCCGTGTGGCATTGCAGTTGCAACTTAGTTAGGCTGATAGGGCTAATCAGATCGACAGCGATCGTCCGGCCAGATGGCCACAGTGTCCTGGCTGAAAGATAGATACATCGCGAGGCCAGCCCGCGACCGGAGCTGCCGGTCTGTGACGTCCAACTGGACGGGGAGGAGCCCATGACTGGACAGGCAACGGATTCCGGAACGCGGCAGCTGGTCGTGCACCTCCGCTCCAGGAGACATAAAGCAAAGCAACTAGACCCTGTCCCCCATTCCGGACGGGCCCCCACCTCGGTCTTTCCTCTTCCCCCCGTGCTGTCGACGCCGCCGCCACTCCGCTTGTTCCTTCTACCTTTGCGCCCCGCCGTCGATCGTCGCCATGTCCACCGCCGATCTCGTCCTTAACTTTCAGCTCTCTAGCAACCCGAACGCCGACCCGCGTACTCTGCAGGTAGTACAAGTTGTCGATGAATCGCAGAACACGACAGCGCTATACAAGGTTGGTCTACTCACCGTTTCTGACGGCTATTCGCTACCGACGACGCTTACCTACGCTCTCCTAGTTTCACCATCCTAACACGGGTCTAACCACTGGCGTTACGTCGATACAAAGAATAAACGTCGAGACGCAAGTGTGGGAGAATGCGGGACAGATAGAATGGACTTCCAACACCAGCGGGGCAGTATATTTCGGCGTCGAGAGGGTACAGTAGTACTGCTGCTATCCGGCTGGAACTTCGGCTGAACTTCTCGTCCGCCAGGTCTCAATACGCGAACTGCGAAAACCGAAGAAATCGTCCAGCAAGTGAGTGAAAAACCTCCCCTCCGAGGTAAAGCCCTGCGCACTCACCCAATACAATCCGGCATCGTGCCGACGCGCTGCTGCCTCGCCCCACCCGTGTGCATGCGTCGCAGGTCACGCAGGTTCAAGGTGAACAACGCCGAATACAAGTGGAAGCTCGCCGAGAACGGTACGGACATGATTGTGAGTCGGCATCGCGTCACGTCCAGCGGTGGCCCCTGCGCCCCCTTTCACCCCCTGGCCGCGCCCGGATCTCTTCGTTAACCTCCGGCCGTCTTCTAGTGCGTCAGCGACAACCTGGGCAATCGCGGGAAGCAGATCGCGCTGTGGACGCAGGACACGCTCACCCTGCGCGTCGCGGAGCGTGCCGAGGGCTTCCTGGACCGGGTGGTTGTGACGTGCTTCCTTCACCTCTGGTTCAGGCGCTACAACATCTGGTAGCGTCAGTCGAGAGCCAGATTGGCAGCAGATCCCGGGCCCCGGACGCAGATCTTCTCCCCAGGGGAATCGCGGGGCCAGCTGATAGGGATCCCCAGCTGCTTTGTCCGTCCGTGACGTTGCTTCGGAGGTATCGCCGGCAGTGGGAAGGCGGAGGGAGGGGGAAGAGGGGGAGACGCTACATGCGGACTGATAGCGAATTGTGTTCGAGATTGGTCAGCTGCTCACAGTGCTGTTAGTCAATGCTTGCTTTGCTCGCGATGTTCTCTTATTGTTACCGCTTTCGTCGTAGTGCCTGACGTAGAGTACGCATGACCCGGTCTAATATTTTGTACGACACTCATGAGCTTCTGTACGTGAAGATTGGTTTCAAAAATTTCCAAGTGTAGGATGCGGGACGCCACCTGGTGTTGTCATCTAGCGCGCGTGCACGTCGTAAGTACAGTGGCCAGTCTAGCACGGTGACGGGACTGAGGCAGAATCTCAGAGCGACCTCCCTTCAGACGTTGATGGTGTCGGACCGGTTTTCCATGGCATTGACAGTCCGCGCAACATGGCCGCCGAACGCGTCCCAAGCAACGGAGGGGGACGTACCGGCACAAAGCACTTTGCAAGCCGCTCTCGCGTCACATGCGGGGAAGCGACGGAACTAGATGGATGTCATTGCCGTGATAGTATACATGTGAAGAGTCGGGGTGTTAACATTGCGCGACGGACGCGCGGAGTAGCACCCGTTGTATTCGGCATGCCGGAGCGAGGGGTGCCAATGCGATAGCAAACAACACCGACACGGGATGCTGATGATGACGTGTATGGGAGCGAGAAAAGTGTATCCGGAAGACCACCAAGCCCGAGGAGGACGAGAACAACAAGCAGGGAGATGCAGTGCGGCGGCGTGTCATGTCATCGCGCTTCGAACTGAACCACTGCAACGTTCGTCAGCGTCAAACAGCAGATGCAAGCGAGACACGGATACGCACTCCTTGTTGTTCTCTTCTTGTACATGATACGATGACCGCACTGCCTGCAACGGATGGGCTCGCGAGGCCGAATCTCGTTCGACGCGCCGCAGTCTCCAGGTAAAGAAGATGCGAGATGAACATCGTCAAGCGCAAATTTCCAAGCAGACCGCTCACTCACCTGCACACAAGTACGACATCTCCTGCCGCTGCTGGGGCATGAACGACTGCCCGGGATTACCGCCGTAGCCACCGTTGCCGTAGTTGTTGCCTTGCTGCGAGCTCATGTGGGAAGAGGTGGTGGCAAGACGCAAGACTGGTTGATGGGTAGCGAGGACGCTGGTACGTAAACGGCGTTTCTCCAAAAAAGGAAAGTGCTGTCTCTGTTCATTGCGAGCGTTCATGCTGACATCGTTACCCATGACAATCCTGTCATGTATTGTGCCTCTTTCCACCTACGATTATCCACTGAAATCTGTCTGAATGCAGTGACTGGACTTCTATGCCATCGCCCAGTAGCCAGCTGGTTTGTGTGAGCTTGTTTGGCTACACATGCATGGCTACACATGCATGGCTACACATGCATGACCAAACTTCGGTTCTGGCTCGAGCACGCGCCCGAAGACCATGGCAAGGCACCGAGGCGCGCCAGGAAGGCGCTGTATGAATTCGGGAAGCACATTCAGCTGCTGTGCCTTGCATCGGCGTGCCTCGCCACTTTATTGCTAGCATAGCAACGCTCGAATGTTATGCACATTCCAGCACATCCCTCGCGTTCTGCTGCTGCGCACATTGTACGTTACGGTCCCCTAATCGTTGCGAAGCCACTGCGGAGCGTTTGAGGCAAGCTATTACAAAGAAGACAAAACATGGGTACAGGTCAATAGAACAATCGTTGTGATGACCTTGCAATGTTGCGAGGCGTCTCTGACATGAACATTTATGAAAAACACCACGGCCAGGCTTCGCAGCTAGCATGTCGTATCTCTCGGATAGCTGTTGGGCCAGGTGTCATCTAAATGGACATCTCCACGATATCATTCGTGTCTCCCTGCCGCATCATGTCGGCGACGATGCATCTGTTCGGAATCGCGCGCGACGTGGCGGACACCGTTCGCTGCTACGCAATCAGCCAGTGGAGCCGGAACGGTTGGCGAAGAGCATTTTTGTGGCGGCAGATGGAGTAAGCAAGAAGTTTCCTGGAGAGCCCTCCTGAGTGCTCCCGGCGAGGTGGCGTCGTCACGACGAAATGGACGAAGCAAGGTACCGTACAATGCCTGCTCTCCCGGCCAAGCTAAGTACCGCGGCCCGCGTTCCGTTGTCATCGTATCGCTGTACTCGCATCCATCAGAATGTGCGTGGGCGGCCGACGCTGCGGAAGACAATAGGCTGTAGTGAGGGTGCCTGCAGTAGCTGACTCGTGCAGCCCAAACCAGGATGGCGCGACGGGACACGGCGCTTGGTACGGTGACGCGCAAGGCCGCCCGCCGTCGACGTCGCGCGGTGGGTGTTTGTCGAGACAAGATTAATAGCGGAGAAAGGTGTGAGGGGGATTGATCGTTGCGGGCCTCGGGGAGAGTCGAAGGGCGGGCGGTGGCAACTGGGATGTCGACGGATTGATGGTGCTGGGCGGAGGCGGTGTGAGGATCGATGTGTGCATCTGGTCGTCACTGGTCCATCTTGTATCTACGCCCGTATCCTCCGCGGTTCCATGACATCTCCTGTGTCTCCTCCTGCGCGATCATGGCAACCACTTTCTCTCGCCTCGTTTCCAAGGCGGCAGACCATTATAACATGCCCCTCGCCATCCGCCTATTGTTCAAGGTTGTCCCCAACCGGCTTCCTCTCCTTGTCTGAACGCTTGTCGCCTCTCCCTCTTGCCCTTCCTCCACCATGACCGCACTTCCTTCCTTCGTAGAGCTCATGGCCTCCCTTGGTCTCGGTGGCCCCGAGGACGCTCTTGAATCCACCAAGCTCTCCGTCCGCCATTCCCGTTCATCTTCTCATTCCTCGACCGCTTCCGCATTATCTGCCGCATCTTCAAGCAATGTAACATCAGCCACCAGCAATATTTATTCCCTTCAACAGCGTCAGCTTCAGCACAAGCAGTCTTCCCCTTCCATTGTCGTCTCCTCCCACGAGGGTTCACCGGAGAGAGACTTGCCCCAGGACTTCCGTCGCTCCCGGGCCACCACCAGATATTCACCGTATGGTTCAATCGTGAGTCCGCTCACATTACGCAAGGCTGGTACAGCAAATTCTTATGCAAAAACAGAGCCATTCGAGGAAGGCAAGCATGCCTATTCTCAACGCCGAACGGACACTTGAACGTCCCGCTCGAGTGAGTGCACTCGCTTTCTATTCATGCATGTTGCGTCCTTGTCTAATTAACTCACCCAGGCCCTCTCAACTTCTCCTCGCCTGTCGCCAATCAGCGCGTCCTTCCGTGGGCGCCGCTCGCGTCGACCAGATAACCTCAACCTCTCCGATGCCGACCTGATGGGCTATACCCCCATCTCTTCTTACTTGCGGCGGAAGACGCCGCAGAACTCTCCGACGTCACCGACCTTTGCGCGGGATCGTGGTACCGCGGTGTCACACCCGCTCACCATTCCCGCTCTCCCCACCCTCCTCTCGCCTGCTTCCTTCGCGACGCAATCATCCGACAGTGAAGAAGACGAGATGGACGCAATTCCTGACCCCGGATTCAAGCTCTGTCAGCCACCGCATATCAGCAGCGCGAGCCCACCCTGGCAGTCGCGTTATTGCGAACCTGCTGTGTCACCTCGCATTACCATCTGCGCGCCCCTTTCACCGGAGATCGCGCCTGTTGCATAGAGTGCGCCAACGACCCCTTCCTTCCATCCCGTCGCTGCACTATTGCGCTCTCTCAAGCTACGACGCCGGTGCCTAGCCCACCTACTGGACCCACCCGGCTTCCTCTTATCCCCGCCACCCTTACACGGACCCGACACCCCTGCCTCTCACCACATTAAAATTGTATCGTATAATTTGTACGATAGAACCCCAGGGGTCGTGCGGCTTCCTCGTGCCTCTTAGTAGTTACCGGTCACCATTCGTCTTCGTGCATTGGACACTGGTTACTTATTGGCTGCCTCGTTCCCGCCCTTCCGGGCTCCTCGGACACTCCTTTCCTTCCCACCGTCACTCCTTCCCGCGCGCACCGCAGTCATTACTCCGCATCACCCGCCTTGCGCATTGCCATCGTCGTCGTTGCGATCGTTCGCTTGCACTCCCACTCCCACTCGCCCACCACATGGCATCCCACCTCACACTCGCTTCGCTATCACCTGTACCGCTTTCGTTGCTGATCTCGAGTATACCTTGATCGCCCGCGCTAATCGCCTCTCGCCTGGGCCCTCGCCCGGTCATTCCGTAGTACATACTTTGTCTTGGTACTTACTACAACCCATCGTGGCGCGCACACAGCCTACCCCCGCGTCGTCGCGTTGCATCCCGCTTCTTGCGGCGGCGCGGTCGCATCTCGAGTTCGCGATCCGCATCGATATCAGGGCATCCCATGCCCGACCATCCGTACGTGTCTGGCCCCACACGCTAGTCGTATTTCCTGGCATATAGAATTGTTATCGTGAACATGCCGTCTTGCGATCGGCAAGCCTCTGCGCAGGACATGAGCGGTGAGCTCCCGCTAGGCCCCTTTGCGCTCCGCCATCAAACCCGTAGCTTGAATGCCCTGTTCAGCGCTGTCAGCTCCGCTGAATTGCTTTGCTGTGAGATCTGAGAGCATCGCGTCTGTGTAAAGAGATGTGCAACTATGAACTGTTGGGTGTGTTGAGAATCGGATGAAGAAGCGTGCATTGCGAGAGATGGAGATGGCGTCAGTCGTTGCTATTCTGCTAATCTGCTACAGCTCCATTTCCAATGCGTAAAAATAGTACATAGCAGCATACACACTCACCCATACACACTCAACAAACGTACGATCGTTCTGCCAAAGACCGACGTCCCACCGGCACCACATCACCAACGAAACCGGGGGAGGTATGTTACTTGTAGACACGTCCGGAGCGGTGAGAAGCGCGGAGAAGCGCGATGAGACGAGAGATATCGGCTCAGTCGTGCGCATCTTCATCTTCGCCTGGACAGTTGTTCTCCATGTCCTCCACGTTCTCGTACTGGGTACCGCACCAGAAGCAGTACGAGTACTTCCGGCGGAGATAGTCCAGCACTAGCGTGAGGCGGTCTTGCGTCTGTGATACACCGCTTCAGTAACCCAATGGCGCCCTAGAACGAGAGAGAAAAACCTGCCCCGAGGCGCAGGAACTGAACGGCTTCCTGGAGCTCCTCCTCAGAGTACGGCTCCTTGCGGAGCTCTGATTTCTCGATACCACTTTCCCCTTCCTTGTCCAGGTCTTCCAGCGTAGTCTTGAGGGGACGCAACGCGTCCGCCTGCATCTTGGCACGTAATCGACCCTCGATTGAATGTCCCGCTTGTCGTTGCTGTATCGATGTGACCAACGCAGGATCGTCTAGCGCGTCCAGTAGGCCTTCCGGGAACGTCTCCGGGCTCTCAGGGTTCAACCACAGCACATTGAACTATGCATGCAAGACAGAGTTAGTGCGTGCCAAGGATCGGACTATCCACAGAGCAGATGAATCGCCGTCGAAGACCCTGGAGACAGACGTACCTGAATACCAGCCTTCTCATCCAAAGTCGCGCACGTCCGCTGCGCGGGGTGCAGCCTCCCTGCAGCGCGCCGCTCCTCGTACTCTTGCCGCGCGCGGTCGCGGAACGACACATGCGTGCGCTCCTCCGCCATCTTGGCCATCTTGGCGAGTCGTTCGGGGGCGGTCGGCGACCTCGCCCGTTTGCCCAGCCCGATGCCCTTCTTCCCTGTGCGTGCGCGCGCGCGAGAGAGACCATGAGTACGATTGAGTTCCAAGCTAGAAGAACAGGGCAACGATCTTCAACGCGGAGCGCGCACCTTGCCATTCGTTAATCGCGAGGGGCACCTTGCGGTGGGACGGGCTCGGCCCAGGGGCAGGGGCCTCCTTCACAACGGCCTCTAGCGCATCGTGCGCGGGGCGCGCACCAATTCCCGCTCGTACAGGCTCCGCCTCCTTCTCCTGCACCCGAGGCAAGTTCCCCGGGATAGCGATCTCCTGGTCCTCCCTGCCCAACGCCTGCCCCGGCTTGAACCCCATCTTCATCATCATCGCGAGGGCCTTGTTCTGCTGGCCGCTCTCCTGCGCCTCCTCCTGCGCACGCTCGAATAGGCTGCGGTTGAGGGCCTCTTCGCGTGCCTCGCGCTCGCGCTCCCTCAGGCTCTTCGTGCGGTTCTGTTCATTCTTCTGGGCGGCGCGCTTTAGTGCCTCCTTGCGTCGCTCGGCGTATGTGGTCGGGGCGGAGGAGGTAGAGGAAGAGGTAGACTCTACAAGAAACTTGTCCGAGAGATAGTCATCTTCTTCATCGGACATGATGAACGATGACAAGAGAGACGTTAAGGTACATGGCAAGGGCGAGTGGGACGGAAAGTCGCGCTATGATGTCAAGCGCGCGGGACGCGACTGCTTCACGGGCGCTTTGCCGCAGGAACGTGAGACCGCCCAGGTGGAAACCCATCCTCTCTTGCACACATCGACGAAAGATCCCGGCAAAACGTCACAAAGCCATCCCATTAGTCGTGAAATACATGAGATCGTGCATTTGAAAGGGTTTTTTTGTGTATAGGATATGAGCAAAGTCGCTGCTTGACGAAGCGACGACGCAAGTTGACGAACGAAAAAAACGGCACCAGACCGCTGGAGGAACACAATGGGTAACGTAGCGGAAAGAGCGATACCCAGCATATAATATGGTCGATCAGAACGGGAAGCGGGGAGTGGTGTGCATGTAGTGATGAACGGATTCACGGGTAACGTCGGTATTCTGCAGCGAGAGCGAACGCAGGAACCATCAGGTGGAATCCTCATACGTGATCAGCGAAACTTAGGCGGCCGCAGCGGGGGCATCCTCGGCCGCCGCCTCCACTTTCTCCTCCGCCTTGGCCTCGCTCTCCTCCCCGGCCTCGTCGTTGACGGGGTTCACCGCGACCTTGACCGCGATGGCCCGGCCACCGACCTCCTTGCCCTGGAGAGCCTCGATAGCCTTCTTCTGCTGCTCCTCGTCGCCAACGTCGACGAAACCATAGCCCTTGCTCTTGCGGGGCTTTCCCCAGCGGCGGCGCACAATCCGCGCGGACTTCACTTCAATGCCTGCTTCGGTGAAGAGCGCGGAAAGACCGGCATCATCGATGTTGAAGCCGAGGTTAGCCACGAATAGCACGGTCTTCGACGGCTCGCCGGCGGGATCCTCCCCAGCCGGGCGAGGGGGACGAGGGGTACGAGGCTTGCGCTGCTTAGGCTTCTTCTCCGCAGCCTCAGCAGGCTCGCCATTAGCAGGCGCCTCACTGGAAGCCTTGCTCTTAGGCTTGCGCTGAAACGAAGACCGCAGTTTGGTTTCAGTGCGTGTATGCGCGATGCGGGCACTTACAGTCTTCTTCTTCTTCTTGGGCTTGGCCGCGTCGCCGGAAGCGGGCGCAGCACCATCCTCCTTTGAGGCGTCGGCAGAGGCCTCGCCGTTCGCCTCGGCCTCGCTGACCTCTCCAGGGACGGACTTGCTGCCACGGCGTCCAGTCCTCCTCTTGACGCGCTTCTGCTTCTTCTCTTTGTCCTTCTGATCGGCAGGCTTGGCAACCTCAACGATCACGGTGCGGCCGTCGAGCTCCTTCTTGTCGAGCAGCTCGACGGCCTTCTGAGCAGCCTCCGCGGTGGTGAACGAGACGAAGCCGTAGCCTGCGGAACGGTTGCCGCCGCGCATGATGACCTGAGCAGACAGACTGGGAGTGGCGCGTGAGCATGGGTGGCGAGGCACACGAACAACGGTGGGAGCTGCGGCGCTGACTCACACGTCGCTCTGGACAGGCGCGAAGAACGCCTTCAGCCCTTCATCCGTGGTAGAGTACGCAAGGTTGCCGGCGAAGACCTGGGGTGAGGGGTAAGGGGCGCCCGCCACGTCAGAGATGGATGGGAGCGCACCTTGAAGCCGGGAGTCTCCTCGACGACCGACTCTTGCGCAGCCGGAGACACGCCGTTCTCGGTGACAGGGGCGGCGGGGGCGTCAGACATTTTGAGAGGAATGGACTGGTGGGTTTTTCGTGTGGATGAACTCGTTGAACCGGTTTCTTCGTGTCAAACTTGGGGGTTGAGAAGAAAGCGGGAGCGCGAGGAGATGGCTTGTTTTGATACGTTCTGGCAAACTCCGCTCATAGCCTATTACGTCGCCATGACTGCTCATCAATAGTCCAGACTGTCCCCAGGCGGTGCGAAACGCTGCAAAACATCACATCCGCTGCCGTTGCTTTGGTCGACGGGCGTGCATCGTGTTTTACACGCTTTCCTAGCTCGCTCTACGAACGCGGGGGACGATGGAGGGCGGACTCTGGGCGTCTATATTGTGATCGCTCGTGATGCCGCTTCTAGACTACATAAGTAGTGCACATCCCTCGTCGAGAAGGTGATGATTAGCCGGGTGGGCAAACGCTGTGGCTGATCTGAAGGCTGATCTGCATGTGGGCCGGTCTGATAGAGACGCGACGGTGAGGATGGGCCGCCTGCGGCACTGGCGCTGCCCTTGGCAGGCAGTCGATGTGCGCAGGAGAGCGTGCCGTGACTGCAGGGATGCGGCGCCGGGGGCTCATGGGTCCGTGCGGCCCTTGGCGGCTTATGTAACCGTCGCTGGTGACGACCGTTTTCTTCTCTCGCTGCCGGCGTTGTTTCGCACCTCTTCCTCGTCCACCTCGGTCTCCCTCGACTCTCTCCCCCCAGGGCCCGCACACTCTTTTCACGTCCCCCGTTCCTTTCCCCTGCGCCCACTCTTTTGCGCATAATGTCTAAGCTCCTCAACCTCGTCGCCCTGTCCTCGCTCGCCGTCTTGGCAGTCACCTTTGGCCCTGCGTCTACCAACGCTCTTTCTACCGGCCATGCCCACGTAAACCGTCACTTTGAGCACGGTGCTATCGCCAAGAAAAAGCGCGACACGAGCAAGCGTTGCAAGGCCCGCCCTTCCACTTCGAGCAGTTCCGTCAAGCCTACCTCTACTACCAAGGCTGCTCCGACTACTACCTCTGCTGCCTCCCAGGCCCCTTCCACCAAGCCCGCTACCAAGACGACCTCCTCGAAGTCATCTTCTTCCACTGGTCAGTCCGGTGGCTCCAGCGGCGGTGCTGCTCATCCTGCTTCTGGCAAGTTCGGCCAGACGGGCTCCAAGATCTGTGCTGCCTGGGGTGATGGCAACGACGCATCTATCTCCAAGTTCAAGACCGACCACGTCGTCGGGTGTGTAGTGGGGCATGCTTGCGTCTATTGAACCGATTGGCTAACCTAGACTCTGTAGCATCTACACTTGGGGTGTTGACAAGCCTTCCCAGGCTGATGCGCTTGGCTACGACTTCTGGCCGATGCTCTGGGGTAGTTCCGAGGACAAGATCGATGCCTTTGAGAAGGCCATGCAGACTCCTAACCTTGGCACCATTGTCCTTGGATTCAACGAGTGGGTATCTCATGTCGTATACCTGAGTGTACTCTGACATCGCTTCAGGCCCAACGAGCAGGGTCAGTCCAACATGGACCCCCAGACCGCTGCGTCGCTCTGGAAGCAGCACATTGAGCCGAAGCGCAACCAGGGCTATAAGCTTTGTTCTCCCGCTATGTCCTCCCGCCCGAACGGTCAGCAATGGATGGCAGACTTCATGAAGGCTTGTGACGGTTGCCACGTGAGTTCCTCTCGGTTTCCTTCAACTGGCTGTAATTAATCCTGCTCCTCTTCTCAGGTCGACTACCAGTGCCTCCATTGGTACGACACCAGTTTCGACAAGCTCAAGACCTACCTCACGGACTACCATAACCAACTCGGCCTGCCTATCCTGCTCACGGAGTTTGCTGATCAGAACTTCAACGGCGGTCCTCAGGCCAACTCCGACTCGATCTTCTCATTCATGAACGACGCTCTCAAGTTCTTTGACGAGACCGACTGGATCCTCGCTGCTTGCCCCTTCGGTGCGTGGTCGGTGCTCCTTTGTTCCGTGTCTCGCGTACTGACGTTGTCCTAGGTATCATGCACGATCTCCAGGGCGTTAACACGCTCAACCTCCTCCAAGCCTCGGACGGCAGCCCCACTGATCTCGGTTACATGGTCATCAACGACTCGTGGAACTAAACTGGCTGCGGGCAGGCTTTCGGTGGTGGCAACTGCGATTATCATGGTGCCGAACATACCCACCTCAGAGTCCTTATTACCGCCCATGCATATACCCCTACTTTCTCGCCTGTGGGCTTATGGGCCCCTGGATAGGTGTTGACGTGTTAGTCTTGTGGAGCTGTTGTGTCGGGTTTCGCGACGCTCTGAGTTTGTGGATGCTGCTGTGCATGCAGATTTGTCACCTATCAGTCTTGTTATCTGACCCTAGCATTTACAATTTCTGTGTTGTGATGTTCTGTGCCTCTCCCTCAAGCATCGTACCGAATGAATACATATTGTATCATTCAAACGTGTTCGTCAAGGCTTGCGCGATGCAAGCTGTGTGTTTCTGGCTAGTATATCGCAGGCAGTACGTACAAGTGGGATACGCTATCGGCCGAAGGAGGGTCGGCTGGGGACCGGGGTCCCATGCTCTACATCGTCCGTCGGCGTCCTGTCGTGAACAGTTCTTACCATCGCCTTGCGTACTTCCATTTCCACCTCCACCTCCACCTCGGCCCAACACATCGGCAGTCTTACAACGGAAAGTTCACAATGGTCAAGCATTTGCCGCCCACGGTCAAGCAGCTCTTAACCCTCCGCAACCCACAACCTCGCGCCGCGCCACAATCATCGAGGTTGAATGCTGTTCTTACTACAACCTACCAGGACGCCAAAGCCAAGAAAGCGGAGAAGGGCTGGTTAACTCTCGCTGTGCGTGCGGACCGTGCTCTACCCTCGCTCTCGTCGCTGATGTCCTCACCGACGGTTGTACATTGTCGCACGCGCTTTGCCCACCTCGCCCTCACATTCACAGACTTGTACCCTTCTCACTGCAAACGCACCCCCTGCTATAGGCCATCTCTACCGCTTCGCGACGCGGGACGAGCCGGACAACGCTTCCTCGCGGCGAGGCCTGCCGGAGGCTTTGGACAAGGCCGCACTCATGCGCGAGTCCGCGCTGAAGAGCTGCATCTTCGTGGGCGTACCTCGCGTGAGTCTCCGACTCCCCAATGCGGCCGTCGTCGACGCCCACTGAGCTTCTTGCTACGCAAATCGCTCCAGACCATCCTGTCCCTTGCGAATCTCCACGAAGCCATCGAAGACGACGTCAAGGCCGGCCTTCGGAAGGCTCCCTCGCCTAAAAGGTGCGCTGCCGCATCCGGTGCCGCTCTTCGCGTCGCACTGGGCTCATTGGTCGCGCCTTCATGTACGGTTCGAATTCGGACCAACCGCATGGAATGAACGTCCGTTGCGGTGCTGACCCGCTGCGCTGGAACCTCCGTGAACCGCGGCGACCGTCATAACTTCAGGGCGGCGACTCCCGAGAACGTCGAGACCATCGTTGCGCGGGGTCGGGGCCTCTGGGCCACCATCTACGAGCCGCATGCGGAGAAATTGTACAACAAGCTGGGCGGGTACCATCCCGATTTCATTGGTGAGTCTCCAGACTAGGTTTAGACCCCTCGAGGGCCCCCCTTTCCGTTTTTGTCCTTGACAACAACAGGCCCGCAGCGCGATTGGGCCGCGAGCTAGCCTCATACCGCCCTTACGAGGCGGCTTATTGTAATGAGGGCCAGGCATAATGTGGGATATCCGTCCCCCTGGGTCCGGGTACCTGCACGCCCCGCACTGTGTCTAGGACGGTCATCGACGCTAGGAGGGGCGTTCTTTACCGTACGAGTGGGTGGGACCCCGCGTTCTCCTTTGTTCACGGTTCGCGGGTAGGCCCATGGGGCTGCTGTCGACGCCGATTGCTAATCACGTCGAACCTCCCGGCGATCGTCCATCTCCCATCGCCCGTCGTCGTCGATTAGCTCTCTTTTGTCCCGCTCTCTTGTCGTCGTTGCGGTCGTTCCAGGCAATTGTTCTCATACCCTTGTTCTCGAAAGAGTTCATCATACAGGCTTACGGCACCGTCCTCGCCCCGCTCCCCGGCGGAGATGCTGAGCAGGGCAACCTCAGCCGCGCCCTGGGTTCGGTCGTCGGAACCGCATGCCTGAGAGCGGAAGGAGGGGTCGGGCCGCAACTTGTGAGCCACGTCTTTGGGCTGCTCAAGGCCCGGCACGTCCAGGGCCTGAGTGCGGAAGATTACTGGCTCGCTTCCGACGAGGGAACGGAATGGGTCGTCCGGACGGTCGACAGCATACTCGATGTCGTCAAGCCGGAGCTGGGCGACGGGACCGCCGCGCAGGCGAAGTTGTGAGCATCTGGATACTGCAGACTTCTAGCTCCCTCGCGGTATGTGCGTGGCTTGCGGCTTACGGTAGATCGCGAGATGAGATGTTGTTATGTCGCTACAAAGGAGCCTCGGAGTCGGCTTAACCGCACCTGTCATGCGCGCAGTGCATCGCAGGATGCATCTCGGGTCGTCCGACGTCACAACACAGGGCAAGATCTGACAACAAAAGTATCGACACGGTTACCACACTTCGGCGTCGATCTGTTCGGAGCTTTGTCTAACTGTAAGTTAATTTACTGTTTGTATCGGGCAGAACGCGCGGCTACCCGTGGAGTGGGACTCGGGTGGGTGCCAGGGCCCACAAGTCCGGTACCGGAACGGAAACAACGTCCTGTGTTCTCCATTCGTAGCCACGGTAGTTAGTATACAAGGTTGGTACAACGAGATATAGATAAAAAGTGCGGGGGAGAAATGGTACATTTTACTCAAGGTGGGGATGAGTGGGAACGAGATGGGATGAGTAGCAGCAGCAGGCAGCAATGACGACCGCGTGGAAGCGCGCGAGGACTTCTGACACGAAAGCAAGGACGAATCGACGAGGGCTGCCTCGAGGCAGGTTCACAGTCCGAATGCCATCACGAACCGGTACAACATCGCTGTAACCGTTACCGTGTCCATGAGCGGAGGGTGCATCTGTCCCGGGGCAAGATCGGGAGCCCATCCATCGATTAGCGAGCCACGCCCCTCGGCGGAAAAGAGTTGAGAAGGAAAACGCACCACGACGCCTGCGCCTGCGTTGCGGACAAAGTGAAGCTCCCCGTGGACCTCGCCGATGTTGTATCGCTGAGGTCGTGTGGGTCGGAAAAACGCGATCACGTTGTTGTTCTGATCTTGCAGCTGCGAAGATAATCGATCAGCCTCGCGCCCTCGAAGAGCGTCGTCCCTGTCCAGCGTCGTGTAGATGGGCGGCATGGGAAGGCACACACTTACCACGACGTCATTGTACGAGTTGTTCGCTGGGCACCATCGATACTGGTAGCCGTCTGGGCCGTTGAATATCCTCCCGTTCTGCCCGAGAGACCCGGGGAGCCGGCGTGCGGTCAGAACTGGTGGCGTCCATGCATCGAGAGAACGGGAGCGTTCACACACTCACGTAAACGCGGGGATCCGGGCGGACGAGGTCTGCCATGGGCAGCGTGCTCTGCGAGAAGGCGTGGTGACTATCAGCACAGATCCCTCCGCCCAATCTGATCTGGAGAGGCTAGCCACTCCGAGTGTCCGAGTGCCTACCTTTCCGATTATTGCGCGCCCGAGGCCGCCATTTGGCGCCCACTCCAGCTTCGCGACGCGGTCCTCCTTGTTTGCGCGGATCGCTCTCCAGAGTGTCGTTACACTCTGCCCTTGGCTGTTCGTATCCGTCTGAAACAGGGAAGGTCAGCGCCGCCCGCCGCGGGTGTGCGGGCTCGCACCGAGAGCTTCCGCACCTGGAAGCGGTACAGGACACCGTAGCTGCCAAACAGCTGGCTTTGGCGGGGGTCCTGCGAAGTCCATGAAAGCACTTCGTTACCGGTGGCCATGATCGTCGTCGAGAGTCGTGTACGTTAACGTTATGAGCTGGGAAGCCTCGCAGAAGGAAGTGCAGCCCCGGGAAGTCCTAACGACAAAGTTCAGTGAGGAGGAACGTGAAACCCCCGAGAGCTTTATATGCTCACCCGTAATACGAAATTTTCGATGGGCTCGCACTGATGAGCGGATTTTCGATCGGGAACGTGTCGTGGCGGCAGATAAAGCTGAGTATAAGGATTTCCAACGTGCCTATGGAAGAAGTATGCTGCATGATGTCCTCCAGAGCCTTGCACAGTGGAGTGAGGCCCGAAGTTCCTTTCGGGCCTTGCAGACTGTGATCGAGGAACACGAGGGACCTGTGTAGACGCCATTGGGACCTCGAGACAGCAATAGAAACGGGAGGAGAAGGTCGAGAGGGCTTCGAATGCCACGAAGCAGGGTGTGATTATGTCGAACTGCGCACATTGGCCAGGATGCGATGTGCTTCATTGTGTAAAACAGTCAAAACGCGGATATATCCGTTGGTACACAAAGACGAGTCGTACTTGCCTCTGGGGTCGGTTGCACACGAGGTGCGAGGATGCGATCGCCGATATGGCATGTGGGCTGCAACGAGGTGGTTCGATACTGACTGCCCAGGATGGCGGCCCAAGGCGTGGCTTCAGCGTGCCCAGACTGCCATACGAGGTACAAAGGGCCTCCCCGATCTCTATCAAAGTTCATAGCGGGTGCAGGAATGGGGTGCGTCCATGACAAAACAGACACGAGCCGCATTCTCATCCTCCCCACTAAACCGGCAGGAGCGGTCGTGTTTCGTGGAGTGCTCCGTGCAAAAGGCAGGAGCGCACGCTCCCTGTGGCTCATCTCTAGCCGTTGTACAATAATTTCAGAGCTTAACCTACTTCCACGAACTCTCCTCAGAGATCATGAACTTTCGCAAATGAACTGAACATCCATCCCTCCAGTCGCCCGCTCCCACCATATCCAAGACGCGCAAGGCCCCCCCCCCGCGCTTCTGTCTATCCGCCGCTGACCCGGTGCTGCTTCTGTTCCGTCACGCATGCAGACCATGTCCGACGGCAGAACGCCAGGCAAACGCAGAGAAAGTGACGCTACGGCTCTCGGGTAGAACTCCCTTGGCATATCGTCCCGCAACGTATGTACGGGTACATCATCCAAGCACATGCGTCAGGTATGGTGGCCCGGCGGTCTTCTGCTTGGAATCGAGGTATCCGAGATTAACAATTAGGTCGATACGGTACGATGGAGAAACGGTACGTACGCGCCGAGTGGGGACCGGCACGCACCTGCCTATGGTACCACTTGAATCCCAATCGTCCGCGCCGTCCCGAGGACGCTCTTCGAGATCTTCTCTAACGAAAGGTGCTTGAGGTGCGCGTCGGACTGCTTGATTTTGGCAATCTCATAGACGTGCTTGAGGCTCACAGTGCCCACGATGTCGTGCCCGGGTCGGCCGGTACCCTTTTCTATTCCAGCGGCCTTCTTGAGGAAGTAAGCGGTGGGCGGGGTTTTTGTGATGAATGAGAAGGAGCGGTCGGGCTGGACCAATATTCGAGTGGGAATGGGGATGCCAGGCTCGACGTGGGCTGTACGAGCGTTGAACTCCTTGCAGAAGTCCATAGACTTGACGCCACGAGCACCGAGTGCAGGACCGACCGGGGGAGAGGGGGCAGCCTTGCCAGCAGGGATGAGCAGACGCTACGTGCACACGTGTGAGATGACATGCGAAACGCTGGGAAGATCATGAACACCCACAATAAACTGCGCCTTCGCGTTGAATGCCGCTTTCGACATGGCCGAGGACGGGGAGCAGGGCTAGCCACGACCAGACACCGGTCAGTCGTCGCAGAGAATGGCAGAAAGAGCCAGGAGTGGGCGCCTGTGATCGGAGTCCGAGGACGTCGCATACCCCGGCACGGCAATATCCGGCGCAGACACGACCCAACTCGGCGACCACGCCTGTCGCGCTCAGCGCAGTCTCCCCGCCGTCCCCGTCTTGTCATTACCCTCTCTTGCATCGACCACCTTCTGCGTACCGCGGCCATGAAGTTCCTTGCTCTCCTTGCTCTTGTCTCGGCTGCTGTCGCAACCCCGGCCTCGTTTTCGTTTGGCGACAATGCGCAGGAGCCGATGATGGGCGACGTCCTTCCGACTTCATACCCTGGTTTCGACCTCGACTTGAACGCGCCTCGCCTGGTGCAGCTCGAGGGTCAGGAGGAGCCCATCATCATGACGGAGCTTGAGAAGGTATGCACATGACAATCCTTCTCTAGTTGCGCCATTCACCTCCTGTCATGTATCTAGATTCAAGCGAAGGCTCAGGGCATTCGGTTCTTTGACGTGTAAGCCCTGCTCGTGGTTTATGCACTCCTTTGCACTAATTGAGTGCACCAGAACGGACGCGGTCGATCTCGGCAGTCATGCCCAGCTCAGGGCTTCTGTCAAACGTGTGTAGTTCACCGTTACAACCTGCACCGCCGACACCGAGCTGACGTCGTAATAGCCTCCTACCCTACGCCTAATAATACCCAGACGGTCAAGCCTGTCATTGACACGTTAGAGATACAGAATCTCCACGATACACTTGACAAGTTCACGAGCTTCCGAACACGCTGTGAGTCGCTTCTAGTCTACCTAGGTCAGACCGCAACGCTCACGTGTTCCCAGATTACCGTAGTGAGGTATTACTACGCAATGCGCGCTTGGGCTTGCAGGACATCGTATACTGATTGGTGCCTAGACCGGGAAGGAGAGCCAGCGGTGGCTGCTGAGCAAGATTACTGATGTAAGGCTGCCGGTAATCAATTCATTGCCGGGATCTCACTGCTGCCTGCACAGCTGACGAAGAAGTACGCTCCGAAGTCCTTGCAAAAGAGCATATCTATCCACGAGTTCGGGCACAGCTGGCAGCAGAGCAGCATTGTATGTGCATAGACTGACATTATGCGCCCCGGTCTCACGTAGGCTTCCTCCAGATCGTTAGTATCAACGGCACTTCTACGGATGATGACAGTGTGGTCGTTATCGGCGCCCATTTGGATAGGTTTGTGCTCATTGACAAAAACTGACGTACTGAAGCCTAATGAATGTCCTTGTCAGTACTAACAACTGGCCATTCCTGCCTGCCCCTGGTGAGGAAGTCATGTGGTTCGTCGAAGAACTCTTCTGACAGCAGTCTCAGGTGCGGACGATGACGGCTCAGGATCAACAAGCATCTTGGAAGCCTACCGCGCTTTGGTTGCTGCAGGCTTCCAGCCAGAGCGCACCGTCGAGTTCCACTGGTACTCCGCCGAGGTATGTTTCATGCTTCCGCGGCTCAGAAGCGTGCAGATGTGAATACGCCTGAACCTCAACAGGAAGGAGGACTCCTCGGATCTCAGGCGATTGCGAAGTCTTACGAGAGTCGCGGTATCAACGTGGCCGCCATGAGCCAGGTTTGCGCTTATCGTCTTGAATCTCGACTTATCACGATCTGACAGCGCTGCCGTCAGTACGACATGACTGCATGGGTCAAGCGCAGCACAAGGGAGGAGGTCGGCATTATCACTGATTACACTGATGTCGAGTCAGTATACCGGCATTGTTCTAGAGCGTTAGCCACACCATCTGATCACCCAAACATCGATTGCAGCTTGACTGAGTTCAACAAGAAACTCGTGGAGCAATACCTCTCTATCCCCTGGGTGGAGACCAAGTGCGGTTATGCGTGCAGCGACCAGTATGTTCCAAAGATCCTTCCGAACGCTCAGCAGTCTTGCTGAAACCCTCCTCCCAATCTCCTAGTGCCTCGTGGCGTAAGGCTGGGTACCCCAGTGTGTTCACGATAGGTGCGCGTATCGGCTTCTTTAATATCGCCTATTCGGACTCATGTTCGCCCCTTCCATTACACCCTTGGGTCCAATTATCGCATTCACATGTCTTCAGAGGCTACCTTCGAGAACTCCAACCATCAGTTCATCCATACTCAGAACGAGTACGCAAACTCCGACGTTTCTCCACACGCCTGTACTGACTTCGGCATCCTTCGCAGCAAATACGACATCTCAGATGAGTTCAGCTTTGAGCACATGCTCGAGTTCTCCAAGCTCGCCGTTGCCTTCGCCATCGAGCTCGGCGGGTGGAAGAAGTCCACGTAGAGGGTGCCTTCTTAGCAGATCCGCTCCCATCCAGCGCTCTTGCATACTACAACATCTTGGACAGTGTATATCTATCTCTGTTTGGGACAGGGACGATTGATGACCCGTAACGCCGCTGTACCCCAGCCTTCATATTATCTGTACGTACGACGATATCTGGTGTTCATTCTCGCAACGCCACGCGTTCCCTTGGAAGCATTCCGTACAGTTGACGTTGGGTGTGCACACCCGTTCCAGAATGTGTGCCGCTGCCGACAGAATAGAGGCGAAGGCGAAGTCGCCCTAATCCCCTGCATGTCCGTGATCGCAACTTAGTTACGTCGGGCGGGCAGCCACACGCCCAAACACCATAACATGTGGCATGCCGGGACATGCGCCTTCCAAGGAGAAGACAGCGAACGCCCATTCCTGACTCGAGGCACGTCCCGTGGTGCATGTACTAGACCCAGAGGCCGGGCGCGATATAGTAGAAATTATTGCCAATCCGTACACGTTACGGCTTTCCCCAGAGCCACAGAAGCAAGTATCAATTGCAGGCTACGATCTTCTCTGTACTACTCGCCGTGGCGTCTGGTAAATCCGCACTCCGACTTGCGCTGCGTACATGCTGCATTCGGACCACGTACACACGCATATGGAGCCCTGGATCAACACAGGGCGCAGAGCGTTCCTCTTTTCAACTATCGGCAGCGAGCATGCTCCAAAATGTTAGGGTGTACCCTCCATACGCGATGACATCGGAGCCCGCCAGGACGGTGTGCACGACTTCGGCTGGCCGCTGGAATTGGAAGCGCTCCAGGACCTTCTGTGAACGGCAGCCGCCAGGAAGTTAGCAAGCGGTCGATCACTCAAACATGCAGCCAAGGCAAGCCGTAGCGGGGTAGGGGAGAATGGAGCCACAGCAAAGGAAACGTAGCCGGCTAGACATTCCGTCGCCGGCGGAGACGAATAGCAAAAATACGGTGGATCAAAACGAGACAGCGACGACACTGAAGACACACCTTCTGAGCACCGTTTCGATAGTCCCACACGAGGACGGCACCATCGCCGTAGCCGCGCGCGAAGAGGGAGTTCATGGTCGACCCGCGGGTGTACCGGGACCCCGATCTCGCGACGGGTGCGCTGCTTGCAGACCGCGAGGCGTTGGCATTCGCGCTAGCTTGACTCGCGACTGCCGGGCGCGCGGCTGTCGCGTTCAGGTTTGGACTCGCACTGTTTGCTTTCGGAGGGGTAGCACGATATCCAAATTCGAGCCAAGGTTTGCGCGCGAAGCCCCCTTCGCGCATGTCGTAGAAATGGACCTGATGATCCATATGATCTACCTGCACGCAACGAATATGGTTAGCCAATGGGTTTCTGACGCTTCCAATTCTGCTCGATACGCCACGTTAGGGTGAAACGGCAGGTGCGAGTATGGATGCTGTTGCGGCGAGTGATGCTGGTGTCAAGTGGGAAAACGACTTACCTCGACAGCAATGAGGCGAGGGTCCTGAGGGTGGACGTGCACCTGAGCCACCTTCCCCGAGACGCGTTCGGTCTCAGCGCGTGACACCGCACCCAGCTTCGTCATTGCGATGCGGTCCCCGGCGGCCGAATAGACTGTCTCATTCCAGGCACAAAATGCTAGTGCTTGGATTGACTGAGTGTGCTCTGTCGGAACACGCACAGAGCTTACGGAAAAACCGCCACGGTCCTTCTTCCGGCTATGCGCGCGTTCAAGCTTCCAGTGGTACACAAATTTATCGTGTCCGCCTGACAGAAAGCTGCCGTCTGCTACCGGTGCGAGGCAGCTGATGCCTCGGTTGGGATAGGCCCGCCCAACTGATCTGTTCTCCATTACTGTCGTATGTGCCTTGTGGTTCAGATCAATACGGCTCGGACGCTGGACGGACAGCGTTCAGCATTGCTCGCTCTTCCATGAGCCCCTTTGGTAACAAGTGCCCGTACCTGAGTACCTTCTACGGTAATCAAAGACACCTGCGATGGGCCTTTATCATAGCCGACGACAGCTGTACCATCGCCTAGTAGGCATGCATCTTCGACGTGTCGAAAATCGTCCTGTACAGGAAGTGAATATTGGTACATGCGCGTCCTGCACAGCCACCCAGTTCAGCGTTCAAGATAGGAAATGAATAGGCGTTGCGGCCACGCACTTCCGTCGTTGATCTATGAAATGGGCTTCGCCACGCATTAGAACGGTGGTGATCGGGCTATCCAAGCTTGCGGGCACTAGGAGCCGTCTCCCTCGAGCGTAGTCTGCCTTCGGTATGACGAGCGTGTGCCCGAGGGTGGCTGAGGATGATGCAGGGGATTCGTCATCATCCTCGTCCAGTGAACTATAGTTCACTTCCTCGCTTGCATGCGACGTAGATCGGCGTGCGGAACGGCGTGGACGATCGGGAGCGCTACGGCGACGCTGAAGCGCCGCCTTCACCGAACTGCCGGGCTGAACCTTACGCAGGGTGCGGGAACCCGCGCTCGATCGTTGTTGTCGATGAGCTGCTGTCGGCTTCTGAACCTTGCTACCAGAATTGATGTCCGAATCGTCCTCGGAAAGGTAAATGCCTTGGCCGGTACTTGGTTTGCTAGCCTCTACCGGTCGCCGTCGGCTAAGTGATTGCACGGGAGGGCTCTCGCCGTCTATGCTCCCATCCGAATCTTCGCCGTTCCGGGAGGGCCGATCAATTCTTCGACGAGGCAACTCTGGCGCTCGACGCGGTGGCGAGTTATCGCGCTCGGAGGTAGATGAGCTGTTGCTCGGACTGGCACCGGTCCGAGTCGTACCAGACGCCGGCGCGGATGGTTGTTGCAATACGAGGTCCGACGTATCATACGTTTGTGGAAGGAAGGGTAGGCCTGTCACCGCGTGTGTGGACTTCTGCGGCGGGATGGACCTGGCCAACGAGGATTCCCTGCTTGACGGGTGACCGGCCTCCATCTCGACATCACTCGAATCTTCTGCGAGGTGTTTCCATTCGCCGTACTCAGCCCTCCCCTCGGATGAGTCCGCGGCCCCCTTGGACCGTGCATTAATGAAAGGGATGGAGCGAAGGGAACCATATTCTGGTGTGTCGTAGCGAACATCTCCGTCTTCTGACGGGCAAACACGAACGCCTTGAATGACGTCTTCCGAAGAAGGGGTTTCGGCACCTCGGGATGCGTAGCTCACAACCGATAATCGGTCATGCGAGTATCTATAAAGTTCATGTCGTCACTGCAGGAAGAGGCACAAACCATCATGGTTCACACGTACAACGGCTCGGGGCTTTGAGGAATTGATCGGTGAGGATGTCGGATGTGCAGAGGGGAGCCTTCCGATTTTTTGTAATGGGAAGATACGGGGACACTGACGTCAGTGGTTGGAAGAGGACGGCGTTGAGATGATGCTGCACCGTAGCTCGACGAGCGGTCCGCATGGCGAGAGAAGCGCAGTGCTTCACTAGAAGACCGACGGGGGCTAACGAAGCAACCGCCAGGACGCGAAACTCGCTCGCTCGCGCTTTCTCCATCGTCATCGACTACGATTGGGTCAGATGCACTTCCGATGCCGGCCCCTTTGATAGCTGCGGCACTTGGACCCTGAGCATCCACACCGGTCAAGTTAGGATAGGGCGGGATGCTCGACTGTGCTAGGTTAGACGGTCCCTCAGTGGCAGCGCAAGTGTAGCCGCCAGGCATTGGGGTCGCACGCAACAGGACCATTTCGAGGTCTTGGACCCGGATGCCCTCACTAAGCGATAAGTATAAGTATTTTCGTCCGCATGTCGTCTATGACTCCATACGCACACGGAAAACAACGATTTAATATCCTCATTGCGTGCAGTGGTATCAGAAATCCTGTCAACATGGGTTTGAACCTACTCCACGCAGTCATTTGCAAGATACGTACCAATCGAAAGCAATGCCGTCCGACCTCAATGACCCTAGCTTCAGCCGCGTCCTCTGGTACTTCAATATTCTCCAGCGAACTCACAAAAGCCGGGGAGCCTTGATCAGCCGCTTGCCCTCTTGAGCCAAGCGAATGGTGGTACCCAGAATCAGGTCGTTGACGTTCTCGTGCCTCAAGTCATGTTTGAGGGATACGGACAGGGAAAGAACTTCCTGTCCCTCCCGCACAAGAGATGCACCTAGGGATGTCGTAGCAGACTGAAACTTGTCCTTTTTGTCATGTGAGATACGAGGCCTGAATACCTCGTCGAGCTTTCGTGGCAGAGGAGAAGCAGAACGTTTGCCAGAGAGGTTCATACGCCGTACAGCAGGCTGCGCGGAAGGAGTAGGGAACAAGAGCTGTAGACGCCCATGGTCTGCAGCGAGAAGTTAGCCAGTGGCTGAAGCTCACAATCCTTTCTCGTGCTGTTCGATGTACGACATCTTTCGCCGGATTGTTCGGTCCCTCTCATGCTATAGAGCTCATGTCTTACAACGAAGATACGCAACCTAACGAAGTGCGGCATTCTCGCAAAGGAAACTCTGCTGTTCCAACTGTCAGATCCTCCCAGTCTTTCACGGGTCTACGCGGTCGAGGTAGGGGACATGCGCAAGGTCGCGGCAGCCACCATAGTCGCGGAGGACATGGCTCTCCATATGTGCATCCGTCCCCGCGCGGACGAGACTGGAGCTTGAGGCCCGCATCAAGGGCTGAACGTCCACTCGGGCGGACGCACGACGGTCTTGCGCCTAAACGTATCCCTCGGTGGGGGGAGAACCGCGTTTCAGTACCAGTTCCGGAACGACCTCCAAAACGACCACGATCAGAGTACACTGACTGTCCTGATACGAAATCCGATCCCTCCCTGACGCCTCTGCTTGTGGAACCGTCTGCCGATGCTGGACCCTCTCAGTGTGAACGTCTCGGGAAAATGTCTTTAGTTGAGATACCGGAGGTACGCAGGAGTCCCATCGACCTCAAATCCACACTGCTCACGGCAACGAATCCCTGTCAGTCGCACGGCGAGCCTCCTGATCCCTCCCACTCAAACCACGGCCGTCGTTTACATCCATCCGATGCTATCCACCCATCTCTCACCATAACACCATCTGGACCGCAAGTCAGCTCGCACACGATTTCTCCCTCTTCGTCTCGACGCAGTCTGGGCCACCATGGCCACACCATGCATCGATCGGAGTCCAATGTTCTCTTGTACGGAAGTAGGAGCGCTTTACGTACTCCCACTTTTCCGATGGACCTCACGCTGAAGGAGGAACATCCCTTATCTGGTGTCCTGCAAACTATCACAGCGTCTTCGTTGCCCATCCGGACGCCCACAGGCTCCCTGCCTTCGGAAACGACGATCCAGCCAGCGCCAGCGCCGATTCCGCCTGTGGAGATTCCTCCTGCGTCTTCACATGGTTGCGTCACCGAAGTTGTTCCTCCCGCCTTGACACACGCTCCGAGATTTCGGTCCGGGACATTAAGAATTGAGCTCCCGCCTCATGTCCGACCTCTTGATCCAAGGCACTTTCTATGTGGACAACCCCAAGTACAGCAGGACGCTGATACTCCCCAGGATCGCGCAGCTAACGCGTCTCTTACCCACAAAGGCGATTCTAGACCCCAGCAATCCGTCCTTATGCAGCCCACTCCATCAGTACATGCTAACCGCCCTAGGGTCGAAGATGAGACGAAGGTCCCGGAAGTCTCGGCGGCGCCAACAGATCCCACATCGGGATACTTCCAACGTGTTGAGCAGGTCCAGATGCGCAGGGAACCTCATGACAAGCCCCGCCGCCTACTAGCTTTGCCCTCAGGTGCTATGCTCAGTGTCACGACGCGCGGGTCCCTGGATCTGGTGGCACAAGACCCCCTTCGATGTACTGCTCTGCGAACGTCAGCGTTTGGGGACTCTGCTCGTCAACTCATAGAGGACGCCTGCATCTTGTTGGGTACTCACAAGCCCGCTATCATCGTCGGTCGGACCGGAAACAGCCAACAGCTGTCTCTTGTCCGGATCAAGGAGGCAAAGGTACGCTGCCCTCTCATTCCTCCGCTTAGATCGCACGCCGGCTAACGCACAGTCAAAGGTCCGAGACCTAGGTACCTTCGATCGTCCGTCCCCAGCAGACAGGAAAGGCGGCGTGAGTGCTGTATGTGCCATGATGCAGCCTGGCAGTTTTGCGGTCGGTGGCTACGACCACATCGTCAACCTGTGGTCGCTACCTGAGGAACGCGATGCCCCACCTGTCCGATCCGCGCCTCTGGCAGCCAGACACACCTCTGCTATCCATTCTCTACTCCCAGTACGCGATACCAGCCATAAGCTGCTCATCGGCGGCGCGGACTGCGCGCTTTCAGTCTACGACTTGTCTTCCGAGCGGACCGTCAATACGCTGAAGCTGTCGAACCCGATATACCATCTTCATCCTGTAGCATCTCCCCATTGCGTGCTCGTCGAGGTAATTCAATCTGTTCTCTACCGACCATGTCAGGCTAATGGCGCTTTCGCATAGCTCGCTCATCGTGAGTTCCAATTCGAGATACGAGACCGTCGCTTGGTCCCTCAGCAGCCGGCCGTCCGGTTCGGGTATCCGAATACCAAGGTGCATGGACGGTATACGAAAGGTCAGTTGCATCAATTAGCAGGGAACACTCAATCATATGTCCTCACCTAGGTGCTGTGGATTCTCATATATTCGCATGTGGCGGCACCGAGGACGGCTGTGTTCGATTGTGGGATATGAGGAAGTCGTCAAATATCCTGCAGACGGTAATGGTCTCATTACTATCGGTTGATGACATTTGTTGACCTGAAGAAAACTGGTACATAGATACCTTGTCTTCCAGGGAAGAAAGTCGCCCAAGTCCATATCAGCAGCTCCCGGATAGTGGCTTGCTCGGAGGATTACCATCTAGCTATCTTGAACTCGGAGAGTGCTTGACTCATCGCCTTAGCACCTTGTTGTGCGTTTAATTTTATCGAATAACTTATGCATGCTCATCTTGGTCTGGCGGAAGCCAGACGTGTGGGCTTCACAAATGATTTTGTCCAGCTGCAGGATGACATCGATGACCGACCAGTTTTTGCATCTATTCCATCTTGAGTGCTGCTCGGAAATCGCGGTAGCGTCGTCATCATCTCTAGGTCCTCCGAATTTAGCACGGCTTCCAGCGTACGACCCCAGGGCAGCGTACCTCGTCTTATGTTCAGAGAGTTCGTAGCAAAACTGCTGCCATTCTGCCGACGGGCCTGCCTGGATTGGCACATATATTTAGCGCTCATACCAGAACAAATCACTAAGAATGATTCATAAAGCCTTATGAATCATTGGCATTGACGTAGAGCACAGTCGTCAATCATGCGCTTGTTTTAGATGCTAGAGCAAGGTGTTCTGCAGGCTTAGGAAGATACAGCGTTGTCTTCAGTGAGGGAATGTCCGGCGCTAAATTCGTGAGGAACGCCTGACAGCGCTCTCCACTCGCTATACCTCTTCAGTGATCTGGAAGGACCTTCAGAGTGTGAGAATTAAGCTCTATGAGGCGGCAGGGACTCCCTCGAAGACTCCGGTAGAGGTATGTCAAGGGGAACATAATCCAGTCTCGAAGTCTCAACAGATGGGCGCCTATATATTTGGTAGTTTCTGCCGACCCCGGCAATTGCCATATCTGCTGGCGGAATGTCCCCCGAAACATTTCGATCTACGACCAGCTGGGACTAGTCAAGGGACATTCACGCGCCGTTCTATTGCTTGTCTTGGCCTACCATCTCAGCCATGAATCGTGGACGTCGTAAAGAAGAAATCGAGCGTGCCTACCAGATCCAAGTGGCCGCAGGTCTACGAGGCGCCGCACAATTCGGTGCGGTGGGCCTGGGTACCGCCGCAATCGCCCACCATTACTGGCCTACCTTCAGGTACATATCCAAGCGCAGTCATTTCTTCGAATACCATGTGACCTTACCGCTGCTCTCCGTTCAAACCACTTGCTCGCGCACAGGAGGCAAACGCTCCCATTCAAAGCCTGGCTCGTCTCAATAGGTTGAGCCGCCGTCCTTTCTTCTCTGAAACACCCCTTCTGACGTACGTGATCTATCGTGTCCCCCTCGGGCCTCCTTGAATGGCTGGCGTACGAAGTCGCCGTGTTCGGCCTATGTATCCACGCGGAGAACGCGCTCCAGGCGCACGAGCTCGAGCAGCGGCTGAAGGAGAACAAGATCCGCCGCGAGGCGCGGGTAGACCTCGCTCGCCGCGGGCTCGTCGCGACCGAGACAGAGATTGCGAAGTGGAAGGAGCAGCGTGAGCGTGCGTTGGATGCGGCGGCTGCGCAGGCGAAGCAGGACGCGACGACGGCGCAAGCGTCCGCGTCCGAGCAGTAGACTTCAAGCTTCTGGTTCCGCATAGCACCCACTGCTATTACGATAAGGGCTTGCACGGATAGACTTTGACATGACAAGCTTGTTGCTCTGGCAGCATACACATAGCGATGCGGTATGTGCACTACGAATGTCGTATAAGCACACGTCATGCGTCATGTCAGGACACATAGATATTCGTGTAGGCGGACGACAGTCGTGAGTAAGTTACGGAGTTGCAGACGTATACATGCGAGGGAGGATATTGCATTGTTGGTTCATACGACAGGAAGCGAGCGATAGCAGATTGTCCGTGGAATTGTTGTCAGGGATTCAAGGAGAATGATGAGACGAAGGATTGCTACAAGCTGCGACGTGAACAAAGATCCGACATTTGGTAGGAGGGAGAATGGTGCGATGGTGCGTATGTATGTATGAAGCGATCATTGTCCATAACCGTAGTCTGGCTGGGAAACCGGCGACGACCACCCGCCCTGGGTAGGCTGGGGCGGGCCAGGGAGGTATTGCGGAGGCCTCGGCGGTGGGCCTGGCGGGTAATAGCCCTGGTTTTGGCCAGGAGGACCAAAGCTGCTCGTTGGCGGCTCATACTGCATGTGCGAAGGCATGCTCGGAGGCGGTGGAGGCGGGGGAAGAGATTGGAACATCGACTGCTGCTGCTGGTATGTTACAGGAGGTGCCGGAAGGCTCGGTCGCCTCTTCGGCGGAGCCTGGGTGGACGGCTGCTGTGGCAGCGACATAGACGAAGACAATTGAGGTGCAGGGCCGGAGAGCGCCAGCTGTTGCCCGTGCGAGAACGATGACTGGGGAGGAGGCGGAGGAGGGACCTGCCCCGGCAACGGCGGGGGAGGCGGTATGGACTGGTAAGGAGTTGCTGAAGGGAAGGACGGCGGTCCGTTCTGCGTGCCGTTATAGTAACCTTGTGGAGGAGGCCCGGGTGGGACAGGCAACGACGACTGTCTTCTCGCATGCTGGGGTTGAGGCGACTGCCTGGACTGAGACTGAGGTTGTGGCAATGGTCTCGAGCCTGTGTGACCTCCGGATGGGCTATCGGACAAGGGAGGAGGCGGGGGAATGTTGTCGAACGACGGTGAATGGTGTCCATATCCGTGAGGTGATTGTTCTGAGGTCGCCGAGTACGGGTGGTGGGACTGCCCTGGTGTCGAGGGAGATAGGGAATAGGCCTGCTGATGCTGCTGCTGCTGCTGACTAGCAGGGGCAGACGCAGGTGGAGGCGGAGGCGGCAGCTGAGGGTAGGACGAACTAGGAAGAGGGTTGTGCGAGAACGACGATGCAGGCGGGGTAGAGGCAGAATGAGGGAATGAGGAAGCCGGCGGGGTGGAGGCAGAGTACGATGAAGTGGGAGGTGTCTGATGTTGAGGGAACGAGGACGATGGAGGTAAGGAGTACTGACTTTGAGGATATGGAGTGGATGAAGGCGGCGGATTCTGCTGAGACGGAGGGTAATAGAGAGATGATGGTTGCGAGACAGACGGATATGACGACGAAGGCGGGGGACCTTGAGCGAACCCAGACTGCGCAGGCGGCAGAGTAGAGAAGCTGGACGAAGGCACCCTTCCCGGACCGACTGCGCCATGCCCAGTGGGAGTCGGTGTCACGGAGGGAGGAGGCAGAAAACCAGACGGCGCCGGCTGGCTGGAATTCAAGGGAACGAAGCCGGATGGTTGGGGCAGTGGCATGAATCCGGACGACTGGGGAGGTAAGCTGTATCGAGGTCTATGGCCGTGTTGAAAAGCGGAAGGTGCGGGAGTCGCAGCTTGTTCATACGCAGGTTGATACGGATCTGGCAGTGGAGCTGAATCGTGATGGTAGGGCTGAGGTCGTCCAGGACTTGAATTGAAAGCGTAGGTTTGGCTACCGTCCGAATAGGTCGATTGATGGAGACTGTGTGACGACTGACTAGAATAGGCAGACTCTGGAGGTGTTGCAGAGGCTGCTCGCGGAAGGTAGCTACCGCCAGTAGGGTGCACCTAACGAGAACGTTGGAGGGCCATAGTAGTGTGACTTGATTGAAGACGTACCGGCATACTTAGTCTCCTATTCCCATGATTTACGCTCAACTCAGCAAATTCGCTCGCGATCCCATCTACAGAGGAGCTGTGTGAGCGCGTTGTTTCGTAAGGGGCTACATAGATGTCCAGCCTCGAGTTCGAGGTTCGCAACGAGGGCGGCAGGTTCTCGCGGCGAATTTCATCTCGACTGTTGGTAGAGCCGTATCTTGACAAGTCGGTGAGAGATGACGACGCTGATTCGCCTAGAGGCACGAATGTCCCGCGGCCGCCGTACTGCCCATTCGTTGGTTTCGTGTTGGCCTTCTTGACTGGAGGGGGTTCCTGTGGAACGCGGAGCCATCAATACCGCGAAACATTGCAGATGTACATGATGGAGACGCACGTCCAGCCAGAATGTCAATTCGAGGTACACTTCCCCACAATACTTGTCCTTGTACATGACCGTGAACCATTCTGGATCGGCGAGGCTTAACAACAGTAGGTCTCAGGCAACAGCATCGGCAGACGCACCATCGGTCTCTCCCTTCGTTAGCACCTCTGTCAGATCAACCTTGGTCTCCCCAATCAAATCCGGCTCTCGAACATCGTCTGCGTAGCAAGCCAGCGCCATGAAATTCCCGCCCTTCACTTTTGGAGGCCCCTTGCCATTGCTCTTGGGTGGTGGTGGAGGTGGCTCAGCACCGGGGACTTGGGGCAGATCATCGCCCGTATCCTCGTACAACTCGAACCGGATTTCCTCGTCCCACTCGGGGTGCTGGCCACCGCGCTTGATGGCCTTGGTGCGCCGCTTCTCGCCATTGAAGACGACTTGGCAGTAAGGGTCTTGTTTTCCTATGTGTCGCTTGTTTGGTAGGTTTCTCTATTAACATGCATGCGCGAAAGGACACTGCCGTGAGTAGCGGGTAGCGTGTTAAGAGTAGTGGGTCCACACACCGCTTTCAAGATGACGACGATGAGTGTGCCGATGTGGCGGCCTTGTCCTTGGGACATCTGTATGCGCTGTGCGGGGGCGTGCAAAATCCGAAAGGCTGTCTGGACTAGTCGGACAGTGTGCAGATGAACCTGGGAGATGGAAGACAGGACCGGGAATTTATTGGGGTCGGCACCAACGTGAGCGCGACAGGTTCAAAGCAGATCACAGCCTTATTCTCGCTACGCGCCGGTCTCGGCTCGTAACGCGCCACCGCGTCTTGACTCTCCTTTAAGCTTTCCTCCGCCCTTGGATCGGGAGGCCGCCTTCGCCACACAACGATGACATACATTGCTTTTCATTGTCGTAAAGCATACAGAGTACACGACTCTAGCCCATAGAACAAGCCCTACTCTCCTATCTAGTACATGAGCATAGATCGATGCCCCGGAAGAACTCCACGGCTTCCGCATCCCGAATCTTCGAGCTTCCCGAGGCATACCAAGACAAAGACGCAGTTCTCCCGCAGTACTCCCCAACACCACCGGCATTTTCATCCCAATCACGCAGCAATGTATTGTACAGCAGGTCTGATGGCAGGCGTTGCGCAGCAAAGTGGTCAGTGTATCCGCGCGATGGAATCACTGGCCGGGCGTGTACGGCTTGCCGTCCGTGAAGATCAGGTGAGGCTTGCGCTGCGCGAGGTCAAGGAGCATCTCGGCGAAGTAGCTGTTCGCCCACGCGAACCACGGGCGGGTGTATGTACCGTCGTAGATGGATATGGACTCGTGAATGAGACCGAGGCCACCAGTGTTCTGTGCAGCATGACGTGAGTTAGAAAATGGACATACTTAAGAGAGCAGCTCACGTTTGCGATCGTATACAAAGAATTGAGGATCTCGGAGTCGCTGTCTGTGCCGTAGATGGCCGAGATGTGGGACATCGGCCACGGGTTCCAAGCATCAACGTGCGGACCGCTATGAGATGAATCTGCTTGTGAGTGCTAAACATTCCCAGAGAAGGTCGAGACATACCCAACACCGCTGAAGTTCCTGGCGGCGTAATAAGGGTTAGCGCGCGACCACACCACCTTGCGGGTTGCTTGGTACGCCGGGTGGGTCTTGTTGAGGAAGCCGAGGTAGGGCAGGGCGAGAAGAGACTAGCGAACAACAATAGATTAATCTCACTACTAGACCTGATCGAGCGCCAAGACGCACAGGAACATTCGCGTCGTCCATGACGTATCTGCTTCCGAAACCGTCGGTCTCGTAGGCGAAGACGTTGTTCACAAGGGTGTGGTCCCAGATCGCCTTAGTAATTGTGGAACTGTACTGACGAGCGAGCTTGCTTATATTTTTCGCCTGGTGAGTTGCGTCGAGGACATCGGCAAGATGCGTGAGCTCGACACTCAGCATTGCATTCGCAGGAGTCAAGAACGCTAACGCCATGCACATAAGGACAAGTGGCCTTGAAATGATGAGCTGTGAGAGACACTCACAGAAAACGCTGATGTCATCCGAGGGACGGTGATGAGTGCCGACCAAGCCAGTATAGGCCCTAGGTGCATTGTTGCCGCCGTTGGGCACAGCAGGCGAGAGCGCACCATTGCCGCCGGTCCAGTTGTAGTATGAGATGAGGTTGAAGTCTTTGTCGAACGTCGGCTGAGACTGCTCCCAAATGACGTTGAAAATCGCGTCAATGGCGGAGAACCAGTTCGCGTTTATGAACGACGAGTCGTTCGTCGCCTGGTAGTACGACCGGGATAGTTTCAGGAACCCGCAGAGCGAGTCGATCTCATACTTGCACTCGAAGACGGTCTGGTTATTGACGGGCCTAAAATCATCGTCAGTCACCGCTGATTGTCTACTAAGTTGTCGCTTAGTGAGCACTCACGGGTTTACGGTGACGCCGTCAGCCCAGTCGTTGTGTGAGGGTGGCAGACCGCTCTCTGGAGGAGGCTGGAAGGCACCGCAGTACGGGTACTGAGAAACATAACGTGCCTCGTTGTTGATGACAGCCTTGACGAGTGTCGCAAGCTCTTTGTCCTGACCCAGCAGTGTGTGATAGTGCGCGAACTGGTTCGCAGTGTCACGTAGCCATTGAGCACTTCATGAGAAGGTGAGTATCTCGAAACGTGTATATGCACTTCCAGAGACTAGAACCCACGTTATATCCTGTTCTAGCCATTCAGTGGTGGTCAATTTCCGCACACTTGGATGGTACTCACGCCCGTGATAATGAAGGCCAAGTTTTCAGTCTAACAGAAACCAGAGCACAGTTTTTCAGTCCTCGGCGCTTCGCCAACCTTGTCTCAATACGTACAGCGTTGAAGTACTTGACAGTGGTATCAAGCGTGTTCGGGAACGTGTTCTCAAACAGACGCGCCAAGTCGGGGTCCTTGAGCCGGGCCTTCATGTCCGTAATGACTTTCTACCGAGAGGGCGTGACGCATCAGGAAGAGTCTGTTGCCAACATGGACAGGAACATACCTCCACCGCGGTGCTGTTGAATGTACGGCACTCGGGAGACGGCCGCATGTACGGCAGTGCCAAGGGCCCAGATGACGGATCACCTTGCGGACTCTATCGCCAGCATGGGATTAACGGTGTACTTCAGAGCGCAACTCGACGCGGCCAACGCGCTCCGAGTTCGCGTGCATGAACATAACGCACCTGTGCATAAGTTGTAAAGTCCGGGCAGTCCGCGGCGACGCCAGCGATAGTGGATGCAGCAACCGCCGCCGATACAAAAGATGCGAATCCGAGCTTCATCTTTACAGTACTCCACGGCCAAGTCGTAAGTCGTCCAAAGGCTGCAGTGCAGAGACCGAGACCGGGGCCGGATTCGTCACTGAAGGCGTCGACGGAGTATGGCGTCCAAATTGTAGCAAAGGCATCGCAGGCCCTTAAGAACGCGTCTGCAACACGTCGGGGTGGCCCATGGTCAAGTCGTGCAATCAAGAAATCACTGCGGGCCGGGGCAGGATGTACTCATTGGAATGATGCACGTTGCTCACGAGGACAGTGTCCACGGGGAATCTCACCCAGCTGACCCGGGCGCGAAGGTGCACGTCGGGAAGTGATGTCACGCCGAAGGACGCTGTAGACTTTCTCGCCCTCGGGCTTCGCAGACAGGTACGTATTTGCGGGAGCAGGCGGAGCCAGGGAGACGGTGGCCGGTACGAAGTAGCTGAGGAGGTGTTGAAGCTCAAGGCAGAGTCCGTCGTGAACATTTGAACGGTCACACCACCGCGCCTTGTCCCAATATGGTAGTACATGGAATTGCGGGTATCCCACAGCATTGAGTACTTGCCAACCTGAGCAAGTGGAAGTTCATGCAGCGGTTTGCACTACAACAGACTGCGTACATGAACCATGAGCGCTGAGCAGCTTTGCAACTCGTCGCGATGATTCTAGAAGGCTATCAGGGGTATCAGACAAGAAAATACCTCATCAGATCCCCATTACATTACTGGTCGCGAACGAACCATGAGCGCATGACCGGCCTATGTCGTCCGTCTGCTCCGTCTTCCGTAAAACATCCCTCTCAGCGTCTAGACCAGTCCACAAGTCCTACTTAGAATCATCATCCAGGCAAAGTCATCAGCAAAATGCCGAGTTATTCGTGAACATATAAGGCCGTTCTACAATCGACGTCGGGACAACTCAGAATATCGGCATCGGTCGTGCGCTTTGCTGCGCTATGACTGCGAACTCGCGCTAAAATGGGCACCACATGTACATACTTGTCACACGACCTCATGACTGGAACCATATCCGTCTTAAACGCTACCGGATACGGTGAGCGTAGCATTAGCATCGCTAGGTCGAGGAGATCATGAATAAGATGGAAGAGGTCAATGATATGCGCCCACGCAATAATATACAGAATGACGACGAAGAACATCAACCACCACGATCGTTTCCCAGGCGGACTAGACAACATCGACTAAAGTATACCGTTTATGTCCATCAATTATCGGCGGACAGAAGAACGTGGAGTGCGTGCAGGCGTACAACGCGGTGCCACAGTCATGACTAGATTGGTGGCGATCATGATAGCTGTGAGTCGAAAGGAGATAACACGATGTGGTACCTGTTGGCATAGAGTCACAAATTGAAAAAATTGGAGATGATTTGTGTAAACCTACCATACTTAATCACGGGGTGCTGGTGTGGACGGTGCAGAAAGGTATTCAGTATGTGTCGTACTTGCGGGGCTCAGCGGGCTGAGGATTGCAGATGCTCTGCGACCGCCGTCGACTTCCAACTCCTGAGGCTCGCCCTCATCCGATTCTTGCTCAAGCCTTAGAGCGCCTGTCGCAGCGGCGAGCTCGACTGGCTCAGTGTCCGGCTTCGTGGGCGCTGCTGCACCGCTCCTGTTTCCGTCGATGGACGTATTCTCAAGCGACGGGGTCTCCGAGGCGACCTTGGATCCAGGGAGAGTCACGGTGGACGCCAGGTCGGGCGGGACACGCGCCTGCTGCCCAGGGAGATGCGACTTAGAAGTCACGACTTCGTCCGAGACCGCCTGCTTCTCCGCCTCCGGCTCGTTCTCAGCCGCGTCGACGGTCGTAACACTCTGGTTGGTCGGCGCATCCGACTCAGTTTCGGTGACCTCATTCGGAGGCGAGTCGATCTCCGTGTCTTCGCCTGCATCCAGGTCATCCTCCCCATCGTCATGCATACCCCCGAATCCGTCCTCCGTGCTCAAGCCGCCCGTCCTGTAGCTGCCAGATGCCCACATGCTCTTGCTCCTGACACCAGGGCTCGGCACCCCAGCCGGGCTCGGCAGCGCGACATTCGCGCTCCACCCGCTGGTCGCGCTCTCCCAGCTGCCGCGACGCGAGCTTCTCGGACGCAGCGCACGCACGCTAGCATCGACATCGTGGTCGGTATACCGCTCCTCCCCTAAGCCCTCCTCGAGGTCGCCCATCATGAAGTGGCTCGTGCTATCCGTGACACCCGCGGTATTACTCCACTGGGAGACCGAGTCATCCGCGATCGACCCTCGTCCCGACAAGGTAAGTGCACCCGCCCCAAAGCGAGCCCCAGGGAATCCAAATGCAGACGAGGCGAGCGTTAGTACGGATGCGTCGTCAGGAGGTGGGGAGGACGGGCGTGGGTTGTTACGCGGATGGTGGGCCGTATAGAGCGGGGCCGTCAGTGATGGACCACGGGAGCCTGCAGCTCCGGAGTTACCAGATGAAGGTCGAGACGGATGAGTGGGCGAGGGCGGGAGGATGGCCGAGAATGTGACGGAACCGGCAGATAGGCCGGACGAATGCGTACGGATATTGGGTGGAATTCGAATGCTGGGAGTAGTTGGAGTAGGTGGTGCCTGAGCGATGTGGGCCATGCCCCCCGTGAGGTCGACACTGAGCAGCGTCGTGGGCTTCGTGCTCGCAGCCATGCTCCGGAATGTACGCGAGTGCGAGAGGTACGACGAGGAAGAGCGAGATGGGGACGGAGAGGGAGGAGAGCTGGGGGGAAGAGGGCGCACCGATGCGTCTTCATCCGCCTCTAGGTGGCTCGTAGGCGAATAGAGCGAATCGCGAGCAACAGACAGGTTGAGACCGTCATCTGATGCGCTGCGGAACGAGCCACTGTCTGCGCTGTCTGCACTATCTGTCTCGTTGAGTGAGATTGTGCCACGAAGGCTGTGCGCCCTGGTCTGCCTGGAGCCGGTGGTATTGCTACGAGCTCGGGGTTGGAGGGCAAGGGGAGGGGCCATTGGGACTGATGAACGTCGATTGTGCTTATCCTTTCCCCGCGGCGATGGCGCACCATACCTCTGCGACTCGGACACCCTCCGAGTGCGAACGGTGCCCGCAAGCTTTCGTTGGAACCAGTTGATGATCGGCTTGCTGGCGCGACGAGAGACTTTCTTCATCTGCTCCTGGGTGTGTGACCTCGTCGTCGTTGAGCCGGCAGCAACCATGGTGGGAGGGGGAATCGGGGCCTTAGAACCCTCCTTCTTCGACTTCACAGTCGACATGGATGAGCTCGGTGCAGCAGATTGTTGTGGAGGGGAATTCGATGCTTTTGCCTTCGGCAGCGTGGCCGCTTTAGCTGAAGGACTTGGGGCTGAACTGGATTTCTGAGGAGCAACTGCTGCAGACATGGCTGCGACGTGGAGAGTAAGATAAGGATCCGAGATGTCGCCGCGGTGGGAAGAGGGAAAGAAGCTGAGCAACCATTCGACTCGGTATTTGTGGCGGTGCTCCACGTGTTACATCATAATGTGCGAATCCTGAACATCGCACGTCGCGGGTACAATGCTGCCTCCTGATCATGAGAAGTATAGACGGAGACAGGCATGCTGGTGTCCTAGAGACTACCGGACAGTACCATCGGGAAGACAACAAACAATGCGCGAGGTACACATCAAAAGAAGACCACTCTCTTCTTTGTCGCAGCGGGCGCGGAACTGCCGAACGCCCTGACAACTCCAGAGTGAGCCGCCACCTTAACCTCCGCTTTGCGCTTCACTCTCTCTTCGATCTTCTCTGCCTTGTCTACCTCAAGCGTCCTCCTCTTGAACGTGTGGAAGTCGTCTTCGTCCGCGCCACCTTCCTGGCCTGTGCCCACGAATACAGTAGTTGCAGCCACGTCTGTCAAATTCGATATTAATGATGAGTTCTTGAGAAGGAAGCGGATGATGCCCGCACCTGGTTTCCTCATGGGGCAGTCCTTCGCAAGGTGAGTCGTCTCCTTGCATACCTTGCAACAGCCACCATTGGGATATATGCCTTTTGATTGGTTTTTCGGGCATTTTGACGCAAGATGGCCTTTGCCGGAGCATACGAAGCAGGACGCGAAGGGCAGGGGGCTTTCCGGGTTCACGGGCTCTTTGCATCTCGACAAAGTGTGCCGACGTGACCCGCATCTTCGGTATAGTTGAGGTCTCTGTTACAAAATGCCGTTGCATCCGTACATATCACACACCTGTAGCAGATTCCAACGGTATCTCGTCCCGACTTGGATTTGCCTGGCTCGCCTCCCAGGGCGTCCGCAGCTATTGAATTGGTGCAATCTCTCGCCGTGTGCCCTTTCTCTCTGCATGCGAAACAGATTGTCTCGGAGTGCCTATGATCGATACGCTTCAGTCTACGTTGCTCTGACGCAGATTTACGAGCGTTGGAATCTATCGAACGGTTATGTGAGCACTTGGGGCGCAGTCCCACAGACAAGCCTCACCTATTGAACGGCGTTTATCGACTTGATTTCTCTTCTTCTCCTTGTCGTCATATCTGTCCTTCTTGGTGGATCGCTCTGGACCACCCTCAACCTGTTCCACACACTCTCCGCCCTCTGTGTTGTCTCCTTCGTTTACTACCTTGTGCGCCGCTTTCGCTTCTGTGTCCGAAAGCTTCGTTTTCTTTGATCGTATACGTTTCTGTTTCTTCGTCTCTGGATCCTGACTAGTTTTTCCCGATGCGTCCGCCTGCTGGCCACCAGCAGAGGTACTGCTAGGTTCTTGCGTCTCAAGCTCGTTGTCGAAGCCTGCCTGTACATAGGTTCGCTTCCGCCCGAAATTCGTGACTCGCGTCATGTCGTGCTTGTATGCAGATCAGGAAGTAAAGGGGTGTAGAAACGCTGGTGACGGCAGAGAAGATCCACTCCCATCCAAATTTAGCCTGACCGGAAGGCGATAGCCTCAACGCCACAACGCTCGCGCGTGCCAAGGCGCGCATCAAGCAACCTCTACACCCAACCACCTCCGGGCTTCTTCACATTCAGTTATCCTCTTGCTTGTTATCTTAGTACCCCTCTCTGCTGCCTACGGCCTCCGTAAATGCTCGCGCGCAACCTCAACTTTCTGCGCAGCGCTTGCTTGGCTGGAGATGAGTGCTTATGTCCCCGGGTTCGCCGATCCACCCTCCGCTTACGACAGGCCCCTATGGTGTCCTACGTAACTATCTGGGACCCTCGAAACCCCCAAGGCTCACAGAGCATATCTCTCGCGCACCCCAAGGATCCCACTAACCTCGGTCAGCCTGGCCCGAGTCAGAGTGCGCTCCCACCTCCGATCAGCCAAGCACCTACCCCAGAACTCCCTGCGAGCGACGGCGCGAACAGACAAGGGGAAGGCGCAGGCACCACTCCGCCACCAGACGAGGATGCGAGCTTACCAGTCAAGTACGTGCACTCCACAATAGACCCGCAGACCAACCTGCCTCTCCCGCACGCGGGCCCGGCGTCCCCGCCTCTACACATCAATCCGCCTTTCGACACACATCGTTTCTACAAAGTGCTGGAGCAATCATTCCCCGGCCCTATCGCTTTAAACCTCATGCGCGCGACGCGCGCTCTCCTGGTAGATAGAATAGGGCGAGTGAAGCGGGACGCGCTGACGACGCAGGACTTGGAAAGCGTGAGTCTTCTACTCGTCTGTCGTTCGATGCCTGCCAGCGCCTGACAGGAAGCATTCATGTATGATAGCAAGCGTACTTGTTTCAGGCCGCACTCTCAGAGCTGCGCTCGGAGACTAGCGTCCTGACAAGGAATGAGACCGCCGCTATGCGGGCCGCCACTACTGCAGTAAGACGAGAAGTGGACACAATTGACACACGCATGAAAGAGGATCTCGCAACATTAAAACACGAGTGCGTCAATTCTCTCCCCTCAGACAAGTCAAGGATTCTACGTCAACTTTCTGTAGGATCCAAATGGACCTTGATAACAGGAAAAGCGAGGCGAGAAACGACTTGAAGCGATTAGACATCCAGGTCGAAGTAAGCTTGGGGCCGTGCCCATATCATCGAGCACACTGTCAGACGACTGACTCTGGGCGTTATAGGAAGTACTGAGTAGGGCGCTGATCACTATCAGCGAGCTGAAGACGCAAGTGGAAGAGTCGCGCTGGGAGAAGTTGAAGGCGGCAGTCGGTGAGTCCCATACTCCTGCCCATCTCACCCTCTTCATACTAACAATTTGCCGAAGGTGCATTGGCCGTGCTTTCCTTTGTTATTATAATCTCCGTCGAGATCTACGTCGTTGGTCCTTCCAGAGCTGCGAAGAGGCGTGCGGAACAACCGCCTCCCCCGCCAGTGCTTCCTCCGCTTACCCCCAACGAAGGTACCCAGATCTGGACTGGAACTACATAACCTATTACAGAGTATAGCTTAGCTGGCGTTGGGTTGCTGGAATTGCGACTGTGAGTCTTGAAAAGAGCATAGATCCAAGGTATGCTACTCCTCTGTAACCCCGTCCCCCTCTAACGTCGTCAACGCAGGCATCTGTATTATAAATACCCCACACTCCTCACACTCCTTATTGCGTCTCCTTGAGACATCACATCTTATGATTACATATATGCACATCTACTAATGCTATCCTAATAACGCCTCCGAATACCAATGAAAGAACGAAGATCCTCGCATGTAATCGTGATATCATACCCAATTCAGCGCACCTCCAGCTTGTCCAGTTTGTCCGCGAGCCCCTCTGCCGCCGCATCATCCCCCTTTTTCGTGTCTGGCGCGACAGCCCAGTTAGGCTTGTTCGCGGTGTGCACGCCCTCCCGGTCGACTGACGGGGCCTCCTTCGTCGCTGTACTTGTGCCCTCTGCTTCACCCTCGTCGTCATCCTCCTCCCAATTATCCTTGACCTTCTCGCTTTCCACCGTCTTCTCCTTCCTCTTCTCTTTGCGTTTTTCGTTCTTCTTCTGCGCCTTAGTCATGCTCGCCTTCGATACGGGGACGGCAGCGGCCTTGGGTGGAGGCGCCCAGCCGACGATATGACCCTTGGGGAGGGCATTCGCCTCTGCCTGCGCTTGACGCGTGCCTCGGAAGCGGCGCACGTCTTCTTGTGGAGTGTACCCAGGACGAATCTTTTTCTCTTTGCGGATACTAGCAGGTGAGCGATGGGAAAGTAGACACAGGAATGGCGGCACATTTTGGTAAACGGGGTGCACAGCGGGCGAGAGCGCACATAGTGGCACACCCACGGCCGAGATCAGCGAGGGACGAGTAGCACAGTCAGACTGGCGATTCAAGGGGAACAGAGCCGTGAGACGTACGAGCCGTCAGGCCTTCGTGATTCTGGGATAACGCGCTCGAGCGTGCGGGGATCTACCGCAATGCCAGCGGTAGTTGTTTCAGGCACGATGGCAGGCTTAGACATGATGCTACACGCGCAAAGGCAGGCTGAGGCCCTGATTTGTCTGTAGAGGTAGAGAAGGAGTTTCAGATGCAATGAAGAGCACGCAGACAGGCGAGATATCAGAAATTCGAGAGCAAGATGCACTGGGGCGTCGACATCAGGTCTCCGACCCGGAAGCGCGCAGATTATCTTCCCGAGAAGGGCGCTTCCTTATAGAATGCATCTCTGCTCTCTTCGGCTACACCGGCCCTCCTGGATTCCCTGCACTATCATTCCTGTGCTTCCTTGTTAGCTGTAGTGATATCAACTTGACTTAATCATACGTGCGCTGCATAATACACGACGTGCGACCTAATCTCTTCCAGACACCGTCGCGATGCGGTACGCCGTGCTTGTAACGGGACCCGCAGGTGCGGGCAAGTCGACTTTCTGCAACGGTCTCATGACGCATCTGCAAACTTCAAAACGTTCGGGACACCTTGTGAACATGGATCCCGCTGCAAACTCAGACGCCTTTGAGTACGAACCTTCAATAGACATTCGAGACCTAGTCTCCCTAGAAGACGTCATGGACGAGCTCGGCTATGGTCCTAACGGAGGTCTGGTTTATTGCTTCGAGTGCGTATCCCAGTTTGTTTCAATATCTTCCAGCTACATGAGTATTCTGGTTGTTCATGCGAATGGATGTTCATTGCTTTCAGGTACCTCTTAGAGAATATGGACTGGCTCGATGAGGAGCTCGGGGGCTACGAGGATGACTACTTGATCTTCGATTGTCCGGGTACGTCCTTGATACACTACGTGCACATGTATTGTGACACTGAACAAAATCATAGGTCAAATTGAGCTATACACGCATCATCCATTTCTCCCTACCCTTGTCCGCCATCTACAACGGCTCGGCATCCGAACATGTGCGGTGTACCTGATCGAGTCGCAGTTCATGGAAGACAAATACAAGTTCTTCAGGTCAGTCTCCGTGGCGTTCCGACCGAGCTCATGTGACATACGTTACTGACTCCCCAGTTCATTAGTGGCGTGCTCTCGGCCATGTCTGCAATGGTGAATCTCGAAGTTCCCTGGCTGAACATAATGTCCAAGATGGACCTCGTTACCACCAATGTGGAAGACAAGGGCAGCGGGAGGAACGGCATTCGCACACGAAAAGATATCGCAAGGTAATATTCTCCGCCAATTCACTCCTGGCTATGATAGGCGTCTGGCACTACCACTGTCTGGGCACTACATATGCAGGCGTTCGCAGTGCATACTCTCATTGCGCTGTGGTGTGCATCCTTGTAGTGCATATGGCGCTTCATATCAGCGTCATACAGCGCATATGATCGAGTGCACAGCATCTGCCACAACCTCGGGGGGGGGGGGGCGTCCATGTCGCACTGCGCATTCCACGCGCCCTTGGAGAGTCTCCATTCCTTCGTCCCACCGCCATTGCCAAGCGCGCCGCCTCGCACGTCTGGCGGGATCCGAATATACGAATGTGTCGTGCTCAGCATACACTCTTCGTCGCAGATACCTTGAAGCGGATCCGATGCTCCTCCTGTCAGCGCCGGGCAGCCGAGAGGAACGCACGGAGCGCAATTCCAAGTTTCATGCGCTCAACCAGGCCATTGTCCAGCTGGTAAGTCATTCGTAGTGGTCCGCGTCAGCTGCTTGTTGCTCACTCCGTTCGTTCCGCCTCGTTTCTCATTCCCCGACTTTGTCGGCCGCAATTACGCGGACACTACTGGGCATACCTACCATTGCCTTGCCCATGTGATATGTGTGCTCCGGTGACTCACATTGCCCATGTCCGCCCACCGACGCCTCAACTTATGCCAAAACGTTCCGCGTGCTGCGGCTCGGGGGGACAGATCGAAGACCACCCGTTGGTCAAATTCCTCGCGATGGACCTCACAAATCCGGACTCCATAGAGACCGTGCTGAGCCATATCGACTACGTGATGCAATATGGCGAAGACGAGGAGCCGAAGGAGGTTAGTTTGTACCTGTCTTGCCGTTAATCCTTGGGCTATTGTGCTGACGGCTATCCTGGACTCATCCACCATGCCACGGCTTCCTTCACCTGCTCTATCCGGCCGCCGATTTATCCGTGGATATCGCGACCTCAGCCTGGCGACCTGGACGAGGGGGACTTCGCAGAGATGGAGTGATTCGAATACATCCTGAGACAGCGTTGCGCACCGCGTATATTCCCATACGAGCTCATAGACCCCTGTATCGCCCCCCAGATAGTAGTGATCAACATATGCCATCGCAGGGGACTCAACCGCTACCTCTAGTGACCCACACTTCGCCTCTTCCAATCTGGTTTTCCACCCCTATATTTGCTCCGTCATCGCCCCGAAACGTCATGCGCGTTGACTTCCCCACTGCGATCAGGGAAATACGAAGTAGTATTTCTCACAGTCAAAAGGCAGGACCTTCGATGCCCCATACGGTGGAGCAGTTGTGAGCCTCGAAGCCGGGTTTCCTACTCTAGGCTGCTGGGCCACAGGAACTAATACGGCGGTGAGGATCGAAAGCGGGCGTGTCATCACGGGTATTGAGAGGTCTACCAAATACGTGCTACATGCTTGCCGTATCATATACATTGCTCAGGTGTGACAGCGACCTCCATTCCCATAGCTTGACCAGGAGATCTGCGCTATTCTGTTGTCTTCCTACTTCAGAGGGCTGACGATGGCGCGCCATGCAACGCCGTTCAGCATCTACATAGCTCCGCATCTCTTCCTTGGCGGGTTGTACACATTGTGTCAGTGGCTGACATAGTGGTGGCGGCACTTGATTGTGCTGGTGGTTTGATGCGCACCGGTCTACTAGCTGGCAGGTGCCAACTAAGGTCATAGTTGGACGTCGGAGATGCCTCTTCCGGGCTCCTGCCTTACTGCACGGCCGGGAAGTCCTGGTCCACGCCGCAGTATCATCGCAACGGCTGAGAACAGAATATGTAGAAATAGCTTATCCACCACCCTGAACGTGTTTTCGAAGCCGACACGAGTCATCCAAGCATCGCAGAGACAGGCACTTATCGCAGTCCCGAGCAGCAGCGGCCCGCCCCCCTTCTAAAGACAGCAAGCGCCTGAATCTGCCGTCAACCACCAAACGTTCCCCACCGGTACGAGCCCTGAGCGCAGCGCCGTCTTGCGACTGCCCGCTCCAGGGCACGTTCCCAGTGCTCTATCAGACATGGTTCTTCGGAGCGCTTGCAGACTGCGGCAGATAAGACTCGAACAGAGTCAACCGAGAGTCCGAAGAGCGGTGGGATCCACAACGTCATACCGCGGTGCGGATAGAGTTCGCGCAAGACAGCCCACTGGGGTTGGCGCCGTGGGCGCGCTCCGTCGGGCGAGAAGCCTGCAGATCCATGAGCACTGTCAGAAAAGCGAGCGGCGGAGTAGCTGCGTGCGAGTACGAGGCTGCGTTTCAGCGCGACAATTGACAGCTTCTCCAAGGCGTTCAAAATGGACTAGGTGATCGCTAGCTGGGTGAGTAATTAGAGTAGCGCGCATGCCGATAGATAGCGCGTCGAAGCCGAGGTAAGATAGTATGACATCTACGTTGTTGGTGGACGCGTTCTACCGCGTACCGCGTATGGCAACACGACGTACATCGCCAATGGAGATGCGGCGACATGTACATGTAAAAGGCTCCTCTCCTGCTCCATCTCGCGGGAAGACGTTCGAAGCTGCCGCAGCTATAGAGTCGACGATAGCGTACGTACGGTTCTGTATGAAGCGCTTCGGGAGTTCGGGACGGACAGAAGCGCGATGGCCCTATTGCGGGCTCGCTCGAGGCGTTCTCGTGCTTTCTGCAGGTCATTTGGGGACCCACGGAGCCGAGATGCTGGGCGATCGGAAAGAGAAGCGGAGGCTATTGCATTGGGGGATCGTCCTCGTCCTTAAGGTGTGGGGGTCGTGGCGCGCGAGAGTGCGTTGGGGGCGGGCGCAGGGAGAGCGGTAGACCTTTAGCTTAAGAAGGTATACGGGTACGGGTGGGAGGCGAAGCCGGCGGCAGCGAGTGGGGGGATCAGAGTGACCCCGACACGCTGCATGCACCACGTCCCGCGGGGCTTGTGCGTCAGGGCTTCCGAAGCTCATGTAGACCAATTAGGCATGAATTGGACCTGGGGTCGGATGGAGGTGCAAGATGGGGAGGTAGGATGTGCATTGACCCTGGTCGGTATCCGTTACGGGGCAAGATTGTTGTGGTCCCAGCACAGTATAGAACATCAGACGAACCAAGAAAGCGCGAGAACATGTCCCTTGTAATGCCATTAGTTTGTTCCACGATCCAGGAATACGTGCGGAAGTTGGGTAGCTAATGGACCAGCAGCTGACCCGCGTGCCATTCAACTACCGGCTATAAGGTTTATGGCAAAGTGATCAACTAAGACCGGGTAAGCACATACGAGCCTCGTGGTAAGGGAGATGGTGAGAACACACTGGGCGGCCTACTACGGACTCCGGCAACGTGGCCAGGAACGCCCGATCGAAGGAGGGGCTCCTACCCGCAGGGTGAGAGAACATTCGTTTGATTAGGTGGCGATGTATGCTTGTACGTACGCAGTGCCCCCGGCCCCGCACTCCTCGGATATCGCGAACAGGCAAGATTGACTGTCACCGATGTTGAAGGTTTTGTTCGAACCCATGAGGTCTGTTCGCGACCCTGTCTTCGTCAGCAATTTGTCGTTGGGCAATCCCACCTATGTGTAGCAGTCCGTGCGCAGCAGGGATAGCCCTCGTGTCTCGGCAAAGAATCCAAGCTGTGGCCTCAAGCGCTAGTGTCGGGCGTCCATACGCAGCAACGAAGACAAAGCTGCTATCGAAATGGCAGGAGTCGTAACGATGGACGAGGCGCTTTGAGGGTGGAGTGTGTGAGCAGAGCGGGGAAAGATGCACTAAGGGATAACGCTGAATCTCTGGGAGCCACTCGCCGCGTGGGGGCGCCGTATGCACGGCCGCTGGAAGTTGAATACCTATCTCGCGTTCGGTGGCAGTTTGAAGGCGACGATGCGACGTGCGGCCTGCCTAAGATAGTGCAAGTGTGGCGGAGCGTAGATACGCCAGTGTGGCCGTGCAGTTCAGATGCCGAAAGGGCGGGTGGAGCGCGACCACAAAGTCGGATAGAAAGTGGCGCAGGGAAACTATTGAAGGGGCCCGCCACGCCTGCATGCAACCTCGTGTAAGTGACAGAAGGCAATAAAGTGGTTGATTTGGCGGCGCAAAGGACGACGCACTGTGAGAAGGAGTCTGAGGGACGGGTCGGAATGGACCGAAAAAGCTAGAACGGAAGAGGGCGAAGTGGCGGGCACAACGTAGTAGATGAACGCTCACCCGGAAAGCAAAATTCATGTGGCAGGGCGCGCAGTACGTTGGAGGATGCGTTTGGACAAACGGGGGACGGTACCCCGTGAAACCACGACAGAGCAAGAGTCAGGAGGGGGAGAACAGGTGTTAGCGGGTGAAATAGGCCTAGGGTTGCACTGGATCCCGACATCTCACAGCATCATGGTAGCCGATGGAGGCAAGGAGTGCATGCAAGTGGTGTTATTCGAATGATACTCCGGACAAGAACAAATGGCCGAGGAGGCTGCTGTGCAGGACACAGCCCAGGGACGGAGGACGAGCGAGGCGGGCAGCGGAACGGGGCTCGGACCAGGAGACGCCGAAGAGATCCGGACGATCGCAGATCTCGATCAGTTACGTATGACGTTATGGACCCTTCACACGAACCTTCACGCAGGAAATGTTGTGGATTTGGACTCCAATCTTTCTCCCTGCTCCCAGTATAAAATGCACTCTGTCCCGCCTCCCCTGGCGCATTCCACTCCCCAACGCACACCTCACCACCATGCCTACCTACTACTACCCAACGCACAACACCCATGGCACCCGTCAGAGGTCCCACTCCCATTCACACCAACCGACCCAGGTTGTGTACCCGTCCGGCTACTCCTCCCACCACAGCTCTCCTGGCCACCACTTCAACAACGCATACCCTCAGCAGGGCGCGTACTACCCTCCGCCCCAGTATCTGGTTCCGAACTATCAACACGACGCGGGCCGTCATCGTAGCCATCACGGACATGCACGGACAGGCTCTGGCGACGCTGTCTACTACACCTCCTCCGCTCCGAGCCACCACCACAGCTCCTCTCGCGGTAGCCCCCATCACCAGAACGTTGCCTATACCACTAGCCGCCGCTCGTCCTCCTCGCACAACCACTCTCGCCCAAGTCGCTCGCATTCTGTACCGCGGCCTGTCCGCGTTTCGTATGACTCCAGCCCCCGCCATCGTCGCGTAAGCACACCTTCAGCGCCTTCTGCATGACGCGCGCGGCTGACCTTTCGTCTCTAGAGCGAATCGCGCCCCCGCGAGGCCTCCATCCACAACGTTTCGCACTCACATCATCGCCGTGGCAGCTCCTCCAGCGACATCCCGCTGAGCGAGCGCATTCGGCGCATGTTCGGCTTCAGCCACCACACCTCGTCCTCCCATGGCTACCGCTACGGCGACCCGCACCGCGGCGGCGAGTACGTGGACACGCGCTCCGGCCGCACAGTCGACTGGCGTGGTCGCCCCATCTACCGCGTCTGAAGTGGCTCTGGTGCCCGCGAGGCGGTTTGGCCGCGTCAGGCGCGCGACCACCAATTGTGCTTTTCCGTGATCTCCGAGAGGTTGCGGGAGCGCCCCGCCTCGCCTCCCATAATTGCTGTTGCTTTATACTACCCCTCGCAACTATCCCCTTCACTGTATCACCTCTTGCGCGTCTCAAAGGCCTTGGACCTCCAGGACTGGACTTCCTTTGTTATTGCATCTCGTTACCAAAGATTAACTATTGTCCTCTTCCTTCACACCCGTGCCGCGCACGGTCCTCAGTGTAACTGTGCCTCTGTACCGTGTACCTGTAACGCTCACGACCGCTCTCACGCTCTTCTGTCCTGCTTTGCTTCGTCGTGGCTTATCGCTGCTATTTAATGAACCTACCTTACGTCTTACTTATGAGTTTTGTATACGCACCCTCGACGAACTTCATGATTAGTTTCCCACCCAGGAACAATTCTCGTGTTTTGATGCTTGGCGGCATCCCGTTCATGGGCCAAGGAAGACTTATTATTGTTCCACAGATCCGTACAACATCCGACCCATCATCTAGATAGATACACCAAGACTACATCAATCACCAACAACGGACGACCTGGGGTACGGGTGCCATGCTCAGCCAGAGTCACTGTTGCGCTCCTTCCTGGCCCGGATCCAGTGCTCGACCCTTGTCTTGTGCTCACGGAGCGTTGCCAGGGCAGACATTCGCGCCCTGACGTTCTCCTCGCTTTCCGAGGCGCACTCCCAAAGCACACTCATCTGCACTTCGACCTGCAGCAGTTCCACGGCACACGTTCAGCGAATCCCACACCGTTGTGCGGCGTTCGAGTAATTGGTGGCAGCGAAATCGGCGCACCTTCCTCGCAACTCCTTCCAGCGCTTCATCGAGCCTCTCGCCCACGGCTTCAACGGCGCCCTTCAGATGATTCTGAAGGGCGACCGCGGCGTCTTGGAACATCGTGTGTCGGTTTCTTTTGAGGAAGTCATGGAACACTTGCTTCAAGGGCGTAAGAGGTGGAACAATCGGACAGATGCCTATGAGTGCATCGCACAAGATGGACGTGGATGCAGCTCGTACCTTCTGACGTGCGACAGATCCTGCTCCAGTTATCCACGCCGCTTGTTCGTAGCCATCAGAGAGACGCCTTGTAGGAAGGGCGCGAGGAGACGGCTGATCCGCTTCTGGCGTCCTTCTAGTGTCTGTTTGACCGTGTCGGTAACTTTGCGCATGTTGCGATGTGCGTCGGACAAGGCCGTGGCTCGCAGTTTCCTTGAGTATCTCTGCAGATAGTCCGGGACTGACGAGATGAGTTCATCCAGGAGGACGCGAATGGTAGAGATGGCCCTCTACTTCAAAGACTCCATATGTTGGGAGCTGAATGTCCGTGTCCACGAGCTTGCGAGTTGTAGTGTGAAAGCCGTCGTTAACTCGACATTCAGGTCCCGCCGGAAATGGCCTTTACGTCGGAGTGCTATACAACATTGTTAGAATTTCCCACCCGGCTTATGGATGTCTTCGGCACTGACTAGCACGGTAAGTCGACCAATATGTCGAGGAAGCGAAATCGTCAGATACTTTCACCACTGCATTTGCTGCCTATGTGTGCACTGTTGTTAAGCGAGGCATCTAAGTGGTCGGCATAGAAAGTACTCTACCAGCTTTGCACTGTCATCACATTTCTGCTTCAACGTGGATACAAGAGACTTGTTCAGACCCTCGACAACGCCATCTGATACAGTCTCAAAACTCTGGTGGTTGTCAGAGGCTCATTCTCCATTGAAAGATGTTATGCGCTTTGTAATCACCTTGATCAAGCGATAGATGACACTGGTCTGGCGAGATGCATACCGTCCCAGTCTGAGCTCTCTGCTAGTTGGCTTGAGCACGTGCGGCCAACGCGGATGTGTCTCCTTTGACTTCCATCTGTTTCGAAGGGCGTTGCGATCTTCGGCAGTCACGCCTGGGATACCTTCAATGAAGGCTAATGCCGAGGTTATAAGCCTCTCCAAGCCCTCAAAAAGCTCGTCAGTGGCCTTCTCTCTGGCTGGAACGGTGAGCTGCAAGATCCAGCGGGATAGAGCCGGGATCTCGGTATCCTCTTCCTCAACGAAGCACGAAGGGCCCCGGTCGTCTTCCGCCTTGTCTGCACTCTGTAATGTAAGATATCTTGCAACAGAGGAGATGTTGCTAGTGCTACTCACTGATGATACGCATGAAATCCCTAGAAGCGCATGTGAAAACAGGAAGCTTCATGTCCAGGTCTATATGTTGCGAAGCAGATGCGGCGTCAGTCATCCTCACAGAACTTACAATACTGGAGCTTGGGGAAGCACAACTCACCACAATCTGCCGGCTCTTGCGTGAGGTCTTCGGTGTTGTCATACATAAGCACTCTGCATAGCCATGGCAGCAACGACACGTACCTTCAAACTGAGGCAAACCGGTTCGGAAATCCTCCTGGAGTGCCATCTTAGACCACTGATCCATATGTCGTGCTTAGAAGTCATGTATGTCCAAACAGGTGAAACAAGCCACATCTGACCGATGTAACCTGTCCTTCTCCATCATGGACCTCGACAGCGCCTTTTGAACGTGTCCTACCATGAACTGCGCTTTATCATACAAACTTTCCAACTCGTTGAAGTCGGATTCAATGATAGTGTGCTGTCCGGATGCTGGACTGACGCCAAGTGGCGCAGATATCTTCTGTCTCTTCCCTAGGCTGTCTTTCCCATAGTTGTCAGTAGGGCGCTTCATACCGATGGAAGCGGATTCTGCGGTGGTACTTCTAGATCTTGTGAGCACGTTCGGCCCTCTCTGCGGCTGTTCAAGTACAGATGCTATTTTGGAGTATCAGGATATCCAATACGCCAGGATGAAGGACTTTGTCTTACCGCATGTCATCGATTTCGCAGCCTGAGCCCAACTCTGCAGATTCTTTCTATGCTTTGCGATATCGTTGTCGATCTTCTTCAGCTCGTCACAATCTGCCAGCTTTCGCTTGAGTGCTGGCTCCCGAAGGATCTCTTGTGGTGATACATCGTCACATTTTGTTGCTAGTTTCCACATCAGTACTATTTCAATCTTGTCGGGAGCACATACAGTAGTGGCATGCTCTTTTCGGAGCTGACACGACAGACAATGCAAGGCAATATGCACAGGTCTACTCATGCGCATTTCGACCTGACCCGTACCCGTAACCACGCGGGTACATACCCGAGTAGGTCGGGTACGGATCGAGATCGGGCACGGGTCAAAGATCGGGTTACCCATATATGGGGCTCCTAGGGGATACTAAGGGTGCAGCATGACTGTCTACTTGTCGCCAGAGATGCTGTCAGGAGTTTTATGTGTGCACAGCATCCTTAGTGACAAGTAGGTATCCATTGCTATCGCCTAAGCCTTATTCAAGTACAGCAGCGCCTGCACGAATACCCCTTCCCTGTTCCCGCCTCCTCTCGGGCCTGTACAGCGGCTCGCACCGGCAGTGGCGACGTTACCTTGGTTTTAGGGCCGTTCAACCACAGTGCAATGAAGATTTCCCTTGCCGACGGGTCCATGGGTACACTCTGTCAGATATGGGTTTTGGTCGGGTCGACCAAATCTTGACCCGTACCCGCACGGGTATATACCCGGACCCGAGGCGACCCTTATGAAGGGGCTGCACTCACCGATGAAAGTGATGACCTCAGGAGAATATCTTTATTTCATAGTCATCTTAAGTCGCGTGCATGATGGTAGAAATGTGAAAGCTCACTTTCCGTCTGTGGATGAGAATGAAACTCAGGCGAGATACCGCGAATGACAATAGAGGGACCATTACATACCCAACGTCAACTGCGTTCGAAATGCGACTCCGTACAAGTCTGTCATTCCAACCATACCATAAGCACGACCTCACAGCCCCACTGCGATGCGGCAGTCCTGCTCACCTCGGGCGACCTTCGAACTCACCGCCCTGGTGATGGGCGAAACTACGAAGACACGATCAGCGCGTTTCAGGTAATCTCTGGCAACTTTGCAGCGGGCTGCATTGCTATCAGCAACCCCAGGTAAGTCCACGAGCACAGCTCCAGTCGACAATACTGGAGCTGGGCAATGAATCGTGATCTTCCTAACGAGAGGCCAATATGAGGCAGTTTTTAAGCCATTCGACGGGTCAATATACTGCGATACCTCGCTCGTGAACATTTCTGTAGCCGAGCTTTCTGTGACAATGTGTACTGTCTTTCCGAGGAAGAGCGGCACAACTGTTGATGTAAATGAATGCGTGACAATTTTCAATGAAAAAGGCGAAAGGTTGGCTTACAAATGTTCTGTTGCGAGAGTTGCTCTACGGTTATATCGGACAATATGTCCTCATTGACAGAGGGGTACACAGCTGACATCTGCACAATGATTATGACTTCGTAGCGATGCCAGGACAAACCTTGTGAAAGACTCACTTTATCCCATGCGACAGCCGCCTCCTCAACGAGATCCCAGCGATGCTTCACGCGGCCATCTGGATTGTCCTTTACGTCTTGGAGTAGGTGTTCCACCTCGTTGTACCATTCAGTCTTCGTGAGATACTCAATATCGGCCTTGATCTGATTGTCCGTACTGTACCGGACTTCGGTGACAACGGCTGTACACGCTTTGCACCGGTCATAGATCAATGGCTGCTTGCGCGGGAGTCGATGTAGGTGGCTGACATACCGGACATGCCACTAGTCCGCACAAGATTATCTGTTGCACGGGAATGCTTAGTCAATTTTGTAAGATGGCGGAGTGGACAGGAACACGTACCTCCGAGCAGTGCATTGATGAGCGATGACTTCCCAGCGCCCGTCTCTACTCGTGTCAAGACTGAGTGGTGGTGTTGCGGACACTCATGAAAATGGCGTACCACCGCATAATGCAATGACCATCTCTGCGGAGTCTCCTGTTTTACGCAAGCTAGATCCCTTTTAGCATCATCCGGATCAATTTGTGGGAGGAACGACCATCGAAATTACTTTTGTATGTCTTTCGTCAATTCGTCCCTTCTCAGGGTGCTGCCTGGTGAGAGAGTCCCAAGGAGCTCAGACACAGCATAAATGAGATGCTTGCCATGACGCCGAGCCTCGTCGGCGTCCAGGTCTATGGGGTCCGCTATGGGGCGATAGTGAGCTTCGTAAGATCCCGACGCGGCAATGCCAGTCGTGCATACCGCCAAGTCTTAAAGTCTCAAACAGCAACGGCTGCACGGTGTCTTCTTGCTTGATCTATTGTAGAGCAACTCGCATTTCAGCAGGGGTACTCTCTCACGTGAAGTAGACTCACTCACATCGGCCATGTATGCAGAGTGAGACGCGACGGTCCGTCGATTGTGCAGAAGAGAATTTGGGAGAGACTCACGCAAGACGCGTCTCAAGGGGTTTGTAGTCTGCTCTCAACAGCGGCGCTGATTTACAAACCGAGGGTAAGGCTGGGAACCTCTACACGAGCCTCCTGCCCAAGCCTTTGACTCAAGGCTTACTTCTGGACCAGACAAGCGAGTCCTCCATCATTTCTATGATGGACGATAGAATCTCGGCATATCCGAAGCCTCATGGAAGGTTGTCTTGGGGCATCGTTGACGGCGACGTTCGTGATCTTGCACAACAACATGTCTCCAAATTGGCTCCAGAAAGTACAATGTCGCCAGGCTGCGACAATCGATGATCACAGGAAACGGCACCAGAAAACAGCAGGAAGTTAGGCGAGGCAACGTTCCGCCTAGCACAGTCGATGTTGGCGGTGAATCGAACAGTCCAAATGGGGATAGGCAGCGCCCGGGTTAACCGAGGAGGCGCGCCTCAGAGCGCCCGGCCTTCGCTTATGCCTCGGGGCTCGAATTGCATGATAATCTACGGCTTGATTAGACGGCAACAGTGCTGTCCGCGTCAAGGTCAATGCGTCAATGTGGGTCAATCCTATCGATCGACCCCCGACTGACGCGTCAATGACGGGTCAGTTGACCCGTCAATATGCACGTGATCATCCCGCCTTATCCACTTTGGGTACGGGTTGTGATGCCTTCGTACGTTACCAGATATTGAACATGATGGCGCGCCGCACGAGCATCACTACGATCATGTACTCCATAAGCCATGTATACAAGGCGCATGCCTGGAATGCCATTTTTTCCTGTTTTACTTCCCCCACCCTTCATCCGAGGGATGCCTCCGAAAAGCGACATATGGAATCTCTTCGAAACCTGACAGGGTTTGAACGGAAAACAGGTTCGGTATCTCCAGGACAAATCGCACTACGCAGCTTGGTGCAAGGGCTGTCTTGATCGCTTTGTCAACGTCCGTATCGCTGTGGACAATCTTAACACTAATAATGGCGACCTTCCACAAGCCGGAGCGAAAACTGCGGACAAGTGGCGGGACATCGGTTTGTTGCATGTCCAGTCAATATGTACCATCAAACACTAAATCTAAACCCTATTCCAGCCAAGGACCCAGCACTCGCAATCCATGCCGCAGCCTGGCAAGGCGATTCAAATATCTTCGGAACAACTGGTGTTATTCCGGTTGCCGGCAAGCGAGACACCATGTTACCTCATGCGCGGCATTGTGTCTACAGTAACAAGGATATCCTTCAGAACATCGAGACCCGAGCTGCACTCGCTGAACAGGCAAAGGCCCAAGTAAAGGCTAGTGCTGCCTTAGCTTCTCAACTCAGGGAGAACTCCGAAAATATTGCACCACCGACCACATTCACCTGGACCGCACCCACCGCACCACCTGCACACATCCCACCAACCACATTACTCCCGAGCACTCCCTTCTCATTTGCGACTCCAGCCACATCATCATTCAGTCTCCTACATAACCTCTCCCCGAGCCCAGGTCCATCAAAGCGCATCAAGACAACGTGCAGCGAGCCAAACATCCACATTCCCGAGCTCCACCAAATGCCCGCCACACCGCACAACTCTACCGCTGCTCAGTTTGATTGTACCTGCAGGTGCCATCAGGCTTGGGATCAGGAACGCCAGGACGAGTTCAACGCTGACCTATGTGATCTCTTCGTTGCATGTAACTTCTCCTTCAATGCTGCCGACAACCCCAGACGCACCTGTTCTTCACAAAATGGGTGCCCGGTGCTAAGGTGCCCGATCGGCGGAAGCTGTCTGGCCCTTGTCTGGACAGAGCTGTAGCCAATGCGACTGCAGCTACCCGCATCACAGTGCACGGACAGTACGCAACTGGTCAGAGCGATGGATGGAAGAACATCGCAAAGACGTCGGTACTCACATCGACTATGAACGTCAATTGGCTTGTAAGTCTCAAAAATTGCCTAATTAGGACTTGTCTCACTGTATTCTTGTATAGGCGCATCTGGTTCGAACACACGATATGACAGGACGGCCGAAAACGGGCCAGGAACACCTAGAAGTGATCAAGTCAGACATCGAGTACATGGAGACCACGTACGGTGTGAGGACTATCGCTTGGGTCACGGATGACGGCCCTGACGGGAAAGGGGCTCGTAATCTCCTACGGAAGCTCTGGCCATGGATGGTTCTCCTTCTCTGCTGGGCGCATCAGTGCAATTTGCTTGTTGGCGAATTTCTGGTTCTAGATCCTTACCGAAACATCATGGCGCAGGCTGTCGAAATTGCGAAATGGTTCAACAACCATAGCGGCGCTCTAGACCTGCTGAATGTAGAGCAACTAGCCACGTACCGAGATCGCCCTCGAGCCCTTGCTCTGCTTCTTCCCGTGGTCACGCGCTGGACCGCTCACTTGCATGCGGCAGAGCGGGTTCTGCAGCTAAAGTTGGCCCTGGAGTGCGTCATCATGAAGCATAGGGATCGCCTCAAGACAATCGCCTCCTTCTCACGTGCTAGGGAGGGCGACACACTCATAGGCCGTATAATAGCGACCATTGAGAACAAGGAGTTCTGGGTGTTGCTTGCTCGGTAGGCCATGTGTAATGATCTGTCATCCTCCATTCTGATATACATTGTGCAGAGTTACAACTCACCTGAAACCGCTTGCCATTGCCACAAACATCCTCCAATCGTCCCATGCCCGTCTTGATCATGTCCTGTTCACCCTTGCCAACCTCTACCATACCTATAGTGCCGATGGCACCGAAACGGATGTACGTGAGCATATGCTCAGTAAACTGGAAGCCCGCTGGGAGAAAAATGCAGATCAGGACCTTTTCATCCTAGCGGGCTTCTTGAATCCATACGTACGCGCATCGTGCTTCAACCGAAAGGTTCTTTGCGGCCAGGACATCGTCAATCTTGCTATCCGTGTCTTCAAGCGGCTGTTTGAATGTGATCCTGAAGCGTCCTTCAGTGATGCGGTCGAAGCCTACATGTACCGACAGGGTCACTATACCGATGCTGCTATGAACCTCGCTGGTCATCTATCGAATGCCAAGGATAAGGTAAGCACAATCATCTAACTTCGTCAATAGGTACTTACATTCCTATAGGAAGTCGACATCCTCCGGATCTGGAAGTTGGCAGATCGATCGAATGCGGACAATACAGCCATCTGTACAGATGAGAATGGACTTCCCAAGCTCGCAAGGCGGCTGCTATCAGTCGCAGTGAGCACAGGTGACACGGAGCGCGTTTTTAGCGACTTTGGTATAACGCACACTCGACGCTGCAACCGTCTCTCACCGGAGACAGTCCACAAGATTTCCGTGGTACGGAAGTCTCTCCGCCGCGCACACGCAGCGGCAGGACTATTGGTAACTCGGATGAAACGAAAACTCACATCAGATAGCACGGAACCCTCTCAATGTCCCATCCCGGTGGTCAATATTGTTAGTACAGAAGTGTCCCCTAACCCGGATGCCGAAGAGGTCGAGGATTTCAAGGCGCTAGGAGACAGGTTGATCAAGTCAGCCATTGACTCGCGAGCACACATGGAGGCAGAGACAGACAACGAGGACAACACAGATAGCATTGAGGCGCCTCAAGCTACCCTCAACCCTGTTGCCACGGTACAATTGGGCCAAACGGCAGACGCCGCAACGTCTTCTATTGTCAACTCGGAGGCGCCAACAACCCACTCACAGCGCGAAGCGACCCACAGACGGAAGAAGACCAAAAAAAACACGATCCGTCTCGCAGACCTCTTCCTCTACCCACACCCACCTCCTCCAGGCTCCCGCCAATCCCAGGTCAGCGCATTCGAGGAGTCGGCGGATGGTGATCGGCTCAGAAAACTTCGCTTCATATGGACCACCGGGGAGGGGAAGCTGGAACAGGAATTGCAGCTGAGCGAGACGTTGCAGCATCTGCAACAGGTGTAGTACTTATTCCGTCCACTCTATAATAACGCACAGTAATACATAATTTGTCATCGGCGCCCGTTTTTGGGCAGCGTGACTGCTTGACTGCGTGGGAACCGAGGGCGGGAAATTCGTAAGCTCTCGCGTTGAGAAGTCATCTCACCTCCGGCAGACCACACTGTGGACTGGGGATAGGCAGCGCCCGCTAGCCGATGTTCTGCTTATATAACGATAGCGCTCAGAGATAGTCTTCCGCTCTCATCTACCTGACCTTGATGTTCGACTCCGATGAGGCGCTCTCGAGGATCTTGGTGGTATAATGGGACTTCCAAGGGTTTGTTCCCCTCATAGGCAGGATAAACCATAGTACAGATGTGTAAGAAGTATTATATGCATTGTGAATTGTTTCGCTTGGCCGAGATGAGCATGGCTCACTCCAGTGTAGGACATGAAGGCACAGCGACCACTACCACTCTGGTCGGTGGCTGAGAGGCGCTTAATCCTCTCCCCCTTCCCAGTGGGCACGGCGCTCACATTCTTTTGCGCTCTGAGCGCGTTTTGAGCCTGGGATGCTCACTCAAAAGTTGTAGGGAATGATGTGTAGAACATATTCTCTCGTGTAGATTTTTGATTCTTACAATATCTCGAGAACTAGGCTCCAACTTGAAAATCGCCATGAGAGAACTTGTGCATTCAATGTCTAAGATACCCCTTCACCACTCTGCTCGGTCATAATGGGAGGTTTTGGGGAGAGATCTTTCTTTTACACGTTGACCGCCCTTCAGCCACCAGCATTCCATTTGGCCGTCTTGCCGTCCAGTGTTGTCATTGACGGGTCAGTGACGGGGTCGGTTGATGCGTCAAGTCAAGGGGTCAATGGGTCACGTCAATGACCGACCCGTCAATCGTCTTGTGGCGCCAGCATAGACAAGAACGAACCCTACATATTATACCAGCGAGAGTTGTAAGAGTGAGACACGCTGTACCAAAACTGGGGAAGCGAAGTGAGTGAAGGCAGCACAACGCCATAGGAATCATATGCATCAGGAGTACAGACGCGCATGTAAGATAGATAGCGCAACAACAAGCATGGAGTACAGTATTTACCAGATCATAAGGTCAAAGCATAGAGAATATAAGGTGGTGAATAAGGCCGATGCGCCGCCGACTACTATGGTATGCGGATGCAGGAAGGAAGTCAAGCGGGTGGTACGGACAGAGGGGAAGGTATAGCACAAGAAACAACGTAGCCGTGCGAGAGCAGGAGGGTGTACAACGAGCAAGGGCTACTCATCATCCATCTAGGTCGACGTCTAGGCCATGATGGCCTGAGGAAGATTTTCAGCGCGCTTCCACAACTCAACCTGCTGTAGGATCTCCGAGACGATATCAACAACCTCAGCACGCGCCTGCACTTGCGAAGGGTCGTCGCGGACACTCTCCCACAGAACGGCAATGCTGACTTCGACCTATAAAACGAAGCAAGAGCCATCAGCACATGCTCCGTCGTCTTCTGTGTTCTAGCGTGTGCGCACCTTCATCGCGAGCTCCCTGAGAGCCTCATTGAGCGCGGCGCCAACGGCCTCCGCGGCCTTCGAGAGACGGGTCATGATGACGTCCGCTGCGTCCGTAAAGATGCGGTCCTTGATCCCGGCGATAAAGTCGTGGAATACAGCCTAGACAGTACTCATCAGCATAGAAGCCAAAGAAGGGTCCACAGGGATTGTATACTTTCTGGCGGGCCACGCTGCCCCTTCCGCGCTCCTCCATCGCACGGTCGTACCCGTCGACGAGCTGGTCGCGAATATGCGGGGCAAGGCATCGACTGACCTCCTTCTGCTCAGTTGTCATCGTCTCGTTCACGACGTCGAGGGTCTTGCGCAAGGCGAGGTGGGCCTCTTCCATGCACAGCTCGCCTTGACCCTTAGCACGGTCCTTGAGGCCAGGCGCGGCGGAGGCCTCGACATCCGCGATGAGCTTCGCAATGACCTCCGTCGTCGCCTTCTCGAAGGATGCGAAGAGGTCTGCCTCGAAGACCTTGGACCAGGAGCTCGCGATTTGACGCGTGAAGGGGTTGGAGAGGTCTACGTTGAGATCGGAGCGCCAAGAGCCATGCCGGCGGAGTGCTGTAGACAGTATTCCTCAGTACCAAAGCTGCAGATCAATGAACCTGGAAACGCACTAGCACGATAAGTTGCCCAATGCATACTGGCAGCAAACTCATCGGACGTCTCCACCGCCGCGGCCGCAGCCTAGTCATAATATTCAGATCACGATATCTCAGAAACACGCGTCGTGCATTGTACTCACGTTCGTAGCGCCGATCTTGCATCTCTCCTCCAGGCCATCCTTAAAGCGCTCTTGGAGTTCTTCCACGCAGTTCTCGACGACCTTCTCGAACTCCTGCAACGACGTCACTAGGCATGAGCACTCCGCTTCGCCAGTATCGCGGCCCAAAACGGACCTTGATGAGTCGCGGCGTCACACCGATGGGCTCGCCGTTCCGGTCGACCTTCGTCTGCTTGAGAGTGTACAGGTTCATGTCTTGCATGAGGTGCCTGTAGTCGTCCGAGCTTGCCATCAGGTCGTCGTCGTAATAAGGGTCCTCGTCCTCCGGGTCGAGCATGTCCGACTCCCACTGCTCCTTCATCGCCAGACGGTCCGCCTCGGTGACCTCGCCGACGCCCTGCAGGAACACGCGCACGGTCTTTGCGAACGTCGTCAAGTGGTTGAGGAAGTTGCGCGCGGCTCGCGAGCGCGAGGACACGGTCAGCTGGTGGCACCATTGCTGGAGGGCAGGGACGCCAGTGTCTTCGGGCCTCGTGAAGCAAGTGGGATCACCGTCACCCTTGACTTGACCTAGCATCGCGAATCGTTCGCCGGGGATCCGAGTGTGGGAAGGAAGAGACACGCACCTTTGATACGGACGTAGTCGCGGGCAGAGCAGGTGAAGACCGGGAGGTCGATGGACTCATAGTCTGTACTCGGTTCAGTCAAAAGTCGAGGCGGGCAGCGTGATGAGACAGACATACCTCGGATGTTCACCGTCGGGTCGAAGTCGTCCGGATTCTTCTGCTCCTGCTCCGCATCTACGCGTGCTGTCAGCGACGTCCTCGGATTCCGTCTCTAACGAACTCACCATCAAGGTCCTTCAAGCCGGTACGGAAGTCCTCCTTCAGGACATCACGCGAGAACTGACCCAGCACACCTCAGCACAACACGCCCCGTCAACGAGCAAGGACGCGAACGCACCTCCGACCGCTTCAGCGAGCAAAACGCGTTCTTCCTCCGCTGCGCTTCGTTCTGGCGCTTCTTCAGCGTCGCAAGCATGTCCACCGCGTCCTTGCGCTGCTGGCGGAACTCGGACAGCTGCACGCGCCCTTCCTTGATCGCCTCCTTGACCTGCTCGATCTTCGCCTTCAGGCTCTCGACGGTGACCTCTTCCTCGTTGTCCTTGTCCTCGTCCATGCCCTTCTCCGATCCCGAGTCGGAGTCAGAGTCGGAATCCGACTCGTCGCTCTCGCCCCCCTTCTCCTTGTCCATCTCCTCGTCGTCGTCCTCGGAGAAGTTCAGCTCGTCCTCGACCATGAAGTCGTCCTCATCATCGACCGCCATCGGCTCGCTCGCCGGACTCGCCTTGTGCTTCTTGGCGGGGCGCTCCGACTTCTTGCCGCGCTTGCGCTTCTTGCTCTTAGACCCTTCGCCGTCGTCCTCCGTCTCGGATTCAGACTCAGACTCTTCCTCCTCGTCCGAGTCGGAGCCAGAGCCGGCCTTGTCCTTCTTCGCCTTGCCCTTCTTGGCGGTGAGGAGGGGCTCGAACGGCTCGCCCCTCTCGAGCGCGTGGAGGTGGTCCTGGTACTCTTGGAGGAACGCGCGAGACTGCTTGAGCTGCGCGTCGACGTCTGCGCGACGTACACGTCAGGTGTTGCGCGGCAGGCTTTGACGCATGCACGACCCACCTTTCGCGGCGTTCTCGGCATCGGTCTTCTTTACCTTCCATTCCTCGATGTCCCTTTTGCAGGTGTCGATCTCCTCCTCGGTCGCCTCTAGCTCTGGGTCGTCCTCGAGGTTCAGGGCGCGGATGACCTCGGAGCAAGAGATATCATCGCACTTGGTTGCTGCAGGATTCGGGAGTCAGCAATGCGCCCCAGCAAAATGAGAATAACAAATGACTAACCGATGAATGTGATAGCGTTGGCGTCATAGCTGAACATATCTTATTGAGCCTCGGTCACCAGAGGCCATCACCTAATATGCACTTACTTGCCGTCTAGACAAAGCCGGCGAGTTCAGAGGGAGTGCAAATGCATGAGCAGTAGACAACACCTACCCATCATGAGCTGCATCTTGAACGCGTCGCCCATCAGGTCTACCCGAACAGTTCAGCGCCTCTCCCGACCCAACTACGACCAAGACACCCACCTCTCGCAGTCTTGTCGTCCACCGCGCGCGTGATCGGCGCGAGGATCCACACGCAGTCGCACTTCTTCATGTAGTCCTTCGCGATGTTGTTCCGCGCCGCGTTCGCGTCCGCGACGCCGGGCAGGTCGACGAGGATCGCCCCAGTGGAAAGCGCCTTCGCGCTGCACCACACGCGCACCTGGCGGATTAGCGGCCAGTACGCGGGTTCGTCCTTGTCTTTCTTCTTGTCCTTGTCCTTGTCCTTCTTCTTGTCCTTCTTGTCCCCGCGCTTCTGGTCCTTCGAGTCGATGTACTTGCCGATCTCCTTCGCGAACGTGCGCGAGTCGGGCGCGCAGATCTGCTTGGTTGTCCCCAGGAGCCTCGCGATCTCTGCGAGGGAGCATGCCATCAGTCCTGGGGAACTTGAACAAAAGTGGCGCGGGGCTCACTCTGGTCTCTCGCGATGATCTGGTCGACGCTCATCCTGATGAGCTGCTCCTGGGTGATGTTCGGGTACACGGCGTGGACCTTTGACCACGCGATGCCCGCGTCGCTGCGCAGGTCGGTGCTCCGCTTGAGGTTGCCGTCCTCGTCGACGAGGTCGTCGAGCAAGACCTTGAGCTCGTCTCTCCACTCCTGCTCAGTCAAGAACGAGACGGCGCCGTCGATGGTCTTCTTCTTGTGATACGCAATCTCGGTCACCACGGCGGTGCATGCTGCGAGGGGCGTTGACGTCACTTAGTACAGGAGCCTCGTGTATCATGGCGGCAAGCAGCACTTACCACGCATCCCGCTTGTCGGGACAATGTTATCTATATATGTTCGTACGTGAAGAGCTGAGCGTCTAAACTTTAACTCAAGTCAATCATTCTGACGCACCATCCAAGATCGCGTTCAAAATGGATGATTTTCCGGCGCCAGTAGCTGCGGAAAGTCAATGACACGCATACACGCAGATCCGACCGGTACTCACCACCGCAGACCGCAATCATAGTACTAGGTGTTCCCTGGCTCAGCAAGCTGTCGTGCCGTCGCCGTCAGCGGATTCCCTCGCGTCTGTCAAAACACGCAGGCATACTTTTCAATCTCGGCGGCCCAGACATCGTGGCGCAATTTGCTCCCCAGGTCCACATTCTTGATGCTCGCCTTGAGCGCCCTCACCATGCCCAGGCCTTCCTTGAGCGCGTCTTCGGGTGCGTAGTGGATGTCTTCAGCTCTCTCGTACACATTGTAGTAGCTCTTAGATGGTGGTTGCAGGACCTTCTTCTCGTCCTGCTCCGCGTGCGGATCGGATTTTACCGCCTGTCCCTCAGCAGGCTTCACCACGAACAGATACCGAGGGATGCACACACGACGCGTCAAAACCGTCAAACACGCGTCCGACAGCATTTCAAATCACAAGTTCAACTCACGAGGCGCGTCGCGTCGATAGGTTCGGGCTTGACGACAGGCTTGACGTCCGCAGACGTCTGCGAGGCCTGCCACGAGCCCGAGGGTGCGAGGGGCGCGATGCGTTGTTCTTCAGGCTCTGGTTTGATGTAGATCCCGGTCTGCGGGAACAAAGGGGAGGCGGGGATAAGGTAAGCGACATACAAAGCAGAGAAGCCAGCGGTTTCGGAGATTAGCGCGTCAACGAGCGCGGTGGGAACGTGGCTGTAGCCAGAACACTCACCTGCGGGCCGGTGTTTTCCTTGCGGCTCATGATGATGCCTACGAAGGAGTGGAAGGAAGGAAGGTGGTGGTCAGTGTCACCGTCGAGTTCAACAGTCTGCGTCGGGTGCAGGGGGACAGGGGGAGCGGGCAGCGGGGGTGGGAATCTTGTCGCCGCGTCGGGTGACGCGACTCCTACTTTAGTGTCGTGACCGCTTGGGCTCGTCACAAGCACCCACAAACAACGCGCTTGGTCACAGCGTGACAAAGCAGCGTGACTTTACCGGCCAAGCGCGACCACCGCTTTAATTGCAGGCTCACGCTTCACGCCATCCCGCGAGTTCAGTGAAAGCACTCGGAGCAAGCCACAGCGGATAACAACCACAGCTTTACCAAATCGCCTAAAACCTCTGTGGACGCCAATGTCCCCGCAAACTCCTCACCACGTCCTCTTCCACCGCAGACACCCCCGGCCTCCTCAGACTCCCAGCATGTTCCGTGACACCAATCTCCGACGCCACGCCCATCAGCAAAGCGCGACCCTGCGAGAACCGTTGCAACGACCCCAGCACGGAATGTTCTTGATCCACATCTGACTCCTCCAGATCTTCTTCCATTTCAGGCCCATTTGACTCGTCGTCCACAGCCACATCATCCGCTACTCGGAAGTCGGCGCCCAAGCCCACGGCAGCGGGCCCAGGGTCGGCCGACCGAACATCGGGCTCGCCAAACTCGGGAAAGCGGCCTTCGCCAAATCCGTAGGCCCGTACCGCGTCATTGATGGCGGGCTCCCAAGGCTCCTCCTCCGAGGTGACCACACCGTCGTCCGCGTAACAGAGAACTTCGTCAGAGAACTTGACCCTCTGGCGTCGTCGATAGGGTATGTCGTACAGCTCCTCGTCCACACCATCCCATGAGGCTCCCGGTGCCGACTCGCAATATTGGTTGGCGTCCTCTTCCAGGTAGTCGACCTCACAGGGCTCGGTGTCACCTGCTTGTAGCTCCATATCGTCACCACCGAAGACATCGGGCGTCTCGCCCGTAGCAAGCCCAGCACCGGCTACCAGAAAATAGTCGTCGCCAATTGCCTCGAGAGGATCTGTCGGCCAAGATGCATTTGGCAGGAACGTATGGGTCGGACCATCTTCAGCAAGTAAGCCTAGGAATTCTGCGGTCCAGTCGCGTGGAGGGCTGCCTGCAGGTTGTCTAACATTTGCCGCTTCTACCGCGTCCCTCGTGGATCCCACGAGCGATGAATTCGTCTTCCAAGGCTCCGGAGAAGCACAGGCAGGGTGCACGTCGTGGTGAGACAAGCGAGGTGGAGCCATGACAGGACTATGGATTCCAGACCATCTCCCCTGCGATAACGCCGGGGAAGGGGGGCACGAGAGAGGGCGCGCATTCACGGAAGGCGCGGACCTCGAGGGGAAGACAGAGGTTCCAGAGGGCAAGTGTTCGGCTTCGCCTTGGCAGGTGTCCGATGGGACAACGTCCCAAGTAGGACGGACCATTCGGTTTTCGACGGTGTCCTCAGGACCAACGCAAGATCCCTCAGGACGCGAAGAGGAATGTACGGTGGAAACGCTTTGCACGTCGCGACAAGCAGAGGACTTATCGGCTCCATGCACCTCTTCCGCTTCGATCGGCTGGCCAAAGAACCGAGAAAAGGTCGGGCCTCGAAAAGCGACCTGGGAGGCCGAGTGCGAAGGGTCGATCGTTGAAACGCCGTCCGACATGTGGTCGTCCTCAGCAGGTAGCTCGGAGTCTCGTGTCCGCGTTGCGTTGGCTTCTCCTGGCCTGTTCTCCGGAACAGCCCACCTAGAGCCGAACGCACGTGTGTCCATGAGCACAGTTCCGGCGACCTTCGTCCCACTTTCTGACGGCGCTGATTCTTGGTCAGAACGCGAGCTAGCAGCCAACTGGCCATCCTCAAGTTCGATGTCCCAGACTGGGGATTTTGCCCTCTCAGTCTTGCGCTTCTTCGCAGGTCGAACTTGGTCTTGCGAAGCTCCTTCGGCTTGGTCAGGAGAGGGTTCATCGAAGCTAGGAGACCTGGGACGCTTAGACTCGTCGGTCTTGTCTTTCGATGTCTTCGTCTTGCGCCGCGGAAGCTTCGGAGATGGCGGGGCATCCTCTGGCTCGACGTCTGGGGTTTCGTCAGAATCGCTGGAGTGACTCCCCTCTGAGGCGGCTTTCCGGCTATTGACTTTGGTCTTGTTCAGGAAGAAGTTCTCTGAGAACATCCGCGCTTTGCTCTGCGGCTCTGTACCCCAACTGAGTTACAACCAAATGCTTGGAACGGCAACGCTTACTAATTGTCATCTTCGCTTTCTTCACCGCCGTCTTTGCGGACGCCTTGCCTTTGTTGAAGACACCGACGGCGGGATCAAGCTGGATGGAATACATATATAGTCAGTGACATTCCAGCGGAGCGGGGAGGCGAACCCGACCGTCAGTCGGTTCTTCCCGACGTTTGTGGCAGAAAAACCGTGCATCAATGCGAGCCCAGCAGGTATGTTAACCCCCTTTCCCTTCTTCCCTTTCTGCTTCTGCTTCTTCTTTGCGTGGGTGTCTCCCTCTCCATTGTCGGTGGAGCTGTCGCTGAGCGGTGGGGGAGGTTTAGGGTTCACTATCGCCTTCTTGGCGCGCCTGCGTTCTCGTCGCTCGGCGAGTCCTTTGATCGTTCTTCAGATTGAATATCTTCCCAACGCATGATCACAAGGGCGAGACTCACGATTACGATGCTCGTCCTCGCTGGCAATGTCTCGTGCACCCCCTGCAGGCGACTTGAGCGGAGCCGCGTTCTCCTTGTGCTTGCCTCCATTAGAAGCCTTTGTCTTCGGGGAGGACTTGGACGCCTGAGGGCGTTGAGTCTCTTTCAAACCGGAGGTGCTTCGACCGTCTTTGTTCTTGGGACGAGGACTTGCAGCCTTCTTCGCGACTTCTCCCATGAGTGATGGCCCGCTTTCCTCGCGGGCATGCTGCTTGCGTTTGATGTTCTCGGTTCTAGTATCGGCCTGTCTCCTGATGGCGCGCGGCTTCAGCATCGGTGTGCCGAACCCGCTCTCCAACTCGATGTCCCTAGCAGGCTTCTTCGGCGAAGTAGTCACCGCTTTGGCTGACCAGGACGCGGCCATCGACTTGCCTTCCCTTGCATAGCTGGTAAGATGGCTTTGCTGTGACCGGATGTAGGAGCGGAGGAAGTGATCCTTGTCAAGCTTAGAGGCATCGAGTTTGCGAAGGTTGGGGGAGCTGAGGACGGGCAGACGAGCGTCGTGGACAGAAAGTGAGGTCATTTTAAGGCCTTTCGACGCACGCGTCTGTACTGGGTGGTCGGAGTAGGTCGTCAGCTAGCTAGCGAGGGTTATAGAGTCGGAATCTAATACAACGCTTCGATGTTTGGTTTCCCTGTCATACAAGAAACCGAACAAGGCGTTTTGCCCGATTCGTCGGTGTCCGGGATTCAAACGCGACGTGTGACGTCATGAAACACAGCACCACAAGGATTCTTCTCAAACTGAGTGCAGCCATGCCATTGCGTCTACGAACATTCAAGTACGCATAGTGGGTGGTCGAGCAAGGGTTGATTTAAGTGGGAGCCAGAAGGGTCAACGATGCATCCAGCCCAAAACACCCTCAGGCTCTCAGGCAGTGTACTCGAAGAACGGGTTTCTATGTATACTGTGAATCCCAAGTCACTCAGGATAAGAAGGTCATACTCACTGCTTGTCCGTCATGTCCACGAAAGCAGCCCTCTCCCGCTCGCGTTTCATGTCCTCGTCAGTCCAGCCGTTGCGCTGCTTCAACTCCTCCAACGTCCGTCTCTTCTTCTTGTTCATCCACAGGTTCACCCAGCGTATCACGAAACAGAGTCCCAGTTGCGCTGTCAGGAGCACGAGTATCGATATCTTCCCGGGCAAGTACCGAGGAGCATCCTTTGGGAGGAACGTCTCCGTGCCGACGATGTTCGCAACGCAGAATGCAGCGAGCGTCATTGCGTTCACCGTGACTTTCTTGGTGTGTCCCGAGGTATTCGAAGCGTTGTATGCGTAGATAATCGCGAGAGAGGACCCGTATGTTCCGATTATCCAGGAGGCTGCAGACACTATGTCAACAAAGGCACACGAACCGTCAACTACATCAACCTACCGAAGAGTATCGCGCCTTTTTGCGCGGAGCTATCCAAACCAACTAGCATCCCCGCGCCAGCTAGAGTCGGTATCAACGACCAGACAATTGGCAACATGCGCTCGCCCTCCGTGACAGTCATTCCTTTAGCACTGGTATCGCAACCAATAACAGCCAGTGGACTCACCGCTCTGTCAGAATACCATCCACAGATGATTGCACTAGCGATGCCAATCGCTCCTCCGGGAGTTGAGAGGATCAGCGTTTGTTTCGTCCTGAAAGAGCCTGAGTCATCAGTGTGAATGCGAGCTTTCGTGACAGACCTAGACTTACGTATATCCGAATCCCTATAGGTGCATAGATCGTGAATAGATGTATTCCTGGATACACAGAATCCCAACACACCTTAATGATGATGTTGGTGACTATGGAGAAACAGGTCAGGCAGGTGTGTAATGACCCTACGCCGAAGGAACTCACAATTTGCCAAGCCTCCATTAGGGATATTCGCTGCAAATCTCGGGTTAGTCAGAACGCATTCCTCCGAGGTAAGGGCCATACTCAGCAGGGTGGCTAGGACAATCAGCCAAGTCCTGATATCAAGCAATGCCTCGACGACCTGCTCTTTCTTGAGGCGCTTGTTCTCCGTGCCGCCCTGCTGGTCACGGATCCGCTCGATAGCTGCGATCCGCTCCTCCTTGCTCAACATGACAGCGTTTGCCGGGGAGTCCGGCATGAAGAGGAGAACTGCTATTCCCACGGAGATAGCTAAGGCTCCGAGCAGAAGATAAATGATCTTCCATGGGGCGAAGCCACGGTCTGGGATGAAGGAGACACCCTGCACGAATTCGACATCAGTGAGAGCGAATGTGAAGTTTGATTACACACGTATGCTAGGAAACCACCGATGATCCCTGCACACCCGTTCTGCGGCTGCGATCAGGACATATCGACGATACACAAGAATTGACAAGCATACAGCCATGTAGAACCATCCAATCCTGATTCCCTAGAAATGTGTCAGAACTGCTACCAATTCCAGCGTTCTCAGAACATTACATACCTGTTCGTTCTTCTTGTAGAACATGGAGATGATGAGGATCAAGATGGGGGCCACGCAGCTCTCCAGCATTCCTAGACATGCGGTCAGCGCTGTGGGCTATACGATAGCCTTGGGATCTATGGACGTACCCAGGAGGAGCCGCAGCGCAAAGAACCCCCCGAATGAGGTTGGGAGGACGTGCAGCATCATGATCGCACCCCATGCCACGATGTTAGCTCCGAGATACTTCCCCAGTCGGAGCCGTTGTGCGATGTACATGGAAGGAAAGACCCATATCAGGAAACCTGAAGCATGGTTCCGTTGACTGAAAATTGAGACTGCGGCGGGAACGAGTTTACTTACCAATATAGAACGAAAGCGCGACAAGGTTATATCCTTGTCCAGTAACCGGGAAACCCATGATGCTAAGTAGGGATAACCATCGGAATCATGGGACGTCTTGAGCGTGCCGGGTACCCACCTAGCGTAACTCAACGCCGTCTTGTCCCTAAGCAGCGGTGTTAGTTGTCGACCTGGAACCCTTGCTTGGCTAAGGACTCACATGTACTGGGTGAAGTAAACAGCTATGCATAGCGGGGGGATGACGAAGTCCTTTTTGGCGAATGTCAATGGTGAGCAGGACCTCGGGATCCGGGGACACTCACGAGCTTCCTACGCAATTTCGAGTAGTATTCCTCAGAGAACACCGCCGAACTCTCCAACCCTACGAGCCGCAGCGCTTCGTCCTTGTCCCCTAAGTCGACGTCGGACTCCGCATCCGTTACGGTCACCGCATGAAGAGCCTTCTCGTCCTTGACTTCGTGGTCCATGATGAGCGCTATCGCTGAAAAAGTGGGAGATGACCGCACCAGCTCCTCCCGACTCAAGTGAAACTCTATAAGAGGCGTCTGCACATACCTCATGACCATAGATGAGGCCCACTTAGCAGCGCTTAAGACTAATCTTGGATCAATAGCCAAAATGATCCGCGTGTGAGGCTTGAGAGAACTCACAGACTGATATGGCCTTGATGATAACGAGAAGCTGTCTGCGGCACTGCTTAGAGGCCGGGCGTTGGTTCTTCGGCATCTGTGAAAGCGTCCTTCCGCTGCCTCGCGTGCAAAAGAACGGGCCGCTTCCGTGTCACGCAAATTGTATCTCCAATCATGGGTTCGGTAATAGGTCAGACACAACAGGGTGCCAGGCATCATCGGACGCATGGGAGTCGACGAACTATAAGAGTGCCAAAGCAACTTCTTCGCCGCATATCTATTTCGCTATCATATCACGCAGTGTACACAAAGAAGATGTTCCTAGAAATGCAGTCAGTATCTCGCTGGAAGGTATACGGAGTGGCCAGGCGACGCACTGCTTGTCCGTCAAGTCCAGGAACGCGTGGCGCTCACGCTCCCTCTGAACGTCCTCGTCCGACCAACCATGCTTAGCCTTCTCCTCTTCCAGGTGTGCCCTCTTCTTGACGTTGAGCCGGATGTTGATCCAGCGCAACAGGAACGAGACGAAGAGCTGTACGGTCAGAAGGACCATTATAGCTATCTTTCCAGGGATATACGCTGGGGCGTCCTTGGGCTGGAAGATCTCCGTCCCGATGATGTTACCTATGCTGAACATGACGAGGGTGAGTGCGTTGATGGTGTTCTGTGGAACAAATGATGAGGGCTTATGGTGCCGTGAGGTCAGCGATTGAAATACCTTCTTTGTGTGCCCACTGGTGTTACTAGCGTTGTACGCGTATATGGTCGACAAAGCGCTACCGAAAGTACCGATGAGGTAGCTCGCTGTCAGCAAGACATTGTCAACTTTGTGTCAATGCGTATACATGACGCCGAATGAGATGAACCAACCGAAGAGGAGAGCACCCTTGTTTCCGGAGTTATTCAGACCGATAAGCATGGCCGAACCAACGATGGTGGGGATGAGGGCGAAGATAATCGGGATCATTCGCTCGTTCTGCAGAAACGTCAGCGGGAGGTAGGAGGTGATAACGTGAATCATCTGGCCTTCCTATCTGAGTACCAGCCGCACAAGAGCGTGGTAATACATGCTACGACACCACCTGGGGTAGACAGAATCAAAGTCTGTTTGGAGCTAATGAAAGATGAACATGGGTCGTCCGAACAAGTATATCAAAGCATCTAGTGACTTACGTATAACCAAAGCCCTTGATGATGATATTGCTGACTATAAAATAATTGGTATCATGTGCATGAGCCATCCCAATGTGACGTACAGTTGCTCAAACCGCCGTTCGGAATGCTCGCTGAGCTTGCTATCAGAAAGTCTTTCACGCCATCCACACAATTTAACTCACTCAATAGGGTCGTGAGAGCAATCAACCAGGTTCGAATGTCGGTGAGTGCTTCGAAGACTTGTTCCTTCTTGAGCGTCTTGTTCTCGGTACCGCCTTGATCGTCTCGGACACGTTCGAGGGCAGCGATACGCTCTTCCTTCGTCAGCATGCGGGCGTGGACCGGGGAATCGGGCAGCCATGTGATAACACACAGTCCGACAATAATAGCGAGACCGCCGAGCAGGATGTAAATGATCTTGTACGGGGCAAGGAGATGGCCGTCATCGAATGAGATGCCATATGCCACGAAGCCGCCGAAGACCTGTGTAAGACCTGTCGAGGATGAGGAGCGGAGATGTATAGGTCATCGATTGTCATACCATTCTGCGATAAACCGTGAGCGTTGATTCTGATATAAGTCAACAGCAAGAAGTTACCACGTACCATGACGTAGAACCAGGATATGCGCGTAGCCTATAAGCCGGTTAGCTCCTAGTCTAGCAGCGATACCTCAGCGCCCTACGTACTTGTTCATCCTTCTTGTAGAACATCGAGATGAGCAAAATGAGAATGGGTGCGACGCAGCTCTCGCACATCCCTGCCATGACATATGTGAGGCTGATTGTGAGGTAGATCGATTCGCGCGATACCTACCCAACAGGAAGCGCAAGGCGAAGAATGCTCCAAATGATGAAGCCGCCGCATGGGACATAAGAACGATACCCCAGATGATGATGTTGCCGCCGAGGTACTTGGCCACCTGAGCTACGATTAGCCCGCATACTCATCCAACTAGAACCAGAGACATGCCCTCGTTTTCTGAGAAATGTACACAGTCGGGAACTCCCAGACAAGGAACCCTGAGGAGTCGTCAACACCGAGTCGAATACGCTGTCCCAATCTGTCACTGACCAAGGTAGAAAGCGAGCGACACCAGGTTGTATTGCTACGTGTATACACGCCGTCAGTGTTGCAAGGTCGGAATATCGGATTGCAAGACCTCACTTGACCCTTGATTGGGAAGCCCATGATGCTGTGGCGCCCTTTGGTGAGCAAACAAGACCATAGAGCATTTCATGACGACTGACCTCGCATAGTTCAATGAAGTCTTGTCCCTGTTCAAGACGTCAGCAGGTAAGCTGCAAGTCGTTGTCCCGGATAGCTTACAAGAACTGTGTGAAGTACACAGCGGCACAAAGCGGCGGGATGATCATGTCCTTTACAAATCCACATCAGGACAAACCCCTCAGAAACACTGTTCCACCATGAACTGTACGCACCAGCTTCCTTCTCAGCTTCCTATTGTACTCCTCGCTGAACTCCACCGTCCGCTCTCTACCGACCAGGCGCAACGCCTCATCGCCGTCGGAGCTCTCCACGACCTCAGAAACGGTCGCGGTCGCATCGAACGCCTTCTCCTCGTCCGCCGAGCGCGCCTTCTCGTCCGAGCCGCGCTTCTCCAGGGACCTCCGGGTCTGTATCGAAGCCATGACGGGGTGGGGTCAAGGCAGCGGAGCGCGGGGAGATACGCGAGAGAATGCGTATGTGCAGGATAGGACACGAGAACACGTCCTTCTCACACAGCTAACGGTCTTCCGTCCCGCCTTATATCCCATACTACTTCGGAGCTTCGCGGATGGCCAGTAGGCCAGCCAAGCATATCTGTTATCTAATGTGGGGTTGGTGGGACCGGCATGGTAGAGTCTAGTCGCTCAACCCCGTCCTGTCTCCTGCCAGTGTGCATAGAGCGTGAGCGTGAGATAAGACATCGATAGACATGCCGTTATGAATTAGATATGGACGCACTCACATGCGCAGTTCAAGATAGCAAGAACCAACTGGGCTAACGGCTCCCCACGCGCCGGCAGTTTTCCCTGACACTGGAGGCACGCTAGCCACCATACCAAGGTCTGCCGAAACGTTTGCGAAGTCACACGTCTTACATACAACGCTCAGGAACGAGTTGCGGCAAGGCAGGGCCGCCAGGCTGTATATCATCCAAAACTCCGAAGGTATGCTGATAGAGATGCAAGTGCGAGAGCGTACATGATAATGCAAGGAACAACTACGATTACAACTTCTGAAGGACCAAAGCAGACGCAGCGCCACCCTGTGATAGATATGGTGAGTATCAAGCAGACCAGAATGTCCAAGTGCCGCATCACTCACCCCATTGCAGATACCGGCAGCACCATACTCCCCAGACTTCAGAGAGTGGACGAGGGTGACGAGGATACGCGAACCGGAGTTACCGACAGCGTGACCAAGGGCGACCGCACCACTGTAGGGAATGTCAATAACTGCGATTCTTCAAATATTAGTAGTGACGTACCCATGAGGGTTGATCTTCGCGGGGTCAATACCGAGCTTCTTCTCGGCAATACGGACAACAACGGAGAACGCCTCGTTGATCTCGAAGTGCGCGATATCGTCGACCTTCAGGCCTGCGCGCTCAAGGGCTGTGGGGAGTGCAAAGGTGGGTGCCTCCGGGAAGTCGATGGGATCGACACCAGCGTCGGCGTACGCTGAGATGATAAATCAGTCCAAGTCCGTTGATACGCACTCCACATTCGCGAGACTCACAAACAACCTTCGCGAGAGGCTTGATGCCAAGCTCGCGTGCCTTCTCCGCCGACATGAGGATGAGCGCAGAGGCGCCGTCGTTCAGGCTAGACGAGTTCGCGGGAGTGATGGTGCCGTTGGGCTTCTTGAAACTGGGCTGGAGGGTGGGAACCTTCTCGTAGATGACGCGCTTGTACTCCTCGTCCTCCTCGACGACGACGTCGCCCTTCTTGCCCTTGATCACCACGGGTGCGATCTCCTCCTTGAACTGTCCCGCCTTCCACGCACGCTCGGCACGCTTGTAGGACTCGATGGCGTGGGCGTCCTGAGCCTCGCGCGTGATGCCGTGCTTCTCGGCCGCGCTTTCACCGCAGACACCCATCGCGATCTTGTTGTAGACGTCCCACAGCGCATCGTTCTCAAGCGAGTCTAGAGCAGTGAACTTGCCGTAGACCGGGTTCGTGCGAGGGATGAGGAATCTGAGAACATGGGGAAGAGGCGTGTTCAGTGACTTGACTGAGCCGAAGACGTAAAATGGACGGCACGTACGGTGCATTGCTCATGCTCTCCATACCACCCGCGACGACGACGCTCTTGTAGCCAGACTCGATGCTCTGCGCAGCGAGCATGACAGCCTTGAGTCCGGAAGCGCAGACCTTGTTGATAGTGGTCGCGTCTGAGCGCGAGGGCACGCCGGCGCCGATGGCGACCTGGCGTGCTGGTGACTGGCCAACACCGGCCTGGACGACGTTGCCGAAGTAGATCTCCTCAACAGACTCGGGCTTGACACCCGACTTCTCGAACGCATGCTTGAGCGCGATAGAGCCAAGCTGGGGCGCAGTCAAGGCCTTCAAGGAACCGTTAATAGAGCCGACAGGCGTGCGAGACGCGGCAACAATGACGGCTTCGTGACGCTGAACGGAGGAAGACTACAGATAAATTGTTAGACTACGCGGGCAACGACGAGCCAAGAACGCTGAGACATACCATGTTGCGTCGAAGGTGTCGGAGGAAGGGACGAGAGGCTGAAGAAGGGATGGTTATACGAGCTGCAAACATGTTGCCTGAGCTTTATATCCGCAAGATGATCGATTAATCGCGAGGTGTAAGGCGAGGCCGGGTTTATTGGCTATCGTACGACAGAGCGCAAAGCCGGTCAATCGACAAGACCAATACCGCGCCAGTTGTCGGGAGCGGTGTTCAGTGTCGTGAGGCACGGACAAGTGAGACCACTGCGGTGTTTTATAAGACAGCCTCGGCGATCGCAAGCATTTGTAGCCAGTCGTAGCCCATGACCCGCCCGTGAGCCCTCCCGACGTCGTTGGCACCTGATTTGAGCGCTCCCCCGCATCGGCCCCACGCGACCCTTTCATCCGACGTCGGGCAACATCCGGAACATCCGTCGCAGTGTGTGCTTGTTATACAGCTATGCTAGTGTGCGAGAATATACATTGTCATACTATGCTCCGCTTCCTGCGAAGAAGTCCACTATGTTACCCATGACCATAAACCAAGCCTCCAGCCACCGCAGTAAATCATCTCGTCCGACGTCAATCTCCGCCATAAGCTCCCCAACAACCTCTGCTGTGTGACACGGATGGAAGTACCACGATGGCGTACCGAGCGTTGGATGGTCTCCTTGCGAGAGCATCGCAAAAGATGATCCAGGGAACGTGACGGCGAATGTGTTTCCATCGGCGGAAGGGAAAGAGCCAGGCCTGAAGAGTGCAGACTTCATTATCTCCTCCAGAGGCAACGGGGACCCGCCTGTGCCGACTCCGATCATCAAAAATGTAAGGATAGGATGTAAGGCCGAACACGTACTCGCGTCGTGCAGCGTGAAGTATAGTGTGGGCACCCCAAATGTAGCAGAATGTACAACATACTGCTTGCATGTCAGCAAGTCGTCCCTGGTGTTTAGTGTGGCATCGTCATCTTCTGCTATTAGCTCAACAAGATCGTCTTCGTCCTCGCGCGAGGTGGACTGAACAGGTCTTGAAGGTAAGTGGACAGTCCTCGACAGATAGCCAAGGTTGGCGATGTACTGAATTCCATGAGACACAGCTTTGCCAACCGAGGAACAGAGCAGCGCACGGGATGTTCCTCCCAGAGCCAGCCGGTAGGATGGCGTTTCACGTCAGAAGGATGTGCATTCAGGTAGGCCTCAACGTAGGCCTTGCAAGCCTGGTCGAACTGCGAGCGGGAGAGGATGGAAGCCATAGAGGGAGGTGGCGTGAGAACAACCCTGTACAGCTGAGGAAATAAGGTTCAAGCCACCTCGCAAGATTCCCACAGGGCTGCCTCAGGTGGGCGAGTGCGCGTCTGCTGCTACTCCCGCATCCCAAAACCCAGCCCGTCCAACTGCCGGCTCGCGGTTCTCCCCTCACCGCATACCCTCGTTCAATCCATCATGGCTGTTGGCAAGGTCCGTCTCGCAATCCTGGAGTTACGAAGGTTTCAGGCGCCCCGGTCCTGACTTGTCCGTGCACAGAACAAGCGTTTGTCCAAGGGCAAGAAGGGTATCAAGAAGAAGGTCGTCGACCCCTTCTCCCGCAAGGGTGAGTTGTTCTGTCCGAATGCCATCGAATATGCTTGCGAACGTGCCCGTCTATAGACTGGTACGACCTTAAGGCCCCGTCAATCTTCGAGGTCAAAAACGTCGGCAAGACTCTCGTGAACCGCTCCCAGGGTCTCAGTACGTGCTCCTCGTCCGATAACTCACGTCTGTGCCTCTCAACAGGCGTGTAGAGAATGCCAACGACTCCCTGAAGGGCCGTATCATCGAGGTTTCCCTCGCTGACCTCAACAAGGATGAGGAGCAGTCTTTCCGCAAGATCAAGCTCCGGGTAGACGAGGTCCAGGGCAAGAACTGCCTGACAAATTTCCATGGCATGAGCTTCACTTCTGACAAGCTCCGCTCCCTTGTCCGCAAGTGGCAGACCCTCATCGAGGCGCACGTCGACGTGAAGACGACCGATGGCTACCTTCTCCGTCTATTCGCGATCGGCTTCACCAAGCGTCGGCCATCGCAGGTCCGCAAGACCACCTACGCCCAGTCGTCCCAGATCCGGGAGATCCGGAAAAAGATGTTCGAGATCATTACTCGGGAGGCGACGAGCGTCGACTTGAAGGAGCTCGTGCAGAAGTTCGTGCCGGAGGCGATCGGTCGTGAGATTGAGAAGGCGGCAAGGAGCATCTACCCCTTGCAGAATGTCTACGTCCACAAGGCGAAGATCCTCAAGGCGCCGAAGTTCGATGTGTCGAAGCTTCTTGAGCTTCACGGGGAGTCGACAGACGTGAGTCGTTCACATTCGTATATCATGCGTAGTGTGAGTCAAACTGATGTCTGCGCGCCTTGCAGGAGACTGGCACTCGTGTAGTCAAAGACTTCAAGGAGCCCGAGATCCTTGAGTCTGTGTAAAATCTTAGCTGTTGTCCATCCCTGTATCTCCCTACGCACATGATCTTTTCTTTTATGGTACAAGGGTATGACAATTATATGCTCATGACCACGCGTGCTGCTATGTATGCTGGTGCTTGTGCGATCTCCTCGCGGTTTGGGAGTTGATGAAGAATCGGTGACTACAGGGGCTACCGTCTCCCTTCCATCGGCATACATGTTGTATGTCTTAAACAGTCGTCGTTGTGGTATGTGCTATGTCTGTGTTGGTGGACGATGCAGTATGCGTACTTGTGTGTTTTGAGCCGTACGCGGCCCCAATCATGCACGTTGCAGATAATCTCAGTGGGCAAACTAGGTTTGGTAGATTGATCTATGCGAAAATCATCATCCGATACGCTATGTTCTTTATAGCGAGTCGCACATCAGGCTTCGAGAGCCACCCGCTTTCTCCACCATGGCCGATGTCGAATATCTAAGAAGTCTCTTGAGACCATTCCCTGACTGGCCAAAGAAGGTATGCACTACCATCCGCCCAAGCGTCGTAGCACCGAGGCTCTCCTAACGATCTTACACGCAGGGCATTGTCTTTTTGGACATCTTCCCCCTTCTCCGGGACCCCGTCGGATTCGAGACTCTCATCACGCACTTCGTGCACCGACTGACCTCACACACCATCGGCCAGTCGCCCACGAAGAAGATCGATGTCGTCGTTGGCCTGGATGCGCGGGGCTTCCTCCTCGGGCCCATCATCGCGATGAGGCTCGGAGCTGCCTTCGTGCCTGTTCGCAAGAAGGGCAAGCTCCCTGGCGAGACCGTCCATGCAGAGTACGAGAAGGAGTACGGTGTGGTGCGCGCATGTGCTATACAGAGTCCGGAGGTGTGGATGGCAAGTCTGACCAGAGGTTTTCGGGGGTGATGATGATAGGACGTCTTCGAGATGCAGGCGGACGCTATCCAGTCTGGGCAGAACGTCGTCATCATCGACGACCTGATCGCGACCGGTACGCAGATTCCATTTCTCTCGTTGTCGTGACTGGACATGATAGCGGACTTCATGAAGGTGGCTCGGCGAAGGCAGCTGGCGAGCTCGTGGCTAAACTCGGCGGGAAGACCCTTGAGTACCTGTTCATCATCGAGCTCACCTTCCTCAAGGCTGCATCGAAGCTCGACGCGCCGATGTACTCCATCGTCAAGGTCGACGATTAGACGACGTGCGCAGGCCGTCGCGCTAGCACTTAGATGGGCGACACCAAGACGTTGGTGCCAGCCGGGCGTACGCGGGTATACCAGAATACTATGTATTCCTGTTCCTATCTGTACGACTGCAAATGTATCCAAAACATCAGACTATCAGCCGCGTATTTAGCAGGGGGTGGTTGTTGAGATACAACACGCGTATCGGTCCTTCCTCTATCTGTTTCTTACTCTGTCCCTCCTCTTGCGTTTGCTCGTTTTTCTCTCCACGATGCTCCGCAGGGCTACCTGACGGCTCAACGACTAGCTTGACCGTCCCTAACCCAAGCCGCTCTGCCGCGTCCAGCATCTGCGCAACCTGGTCCGCGTCGCTCTTGCGCAGCACGACGACTGCGACGTCATTGAGCTGCGGGCCCGCGGCCTCGAGCTCCCCCCTCTCCGCGGAAGGGTTGACATGGTGCTCCTCGTTGCTGAGCACGACAACTCCCGATGCGCCTGCACGCTGCGCGAATATGAGCTTCTCTAGGAACGTGCACTCGCCGCGGTCGACGACGATCGCCTCGTCATCGACGAGGACCTCGCTGTATTCGGAGCACCCTAGTGGGTTGTCCGGGAATCGGACGACGCGCACGCCGTCGCCGTGCCCGTGGCCGAAGCGCAGCGGAGGGTCTGCCGCGGGATCCCCAGCGAAGAGAGCTGTTGCGGCCACGACGTTCGTCTCGGTGATGACGTCCTGCATCCCAGGGTTTCCGGGGCCACCAAGTTGGAGCATTGGGTCTACGTAGTCGAGGTAAAGGCGCAGGCCGACTTCGGGGGTACGCTTCGATGATGTTGTCTGGACCTTTGCGCCGACGGGGGCGGTAGCGAGCGTCGAGTCGTTGAAATTGATCTTCTGGCCAGTCTTCACAGCGTATGGCCCGACTGCAGCACACGGGTAATGTAAGCGGGCTCCTCGTGTGGCTGACAAGGTGTTACTCACGCTTGGTGATGTCGTAGCCCTTGCCATCTAATCGGCTGACTATATGGACTCGGATGCCTGTAACGTTGTGGACGATGTAGCCGTCCGGATGGGTCTCCATCTTATCACTCGACGGGTGAAGGTCTTCAGGCACGCCTCGCCCGTCCTGTGACAAGACAAAATCGTAGGTCTAGGCGCATGCGTTTATTCAGCATGGCTCAGCGTAGACTCGCGAAGGCGCGAACTCACGTAGAGCTCATGCTTGGGGATCAAGCACCAACCATCCGGTGTCCACAGCTTCTGATCGAATTCAGAGGACGCTCTTCCGACAAGCTCGCGCGTGTAATCGATGTCTGCACGATCCTGAATGCCACCGCGCAGACCACCATCGGAGTCCCAGTCGTCCCATGCAAGCATCGGGGCCTGATAGGCCGGGCATTGGTTGTTCTCTACTCCGCGAAGCTTCTTGCGGGCAGATGATATAGGCTTTATGAGATGAGGTTCGAGGGTGAGTATGTGGCCTTCGGTCGTGAACACCCATTGCGAGTCGTCCGAGTGAAGGGGGTTGTCCTCGTCGAAAAGGAGGTATAGGTACTGTTTCGATTGACGAGATTAATCGTGCAAACGTCACGCAAGGATGCCATGGGCCTCACCTTCAAGGTTTCAGAAAGTGCGAAGGACTCCATGCGGTCGTCTTGCAAATTGATCCGGAGGTCGTGGATGCCTGCGAAACCACAGTCCACCTTTGACCTCCGAGTAATGTCATGCAAAATCCGGGCTGCAGATACCCTTCAGTGATTGTCTGGGCGTGACATAACCATAGTGCATTTACCTCCCACATCAAGGTAGAATGGATCGCGGGTAGCCTGAATAATAATGAATGGAAGGTGGATTCTTTTGGCATGCATCTACTTACCCGATACAGATACCACGTTGACTCAACGAACTCTGAGGTGGTATGTTCAGTATGGCACAAAGCGGGATCATTTTCATACGCACCTGGTCGCAGGGGATATTGGAATGCCGTTGCCGTGCGGAAGTTCATATCCCAAACTTCAGGCAGGCCGGCAAAACCACGCCATAGATTCCAATCTACCGTCTTACGTTAGGATTAAGACACAGACGAGCACACGAAGCTGCGCACAAACGAGGTGGGCCTTGATGGCGTTCTCAATATCACCGCCCAGCACCTGCAGGCCCGGCCAGAATGCGGACAGCGAGTCGACCGTCGAGTATTGAGCGTCACCCTGAACAACAATTTAGGACCCCGTCAATTGATAGCTAGTAATACTTTCTCACCGTGAAGATGTTCACGCTCCGGTACTTGGATCTTCGTTGAGTACATGCATTAGAAGCGATGTGGTTGAAACTTACCCAGTAGCCATCTGGTGACCTAGAGTACCTCATGACAGAGGCATATGACTCCTGCCACACGTCGAGAAACTCGACCTCGCCTGCACGAGGTGCGTGTGAGTGACTCAACATGTGCGTCATGGTAATCCTGGCGACTCACCGCTCATGATATACCACTTGAGCGCGTACTCGTAGAACGAGTCGATGCCAGCACCTATGCCGTTGACTTCGGGATGTAACCAATGCTGTCATTGCATGGTGTTATGTTACTTACAGAAATCGCACGACCAAGTCTTGGACGTACTCCATTAAATATATTGACCGTATTGCCTACAAGACCTATATCCGATCTGCGGTTCCACAGGGCGAAGAAAGCCTTATAGGCGGCCTTCTCGAATCGGTCATCGCCGGTGAGGCGACTCAATGTACCGAACTCGAGGATGAGTGAGCCCGCTCCAGCAGTACCTGTGAGAAGTCAGACGACGTGTATGTGCCATGGTAATCATACTCACAGCTGTCTATCGACTCTCCCTTGGGCACTCCGTGACGCAGATTGATCTGTCTCTAATTCAGACTATGACAGACATAGATGTACCAAGGGGCCATACCCTCGCATAAGGCATACCCGTGGGGGTGGAGAACGCCGGCAGTAGGCGCAGACCGAGGTCGTGCGCCATGTCGAGGAGCTCGCCCCGATACCATGGTAAGTGAAACGGCTGGCCTGTCTTGTTCGCGTATATGTGCCCAGACAGTAGGCCACCCAGGATCCGTATTGTGGTTTCAAACACTTGAGGTTTGGTGTTTACATCAAATGAAACCCATCGGATGACTTTCCGCACCGCTTCCTCGAATCCGGGCGGGTCGTTCAGTACCACAAATGTATCGAGCGCATCCACAAGCGTCACGGAGAAGTTGCCAGCCACATCATTGGCCGCATAGTCGGCGCTGCAGAACACCTTATTGAACATGCGGAAGTCGCGACTCTGTGGCATAACGGAGCCGTTACGTACGGATTATGCCAGTTCGGCCCCCGACCCGTACATGAGAGTGGGGCAAGCTAGAGATAGGGTTAGGGAGATTGCGCCCTTAATGCGGAGACAGCATACCTCATCCAAGGGGAAAGCTGGGGTGGAACGGAAGTTGTAGATCTACTCTTGTGTGAGGGAGCCGACATAGACTTACCGAATCTCATGTAACTGTCGAAGCCATGATGCCACAACGCGCGCACTTGATCTCTAAGGTAGTCCATGTAGCAAAGGCTTCGGAAAGTAAACTGCACCATACCTGACGGCTAACTTCCGTCCACTTGTCCATTGCGCGCCCTCAGTCAATCCACGCGCGGACCCGGAAGACAACCAGTGACTGTCGAGACCGGCGATGAGGAGGGCAAGCAGACCAGTGGGCCAGAGAGTGGGCAGTCTCATACAAAGCCGTCCCAAAGAGCACAAATCTGAACCAGAGGGCGACTCAGAGCGAGAACAAGACAAACGTCGGTGGCGGAGGACAAGAAACGCGTTCCCACAGAGGCCTGACCGACGTGGAAGTCGGTGTCGCGTATGCACGTGATTCATAGAGCGGACCACGCCGAGACTTTACTTAGGCGTACCCGGTCCGACCTTGCACTCGACCACCATCTCCGTCGCGTGCTGCGGCCTTCTGCGCGCAACGAGCTCCTCTTCAGTTCAGATTGCACCGACCGCTGTTTGGCATGGCCACTGTGATCGACGTCTCTGGGAGATTGGGGGAGTACATGCTCAAGGGTTGGGTGCGTTATCCGAGCCTTCCATGATCCTTTCGCTGTTCACGTCTACCACGTTATGACCGGGGAACTCTCAGATTTTGACCGACAGGATCTGTACCGAATGCTCAAAAGTGCCTCTGATGAGGTCGCCGCCCTCCGCTCCCACTGAAACGTACTTCTGTGTTAACTGCGATCCGGCTCCGTCTTCCGGGTCTACCGCAAACGTATCGACTTCCCGGCCTTGGAGAACGTCCGCTGCACACCAGGCAACCGCCTTTCAAGATTACCAATCAACATCCAGCATCTCCAACAGCAGCGGAATGTCAAGATCATCCACGCCGCCCACCGAGGTATCAAACGTACCGAGTTCACCCACGTTCGCTCCCATCATGGACACTGCTGAGCTTTTGCGTCGTCGTCAACAATCTGACACCGCATCAGCTGAGATAGGCAGAAGGATGCTCACAGGATGGGCGATGCTCGCAGACGAGTGTCCCAGCCCCGGCTGTCATGGAATTCCCCTCGTGCGTCCTCCGAAAGTAGGGGCAAATGTCGACCCGAGGAAGGCGAGTGGAAGCGCGCAACGAACGCACGCTCGTTCATTGATGTTGCATGTTGCAGGAGTGTGTGATCTGCAGGATCGTATATATTGTTGAGAAGGATGCCTATGGCCAGGACCGCCTTGTACCGATGCAGCCTTCGCTCTCTCCGGCGGTAACTTCCCGGGCACCGAATCCTGCCCTCGTTGCTCCGTCTCCCCCTTCGCCGGTGTCTGCAGACAAAGGAAAGGCAAGAGCTTATCCAGAGGTTCATTTGCAACCGGTATGTTGCCGAGAGCTTGAACTGGGTGATTGGGGTCTCTGACCCTACGGGTCACAGCAAGTGGCCGCTTCCCCCCAGCAATCCAGCAAAAGCGCTGTGTGTATCATGTATCGTAACTAGCCAGCTGACAGACCGGCATGACTGACAATCATTCAGCCCGTGCATCTAGGGTCTGCTACGTCCTCAGCTCTCGAAGATACCGCTCAATCTCTTGAATGCACCCTGGTTGTTCTCTCGGAGCGATTACAGACCTACGCTAGCGGATCCATCATCGACCCGGGGCCAATCGGTCAGACGGCCGACGCAATCTCCAAGGTTTCGCAAGCTCTCCTTCAAGTAAAACAGTTACTCTGGAGTGAGAGGCAAGCGCTTCTTTCATAGAAACCCTGCACCCTCCCGCACACCTCATGACCTCAGATGTGGCTGCCGCGCGATAGGTGAGTCCCGTTTACGAGGTACACGACGCCAGATTCCCATCTAGAATGATGTATGGTCCGATTGCGCAGTGGCCACGGCGTCATCTATTCAATACTTAGGATGGATCAGGGGCAGGAGGCGTTGGGGATGCCAGACGGGAGGTGGTCATAGTGTGTATCAGAGTGTACGAGCAGTCTGCACAGCTTGTATCAAAACCTGCGGGCAACCGCGTTTCGTATCGCTGCAGCAACCCATGCGCGACCGTGCGAAGGTATGGTGTCCCAGCGACGGCCAGGCTTCGAACAGGTGACACGGCTCAGCCGCCTATCTCCCGGACTATTGGCAGCCAGACATACGCGTATTACGAGCGAGCAGAAGCACGCGCGCAATGGGCCATAAAGGTGTGAAATGACACTTCGCCGCGCTTCCAGCCATGCGCGGTAACCTCATGCTTCCCATGCAGCTTGCTATAAGGCTCCCCTGACCCCACCCCTGCGGGGAACCTGTTATCCATCTGACCTCATCGACTCTCTTGTCCGCAGAACTCATCATCCTTTCGTGATCATCGTCGTCGACTCGACGACGTTGGATGCCGGCATTCGTCTCGCATTAGCCTCTTGTTTCCTTCGTTCTCTCCTATCCCATACCCAGCGTGATTGTTGTTTGAGTCTCTACAATGCCGCGTCTTTTCGGCAGCCTAGGTCGCTCCTCAAAGGAAGGCCGTGGTTATACCAGCCAGTACGCTGACGGGTACGATGCTCCCCAAGGATACTATAGCTCCTATGGGTTCGACGAGCAGGAACCGCGGCAGAACTCGACCTGGCGTAAGGTGTTTTCGAAGAAACCGTCCAAAAGAGTGGGTACATTGTCATGTCATTCAGCAGATGTGTCTGACGCCTCTCGTAGAATTATCTCAGTAGACAGCTGCAAGATGAGGTATGTCCGAACGGCTCTCGGCGGCTGTGTCACTCTTTACATCGTCCACGACACAGACTGATCTGTACGTCTCGAATGGACAGACGGCGTTTGCGCCAGGCAGAAACTACCGCACGACTGTCGAAGACTACCCGGAAGAGCAGCTAACCCGACGGTTACGTGGGCCGCTGCCGACAGACGACACAGAATCGTTCGACGAGCTCGCCGCAGACCCGCGCCGTAGCGACAACATCGTGCCGCTCATCCAGCGCGAGAGCTCGCTTATGCGCATCGGACACGCGTTCGAGGACAACGGCACGTATGCCCCTGCCCTTTCTGCAGTGCCTTCTGCGGCCCTCCCTCCGCATCAGCACAGCGTCCCACTGTACGCACCGCAGCCGGTGCCGGGCATGCAGCCGCATGTCGGCGCAGTGCATGACATGCACGGCCCTGCTGTGGTGCAGAACATGGCGCCTCCACGGAACAACAGCGTCCGGCCGGATATAGTTAATCATGCGTCTTCGTACCTCGGACGCGATCAGCCGATTCATAGACGGCAGGAGCGGGATAGGAGTGCGCCACCAAGGGTGAAGGTGAGCGCAGAACCCATTCAGCGTCTCGTGAAGCGCGAGGACTGACATTATCTTCAGCCACTTAAGGATCACCCAGCATACTGGGAGAAGCCCCTCGACAGGGATGAAGAGCCCCCAGTTGTGGTCGTGGTCGAGTATGGGAAGAATGGGAAGAAGGACAAGTACTACATCATTCCTGCCGGAGCGCCGGTCGTGTTCGAAGATGAGAACGGAAACGAGCTTACACGGTACGTTTGCCGACCCCATTTCGAAGCAAGGTGGAGTCTGAGCTGTCATCGAAGTGTTGGCGACTTCAGCGGAAAGTACAGGCCTCCTAGGCGTCCGCGGCCGGTGATCGTCCAGGATCAGTATGGCCGGGAGATCTGTCGGTGCGTACCTATGGAAAATGCTATACCAGTCAGTACACTCATACAAGCCATGCGCTTCCAGAGCCGGGTTCAACAACGACGACCATATCTCTGTGGGAAGTCGTTCCCTCGATAGCAATTCTTACCATAGCGAAAGTGGACGGTCTCACCATCGCGGCCGGCCTGTCCACCGATCCCCTCATGATAATCAACACGCATCGAGGTCGGGACTCGTTTATCACCCCGGAACGTGTTCAAACTAATGATGATTCATGCAGGGAGCACGGCTCACACCACGGTTCCTCCCTCTCCTCTTCGCGCCCATACGCGGGTCCAGCCCCTGACTCCTACCTGAGGGATCCACACTATCAGTAAGTCCGTTGCGTATGTGGGTCACATAAATAGGTGAGGAGCTGATCCCGCGACAGAGCATCACGACGGGCTGGTACTCGTCCATCACACGATGACCTCCGGGGCTACCCTGCAGACCCTAGACCGCCTCGGAGTGAAAGAAGCGCAGGGTACGTATCTCCTGGGCACCCCTCTTCCGTAACGCCGATCGCTAATGCTAGAGGCTTCAGGCAAAGTTCAAGTGACACACTAGTGCGGTCGAGCCCACGCCGTAGCGACGATCGCTATGGCCGTCCGAGAGGCTCTGATAGACGCGACTATGGTTCAGACGACCGGGGGCACACGTATCAGCGCGAGCACGATAGCCGGAGGAATGGGTGAGTATGATGTACGTGTCTCGATCCGGCAGACTGTGTTTCACGGAGAGTAGCAGCAGGGGCAGATCCGGGTCGAGTAATGACTCTTACGACCGTTCATACCGAAGACGACATGACCGTTATGACTGAGATGCTGGACACTTGATTCTTGTTATGCTTTTGTTCTCCGGACGTTTGATGTGCATGCTTTCCTAGCTTTCGCGCTTCGAGCTCTCGAAGTAGGCGTAGATCAGCCTACCACCATGTATAATTATGCCATATGCCTTCGTATGCACGGTAGCTTACCACCATGTGTCATACACGAAATTGAAAGCGCAGTGATGTCAGCGCTTTCCACCCCGCCGTCGAGAGCCTGTTCCCCTGCTTTCACCGCGACTCCTACCTTCAACGGCGCTGATCTCGCTCTTGCTGAGCTTGAGGATACCACCCTTAAAGGAGCCAACGCCCATCTTCATACCGCGATCTCGCTTCTTCTTTCGCAAGTGCGATGTGGACGACGCGTCGTACAGGGCCTTCAGCGCCGGATGATAGTTCCCCAGCTGCTTTGCCTGTTAGATTCCGATGATCAGCAAAACGTCAGCTGCGAAGCAGCAACAACGGCGCACCTCCTCCAGCTCCTTCTGTTGCCGTTCCTTCTTCTTCTCCGTAAGTCCGTCCCGGACATGTTTCGCTGCCCGGTTGTGCTCCTTCTGTCGTACTGCGGCTTCCCCCTTACCGAGTTTGGCTTTACCGGCAGCCTCCATGACGCGTCCGGCGAGCGCTTTCTTGCGCTGAGCCGGTGTCAGATTCAAGTCAGGATTGAGAGACCCTGACAAGAGCTGGGTATGGACCAGTCGATGTAGGAGAGCGTCGTTCTGGGCGTTCGAACTATAAGGACAGATGTCAGGGCTAGGCTAGTACTAGAACTCGGAGAGACCTACAGATCGTCGTCCTCGTCATCCTCGGAAGATTTCTTATTCGCTGGTCTCCTTGCTTCCTCCGTCAGTTTAGTGACTTTCGAGGACTGCATGCCAATTCAGCCTTGTGCCCACGAACCTACATGTCTATTTTGGGCTCACCATGAAGCCTGATTTCGATTTCTTGGGTATCATGGAGGATGTGCTCGCTTCGGAGAATACGACGATATCCGGCTGACGTGACCCGCTTTCGTACGTGAACTCGTCGTCCCCTTATGCACTGATGATGAGAGCCAGCTCATTGAGCAGTCGAAAGACGCGACTTTACCGTCATCGGACTCTCCCTCTCCGCCACTTGGGTCGTCCTCATCGAACCCTTCATCATCGCTGTCTTCTTCCTCGCCAGAACTCGACCCCTGCCCAATTCCCGCCCACTCTTCTTCATACTCATCTTCTTGACGGTTCTTTTTCCTGGTGCTCCTGTCTTCAGTGGTTGTGGGTCCATCCTTCCGCTTCCCTATGGTTACAGGGGTGTCAAAAGATTGCAGAAATTGCTGCCCGTGAGCCTCGAGGATCTTCAGGAGGTCCTCGTTTGCCATCTTGTGATACCGGAACTCAGTTGTCGTCTCAAAAAGAGGAAGGCGCTTGGGAGTGTGTGTCAGGATCGTTGGTTGACCAGCCAAGAGTGAGGACAAGTGAGGGCAAGGCAACAGTAGCTACTGGGGAACTGGACGATCGGTGTGGCGTTCATACTTTTCGGCCTGTTCCGGCTCCCCGGCCCGGATAATCAATCTGGGGTTAGGGGTTTACGCCACACGCGCACGACCACCACATCTGCTCATCTACTCCTCTGACGAGGTGCTCATCATGGCACGGAATCGCAAGAATCATGACAGACCCACGGCTAAAGCAGGACAAACGATTGATATCCCTGAACACGAGCAATGGCGTATCATCAAGGAGTCGGGAGTCCTCAAGCAGATACCTCAGGATCCGAAGTCTACCACAGTGGATGAGCGAGCAGAGGACGAGGAAGAAGGCTTGTCACCCTTTGCCGAAGAAGTGTTTAATTCAATGATGCTCGTCATCCCGATGTCGTTCATGCTGTTGCTCATGGAGATGTACGTGGTCTACTGTTTCATACCCGCATGCGGACTCACGACTGGGATCATATAGTCTGGTACACTTCCAGTATGGCCGGCAGCCCGACTACCTTGCCATTTTCAAAGACAGAATGCTTGCAAGTGTACCGAGTGAGTTCGTTGCTGCTCTCACTAGGGCACAGGACTAATAGGTCCTCAACTCAAGTCATCTCAGTATTCATATTCTACTGTAAGCCCAACTCTTGGCCAACGCACGTCTTTGTTCACTTTGTTCTGCCTTAGCTAACCGCTATAAGTCGCACCTATATATGCAGGCGGGTTTTTTCGTCCTGGCCTGTATAGTAGGTCCACGTCTAGTTTGGCTAATCAACCGCGGGAACTGGCTGGTAGTAATGCGGCAGGTAAGTGTAGTCCCATCACATCCTTCGCGCTCGATGAAACGTAAATGCACTCCAGAGCCCACCACTAGCAACCGCTTGGATATATGCTATTGTTCAACTAAATCTCTTGCCAGCCGCACTCAACCTCATCATCGTCCTCGGATTTGGCTGGTACAAGGGTCTGAAGCTGATTCCTTAGACCGGACATCATTCTACAGAAGACTACATACCGCTATCTCTAATCACATACGGACACACATACGGGTCACCCCGACAACTATGTATGCTCGATAATACGCCGCATAACGTGTTGTGCTCTTCGACACGGACGGCACCTTATACGAGCACGAATACATCGATCCGCAGAATGGCCAACAGAGAGGATATGACTCCGTCTCCGTGGCAGAATTGATCTGCGCTCAAAAATACGCCACTAGCGGGTTGGGGCTTAGACCCGTAGGGCACCTTATATGAGCGGGAATAGCACACGCACGTCATCTGGCACAGTAGACATTCAGATGAAGCTCTAGAGATACATATCAGTGATCGCACTGAGCTGGAGCAAGTACAAACAAGAATTGTCCGCGACGTTTCAACGCCCCTCTCCTTCGTCAAGCTCCTTGGCCAGAGACTCCACCTTGGCCTATAAAATGCGTTTATTAGCGAGCGGTCGGGGGGCTCATAATGAATGGGCTTACTCGATATGCTCTACTCCGGCCTTCTAGATGAGTGCGCAAGGCTCGAAGCTGCCACCGCAGCCGGCGCCCTAGCTTCGGTAGCTCGTCCTTATGTCGATCGAGCCGCTCCACGAGAGCCCTGTAAACTCGATCGTCTCGGGCGAAGTAGTACGTCTGCAACAGGAGTAAGACACTATTCTGACTGCTTGACGCCAAGCGTGCATACAGGTATTGCTTCGCCGTTTATCACTTGCAGAGCAGACGACCATGCAGCAATCATCACCAGGTCGGCCGTCGCATTGGCCACACTGGACGGCATCACATCATCAATATAGGCTTCAGACACAGATAGCCTTGTGACTTACTAGTCTTCCAAGGAGGCGATGAGGTCCGCCTTTCCCAAGTTCTTGGTGGCAAAGCTCCGAACCGCTGCTTCAGCATTGTGCACCGGCTTCCCTTCTGTGCCCATTCGCAAACAAGCAGCTACGTCTCCTGCCTGCAGCGTGATCCACGTGTCGCCTTCACTCATGATGAGCGTTTGTAGAAAAGACGCCATAAGATCCTTCTGGGACTTCTGCAGGCCGAAGTCGATGGCTATCTTCAAGTTTGTCCCTGGAGTCCACCTTGAGCCCCTCCCAAAATATATAGACTATATTCACGTACTCAGCATTTTGAGCATGTTCTTCGTTTCGGGCTTTTGGAGGTCTTCGTCTTGTAAGTGGTTGATGTAGCGAGAGAAGGCACCAAGCAGAACGATTGCCATGTCTGTATGCTCTATGCGCATCGCATGGATGAGTGGTGTCGCGTCCCCGGACTTCTTGACCAGGCTCTAGGAGATTAGATACTCAGCACGGGGTACATGCGGGAGAGTGGAGACAGATCGCAGAAAGACTCACTTCGAATGACCTATCACGGACCTCCATGAGGAACATTATATCCCTCCTCTCAATTGCACGCATGATTTCGTAAGGCTGACAGTGGAATGGTCAGACAGAATCAACTCAAGGAATGGAGCTGCATACCTCAGGCTGCCTCCACGGTCCTTCACTCTTCTTCGCAGCCTCTCGCAACGTCTTCGCCGCATTGAATGCGGAGGGTAGCATGTCCAATAGTGACCTCCGCCGCGCCTTTGGACTAGATTCTGGGGAGTTGTGCACTGAGGCCGTAGGCGATAGTTTGCTGTCCCCATGTTGGGAAGTAGGAGTCTCGAGGGACTTCCGTATCTGCTCGAGCTCTGCTTTGACGGCTTTAAAAGCTAAGCCGTTGGCCTCTCTCTGGATGAAAGCTCAACTGACGTCGGCATCGAGTAAGGCATGATAGGATAAGGCATACCATCTCCTGGTAATCTGGAAGATAGACAAGGGTCCGAACGACACCGCTCTCGCGGGGTACCATGCTGGCTGGGCTCAACCTCGCTATCGTCTATCTCCTGAGATATCTTGATGACCACGGGAGCATTGTTGTACATCGCGGCCCAACACGCCACAGCGCACAGAGAGGTATCGAGGGCGAAATAGAAATCACGGACTGCGTGCAGTGTGCTGCGCGGGAGTACTTTTATGTCTTCTCAGGACACAAGGACGGGCCGACGTCGTCGAGGCACAGCATGCAAGAGTCACGACGAGTGCATAGACAGACAATAGGGATATAGGACCATGCTAAGGCTGTTGCCTGGGTGCTGTGTGGTACTGTAGCCCTCGAAGCTGCCGCAGTCGTCATCGCCGCCAGACAAGAGCCTGAGGCGTTGCTGCGTACGGTAGACAGAGGCGCCCGTCGCAGTGTTGGCGGCAAATCCGTCGTTTCCGGACACTGCTGGTCATTCTGGTCTACTTCTATGTTCCGTCCTGCTTTCCGTCAACTGAGACCCTCTAGAAATCTTGCGACCAGCAGGGCTGTTAGAGCGCAGGCGCAGACAACGCAGGCTCCACAATCGCCAGACGCACCGATAGTCCAGTATGTCCGGAGGAAAATAGAAGAACGACAGAAGCTGCAGGCCGAGGTGTGTCATTCGTACCTACGAAATGCATGCGTACTGAGTCTACCTCAGCTATCAGCAGAGGTGCTCTCGGATGAGGACATACGTCGAGTCCGGAGGATCAAAGAGCTGGAACCTCTCCAGGATGCTTGGACAAGGTGGAAGCATGCCAAGCAGGTCCGTATGTTCGCGTTTACTTTGCGCGTGCACCATGTAACTAACCACAATCCTAACAGTAGTCTTTAGAGGAAACACTAGCCCTCCTAAGCGATCCAGATCCAATTATGCGAAGCATGGCCGAGGAGGAGTATGCCACCCTCTCAAAGACAGTGAATGAGATGGTTCAGTCTACCTTTCCAACTCTCCTGGTCCCACCGTCGCAAACTGCCAACCTGTCCGCCATCATCGAACTTAGAGCTGGAGTTGGAGGCTCGGAGTCTGCCCTTTTCGTCGCCGACCTAGTACGAATGTACACTCGCGCGGCTCAGTCCTATGGATGGAACGTCACGATGCTCAATAGCAACGTTCTCGAGTCAGGTGGCATGAAGGATGCCATTTTGGAGGTGAAGGGAGAGGGTGCGTATGATGCACTGCGGTGGGAAAGCGGCGTGCATCGGGTGCAGAGGGTCCCTGCTACCGAAGTCAACGGACGGGTGCACACGAGCACCGTTGGAGTAATGGTATATTGTCTTCCCTGCATTGATTGTCTCTGCTCTGGTCTCATGTCCTGGTTCTAGGTCCTTCCGTTGACTGAAGACGCGGAGCCGGCGAGGAATGCCGATGACGACCTCTTCACCATGGATGAAATCAAGCTCGAGGTCATGCGCTCGAGGGGTGCTGGTGGACAGGTGCGTCAGATGACAGTGTCAGGCATGGTCTTCGTAGTATTGAAGCGTCTCGTAGCACGTAAACAAAACCGAGTCTGCGGTCCGCATAACACATCTACCCACAGGCATTACCGTTTCGATGCAGGACGAAAGGAGCCAACACCAAGTATGCCGATCAGTGATGATAGCTGAGGCTTTGCTCATTCTTAACGCAGAATCGAAGACGAGCATTTCAAGTCTTGCGCGCACGGCTCATGGACAGGAAGCTCAATCAAGAGATGATCCAGCGACGTGATATGCGGCGCGGCCTTGTGGGTAGTGTCGACCGAAGTGAGAAGATCAGGACGTACAACTATGCACAGGTCAGCTTCCTTGATCCGAGATCACGAGTCAGGTTTGCTCAGGCCACACGACAACTTTGCAGGATCGAGTTACGGATCATCGACTTGGTATGTCTCTGAAAAACCTCACGTCAGTGATGGAAGGGGACGCGTTGCAAGATTTTCTCAAGGCCCTTCAACAGCGTCACCACGATGAGCTGTTGGAGGATGTCTTGTTGCAACAATGATGCCTTCGAGTCGTCATTTCAATTTTCTACGCCCACGCGCCCACGCTCTGAGCTTCCGGCTTTCTGACGCTACCATAGTAGTTTATGTGCATGATAATGTTATGTACCCTCGTCGTCTCTACTAGGCGCTATGGGCCGTGTGGTCCGTAATACGAGCAGCCCATCTCCCAGAAAATGTTGTAGTGGTCTTCAGCTGACTGCCCGGAGCTTGGTCAACTGTTTGGGCAGCAGGATTGAGGCCTTGAGCGGCCGCCAGGGTATCGGAGTGAACACTCGGCTGGTGAAGGGAAAAGCGCCGATGTTGCAAGCACATAACAGGCGCTTATGTGCTTCTGGCACAGTTCTTAAACTTCGCGAGCACAGTCAAGCGTGAGCTATCAAGGTCCGAACTCTGTCCGGAGGACACCGGCTAGGCGGTATGAGACACGCTATGACTAACTCCGCGAGCATCCTGACGTCGCATCGTCCAGCCTACAGCTCAGGAACGGTTTCCCGCAGTGAAGTACTTGGTGGTTAACGTGCGCCGTGCCACTCTATCCATGTTCAATCTATGGAGACAGGCCTCAGAGCACTCAAAAGAGGGCGCCAAAACACGTGATACAGGTGCCGCTCCAGCCAGCATGGCAACAAGTCCATCCAACGAACGCAAGACAACACCAACGCTACTCTCAGGAACAAGCGACCTGCCTCGTCCACTGATCTCACATGAAGACACGGTCAGTGAGCTTGAAAAACGGAACGGTAACAGATCATTCCTCACTTCCAAAACTTGCAGCTTACTTGCTTGTTTAGTTCTCGCCGTGGTCGAGAACCATGCAGGTTAGTCCTAGTCGCTTGAAGTGCATGTCGTTGTGGAGCTGCACATTGAACACATGGTTCTATAGAGAGAATGAATCTTCTTCGGCTGACATTAGGTCAAAGCATAGTTTCGCAGCAGTCCTTGATTGCCAACGGAACACGCAGTCACCGAGTTGTCTTGTTCATTGTCGAGTACGCCTGAAGCATAACATTGGTCACCGCTATACTCATAGCTAGCTGACGTCCCTCTAGTGATAATCAATCAATAGGGCAATACGCGCAAGAACTTGAGGATCTCGATTTCTCCGTAGAGTCATACACCGTCGCTATGCATTCCGCTGGGACGAACCAATGGCCAAACATCATTTATAACGACATCATCGTCGCGACGGCGAATGTGGGTGTCCTGTATATCACTCTCACGCCATCTACATATCTAACTATCTCGCAGATGCTCCTGGACTCACTATCAGACGGCAGCATCAAGCTGTCCCAAGCGCATATGCTCGTCATTAGCGATGCCCAACGTGTAGTGCCCATGGTTATGCCCCACCCAGTACTCCGTATGATGTCGGACTTCCACGCCAAGACAGCCGACCCTCCTAGAGTGTTTGCCTTGTTCACCTGTTCGCCCGAACGCTGGGTTTCTCTGGATCTGGCATGGCTTGAAGCCCCTCTGCGGGCTCAGGCGTTCTTCTTGGCGACAAAGACTGTCAACTCTTGGTCTGGGCCCGTGGAACTTGTAATGGAGTATGAAGCAACCCCGTCCTCTCAGATGGAACCTTACATGTCCAGTATCGTGCGACGAGCTGATCCCGAAGGCCTGCTTGTGCGACCTCAGCACTACCGTCGAGCCCGACGTATCTGTTTACAACTGGGATCCTTTGCTACGAATGCATGGTGGCGCGATACTTTGGATGAGCTCGTGGCATTGCCAGTGTCAAATGATACCAAATTGTCAGTAGCTCGAGACAGTCTGGAGCTGATCAAGAGCCACGGAATGGCGGACAGACTGCAAGTCGCTCCTGGCTCTTCGAATCCCAATGTGACCTTCAAGGTCTCGAAGCTGCTCCAAGTGCTGCAGCCTTATGCAGCCTACGGCGACCAGTTCCGAGGCATTGTGTTCGGTAGGTGGTGATTCTGTAATGCGCGAACGCTTATGAACCCATGTTGTTCTAGTGCGAGATAAGGTTGTCGCAAGCGTCTTGCCTGGACTGTTGAATGCCGCCGAAACACAAGTACCCTTTATCCGTGCTATCGCACCCAGCCGAAAAGAAAGGTCGGGGAAAAATTCTTTGGTGCGTCTTTGGCCCCCATTTCGTCATCCCAATGACACTCAATATGGACATAGCACGCTGCTTTGAGCGCGTTCTCTTCGAGTAAATATAACCTGATAGTGCTTACCAAGTCCATGGAGGACGTCGAATTACCACCAGCGTCCATCATTGTCAAGTTTGTGATTCTGTGATCAGGATTTCTCAGTCTCATCATTTACGACTATTACACAGCTTTGATGTGTTCGATGACCAGCTCTCGTACGCATACAGTCACTTGCATACCCGCGGACGGCATTCCCATCTCGTGTATTTGGTCGAGAAAGGGAATAACGAACAACGACGAATACTCACCCGCGTGCAGAGCGTCGACAACGAGATGAAGGAATGGGTAGGCGACTTCGTCCGTGGTGACTGCAATGCCCCACCCAAGTCTATGCACGTTGGTCTGGACCCGTATCAGTCGGATAGCGATAACGAAGGGGAGGACTACATCGTGGATGCTGTGACTAGCGCACGGATCGACAAGTCGCAGGCAATCCCTACTTTCTACCGCTTTGCCATCCAAATGCATGCCGTGTCAGGCGCCGAAGACGAGAAGGTCGCATTCAACATGGAGACGGGGGAACGTGGCGATGACGCAGCTGTCCTCCGGTATATCATCTCATTCCCAAAGTCTACAGCACTCGCAGCAATCTCAGGACCATATTGTTCCACGAAATGGGAAGCCAAACGGGAGGCTTGTCATCAAGCATGCAAGGAGCTCGTTCGAGTTGGTATAATGGATCACCGGCACTTCCCCCAGTCACGACGAGTGCCAGCAGGCCAGAGCGGTTCTACAGATACCAACGGCGAGACCCCTGCTCCGCGGGATGTGAAAACGGCCAACACATCCGCGAAGACTCACGGGTATCCGCGGAAAATTCCCGACTTCTGGCCCAATACGCAGTCGTCTCCCCCTACCATTCTCTATCCTACCGTCGTCGCTCCTGACAACATGGGTGAGGAAGTCCATGCGCCTGTCCTCCTCCTGACAAGGGCCCCTCTTCCTCATGTGCCGGACTTTTCCCTCTTCTTTTCGGGTTTGCGTACCACGGTACGATTCTACAAGGCCGCTCCCATCACAATTACCGACGCCCAGCTCAAGGCGCTCCATGGGTACACTCTCCGTGTCACGAAGTCCTTGACGAACAAACCGCTGGATTGCCCTCTTGGCGACTTGCTATGTTACTTTGCCCCTCTGGATTCCTCCTGGCACTCTAGCATCTCTCCGCACTGGCCCCTTCTGTCTGTAGAGGGACATGTCCTGTGGGACGCTGTGCAACTCGCTGCTGATTACTTCGCGATACGCCTGCTTGACAGCAACGTCCCAATAGATGAGCGGGCAAAGGACGCCATCGTGCTGGACCGCCAGGTCGAGTTTACCATGCGGCACTTCGTGATCAAAGTCAGGCATGACCTAACGCCTCTCTGCAAAGCCGACGACAGTCCGGTAAGCCAATTATATTCATTGTCTGATAAAAGAAAGGAGCTGATGTGGATGCTAGCGCGAAGCGGGATACCAGAATTTCTTGGAGTATTGCAAGGCACGCTGCAAGGACTTCCAGGGACTCGAGGACGAGAACCAGCCCCTGATTGAAGTCAGCGCTGTGCCAGGAGTAATCAACAATCTGCATCCAACCTCTGCGCCGCCGACGCCTCCAGCAAAAGCACCCCTGAAGTGTACGTCTGTAGTCACTCGTTTGCATGACTGACAACGCTGATGCTGGCGACGGGTAGACTTGATCCCGGAGATGTGCTACAAGTTCACCATACCGGCAAGGTAGCGTATCCCCTGCAACTTGTTTTGATACATACTAACTCGCTAACCTTGTACCTAGCACATTCCGGACCCTGTGGCTTATGCCCTCCATCATGAACAAGATCGAGAGCTACCTGCTCGTCAAGGAACTTAATGCAAGGCTATTCCACAATGCTGTCATAGAGCAGCAACTTCTCATCGCGCTTTCTACCCCTGCCGCCTGGACCGAGTTTAACTACGAACGTCTGGAGTTCCTGGGTATGTCCTCAGTCATGAAGAAGCTGATTGCACCCTCCTTACATGCCGCTTCCCTGCAGGTGACTCGTTTCTCAAGGTCGTCGCTTCGAACTTTTGCTACGCAACGATGCCCTCCGTTCATGTTGGTGATCTCCACCAAGCGCGACAATCTATCATCAGCAATAAGGTCCTCCAGGAAGGGGCAACGCGCGTTGGGGTGCCGTCATATGTTCAGCACAAACGCTTCGTCGCGAAGTTATGGCAGCCTCCACTAAGCACGGCTAACGTCGCAGAAGAACTGAAGACCGAAGGCGGCAACGGGGACGTGGAGATGACAGGAGAAGCCCCCGAGAAGAAGGATAAGGGCAAGCGGAGCAAGAAGCAGCGACAGCTCGACGAGCAGAACACGCTCTGGATGGGCGACAAGGTATATGGCTCCGCTCTGGTCACGCTTGGACGTTCTCTTGATGCTTCCATGATCAGATAATTGCGGACGTCGTTGAAGCCATTCTCGCTGCATCCTTCCTCTCTGGCGGACACGAAGTAGCACTGGAAGCCGCGAGGCGCCTCCAGGTCCCCATTCCCAACGTCGCACAATGGTCAGACTACGCCCGTCTCGCAGCTCATCATGCTGCCCGCGAGCAGACGGTAGTGATGGCCTCTGCGCCATCACGTATGACGATAAGCGTGCTCGAAAAATTGTTCAATTCGAAGTTCAACCGGCTAGACCTCCTCGGACAAGCCCTGGTGAGCCTTCTGTGATGTCGTCCATCTCTGCGGGGACTCATATACCGTACCAGACGCATACCTCTGCCTTCTCGGGCGCCGAAGGAACGAGTTACGATCGCTTGGAGTTCATCGGTGACGCCATTCTCGACTTCTGTAAGTTGCCTGTGATGAATCGCTGTATACGCGCTAAGCACCAAGTCGACAGTGGTATCGCGTTACATCTGGGAACGCCATCCGTACCTCTCCCCTGGCGGCCTGACGATGTTGAAGGCAAATGTTTCCGCATTCGCATCAGGTTACTCATTCACTGATGGCGACGTGCGACGTACAGGGTGCTATGGTGTCAAATCAAACGTTGGCCGCTTTCTGCGTGCACGTCGGTCTGCAGCAATACTTGCGCATGGAATCGAAAGACCTCAGCACCGCGATCCAGAAATACATCGACTTCCTAGAGGAGCTTCGCAAGAAAGAGTATGACTTCGCGAGCAGGGAGCAACGATTGCCAGGTCAATACTGGCTTGACATGCCCATGGAACCACCGAAGGTCCGTGACTCGGGGCCACGCTGAATGACGGAGCTGACATACTTTATGTAGTGCCTATCTGACGTCGTTGAGTCCCTCATAGGGGCTCTCTACGTCTCCGACAACTTCTTTGAGGTCGGGGTCGGACGCTTCTTTGAGACCGTCTTCAAGCCATTCCTCGAGGCGCACGTCCGACTGCAAACACTCTCGACCAATCCAAAAATAACCCTGCTGGAGCTGTTGCAAGCGGAAGGGTGCCAGAATAACGCTGTGGTGAAACAGCAGCAGTCGCGCCAGAACATGCCCGTACAGATGGATGGTCGGTATCATTTGCGCATTATGTATCGCATTCTGGGTCGCTGACCATGATGGACATGCGGCAGTCGTCATTCACGGGAAGGTCATAGCAAGTGCGACGGACTCATCTGCTGTGATTGCGACGCGCAAGGTGTCACTCACTGCCCTGGACACGTTGGCGAACGACCCGGAGCTCCTGGCGCGTATGTGCGATTGCAGATCTACCACGTCCAACTCCAGCAAGGTGAACCCGCCGAAGCCACAACCAACCACGAGCGAAGTCTCAGTAGACGAAGAAGCGGAAGCGGCGGAGGTTGAAGCAGCCATGGGAGCGGACGAGGAAGAAGCGGAGTGATGCTCACGCACTCAGTGCCTGTTCAATGACTTTCCAATGTTTCGCTCGTATACTGCTTCAACACGATTCCTTGACCACATATGCAGACAGACGAGGCGAAGCATGACCATCATCTATTTCTAGTGTGTCGCCTGGGTACAAATTAGGCGGTCTAGAGTAACGGCACGCCAGGCGCGTCTTCTTAAACCTTGCCGGCTTTGTAGCTACACGGCCAAACTTGTAAAAATCAACTCGCACATGACGTAGACGCGAGACATACAGCTGGAAGTAGGCAGCAATGAAGGGGATGGAGAAGCCACCAATCAGGTAGCTCGCGACCTTGAGACCGAAAGCCCCCTTCTTCTCGTAGTCGAAGGGGATGTGCTGCACGCGTTCGAGGACACCACGTCAACAGCGTCCTACCGCATTCAGCATTATGATCAACACACCTTGTACTCGCCGTGCGACATGTACCGCGCGGGGGCAGCGCGCGAGCGGACAGCGACCTGGCGGAGGGGCACAGCAGAGCGGGCGAGGAGCGACATGGCGTTGGTGGTGGTCCTGCGTGAGGAGAGCGTGGGAACCCGACATCATGCCTTGCGCGCACGATATCGCGGCGTCGTCCGCGATCGCGAGCCGGAAACTGGCGGGGGCTTGCTCGTTGACCAATCACAGCGCAAAACGCCTCGCTCAGTCCGCGCTGTGGCTGACGGCCTCCCAGGCAAAATTGGGGCAGCGGCCGAAGCAGATCCGGTAAATGTTTATATGTACGAGGTGATGTGCATTACGGAAGTGTCTCTAGCAGTACTCTATTATGAGTAGATGGATGCAACGATAGCAGCGTTTGATACAGTAGTAGATCCGAGTTGCTAAGGGTGGCTTTCATTGAAGCTTCGTGAAGTCATCAGTCGGAGGCTCGTGTACGTTGTATCATGCAGCAGCGAACTTGGAGTTAGCCCGTATCCTCGCGCCTATCCTGTAGAGAATAAATCTGCCACATTCATGCCCAAGTGAGTCACGTTTCCAGATCCTATGCAATGCTGTTTGGCACTCACGGTAGAGGAGCCATCACGGTCAGCAACCCTGCTAGGAGAGCTGTCGCGCCGACCGTGCCCAGGGTGTCATACATCTGCCCTGCGAATAGTGGGAAGCCCGCTGCGAAGCTCGATCGTACCGCGCTATTCGCCGCCATCGCACTGGCAGCGATCGGCCGATACGCGGTGACGAGGTATGTGAACACGCCCGTGAAAATGAAGTACGTCCCCGCACCGAATGGGATGGAGCCTATGATGGGCCCGATCCAGTGGACGTGCTTATATGTTGTGAACGCCATAATGAATAGGCCTGTGGATTGTTCGTAAGTGGCGTTGGTACCGACAGTCTACACCAAGGACGGACTGACCGAGAGGCGCGAGAATGGCACCGACCATGGCGATTATCAGCCGTACCTCCGGTGGAGCTAGTCCGTTATACTTCTTGGTCTCATTACGGAACACTCTGTTCCAGTAAGGCTGCGTCGCGAGGGCGAGCGCCATTCCCAGTCCGATACCGAGGAAAGAAAGCCCCGTCTGCTGGACGTCGAAACCATGCACGTCTTCGAAGATGATAGGGAACGCTTGAAATGCTAGGTACAGGATTCCAAGCAGGAGGGCCGACCATAAATCCAACGCGAGGGCCATGCGGTCAAGGAGAAGAAGCTCTGCGAGGACGGATGTCAGTGTAGCTCTACTGTCCCGCGGGAGAGATTACGAACTGAATGGGGTGTAGATACTGAACATGATCATACGAAATAGACTGTGCTCTTGCTTTTCGATTGGGGCACGCCATTTGGGATTGTCCGTTTGCCGCAGTCTGACAAATTATGAGAATGAAAGTAATAGGTACGTGGAGGTGCACGTACCGTCTGGCCTTCCTTTTCAGGATCACAGGCACATATGTCTCTGGAACAACCTGGGATGGGCTTCTATCAGGCATTTGTGACATGACATGTTAGGAGAAGACTCACTGTGAACAACAGAACCGTCTGCACAAACTGCCATATGAGCAGAGTGCGATAACACCATCTCCAATCCGTGTTCTGGGTGGAATCAGTATATACGTAGCATGCTCGAATTCAGGAGGCGCAACATACTTGTACAATGAATCTGTCACCACTGAATTCAGCATGAAGTTCCTATGGCTTATGTCTGACGGCGACTTACCCTCCGATTAGGGGCCCTACAACGGGACCGATGAATGGCGATATGGTGTATACGGCCATGGGACTGAATAGGCTAAGTGAGGCTGATGTAACGGCTAACTTCGGGCTGAAACGTACGTCGCAACGTGGTTATTGTCGAACAGGTCGCTGACACTACCGCCCGCTACGCTCAAGAAGGCAGACCCACAAATTCCAGTGATGAATCGGAAGACAAGATATGTCGCTGCGATCCGGAGTTAGCACGACTCCGAAGTATGTGCTTTCCCGCGCGTACCTATATCAGGAGGGAACGCAGTTGGCCATGTGAAGGCAAAGAATAGAACGTATGAGACTCGGTAGACGATATTACGTCCGTAAAGCTCAGACAGCGGTCCAACGAATAGAGGTCCGAGACCCAGGCCAGTAACGTACAAACTAATACTGAGGATGGTAACTTCATGCGATGTATGAAGATCACGAGCGAGACCCGTTTCTGTGAACGCGGCCTAGAGTACGCGGAAGTCGGCTCTCGGTGAAAGTACGAGCGTGGGGCAGTGGATTGGGACGCACCACAGATGAAGCAAACGTCGCGCAAAGCGATGATGCACTGATAGTCAGCACAATAACCCACTTCCTCCATACAGCTAAGGTCTTGGGATCATCCGCGGGGTCAAGTTGACAGATGTAAGGGTCGACCTCTAGCGAGGGGGTGCGTTCCTTGGGCGCAGCGGGCGCCTGGGCTGCCTTCTCTACATCGGTGGCGTCATTGAGAGTGTTCGTCTCGGATCGCGAATGTGGCATAGTCGCCTACTACAGTGGTCTAGCAGTAGGCAAGGTTGTTCAAGTAGAGCGAACTAGCACACTAACGAGGGCGCAAGGGACAGCGGAGTCGACGGAAGCCCTAGGTTCAGCGCACCGTCATTCTTATAGCGGCTTGAGAACAACTTCTTAATCACCTAAAGCGGGCGCCACAAAGCTTGAACGGCGCGCGTGAGGTTTGTCAGCAGACCATCCCAGTCAGCCTGCAATACTGCTTTCGGTATCGTGTCCCTCGGCCACCGCAACCAACCTGCCGTTTATCGGTACTCATCCTCCGGGTTAGGCTGAGGGGATTGCTCAGCTTGATCACAATGGTGCCGCACATGTTATTGCAGCTTAAGGACACATATAGATCTAGACTAGCAACGCCATGTCAGCATACGGAAAGCTAGCTCCAGTTGGACTGGCCACCATCTGAGACGCGCGGACAGGTCAGTGGGTCTACCGTCCAGAGATCCGATTTGTTGTTGTGATACTCAGCACACCATGGCTTAGCTGAACACGCAACCGGAAAGTCGGAGTCCCGGTGCGTTTAATATACTCGATTTTACCGAAGTGCCCGCGCAAGTCAACGACGGGAGACTTGCCAGGATGCCCGTTTCATCTCCTTCGGCAGCTGGCCACTCATCAGACTCCCAATACGTAGATCAAAAGATATCCCCCCTCGCCAACAATGAAACGAAGCTCATGTTCCGAAGGAGGTCCGAATTGAAGTACCCCGAGGGGAATACTTGCAGTTCGCCGCGACAGCGATGTCAATGGTTAACCTGACATCACGTGAGATGGAAACGATCTATTACCTCGCACATGCCCAGCTCTACAAAGCAAGGCATGTAGGAATGTACAGTAAAACGACCTCGAGTGACACCCTACGCCTACGCAGCCTGCGGCACGATCTGGTTCTTGGCCTCCTCGAGCACCAAGTTGCGCAGCTTCTGGCTACGCCTGATCGCCTTGCGCTGTTTGCGCTGCATCTTCCTCTTCAGACTCGCCTCCTCTCCGCGATTACGCCAGCGCCGCGTCAGCTCCGCCTTGCGGTCGTCCGCGAGCCGCTGCTGCCACTTCCACGTCGCCTCCGCACGCGCCTCCTTCTTTGTGCGGCCCGCTAGGTTAGCGTACTCCGCATCGATGTACTCCTGCAGGAGTGCCTTTTGGCGGGCCTGGAAAGCCTGCCAGCGCGCCTGCTTCTTGGCGCGCCCGTGGGGGTTCGAAAGCTCCTTGTGGACGTGCACCTCGATCGGGTCGGAAGGGCGGATCCGGGGTTTTCCGGCCTTGTAGAGGAAGTTGATGTACTCCTGCTCAGTAGGTATCCGAGGAGCGGGGGAAAGGAAGGTGGCGGGTAGGGAAGGAGGGGTGTAGGTCACTGCCAGAGCATCATCCTCGGTGGTGTCGTATGGAGTCGCTGATGACACGGTGAGGGTGAGATACGGAGCAAATGCACTATGAACTCACGATCAGGCCTCGTGATGGCGTTCCGCTTGGGCCATGGTATACGGATGGAGACATGGGTCCGGTCGGTGTAGTTCGGTAACCGCGGGATGGTATTCACGGCGTAACGCCGCCATATCCAGAAGCCGCCCTTCCGGTAGTAGTAGGGCTTCGACATTGTGAGGCGCGACGCGAAAACACTTTATCCAAGATGAGCCATAGCGGACACGGAGACATGGAACGGACGCATAGTGGAGGCGTACTTTTTCAACGTAGGCTCTGTCGAGTCGTCTTCAGGAGGGTACTCGTACTTGCCGACGAGGAGCTGGCATTGTGCATATGGGACTGACAGACCGGTCTGACTCCTGGCATCTGGCACATATCCCTGCGCGCGACTGTTCGTGAAAGGAGATTAAGATGCGCTCAACGGACTGTACTTACCGCCTTGTTGATCTCCCGCTTCAGAATGACCCTGTTGCTGAGCTTGTTCACCTTATGCACCTCGTGCAAGGTACCATTCGTGTCTCCCCGCAGCTTCACAAAGTCTCCGGGCACGATGTTCCAGTACTTAATCCTGTCCTTGAGCTTGGTATCCTTGGGGACAGGCTGACCAGGCATAAAGGGGCCGCGAACGAGAAACCGGGGCACGGGGAGCAGGTGGCGGAAGTTTCGTGTGAAACCTGCAGTCGAGGCCGCGGAAGCCAGCTCCCTGTACGTGATAGACATCGCGCAGGAAGTCCCAAACGTTCACGAACAGAGAGAAGAGGGAGGGAACACCAGCACACAAGTCCTAGTCGCTGGAAGGCGTCTGGCAAGACGCTCGGCCACCAGCTCAGAATTTCGGGCGAGCGTCTTACTTAAGCAACAGCGACGCGCGCACGCGACCGCGACAACCGGCAGTTCTTACGGGGTGTGGACAGTAATTAGCACAGAGTCGTTTTCTGAAAACGTGTATGTTATGCGATACAACGAGGCCGCCCCAAACGATCCAAAGCAATACACAATAAAGTAGGAGTACAACAGAGAGACCTGCATAAGTGCTACATTCAGCCCACCGGCAATCCCGCACGCGCCGACCCGTTCCACGCCGTCGAAGAGCTCGGCTCCTCAGCCTCTAAAGTCTGCAGCAAAGGCATCGTCAGAGCGCGACACTTGTCCATCAGCAGACGCACACACCTCAAGCAGCATGCCCACGACGCCATCGACCTCCTCCGGAGGTATCCCTCCGCACCCCGCGCTGATCAGCCGTCGATACTCAGCCATCCTCCCTCCAGTCCCCGCCTCCGCCTGGAACTTGACGAGCTGGTCGAACATGCCTTTCCGCCGGGCCCTGTGCCCCGTGAGCTCTTCCCGCAGCCGTTCGCACTCCTTCCGCAGCTCCTCCGGGTCCGTCGGGATGTTCGCATGGAGCGCGAGCAGGTCCGACACGGGCTCTCCAGATGTAGACTTGAGCTGTCCCCCAGCCGCCTCCCGGATCGCCCGCTCACGATCCTCCTCGTCCTTGATCCACTTTTCCCACCCCAGCCTGAACCGCTTTCCCATCTTCCCGCGCAGCTCGCCTTCCAGCTGCTTGACCGTCTGCTGTGCCGCAGGGAGTCCTTGCGCCTGGGTCTTCAGGTGCGAGACGGTCCGTTGGGACTCGAGAATCTCGGATTGGATGTTGGTGAAGAGCGCGTTCGCCTGCGTCAGATCGCGGTCCTTCTCCTTGAGCTCCTGGTCAAACGCCGCGGCGAGGCTGTCGAGCATCATCGTGATGTCGCCCACACAGCGCGTAGCCGCTTTCTGTCCCGTAATTGAGTAATGTAGCGATGGGCGGTCACCCTGCGTCAACAGGGCATACGTGGAGGGGCCGTTTGCGGTGATAGCAGCAGTGGTGGCGGGGCCGTCAACGCTGCGCAAAGGCAGTTGGCTGGAGGGTAAGACGGGCGACGACCGGAACCGCTCGTCCTCGAGGATATAGTCCTCGGTCGTCTTGCCGTCGCGGTTCGCGATCTTCGGGTCTGCCCCGTGGTCGAGAAGGAGTTTCACGAGCCGCTTGCTGCGGCAGCGCGCGGCCATCGTCAGCGCCGTCTCCCCATCCTCGTCCTGGAAGTTGATAATGTCCGCGAGTTCGCGCGGGAAGTCGGCGAGCCGCTGTAGGACGGTCTCCATGTAATACCGCGCGGCGTGCGTCTTGCCCTTAGACATCGCGACGTCGACGATGTGGTGGAAGACGGTCCGGTTGCTATTGTCGATGTTGAGCGTGGAACGGTGAAGGAGCTCATACAGCTCCGGGAACTTGCGGACATCGTAGTTGTTGGCGAACATAACGCTGCGCATGAGGGCCGTCTGGCCGGCCTTGTTCACTCTGTAAATGTCTGCCCCGGCGGTAAGCAGGAGCTTGACTATTCGGATGCGTCCCATGGCGCTTGCCCAGTGCAGAGCGGTGTGGCCGTCGTCGTCGATGGACATGTTTGGATCGAAGTCCGGTGGCGGGTTGATGAGGATCTCAGGTATCTGATTCGAGTCGGAAATGAAGTACTCCAAAATTTGGTCGCCATAGGCCGCCTGATCCGTCCCGTTTGCCGCGTATCCCTCGTTGCCGCTCTCCTCTTCCTCGTCCTGCTGACGATGTTTCCGCTTGCGACTAGGCATGGGAGAAGGTGAGCGATCGTCTTCATCCATAGCGTTGGACGCGGACGCTGAAGGGCCAGGGCTGCTGCGAATAGGCGATGGCGTTCGGGAGCTCGAAGAAGCTTCGGAGGGAGAAGGGGTCATTGTCCCGTCCTCTGAGCCGCGCACGGATAGTGTGTCGACATCGGTACCATCGCCGTCCTGTCCTGTTCGCTTTGAGGATCGGGTGCTGATAGGGATATCACCTGTTGGCTCACCACCACGACGTATGCTGGCCTTGGAGGATTGGGCAGACACGAGGTGCTTCGGGGCTAATGGAGGGCTCTTCGCTTCGGGTTGGAAGTCGATGATTGGTTTCAGAGCGGTTTCGCAGCCGTACTGCCTGCATAGGACAAGCCCTCGTTCAAGGGGGATCCAGGTGCCTTGGGGCTGTCAGAAGCTGTGGGGTAATCGCCGTGATGTGGAGAACAGACCTTGGTATTTTCCGTAGCCACCTTGTACCTTCTCATGTTCTCCTTTCTGGATCTCTCTCTCAAGAATGCGGGTTCTTTGAGGCTTATCGAAACCAGCGACTTTCAGGATTTGGGTGGCATTGAGCCAGGAGTCTGACCGCCGCCGCATCACGGCGACTCCTTTGCACATCCTGAAAGCACATTCAGATGGTGATTCGCGTATCGAACGCGTCAGGAGACACACATCTCATAGACGGGAATGCCACTGTATGTAGCCTGCGTATGCCACATTCGCGATGGTTACCTATTATGTGGAGGTGGGATGATTACTGAGATGGACGTCACCTTGAAAATCTGGTTGTCCGGCATTGTCCTCGACAAGCTTGCAGCAAGCGGTCACAGTTGCTTTGTTCAGTATGGGTTGTAAAGCTCTTGAGTTTGATAAAATAGGCAAGGTAGCGGTGGAGGAAGGGGGAGGGGAGACTGTAGGGATGGGAGCAATCTCCGACGCTTGACGCGGACGCGCCGGCTGTAGACGCGTTGGCGCCCTTTACCACTCTCACGAGCACGCGTCAGGCTGAGGCTGCGCCCGGAATGTAACAAATCGCGACGTGCTCTTGTCTTCCGTGCTACGCTGCGATGTCTTTGCTCTTTTACCACACACACAATAGGGGACATCCCCCACGAACGCCTGGGCGATGCCTGTCAACGCATGTCTGAGTCTCTGGGCGTCGGTCGTGGCTGTGGTTGCGAGACGTGTGGCTGCGAGACGTGTGGCGGGTTGCTTCCAAGCCGTTTTTGGAGTTGGATCGAGGACTGTTGCCTCGAGGAGGTCGAGATGCGCGTGGCAGCGGGTATGCGCGACGCATCCGTGAAGAGCAATGTTTGAGTATACGCCGTTGCCAGACACGACGGGCTTCGTCGCATAAGTAGACGGAGAACGCGCATCTTCGGGGCGGAAACCTCGTGTCTGTCACGTGACCCCGCCGCTGCCAGACGAACACAAGTCGCCCGGTTCGGGTGCTACTGCTCCCTCTTCCCCCTAACAGCCACTCGCCGACCCCTCCGCCGCCGCCGACCCCCTGGCGCGCCCTCCTTCATCCTGCCTCCATAGCAAGCCTCGCCGATGCCTCTCCCTTGTGAGCCCCTCTGCCACTTCGGTGGGAGGTCAGTCCATTCCGTTCTCACGCATCATAACGAGCCCTGTGGTACTCACTTCGGTGGTCTATGTCCAGGTTGTACTTCACATCCTTCCCGCACCCACCGCCCCGCCCAGATGCACTTAACGAGCTTGCAAGAGACCCCACAAATCATCCCGATATCCGTGGAGTACCTAGAGGATCATCGTCGACGACGCCAGAAGATGACGCGCAGTATTGGTACTTCACCATCGACGACCAACTCCTGTATCTATCTTTCTTCCAGGATTGGGGACCGTTGAACCTGGCGATGGTCTACAAGGCATGCATCCTGATTCATGAGATACTCGGGGTACGTTCCATCGTCCATGCTCTCTGCATGTCTTCACGCGACCTTTGCGTCTACAGGATCCGGCGATCATGAATCATCGCATCGTCCTCTACTCGTCAAGCGATCCTCGTAGGAAGGCGAACGCGGCCCTACTCATGGCTCTCTATGTGGTCAGTAATACTTATCACCCCCACCCCCCCTTTACCGCAGTTGAGCAACGACTGACGCTGACGTGCTGCAGATGGTGGTTCAGCAACGGCCGCCTTGGGAAGCCTTCCACCCTATCGCGGAGCTCGAGTTCATGCCGTTCAGAGACGCCGGAAGGGGACGCTCAGATTTCAATCTCAGCATACAAGATTGTCTCTGGGGTATCTACAAGGCAATGCAGAATGGCCTCTGTGACATGAATGAGTTCGACATCGAGGACTACGAGTACTACGAGAAAGTGGAGAATGGGGACTGGAACTGGCTTACGCCCAACTTCATCGCGTTTGCGTCCCCTGTCGATCCGGCATGGCTAAAGCGAGAGAAAGACAAGCGCGAGCAGGAGAACCAGGCCGTGGTGCCGCCATCTCCCACGAAGGCAGTGGCGTTGCAACGCAAGCTGCCCACGCCGTTCCAGAACTGCTTGGACTACTTCGAACGACAAGGGGTCAAGCTAGTCGTGCGACTTAATAACCCATTGTACGACGCCCAGGTCTTCAAAGATCGTGGGATCAACCATCAGGAGCTATACTTTGACGACGGCACGAACCCCACCGATGAGATCGTACGGAAATTTATCGACATGGCAGACGAGGTTATCGAGAACGGCGGTGTTGTGGCGGTACACGTAAGTATGACTGGCGAAGGTATCCCCATGCGACTGACATACCCGCCTTGATACAGTGCAAAGCTGGCCTAGGGCGGACAGGTACGCTCATTGGAGCGTATCTCATCTGGAAGTACGGTTTCACGGCGTCGGAGGCGATCGCTTTCATGCGCATCGTGCGTCCGGGGAGCGTAGTCGGGCCGCAGCAGCAGTATATGTACCTCAAGCAACTAGAGTGGACCAAGTGGGCCGCGGTCGACGAGATGCGCAAGCTACAACAGACGGCTGTCTTTGCGGCGAACAAACTCGTGGCACCCGTCACGCCGCCGAACGAGACGGAGGACGAGATGGAAGTTTTCACAGAGACCACGACGACGACAGTTGTGATGACTTCGACGACCTCCGCAGCACCCGTCCCGCCGGTCACGCCCAGCAAACACGTTGCAGCCGCTGCCGCCAAGGCGCACGCCATTGCTCCCCCCGGACAGCCTCGGAAGACCCCGGCCACAAAGCGAGTAGCGTCGGACTCGGACGCAGAGGAGGAAGCCGACGTCCTCCCCGCCCTCGGCGTGGCACCCGGCCCCGTGCGGAGAACAAAGGCGAAGCCGGTGTCGGCGCGGACCGCGTCGCAGCGCGTCCCCGCTTCGGAGCAGCGACCGGTCCGTGTCACTCGCTCGGCGGCGACCATGGCGGCGAAGAAGGTCAGCACTGTGCTCGGGGCGAACAAGACGACGAAGGCCAACGGACAGCCGAACAAGATCCCCAGACTCGCGAAGGACACCTCTGCGCGTGGGGCGGCGACCGCGGCGAAGGACGCCGCTCTGCCGTCGGCCCCTGCGGCGAACATGACGATGCGGCCGTTGAGGCCAAGACAGCCTGGTTCGCCGACTCCATCACGGCTCCCCACCCTCGTTGGCAAGCGCATGCATCACAACTCTACGGGCTCTGTACAGGAGTCGCCGGCGGCAGCTGCGGCAATCGTCAAGGCGGCGGGCACCTGGGTCGCAAACAACACTTCGTCGGTCGTCAACCCCGCGTCGAAATCGGAACGACCGAACTTGCGCAGCGTGCGGCGGCGACGAAGCAGCTTCAGCGCCGCGGACGTTGTTGCATGATTTGGCAGAGCAAGACGCGTCAAGCAGGGCTTGGACGCTCTCCGTGTTACATTCGGCATATCGGTCTACATCTCTCACCCATCTCGTAACGTCAACTGGATATCGATTCTGTTCTGCAAGTCACGCAACGTTCACAATCCTTCTATCTGTGAATATTTATCGCTGTCTTTGTATACACTCGCTTCACTATTTCGTTATCATCTTATCCCCGTCGTTCTTTGCACACCGCTGTTACTCTCCCGTCACCCCCGCCTCGATCCGTTCACCGCACTGACTCACTGCACGTCACATCGTCGCTATCATGTTTTCACGGGAAGATTTACTCTGATTTACGAGGACTTGTCTATAGTTGTGGGGGCATCTACGGTTCATCGCACTTTGTACATCACTGTCGCGCACCGATCAGCAATGCACATACGTTCACGACTCAGGAAGGCTTGTCTCAGTAAGAGTCAAGGGATTGATACTACCGATAACGCATGTCTAGCATCACTACTAGTACAACAGAGTGTACGTACTTCTCCCAACTGTGGATTCCGCTCGGCCAAGCTCAGGCTGCCGAGTACTTGTGCACGCACTCCAAGAACCAGCGCATATCCTCCGGATCCACCCCAGGGGTGATACCATGTCCCAAGTTCGCGATCCACGCTTTCGCCTTCTTCCCGCCCCGGAACCGCTCCGCCATCCGCTTCACCTCGCGCTCGATCGCGTCCCGGCCCCCATACAGCACATTTGGGTCGAGGTTGCCCTGTAGCGCGACCTTGTAGCCCGCGGCACGGCGCGCATCGGCGGGGTCGATGCACCAGTCGATACTGACGACGTCGTAGCCGGCCTTTTCGGCGCACAGGGCGATCTGCGAGTTCGCGCCCTTGGGGAAGAGCGTCATGGGCACCGCGGGGATGTTCTCGGCGGCGAGCTTGGCGCGCACACCGGAGGAGATGCGTTGGAGGGAGGGGAGGGAGAACTCTTCGAAGTGGTGCGGGGCGAGCTCGCCTGCCCACGAGTCGAAGACCTGAACGAGCTGTACGGGGAAGATCTGTTAGGCTGACTAGGAGGGCTAGAGAACGACGAGGACTCACTTGGGCACCAGCCTTGATCTGTCCGACGAGGAAGTCGACGCAGACGTCTGCTATCCGGTCCAAGAGCGCTTTAGACTCCTCGGGATACTTGAACAGCCATGACTTGCACTTCTGGAACGTCTTCGAGCCACCACCCTCGATCATGTACGAGAACAGCGTCCACGGCGCGCCGGAGAACCCGATGAGGGGCACCTCTCCGTTCAAGGCCTTCCGCGTATGCGTGATCGCCTCGTAGACGTACCCGAGCTCCTTGTCGACTTCGACTTCCTTCGTGAGCTTCTCGATGTCTGCGGGCGTGACGAGCGGGTCAGGGAAGTGTGGGCCGGGATTCATGAGGACCTCCATGCCCATCGCTTGGGGGACGACGAGAATGTCGGAAAAGATGATCGCCGCATCGAGGAGGCCGGAGTACCGACGGATGGGCTGGAGGGTCACCTCCTTCGCGAGCTCGGGCGTACGGCAGATCTCGAAAAAGCCGTGCTCGGCGCGCACCGCGAGGAACTCTGTCCGGGGCGTCGATCAGGAGTGCGTCGCGCGATGGAAGAACGATGGTGTACGCACCAGGGAGATACCTTCCTGCTTGTCGCATGACCCACACTGGAGCGCGTTCGGTCTCCTCGCCTAGTCATCGTCGCATCTCAGCCGCAGTTAGGTGGGAATGAATACAGAACACACCTCGCGCGGCTCGCAGGATCAGGTCGTTTTTCAGAGGAGGGAAAGAAGCCATGGCTGAAGCAAGATGAAGCGATGGAGTTGAGAGGGATCGTACGGCGCGATGTGCACGTCTCAAGTAGGTCCGGATGCGCGCTCGAGCACGACGTGTACGTGTCTGGTGCCGAGAACGACGTGGATGGGAGAATGGACTGGGAGGACTGGTCTGGTGCTGAGAGCGGCGACCGGGAGCATCGTGACCGCGTCTGAGAGCTGTGGTGCGTGAGACGGCGGCTTGCCTCCAGCTCTCACCTCCCTGCCACTCCTCCCTGTCTCTTCTCACGAATCTCACGGACTTTTCTTTCTGTACTGTACTACTAGTGCTGGCCCATTCGCACATGTCTATCAAGAATCCGACGCAGTTTGTGGAAGAGTGAGGATGCGATGATCTCAATGTCGCCCTTTGTCCAGACGTTCGTAACAGTCTCCAATGCAGGTTCAAGAAGTCGGGGCATTATGATCACCTACGGAAAGAACTGCTTAAGGAATTTAGACAGAGCGTGGGTGTCCCAATTACATGGTGAGTGTAAGACTTGTCGCAAATAACTCCCCTGCCGCAGGACGCGATGACTGCTCTCCTTTCTCGCGTCGACGATATCGCGAAGGAGAAACTGGCTTCAGACCCGAAGCTCCAATACATGCCCGAGGCCAGTGTTGTCAGGGAAGTCATGCAGGAACTAGATAGGTGAGTCTGCCGTCGAATAGATTCTCCGCAAGCACCTGAGAAATTCGTCCTCAGGTATCCTCTAGTAGACCGCGCAGTGAAGGACAGATCGTTACTCGATGACCCGTCCTTTGTCGCCGGCTTGCGCAGTACCATGCGCAAGATCTTGCAAGAGGATCGGAAGGCTGCCGGGAAGAGTAAGGGCGCACTGACCGTTTCTCCTGCTAGCTTGTTAACTGACAGCTTGCGCCTATTGCAGCGCTTGATGGGACCGTGAATCTCAACGGTACGTCTCACACTCCAGGACAGGGCGGGTCCACTATACCGTGGAAGACAGGCGGGGTCAGCGTTACTGGCCAGCATCCGGCGGGCCACGCAGATAGTGACAGCGAGGGTAGTGAGGAGAGCATGGATATGGATATCGAGGAATACAGCAGTGATTGATCGAGAAGACCATGGTGGCGCAGTAGGCCTTACCCTTGTGTGTTTCCCCAACCAAGGGTCTTCGGCAGAATGCTGAGTAATGCAAGATCGCGCTTCTGCGGTCGTCGTCGGTGTTTGTGCATCATAGGTCCGGTGTGTGTATGTATGCTATGAGATCTCCACGGCAAGATTCGTGAGAATGACGACCACATCGCATTTGCCCAACATATGCACAGCGTGATCGCAGTACTTGTTCCTCTCATAAAGCCAGAACGTCTTGCCTAGCATTCACATTTCTGACGTCTCAGATCCTACGACGAAGCAACCATACACGCATAACATTTCAAGAACCTGCCGATTTATGCCAGCGATGTAGTCCATCCAAAGCACAGTGAGCTAGTATACAGAGGAGAGAACGTGCAAAATCAGGATTAGATCACGAATACACTACTTTCCAGCACAACCCGGACGAGGGTACTCAATCCCTGGGCAAACACGAGTCTATAGCCATTCCCTACACATCTACACGCCGGGGTCGTCCCTCTACAGAACACGGACATGGTCGAATGGCGCCGCGATCACGCGTCCGCCCAGACAGCCAACGTCCAACAGTGCCCAATACCAAAGTTTGGCGGCAACCGGGGTCCAGATATCGATGAGGGGGCCGCCGCTCAGACGGCCATGACCTGCTTTGTTTGATGGTCGTACTGCGCAGACTGCTAGCCGGTCAGTCTGCCGTCACACCATAGTCGGCCCAAAGGACTTGACCTCGTTGTCTTGTATGACATCGGTCTCCGAACCAGGATCGCGCTTCATGTCCTTAGTCGTGTCAATCCGGATGGCGATGCCTTCAGCGCGCTGAAGTCGACTATGAGTCAGCAAACCCCCTCGAGGACAGGCAAGAGGGAGAGACGACGTACAGAGACGTTGTAGTGAGCGAGGTTTGTCCCCGTAGTGCCGTGAACGTCCCGGAGCGAGATGGAGGCCTCGTTGCTCGAGCCGTCACGGAGGCTCTTGCGAGCGTTCAGCGTCGCCATGAGAGAGTTGGAGTAAACTGTCGAGAGGTTAATGTCGACGTTGATAAGATACCAAGCGCAACACGTACGACGACCAATCAGGAAGAAGAAGCATATGTAAACGAACGTGTTCGGGAGGGCGAAGAACGTGATGAGCGAGATACACGCGCAAACACTCGTCAAGAGACCAGTGTTGATGGAAAACGCGATCTGCCATGGACGTGAGTAATTCTGGAGCATGCTTAAGCGCAGAGAACGGCTCACCAGCCTGTTGATGAGCGTGTTCGACTTTGAAAACCTCGTGCGCGACCGGTGGAGGATTGTACACAAGATAGCAGCAATAGTGACATCCGGCACAGCAGCAAAAACATTCATGCATGCCGAGACGCTCTGTCAACGTACCATCAATGCACATTCCACGATGCGCATGGTCAGGTCCAGCTATCCAACTTACCTTGATCTGAGCAAGATCAGCGAATGTCTCGAGCCGCGAGAGACTACAAATTACAATGAGCTCGTGCGGAATTTAACGTTACTGAAGGAGGCGACATACGATATGATGCCGTACGCCAGCGTCATACCGAGCTCAGTAAGGACCATGGCGGCCTAGAGATGAAGATTAGCGGGATTGCGGCCGATAGGGCCGAAGGAAGCAGACGTACAACAGGGATGACGAGGTACAGCTTGCCCTTGCTCAACTTCCATACGCGCATGGTGAAGAACCTGAGGATGCAATGAGCCAAAAGCTGGCCAACATATCGAAACGGCCTACCCTTGAACAAGGAACCCTGTGAAACCCTGGACGACTACTTCAACCAGGATGGTCTTGACCAGCATGGTTAGCGCTTTTGGGTTTCCGTACTCGGTAACCAAGTACCAATAGACTTAATTCCCGGTCAGCTCCTGCATCTTTGGGGGAGCCTCGCGCGCAACATACCGGAGTGGGTGATCAACGCCTGGTGGATCGTGTCCGACGTCGTGACCGCAGCCACCTGAAAGATGTACGTCTCCTGAATACACGGAGAAAGGTGCCATATCCATCAGGAAACTCACCAGCAATTTGAGGTAGGCAGGGTCATTCGGGTAACGGGTGAAGTAGTAAAGCACCTGAGAACAGGACACTGACAGAGATCATGAGCAACGGGTTTGACTTCAGCTCGAAACTGGCGGATGACTCACCGCCCCAGAGACTGGTTGAAGTACGAAACAGTACGATGAGGACAAGCCGAACACTCGCATCAAGACAGATAACTCACGCGCCAGAAACGACCACGCTGATGAGCAGCGCGCCCATGCTGTTGAAAGGAGACGCTTAAGTCAGAGGCGCAGCACGAAAGACGAGTGGTTTACGGACGTGTTATCGAGGCCAGCCATGGCTAATGTGTGTCGAAGGGGAGGGCCAGCTGGGCTTGAGGGACACTGGGGAAACGCCACGACTCTGTATCGTATTTGTATTGCCGCCCCCCGAAGCACTGCGGAGAGCGGCTGCTCCTGAAAACGAGCAGGAAGATCTAGCCCGTAGGAACGATAGAATAGAACGCTTCGGAGAATACTGAAGAAGCTTTCATTGGAACAACAGCAACCAACACCCCAATAAGCCATGCCAAAGATGGCAAGCGGAGACCGGCAGAAATTAGCCCAGCGTCGACTCTATTGCGAGCGATCGGGTGTCGCGAGTCTGGTGAAGCGCAGAGGCGGCTAAGCGATGCAGGGCAGCGGTTGTGGTAGCTCGACTCGATATTGAACGCCATCAAAACCGGTGCCTTGGGAATCCACGCTGGCCGGGCCGGGCCAAACAAGGCAAGAGGTGGTCCCTGCGGGACACGAACAGCGCACGAAGTCCGTCGCTTGGGATTACCTTTTGGCCTCCCGACCGAGTACATATGGGCGGAAGATGTGTTCATGATGGGGAGATTCTGTTCCCCGCTGAAGTTCGCGGCTTCTCACCGGCTACGGTGCCGCGACCGAAACGACCGGACGGAGAATCGCAACCGGAGATTTCCATGCAAATTTGGGGTCTCCCCCGCCCATGACTACTGCAGATGGATCAGACATCCCAAGCACATGAGGCGTCCAGGCCGTCAAATCACTCGTCTCCTGACCATCACTTAAGTAGTCGCAGGCGGAGTAGTTGTGAAGGGTTCGCTTACTTTTCCTCCCCCACATTGTTGACGTCGTCGGAGCGGTAAGGCTGCTTTTCCATGGCTCAGTGATGGCGCGTTGCATCATAGCAGAGGCACTCACGTCGTCGTATATGATCCTCGTCGCGCTTTCACGATTCACTTTCATCCCAACGTGCAAGCCATCTGGGACACTCCGTTGAGAGCAGCGACTCAAATGTCCGAAACAGAACAACGGACTTACCCGCGCGTTCCCAAGCGACGAAGCGTCATTGATATGACTCCCGTAGACTAGCGCAATAGTCCCTTACGCCCCCTCAGGGTTGCAATCACCATACCAGAGTGCGTGGGTAGCAACTAGCCTAAGATATCGTTGAGGAACAATGCAATGTTGGAGGAATGCATGAACTTACGGCGGGCGACGACAGCAATTGTAGACTGGGAGAACCCTGATTGATGAAGTATGCCTGTGACAGATGTGCACTGGACAGCAAAGGCGATCCTCATGTTCCTTGCCGTGGTGGACGTGATCAGAGTCATTATGAGGAAATGAGGGTAGAGTACTAAGTATACGAACTGACATTTCTATGAGGCTTCCGATTACTGCAAGTCTTGAGCATAAGGTATTGCTATATCCGCGACGCGCCTGAGATTATGCACCGTTGCGAGGTCATCTATACGCTTCGACCAGCAATAATGGCCTGCAGCCTTAGGGCGGAAATCGCTTGAGCGGCAGGAGCTTGGATAGAAGCGGCTTCTGATGGCGCCAACGCTGGAGAACAATCTTGACGAGAAGCTGCAGCCTAAGTACTGACCGCGTCTGGAGGGACGATGGCACGGCAGGCATTCCCATGTTTTCGACCATAGAAAAGTTGATGATAGCGGGACGCACGAGGCAATCGGCCGCCTTCCACCCAGTTTTTCAATGACGTTTGTTCAAAAAAGCCGCGTTTTCACAGATAACTTTTCTCCGTTCGAAAACATGGGATTAATGCCTGCCGTGTGTGCATGTTACACACCACACAAGCCGTATGCAACCGACGCGTCTGTTCGTCGCGGGTCTGATTTTGTCCTTTGGAATGCTCTTAGAGTCCTGATGCGCGGTGGGACTCGAACTCCCTGAGTTCTGCAAATTTTCTGAGCGCCCGCAAGGAAGATTTCAGCTAGAACCATTGACATTTATAGTCGTTTGCGTATCAACAGGCAGTCGTTCTCTCAATCCTTCTTAGAATGAAACCCAAATTAATAAACACCTCCTGATGTGGAATCTTAGGCTTCCTTTCATTTGACAAGCTAGCACGGCTTGCTCGGAAGTGGTTGTAGATGACCGTGGCCGGCCCCAAACAGGCAGACAGACGGTGGTCGACGGCGTTGCAAATACAGGCAGACAATGTCCACGCGACAGTCGACTATAATGCAAACGGCTGTACTGCTTAGTCATCGAGAATGGATTAGACGGACCGCGAGGGTATAATGAAGCGTCGCTGAATCTACACGGATTCACAAGAAATTCGCTACATTTAGTGTGGGTCCAATAGTCGAGGACTGCTACCGCTAAGAGGTCGCCATCGTCGCTACCACTTGTGGTTCCCAGGATGCTCGTGGGCGGACCAGTAGCAATTGAGACGAATGCACGCGCTGACACCCCAGCGTTACACCACTGGCAGCACGAAAGGCGAAGAGGTCGGACGCTCACAAACGCTCGAAATCCCTCCAGATCCTGTCCATGCCCGGTGTGATACTCATTTGATGACACGATTCACGCCTGTACTGGGCATCCAGAATCGGATCATGTCCTGTCTGCCAGTCAGCTAACGGCATATACGTAAATGGACGGGTGCAGGCCGGAACCGATAGTTTCTAGCGAGCGCGCGCAAACATTAGTGCGTTCAGCGAGGTTACAGGAAGTCTTTGGTGAGAAGCACAAACGACTTGTCGACTAGGCGACACGGAGGATCCGGCAATGCTCAGGCGAGAAAATCCTGCTGATTCCTGGTCAGTGAATGCCCAGGACTCCTCTGCAATATATGCAGGTCCCATTGGGGAATCAGCTAGCGTTCGTGTACCAGGTACACACGTGCAGGGAGTGATAGAGTTTCAGGGGATCACTGAGCTTGTGCTAGGGTTGAGTGGGCCCAGGCTCAGCGAGGAGCCTACATAGTCCGACCGCAGTCCACGACAAGCCCCTTTAGGAAGAATCTGCTCAATGCCTCATCATTAGACGGTTCGGCTTGCGGACTACGGCTCCAATCTATGAGTCAGAATGCGTATGCGCCTCTAGACAGCCTGTTAAAGGTGGCAGTGGGTCCTGGCAAGCTCATGTTGTAGTGTATTGGTGCGTTGAGGGCGCGCACAAGCCCGGCCGGTGTGCGCAGATGATTCTTCGATGGACGCTGAGGTAGACATGAAACACAGGTAGCTAGGGCCGCTCGGAGATCCTTACCCTACAAGAGCTGAATGCCGCTCTTTTTCCGTGGCGAGGTGAGTCGACGTGACGGAGAACTGAGCTGTGTGCGAAGACCGGCTTGCTACTTAACGATCCGAATGTAGGAGCAGTTTGTCTTGTGGCATATCGTAGACATTCTCGCAGGAACTGAGATGCCGATTTGCACCATCTATTTCACAGCAACAAGGCGGGTTGGAGTGTTTAACTCGAGGGCGATAGAGCAAGCCTCGACTAAAACATGAAGATAATGGCGAGAAAGGAGATATCTCCTCGTGGTATTCGCCGCATTCCAAGAAGGGCTGGTTCGCGATAGTAGCACGTATTTCAAATGAACATTGACAGCTGCAACGGGCTGGCAGTTGGGACTTATGAGATTGAGGGACCAACATGACTGGGTGACATTAGGATTATGTAGTTAGTACTGCGAGCTTGGGAACGTGCAGTGATCGGCGTCTCTTACGAGGCGCCTGTTTCTCTCACGTGACTCTCCGGATTTTCCAGCGAGGCAGTCGCTGCTGCACTGTGCGACTGTCCGTTCACGTCCGAGTCCATTCAACTTGCCTTCTCTATCTCTTCAGATGGCGGTTGGTGGTTATACCTGCTCTGATTATGCACCGGTTGTGATACTACGCTTCTACAGACTCGGTGTTCTTCCGCTCTCCGCTCCTTCTCGAGGACATGTCGCGCGACGCGGTAAGTCAGACGAAGTCATGCCCCGCGTGTCATGCAACGCACATACTCATATTGTGCTGCACTGTACCAGGCCCCGCTCTCTTGCGGGCCCGTCAAGATGTCTTGCGACTGAGGCCGCTGCATCGTCATCACCCGCGCCGCCTCCTCCCTCGGACCCGAAGCTCAACAAAATCGTCGACGATATATCCAACCTGACACTCCTCCAGGCAGCGGATCTCGTCACTCTTTTGAAGGTGCGCTGATACTCGAATCTCGCTTTTGCTACATACGTATATTGAACACCATTGCACGCCCGTAGACACGGCTGAACATCCAGGAGATTGCTATGCCGGCCGCGGCACCCGTGGCGGCAGCACCTGCTGCTGCTGAAGAGACAGAAGCGGTACGTCAACTCTAATCCCTCAACGGACTTCGAGACAGAATATGAACGTACAAACGCGACGTTACGTGTCGCAGGAGAAGCCTAAGGAGAAGACCGTCTTCAACGTGAAGCTCGAGGCTTTCGACGCGGCTGCGAAGCCTAAGATCATCCGTGAGGTCAAGGCTATGGTGCCCAATCTCACTCTCATCGAGGTACGTACCATTCGGTCGTGCCCCTGTCGCTTTGGACTCACGTCGGAATGCGCCCCCGTCTCTTTGTCCGTTCTTTGCCCCTCTCCACCAGGCGAAGAAGTTCGTTGAGTCACTACCGAAGGTGCTCAAGGAGGGCCTTTCGAAGGAGGACGCGGAGAAGCTTCAAAAAACGTTCACGGACCTCGGAGCTACTGTCGTGCTCGAGTAGGCAACTGCGCCTCGTATCATGCGCAGTGCGTATTAGATATCATAGGGATAGGGTCCATGTCGCAAATGCCGTATATTCTACATCCACTAATGGCGGTACTACCACTACCCCCACTCCTGCGTGCGCGATCTTATACTATCCCAGGAACGACCTTGCAATTGCTTGTGCAAACTGTGATCACCGTCCCGTCCCTGGTCGGTTTGCCTTGAATTTGGGAGACACAATGCAGAAACGATGCATCCCGTTGTAAGTGCCAAGTTCTACGGAGACAGCTTTCCAAGTCCAAGGGATTGTTAAGGGAGGCAGTTCTGTCTGATTTTCCTTTCATCCCAGCTACACCTGGCCAACTCTCACAACTTCAAGCAGCTAAGTTTAGCATTCTGTATGACAGTCAGCGAGTACATAGCGAATGCATGGCACGAGTCCGACCTCTACGCTACTGACAGGATGGCTGTAGCGGGTATAGGAGCATCTGCCGTCATTTGCAAGGTGGCTCGGACGTGAACTGCTAGATGCCCAGACCGGATGTTCTCCGGAGTCCGGACGCCGTTCCATCCCTCGCAAAGTATTTCAAAGCAGACAAGGCTATGTTACCAAATAATGCACCTCTGTTAATTTACAAAGTCCCCATATGAGCGAGAAGGAGCGGAACGAGCTCGAGCAAAACAGTAGTAGCGATGCTTTGCACCCGTGTTCGAGTGACAGTATGTCTACAAGCCCCCCGCTTTAATAATTCTTGTGCGTATGATATAGTCAGGTGTGCTTCAGACTAGTACTAGCTCGGTGTCACAATGCTGCCGTGCACTTGGTGCCTACCTCCGATCGTCAGTACCTGAAGCGAGAAAAATGGACGACCCCACGTGACAGCACCAAGGTTGCTACGCAGTACAGCACTAGCCCCCTACAGCAGACTGACAGCCTGTGGTAGATCGGCTCCAGCATGGCGACGACGCAATGGCACTTGGCACTAAGACACGGGCATGCGACATCCACACGAACCGACGTGACCAACTAAGGATGGCACGAAGGACACATTCGGTCATTGTCCATGACGACAGTACAATGGAGGATTATAGCAGATTCATGATCATATACAAACTCGAGACGCGGAGCAGGAGTTCGGGCAGCTACAGAAACAGTAAGGCTGGATACTGGCGTGGATGAGAGACGAACGACAGCAGGAAATAGACAGAAAGAAGCGAGATATGATTGAATGGCAAGATGGCAGGGAGCGGTGGATATTCGTCGTATGCTGCCCAGAACATCGTAAGGAAAGACTAATGGAAACTTGGGAGAGAAGAGACATGTTAGCAGAGCTGTGTCCTTGCGATGCTATCCCCGCCACTAGGATGAGCAATCGAGCGAGCGCCGCTTAGTCCTCAGAGAGGTAGCGGTACTCGAACCGGAAGTCGCTCTTCTTGCGCTGACACCACGAGCCTTCCCAGTCGAAGTAAACGTAAACTCCCTGCTCATACTCTTCCGTAATCGCCTGCGGCTCGGAGTGCCGTTGGAACCACGTCAAGTACTTCACGTGGAATCGCCACGATTGACGCTTGAGCTCTTTTGCAGCAAGGTACCTGTGAGGCGCGGCGTGGGGTCGAGTCAGACGGAAACGAATTCGCCCAGAGTGGCATAAAGGACTTACTGTTGGTACGTGCCAGGGTGGTAGTAGAACACGTAGAAGAGCGTCTCGACATCCAGTTGCGAGAAGATTCCCGGAGTGCTGAGCAGCGGGTGTGGCACCTGAGGATAGTATGGGGGTGTCTGGACAGGGTTTCGAGGTACGTAGTACTTCGGCCTACATTGAAGCGACACACATTAGCCCACAGCTACACCGCAACCAAACATAACATAACTACTCGCTTTTCCGTGTCCTGGGGTTGCGGCATACTCGAGTAGCTACCCTGCAGTAGCTTGTGCACCTGATCGAGGTTCGACATCCGGTGTGGCGCTGTGATGCAAACCAGAATTCCGAGAGCCGTCAGACCAGTCTTCCATACCAGGCAAGAGACGCAAGGCAAACGCACCTTTCTGCTTCACGTTCTCGAATGACATCACCAGATCAGACAATGAGCCAGGGAACGCGTTCGCGCGCTGCTGCATCTGTGAAGGGAGACCCGAGGCAGCCGCCGAGTCCGGGCGAGTTCCGGGCGGGGCCTGGGGCAGCTTCGCGTGCTCCGAGTTGTTGACTGGCACGCCAGGAGGGAATTGTGGCGGCTGTGGCTGTTGCTGGGCGGGGTGAGGCATGGGTGAGGCGCCTGCAGGAGCTGATGCGCCAGGGAAGGATTGCCCTGAGGGGGGCAGGGGAGACGGCGCTGCAGGTGCTTGTACTGTTGCTGTCGATATTTGCGAGAGGCCGTTGGGCGCGGGCGCAGACGACTGCTCTTGAGAGGGATGCTGTGCAATTCAAAGGAAAATTAGCATGTGATGCCACGAGGATAAGGCGTTGTCGGGACGTACCGGTACGCCCGGTGGTTGTAGAGAAGTCGGTGAAGACGGCGAAGCTGTGGGTACATAAGTCATCAGTGAAGGTTCCTAAATGCATTCGTGAGTCCAGCAGGGCCGACCTTTCCGTGCTATTGGTCGCTGTGGGGAAGACGTTGCTGCAGGACCGCCGATCGAACTGGGAACCGCGTCAAGGAGCGCAGGAGAGCCATGAGCAGAGAACACAGAGTCTTCGGGCTGATGAGATACGGACGCAGCAGACGAGAGCATCGGGCTTGTGACGGAAGGATGCGTTAAGCTGGGTGACGATGTGACGGCAGAATGCTGATCTAGCGGTATTGAGCTCGATGACGTTGTCGCTGTGGACATTGACGGTGTTGGTGGTACGACTGCTGGTTGCGATGTAGATGTTGATACCGTAGAGGTTGATGTTTGTGCCGATGTTGATGGAGCGACTGCAGCAGCAGCAACCTTCGCATAACCGGATGGGGGATTCCGTGGTGGTGGTGCCGGACCCTTGACCATACTTGCTACAGATTGTTGAGCGAAATTCGCGTGTGGTGGTGGCTTGGGTGCTGCAGAAGCCAAATCTGTCAGTTCCTGTGTTCTACTACGTTAAGGGTCACGTACGTTCTGCTGCTATTGATTGTTCTACAGCCCAGGTTAGCAGAACTACAAGCATGCACAAAATTGAATGACATACTCCGCTGTTGCAATGTCGTCGCAGCCTTCTTTAAGACGGGACTATCGCGCTTATTACTACTGGCAACGCTCTCCTCGTCATGGTGCTTCTTGGAAGGCGTCCGCAGAGGCAAGTCTACAGGTCATAAGACTTCTTGTATACGTACGAGGGGTCCGCGACGTACCTTCACTTGCTTCTTCAGACTCCTCGCTGTCACTCTCATCGTTTGGCATCCGGAACTTCTCCTCCTCCTCTTCGAGGTTGAGGTCGTCATAGACACCCTCGTACTCCTCGAAATCCTCATCCTGACACCACGTGAGACAGACTCCGGCACGGAACGAAGATGAGCATACCGAATTGCTTTCGACGAAGTACTTGACGTCGTCTTGTACGGAAACGACCTTCTCTGTGGGCAGAGAGCCATTGTCCAGCAGCCGGAGGATGAGTTCAAGACGGTTGATATGCCACTTCCGCCGTTCGTTCAACCTCTCCAGCCCCTCTAACCGTTCTGCTGCCGCGCTCCCCGCCTTCTTCTTCTTCCCTCCGCCCTGCAGCGTCTCAATCTCTGCCTCCGCCGTCTCCGCTTGTACCATGAGCTCATCAATCATCGACTGCACCCATGACATCGTGTCGACCTTCTCTTGCTGTTTCGGATCGAGCTTGGCAGACTGCGTAAGGCCCTCTTTCGAGAACGCCTTCGTCTTCATCTCCTTCTCGCATGCTTTGAACTTCTCCATTTGCTGTGTACGAGTACCGCGTTACAGGAGATGGGGCAGGCACCGCAAGACAACATGAACAGATGGGGTCATTAGCATACGCGAATCCTAGTCCAGCGTCGCAGACCAACGTCTACACGCAGCCTCCTTTCCGCATCATGACGCAGACGAGACGACGTCGGGAAGGAGGGCGCAAAGGGGATACACACCGTTTCAATTAGCTTGCGGTTATCCAGCAGCGCGGACTTGTCCTTGATGTCATTGTTCGCTACCCATGTCTTGATTTGGTCCCGCAATCGCTGAAGCTTCTTGATCTGGGTCTTGAGGTCAATCTCCAATTTCTCTTTCTGCTGTTGACTGGTCGACGCCTGCATCTTGTCGTATATGCTCTCGAAGAGCTCGACGCCTTCCGCGACCTTTTTCAGGGTCCGGTCAATTTCGGCTGTATGAGCTGTACTTCAGCATTGCTGGTGCGTCAAGAGTAGAGAGAAAGCCCACTTTGCAGCTTGCGCGCTGCCATGGCGTGGTATTGGAGGAGCCGGGATAGACAGGGGGGTGTACGAGCAAGAGTTTCAAAGCGCTGAAACGGACGGATGATGGAGTGTATTTGTCCCCCCAGATTCGGCCAAATGGTCACGTGAACAGGTTGCGCCTACTTTCCAGCATCGTCCCAGTTCAGACGGGGCGGCAACATATCTGGATGTGTTTGTGCTGCGCGACGGAAGCCCACCTGGGACTTCAATTGAATGCATGCTACTGGGCGCTGAGCTAGGAGTACGGCGCAGCCTTCGGACCGATTCGATGCAAAGGAGCTATGCAGCAAGGAATGAACAGAGCACTGCCGAGCGAAGATTGGTACAGGACATGGACCTAAACGATATTACAACTTCTACATGTATTTAGAATCCATCTAGAAACCTGGTTGACTGTGGTCGCAATAGACAGATCTGGCAGCGACTCGTGAGTATACGAGAAGCTGAAATCTCGTTACCATGGCGAATGCAGATGGCACGCATGAAAGGCGAAGCCAAATCAAGCACTAGCATCTCAGTGCGCAGGGGAAAACCACGAAGCGATCTTGGCGTGGAGCTTGGGCAATGTGGAATTGGAGATTCGTACTGATCTCGGGTGTGAAATGTATATACATACAAACATGGGCGGCGGGAGGCCGGAGTGTGAGCCGGGGATAGGAGGTAGATGTACAGCCCGAGCCGTGGCTGGCTGTGAGTAGCGTCGAGACGACCGTCATTGCAATGATGGTGGAAATCAGAATGGTTTACGTCAGACCGCGCAGTTTGACAGGATGTGCTTGAAAGACGGACATGGCGGCGTCCTCCAAGACTCGAGGCTGGTGCAAGGGCGGCACGCTGACGGCGGAGAGCAGGAGGAAGAAGGGAGAGAAGAGAATGGAGGTCCGGCAGGCCCTGGCAGTGGGGTGAGCGAGCGGTAGGCCGGTGATTGGCCACAGGGCAGTCTGCCTGATGTCCCAAACGCGGCAAGGCAACAATTGCAAGGGGGCGTGGGAATGTTTGACTGCAACAGAGGGCGAAGACGACCGACGGCCATGTCTCACAGATAATACACCCTGCGGGTTCCCTTCTCGTCCTCTCCTTCGCCTCACGCCCTTTCACGACACTTGACTATCCTTTCGCTATGAAGTCTCTCCGCAAGTCATTGAATGGCAACAAAGATCACCATCACATCTCTACCCCTTCTTCTCCCCTCCCCGCCCTCTCCAAACCGTCCACCGCCGTTCAACCTCCCAAGAAGGTCATCAGGGCTCTCGGTCCCTACAAGTCCAACGCACCACAGGAACTCTCTTTTGAAAAGGGCGACTTCTTCCATGTCTTGCACGATAACGGTGGATTGTGGTATGAAGCTCACAATCCAATGACCGGTTCACGAGGGCTTGTCCCTTCGCACCTCTTCGAGGAATTCACCAAGGGCGCTGCTACGTGAGTAGATCCATTCTATACACCTCTCCTCCCGTTCACAGCATTCTAGCCCCCGTTCTCCCAAACTCGCTACCCCAACCGAGCGACTGTCCCATATCTCTCCCGCACAAACTTCCCCCAAACTGAAGACATACTACGCTATCGTTCTGCACGACTTCGCTGCCGAGCGCGCAGACGAGCTTGACGCCAAGTCGGGAGACCCCGTCACTGTCGTCGCTCAATCGAACCGCGAGTGGTTCGTCGCGAAACCCATAGGTCGCCTCGGCCGACCAGGTTTGATCCCCGTATCATTCGTCGATATTCGTGACCCCGCCACAGGTCTGCCGATCAACGACGTTCAGCAGCTCATTGATAGCGGAGAGCTCCCACGAGTAGAGGAATGGAAGAGGTCCATCTTGAACTACAAGGCGAACAGCATCCCTTTGGGCGTTCTCGACGATCCCTCTTCGACAATTTCTCCAGCACCGCGGACGTCATCAGCGCCGCCAGAGCCTGCGATTATGATACAAGGCGCGACGCCGCTTCCGGCGCAGACGGTGCAACAGATTCCCGAAGAGCAACCTCGTCCTCTCACGCCCAAGCTGCTGCCGGAAGGTATCCTCCTGTCTGCCGAGATCAAGTCATATCACTACGAAGCGGAGGAGTATTGGTTCCGGGTTCACGCCGTTTACCAGCCGTATGGACAATCCCGCACAAGCACTCTTCCTCCTGCAAAGGAACTCGTACTCTTCCGTTCCTACAACGACTTCTACGACTTCCAGGTTGAGCTACTTGAGACCTTCCCCTACGAAGCCGGCCGTCCAGACTCCGGCACCCGGATACTACCATACATGCCCGGCCCGGTCGATGTTGTCGACAACACCATCACTATGACCCGGCGAGCCGAATTGGATGAGTATCTCCACAAGCTCTGCGCTCTCAAGACCTACGCTCGGTACATCCTTGAACACACCCTAGTCCGCTCGTTTTGTGCTCTAAAGCCTGGCGATGGTGAGGTGAACGTTGAACCACGACGTGGCGAGATTGATGCTCTCCGCAAGTCCTCGTACGACGAGGAGCGTCGCAGCTATGCAGACTCGAACGCTGCTGTAGAACAGATGTCCCGCTTGCGTGTCTCGGCACACGAGCAGAACCGGCTTAGCGACGCGTCTCGATACGAAGAGGACACAGTTGAAGGCGAACCATACTATGCGCAATCCAACGGAAGGGTCGATGCCTCGTCTCGAAGCTCGTCTCGTACAGGTCATCAACGCGTAGAGTCAACGAACTCGTACAGGCAACCTACCAATGGCGCGCCACCCCGCGGACATTCCCCTAACCCATCCATGTCTTATTCTCGCACCCATTCTCCTGCTCCCAGTCGTTCCGGCGATCTCTCTCGCAGTCGGACACCACTCGAGATCGACCCATATGAGGCGAATGCCGCATCACGCTCCTCGCTCGCTTCCTCACACGACCCGTCACCCGTATCAATACGCTCCTCACAGGCAGGTTCTGTGCAGACCGCAGCAACGTCTGCGTCCGGACGATCGCGCTCAGCATCGAACGCAGCGTACAACCCACCCATCTCCGCCACCAACCCGAACGCTGCGTTCCTGAAGATCAAGATATTCGACCGGGTATCGGACGACCTCGTCGCGATCCGTGTCCATCCCAAGGTCACGCACGGGCAGCTCATGGACAAGGTACAGGCGCGGCTTGGCGGCAACGTGCTGGCCCTTCGGTACCGCGACAGCCTGAGCAACGAGTTTGTCCCGCTGGAGAGCGAAGGCGACCTCCGGAACTGGCTGGATAGTACAGACCGACACGTCTTGTACGCCGAGTGAGTCCTCGGGACCTGGTTGGAGTGGTTGGGAGCGGTGGAGCCTGTCATGACACTTTTCTTTCTGACTTTCGATTGTCAGCGCGCGAGTTGCGTCCGACGTACATACGATTACTATTGCAGTACGTGCATAATGTCTCCGTTCTTGTCTAGTTACGCCTCGCCACACGGTCATTCCTCTGATTTCGTTGCTTAAGCCCTATTTTATTAGCCTGCGCCCTTCCATGTGCATCTCTATACTCGCGTTCTCCACCTCACTCTTCCCTAGTATTGGTAATCTCCTGGATATGGCTCCCGGCGTGATAGCTTTGTGTGTGCACAACCATGTAGTGCCCTGTATCCCGATGCTCTCTGTACTACCGATTCCTAGTTCTGACATCATTGCTACCGACTTCTATCGCCGCTCTCGGCAGCGCTCCGTCTGACGTCCCGGGTTTCTCTGGGATTGGCCTTGCCCATCATAGGAACCCGGATCCGGGCTTACGTCTGTGCTTCCACTCCGTGCCTTGCGGCGGATGGCGTCGGGCAGAAGGTCGCCAAGTTGTGGCTATGTATGCCGTATACGTAACCGAATAAGGGTCATTCTACAAGTTCCTTCAGCGGTCCAGTTAGACAGCGAGAATGTGAGTCAATCATTGACATATGCTTAATTGCCCTATTGCTATTGTTGCAAAGTGACACGGAGGGTTCGCTGACAATCGGTCCGCCATAGAGGACGCAGTCGCGCGCCATGTGTTCAGGACAGTCTATGGTTCTATCCGTCTCTCAATTGTATGCCAGTGGTCTTCAGGTGACTGTCTATACGACATGCCTGGAGGAGGTCCAATTGGGGATGTGTAAGTCCCTAAGGACCTAAGGTACTGAGAAAGACTGCTGCCCCCATCAACTGCCTCGCGAGTCGCCCGGAACCCCACCGCATGTTGCGGGAAAGGCACTTGGTGCCATAATCTGCAGGGTGCCTGCAATTCCAAGTCCAAATTCCACTCTAATCCGTCTTCGATACTTCTACAGCTACAGAGCAGCATTTTGCCCAGTGCGACATGTCACACACCACAATAAGTCGATATCACGATGCCGTCCCTTCGTCCAGTCTCTACTCGCCTTCACGGACGGCTGCACCAGAATAGCGGCGGTGAGATGACGGATATGACATGGTGGTGAGACTCCAGAGTCGAACAAACGGCGCCGCCGTAGTTACCTCAGTCAAGCTTCAGGTTCCCCGCTCCCGACGTCCCCATTGTGGCTCGCTACCACCTATTCTCTCGCTGTTCAGCGTATGAGCCCGAGTTCTCCCCGCTAGAAGGCCTGCAGACAACCGTTGTAGGAGATGTTGATGGGAATGGTTTAATACAATCGTACGTGAACGGTCTCGCTGTGGCGCTCCGTGTCCGAACAAGCGCTGGCGCATTGCGTACCGCCGAGGCGTGCTGCAACCGCGTGCAGCGCAAGGCGTTGCATGTTACTCCCTTCGTCCTCGAAACGCCCGCACAATATTCTCACCTTGCCACGCCCTCGCAGCATGCTCTGACCCCGCTTCCTACGACCGTTCTGACTCTGCGGACCGACAACAACGACCACGGCTGATCCTCCCATCGTTCGCGCTACCCGAAGGAATGTCTGAGGCACCCGAAGCCTCTGTTCCCTCGGGTAGTCCACCCGACGCGCCCACTGCTATTGCATCACTTTCAAACCCGGCCGGGGCCACTGTCCGTGATATTCTCGCTGTAGCGGACGAAGTTCTGTCGCTGGAACGAAAACACGCACCCGAGAATAATGAGGCGGATGAGGCGCTGGAATGGCATGAGGTCATTGAGTTGCAGGCTTTCATCGAGCGAAAGGCATGGATAGAGGCGAAGATCAAGGTCCGTATCTGATTCCATGTGTGCCACGCGGATCAGTGCAGTTTTCCTGACTGTCATTGTAGTTTCTTGAGCAACTCCCACCCATCGAGGTGTTCGTCGGTCTGGACGCGGTGCGAACGTCCGCCACCGAGGTTCCAGGTCTTCCTACCCGCGAACAGCTTCAGGAGTGGCTTGTGGAACATGACAAGATTGAGAAGGAGACCGAGATTTTTGATTCTGGCGAGCTGAGGAAACTCAAGAAGTTCACGAAGGGTGAGTTGCATATGGTACCGTCATAGCAATAGTATGTATGACGACGGCCCACACCAACTCAAGCTGCGGCTCAGCGTAATCTATCCCCGGCGGATACAGACCTCATCGAAATCACCCTCACGACTATATACTCGTTCGACAAACTGCTGCATCTTCTCCGCGATAGACTCGACAATCTCAATCTACTTGGAGTCAGGATCACATGGGAAGAGCGTCGTATCGGTGCATGGCAGGAGCTCCGAAAGCTCCTCGAGGACATGCGCGACTTCCTCGGCACCCGCGCTCGATGGTCTCCTGCAGTATACGAGAACTTGGAGACGGATGACGCAGTTCCAGAAGAGCGCACTCCGATGAAGAGACGAGGTTCCATGGTCTCGATGACTTCGGAAGCCTCGCACGCAAGCATGCCTGGATATTCTCGTGGAGCTCGATACAAGCTGGCAGAGTCTCTCTCCCAGGAGGCTGCTCAGCTGGCTAGTCGAACGTCTTCGCTGAGACACACTAAGATCGCTGCTGCTGGAAAGGCCCTCGACAAGCTCATTGACGATAGCCGGAGACCCGTACCTGACGAACTTCTGGACGAACAAGACAAGCTGGAAAACGAGGGAATCGCCGAGATGGAGGATATAGGCAAGTTCGTCATGCAGATGGTCATGCAGTGGAAGAAGTGAGACACTACACAGCATGTCGTAGACTGTATACTAATGACGTGATAGGGCTGACGAGTTCTACGTCGATACCCTGAAGGACAAGTCCGATGCACAGACTCTCTTGGAGGAAATCGAGGTAGCGAAGCTCAGTCATCCTACTGCTCGTCAGGATGCTAGTTTCATGTCTCGGGCCAGCGCATTGAGCAAGCGACTATTACTCCGAGGGAATCCGTCGTACTCTCCTATGTTCCCGAAGCCCGAACACCACCACTTCCCAGAGCAGACTAGGTGCACAGACGCGGTTGTCAAAGAGCTCTCCTCGGAGGCTGCATCCGCGCTACAGCAAGTGAAGAAAGCCGAGGCTTGTGCGAAGGAGTACCATGCATTCCTGGAGGCTGTCAAGCAGGTCGAGACGGTTTGCAAAGCTGCCTCTGATCTGTCATCCAAATTCCTCTCCCTCGTCGACCGTATGGAGAACGGAATCTCGACTACAAGCGGCGACGGTACTCCTCCAGACTTGTCGACTGTGGCTTGTCTTGACTCCACTCACCATTCTGTATTCCTCTCCCTGTTCCCGTCCATCCTCCAGGAACTCCAGCAGGCCAATATCGAGTGCGGGCCGCTGCTTTCGAGAGCTCGCGCCGCCCTCCTCCAATTGGACTTCCCAGGCGTGGACGTCCAGTTCAAGTCGGACTCTGCTGCGGCCATCGATGCCCTCGAAGCGAGCCGTGCTGCCGCTACGAAGGCGAAGGACTTGGTGTCGACCCATATCTTCACGCTCACTGAGGTCCGCAAAGTCTGGTCTGCCATGGATCATCTCTTCCACGAAACCGACAATGCCAGAAGCGAGATTGTTGACGCCATGTCCCGTCAGATGTGGCGGCAACAAGTTCGTCACGATGCTCCCCCCACTCCCGAAAGTCCCGCGATGTCCCTTCCTGCTGTGTCTACTTCGCCTACTCAGGTGACCGAGCGGTTAACGCAACTTCGCACGCGACTCACGCAGGAGGTCTCTATGCCGCTGTCTACTCTCAACCCTTCTCTCAGCCTCGCCTTGCGGGAGTATCTCACCCGCTCGTCTTCTGCGCTGGAGACGTTGCTGAATACCACCAATGACACGGCTCAATTCTGGGAGGCGGTTCAAAAGCAGGCGGCCATGATGGGTTCAGTTCGGGACGAAGTCCAGTCTTTCCAGATGCGCACCGAGGACCTTAAAGTCCGCTACGACAAGGCCGCGCAGGACACCTTCGCCGGGACGCTCGATGAGGATGCTATCTCGCAGACGGAGCAGAGTCTGGCCGCAGAGCTTGCCTCCACGAAGTCCGCCATCCAATTATTCTTGGATGAGCTTCCGCGTCGCATCCCATTCGTCCACGAGGACAAGCTTGTTGGGCTATCAGAGCGGACTTCGACGAAACGTCGGGCGGCTATCCCCGGAGCGTTCAGCTTGGACACTATACAGCAGGCTGCTCAGCCTAGTCTTCCGTTCGATCCTGCAGCTCTCGACAAGGGCGTTCGTACCGATTCGAACACGTACAGCATGATGTTGTCGGGTGCGATGAAGACCCTCGAATCCAAGGCTGCCTACTTCCAGCTCGCAAAGAGGGCCCACGTGGTCGATGTCGTTCTTGTCCCGCTTGTAGATCACCTGGCACGCGCTAACGACCTCGTTACTACCGTTCATGCAACGCTCACCCAAGGCGAGGAACGTATTTCCTCCGACCATCTCTCAGAACTTGCGTCTAATCTCGAGGATGCCTCCAAGACCCAAGAGTCGTCTGTCGAGCAGGCACTCTCTCCCGTTCGCGAGGCACTTCAGGTCCTCCGTTCCACTCCGGGTCTGTCCGATTCTAGCGCGAAGGATGCCGTTGTCTCTACTCGACAGAGGGCAGTTGAGAATGCCGAATCCCAGTTCATCTCGTGGAAGAAGAGCATCGCCAGTCTGAAGCAGCAGCTTTCCGACGCCCACAAAGCCGAGCTACACCGTGTCGCCGAGGAGACAAGGCTGCGCGAAGAACAGGAGCGTCTCGAGGCGGAAGCGGAAGCGCTTCGGGCGCGTGAGGCCGCTGCAGCTGTAGAAGCCGAACGCCTGGTCGCTCTCGAACAGGCTAGGGTTGAACGTGAGAAGGCAGACGCGGAGGAGAGGGAACGACGGGAACGCGAGCGGGCTGAGTTGGAGGAGAGGGAGCGGCAGGAGCGGATCGCCCGAGAGAAAGCTGAGGCCGAGGAACGGGAGAGGCGCGCGAGGGAAGAGGAGGAGGCCCGCGCTCGACGCCTACAAGCTGAGGCTGAGGAGAGGGCGCGTCGTGAACAGGCCGAGATGGAGGAGAGGGCAAGACGCGCGAAAACAGAGGCTGAGGAGAGGGCGCGACGAGAGGCCGAGGAGGAGCTAAGACTGGAGAGGGAGAGGGTCGAACGGGAGAGAATGGAGAAGGAGAGACAAGATCAAGAGAGGCTAGCGAAGGAGCGGGCCGAGAAGGAAAGACATCAGCAACAGCTAGAGAGGGAGAGGGCGGAGGCAGAAGAGCGTGCGCGGCTAGAGCGGAAGAGAGCGGAGGCCGAGGAAAGAGAACTGCGCGAACGACAAGAGGCTGCTGAACATGCTGCGCTTGAGGAGCTGGAGAGACGCAGGCTAGAGACTTTGCGTCTTGCCGAGGAGTCGGCGGTCACCGACAGTCCTTTAGAGACCGTCGAAGAACTGAGCTTCAGTGCAGATGGTGGGTTTGGTGCCGTTTCGGAAGGACTGCTCGCCTGCTCACGAAAGCCTCTAGACATCTTCTCAGTGCGCACGACAACCTCTGGGCTGAGCTCCGAGATGAGCGAGCTTAGCTCACGCATATTCTCCTTCCGGAAGCGGCTGAGGTCTATCGGGATCAACGATGCCGCTCGACCCAGCTCGAGGTCCAGTGCCGAACTGCCTACGGACGATGCTCGCAAGACCATGGTGCAGGCCTTCTCAATACTTGCAAATGAGGTTTTGCAGCTTCCTCGATCGGTACCCGATGAGCCAGTTGTTAACGCTGACCTCCGGTCTTTGAGGAGCGAGATGGAGGCGTCCAAAGAGCTGTTGACAAGGGTTCACCACTTAGCTGACTTCTCACTCTTGCTGAACGACTGTGACGAGGCTCTCAGCGATCTCCTGGAGCACATAGACAGTTACCCAGCCCCCCCAGTCGGCCCTCTCGCAGCGATTCACCGATCTAACACTTCTTTGACCCCGGAAGATCAGCTCTCGGCTCGTCTCACCTTTACCCGCGACGTTCTTTCGCGCATGAAGACTCTCGCGCGTACTCTCTCTGACGACAGGCGGGTACCGGCCGAGCACGAGCGTGTCTTGCAGACCTGGTCAGAGCTAGAAGCAATGGCTCTCGACCGTATCAATGGTCAGAAGTCCCGACCGTCGAGCGTGATCAGCTCGGGGCGCAGCAGCCGTGCCTCTGTCATGAAGAGTTCCTCGCATTCCAGCAAGCCTACGGATAGCCCACGGATACGTGCGAGCTTGGACGTACCTCGTCCTCGACATAGCCTTGACAAGAAGGGAAGCTTTTCCAAGCTTTCTGCTTCTCCCAAGTTCCTCGTTCCACCCTCCCCTAACCCCAACGCACGCCGTGCCGCTTCCGGCTCCTCCGTCAGTACGAGTGCGCAGACGCGCAGCTCTAGTCGGATGTCCGTTGCCTCGTCAATCCGCTCTGTTTCGGGGCCTATGTCAGGCTCAGGCAGCAGCGGTTCGCTATATGGGTCGACGTTCTCGTCCAGGCAACGGACAAATAGCACTACGTCGAACAGCTCACTATTTACTCCACCCATGCCAAGGCGTCCGCCGCCGTCAACAGGCTCAATATCTCGTCCACGAGCACAGACAGGCGGTACTCGCGCGAGCTCGCCAGCGTATTCGGACGCAGGGAGGTCGACGGGCAGGTCCAGCCTCAACCTCCCACGGCCCTCGACGTCGACTTCACATTCTACATGGGGGCGTGCCCCGCGTTTGTCCTTCCCCACACCGCACCAGTCTCCGCCTTCACGCATACCCACCGCTAAGCCAAGAAAACCGTATGTCGCGAATCCGAAGAACAAGCTCGATGTCGCCATTGGGGACGTAGTGAACAAGCTCCCCGTGGATATCAAGATCGAGCTCGTTGCAGACACATGGAAGGATCAGAGTGGAAAGTATTGGATTGGAGACACGGAGCCCAAGCTCTGTTTCTGCCGCATCCTGCGGTCTCAGACCGTTATGGTCCGAGTCGGCGGTGGATGGCAAGAGCTATCGAGGTGAGACTTATCTTCACTGAGAAGAGCCTCGTGTGATGACATATAAATGTGCAGGTTCATCAAGGACCACTTCGCGGATGCATTCAGACTGTTGCAAGACACTTCCCCGCCTCGATTAGCTTCGAGAGAGGAGAAATGGATCAACTCATCGACGCTTGCGCAGGCGGCCGAGGCGATATCCCCAATGGTGCCACCGAAGACGCCAGAGCCCCAAGGCCCTTACCTTCCTTCGTTTGCTCTCTCAACCCCCAGCGGGAAGAGCCCGCAGTCGCTGAAGACGACCCCTTCTCCGGGATCTCCACTACACGCTCTGCAATTCATTCGACGCGCGGAGATGGGAGACTTGTCGTACCGTCCGGAAACCCCTACGAGGTCAACGCGGAGCGGAACTTCGTCGGTGCTGCACACTCCCGCCCGCCACCATCCCCATTCACAGCCCGCTTGGCGACCATGACCCTGAAAATGGACCAAATCTTTTGTGTACTCAATGTTATCTGACACGATCCCCACTGTTTCCGAGCATACTGTGATACTGCTGTGCATCACCATATACTTCTTCCCATCTTCATCCAGTCCACGTTGGGTCTCATTCTACATCCACAGATGCATGGACATTTACTGTCGCTGCGAACAGAGGGGACGGACGCGGTATTGGAGTCGTACGTAACCATTTGACTCGAAGCGGTATTTAATGACTTTGATGTTGTTAGCTCTGTACGCCTTGCTTGGATTATGACCTTGTTTTACGCCAGAATAATGCATGAGTTGTTGTCCTATACTTCTTATCTCTATCTCTTCAACAGTCTCTAGAGACTCGTAGGCACAACTCTCCTTTTGCCACATCACGTGGATCTTGAGTGACATACGTTTCTCCTCAGCCGGTCCAGTATTCGGTTCAGGTAAGCAGGACTCACCTTGCTTCTCAACCACCATCCGCTCTAACCTCCTCCTAGCATGGACAACCTGCGGTGCAACAGACTCACGTGTCGACGGACACTGAGCGACAAGGCGGTCGTCGTGAGTACACAGGCCTCCGTGCGTCCATAGCTCCTCTACTGACTGGTGCAAGACGACTTGTAGGTCCTACTCCTGAACCTGTACCAGAGCAGGGATGACCCAAATTACTGATCTGACGCATAGGCTCTCATATATTCTGCGGTGAGCACTTGCTGACACTGGAATAACTTCTTCTGCTAACCCGCTCTCAGTTGATTGCGCCAATGAGCTGTTCAACGCATCTAGGCTGTGTCCAGGTAAACATTTCCGAGTTCATTCATCGTAAAGGTGTTGGTACTTAGCTTGACTTCCTAGCCTGCGAAACATCCTTGACTGAACCGTGAGTGTCAGCGACGAGGGCCCTCTACAGACCCACTGAGCTGTAGAGACTCCACACAGAGACGATGTCGTGGTATTAAATCCTAAATAATTCTTACAGTCGAGCCCTCATCAACCTCGCATCAGGTTTCTTCATTGAATCCCTCCAATGATTACAAGACTGTGTGTATGCGCGCATATATCCACCCTGCGTCTCACATTAACGTCAAACGAAGTCTGTTCTGTCCGGTTTGAACCCTACCATTATCCTTGAAATCTGTAGCAGGTACGTGCATATGCAATCTTCCGGCAAAATGCATATCATGCAGCTCGCAAACAGAGCGCTGTCATTCTGGCAATACCAACTGCATCAGGAGTAGTATGTATAGGCCCGTTTCGGTGGCGTTTGGCTCGGAAGAAGCTCAATACACGCACAGTTCCTTCCAGCAAGCGCTGTATAAGAATGTCACGGAGAAGAACGCTCAGCTCGAGAAGAGACTGGAAAACGTTATAAGAGAAGGTGCTTCTGCTCACATGTACCTCATCTCGTGCTGATAGCGACCTCTTTCAAGCAAATGGAGAGATCAGCCTTCTCACGAACAAAATGTCAGGTGCGCGTACAGCCTGGATAGCGTTACGCTGGCCGTCAACGTCGTGACAGATATGGGACGGGAAGTGGAAACAGAACGTCGCAAGTCAGCCGGTCTCCAAGATAGCCTGAAAGAAAACGAGAAAGAGTACCACAAGCTCAAGGTCGGCAGACCGCCTGTAGAAGCATGCTATCATCTGACCGTCTTATAGGCGCAGTACGACAAACTCAAGCGGAAGGCTCTTCTAGGCGCCACTGTTGGGAGCAGGGACGGCTCAATACCACTGGGGAGTCAGGCTTTGAACATTCCAGATCGCCAAGAAGACTCTGCGCGGCTCAAACAGGGCATTGCATACACCGCGGGAATAGGCGGCGTAGGCGTTGACGTAGGCGCAGTTGTTGGTAACATGGAAGCTGCAGGCGTAAGTTGACCTTCCCATGCACATGCCAAAGACGTACCGTCCTGAGCAGCTGGTCCCGCAGATTCAGCGCACACCCATCGTCAATCGCACGATTGCCGGTGGTCCGATAGGCATGTCGGGGAATTCTGGCTCAACATGGAGGCAGCCGCAGCCTGCAAATGCACACGCACATCGGGGCAGACAAGTGGCGCAACGTCAGCCTTTCAGTGCGATGGACGGTTCCTACAGGACGAGCGTGAGCACGACGCGTTCGGACCGCTCGGACAGCACAGCAGAGGTGGAGAATCTCCTGGCGCAGACAAGTCGACATACGCATGGGCGAAACACGAACTTAGACCCTACTAATATGCAATGGTCAACGAACATGTCAAGGGTTCCAACTGCACAAGCTGCACCGGCGCGAACTTCGACTGCGCAATCCACGGCGCGAGGTACTGTATCAGCATCGTACGCATTTAGTCTATCGCTCATGACCTGTGTCTTGGGTACAGCATTCGGTCAACCCTCGAAACGTGTGGGACCAAAATTCAAACCAGCAGGAGTGCCCATGGGGTGACACGGCTCTAGTTTGAGACCGCAACAGTCTGCTTGAGACGTTTGACAGGACCGGCTATGGGAGTCTATAGATGGTCGTATGCAGTAGTTGTACAATTGAAGCGGGCGCGATATGGGTACATTAGCTGACGTGTAGCAGCTGTATATCGTAACGGAAGAATGTTCGTATGCTAGCATGTAATCGGCATGGATAAAGACGTAGAGAAGCATGAGGAACCAAGTTATCGACAATCCAGTCAGATATCGTAACGGATATTGAAGTTGAAGAAAGTCGAGTAAGCACATATAAAGAAAAAGATATGACGGATAGGCGTGGTCGCTAAACAAGTCACACTAGATAACGTTGAAGACGAACCCAAGGTGTGATGTTAAAATTCACTTGAAGGGAAATTTATTCTCTTCTTAGTGTCCCGTTCTTCTCGTCCTCGAGGTACTGTCCGATAGCCAGAATGTCTTCTCCCGCACGCCTCAGGTAGCCCGCCAGGACCGATCTCTCCGCATGCGGAAGTAAATCGGCAAGCTTGTCGACCTGCCGCTCAAAGTTAGGATCCGCAGGCACCATCGCCGAACTTTTCGCCGGGGAGACAGAGGTGTGCGCAGGTCGCGCCCGCGCAAACAGGGACGGCCGGCGTGCCGGGACGGTGCTCTGCCGCTGGCTGTTGTTCGGGCTCGACTGGGAGCTGCTCGCTGTTGGCGGGCTGGGCGACACCTGAGGCGCGCTCGGGGCTGGAGCTGCTGCGGCTGAGGTTGACATTGGGACTGGGGCCGGGGAGATGCCAGGACCGACTGAGTACGTCTTCGCGCGCTTGATGTGCCCGGGGGCGGCGCGAGGCCCGCCGGGCACTGACGGCGTCGTGGGCGGCGGTGTGGGGCGAGAGGGCGCCGGCTGCGAAATGGAGGACGCTATGGCCTGCGGCCGGTGCTTGGTGAGTACCTTCGAGGGGGATTGGGGGGAGAGGAGGCCGCCGCCCCTGTCCTTGCGTATGCTCGTCTTGCGGCCGAGCGAAGCGAAGAAGCCTGTCGCTGGACCTTTGGAGCCAGGTAGTGAGATAGGGATGGACTTCGTCGGAGAGAGGAGGATAGAGGATCGGGCGGGGCTGCGTTGAATCGGCGCTAGCGCGAGGGAAGGGTATGGCAGGATCGGAGGAGGTGCAGAGGAAGGTAGGACGTCGATGGCTCGTGTTGACAAGTCTGTTGCAGTGTACGCGTCGGAGCGGATGGGGAATGTCGCTTGGGAAGCTAAGGACCCATGTGAGACGTGTCTGACGCCAGGAGCCACACCGCCTAGCTCTACCGGCAGAGGATGCAAGGTCTGCTGCGCTGTCCGTTGCGACTGCGAGCGTGGATGGGAAACTACAGAAGCAGATACACGGACGTCAAAAGCGAGATCATCGCATCTCCAACATTGGAACGTACCTGAACGACTCTGCGATTGCGACGCAAGCCACTCCCGCAAACCGCAGTCATACATCGACAACTCATTGATCTTCATAGCGTACCCCTTCGCACGTTCCCTAGAGCTTCTGAGGACCACGATGTCCGCTGCGTTCATAGCTGGCGGCCAGAAGTGCGAATATTTGACCTTTGGGATGATTCGTCTCCTCGGTGGAGACTCAATCAGGATAGGCGTGTGCTGGTAGTCATGAGAAGGCGGGGGAGGCGGGGACAGCGAACGATGCGGATCCGGACTGGAGGAGCGTTTGCTCGACCTGGACGATCGAGACGGTGTACGGGGCAGAGAAGAGAAGCGTTTGAGGTTGAAGTTGGTGAGCGCCTTGAACGAACTGGGAGCGAGGGCAGAGTCCCGCTTCTCATCGTCGGAGCCGTTGCGGATGCTCTTGGGCGGTAGTGACGGTAGGTGGGATACGCTCGAGGAAGACGAGGCAGCGGAGACGAATGAAGGGGAGCGGGAGACAGACAGGATCGGCAACATTGTGGACTTGCCGTTCGGCGAGGAAGGGCGGAGCGTTGCTTCCTGACTGAGACTCACCCAACTGCTCTCCCTGCGCAACTCGATGCCAGGACGCCTGGCTTCCGGCTCCCTCGGCTCATCCTCTGGCTCCTCCTGCTCAATCACCACAAAAGGACGTGTCTCCAGATCCGACGAGGTCGGTTGCTCTTCGGAAACAGCTGAGATCAACTGCGCGGATGCCTTCCCCGATGGAGTAGATATGATCTTCGAGGGTGGAAACGCGCCTTCGCGTACGTGCACAGGCTTCGAAGAGACGAGCCTCACCGACGACCTGCGAAATTCATAATGAATGGGACGATGGCTAGCTATGCAGAGAAGCAGCACGTACTCGGGTTCCTCACTATATGTGGATTCCTCGCTCTGGGTCTCCCGGCTGCTGTCCGCTCGAGATGGGGATTGTTCACGGCCGAGCTGCTTGTCTACGTCCAGAGGCGTCCTCGCAGCGAGCTTCGCGGACACGGACTGCGGGAGTTGCAGCGCTTCTTTGATAGCGTCTATGTCGCGCCGTGTGCTGTTCGGCAAGGGGGTGTGGTATCGAGGCGGGCGCGGCGGCGCATTGTCTTTCTCAAAGATAGACCGAGGTGGCGGAGGCAAAGGGCCGGCCGTCGAGTGCACCCCAGGTTGATAGTGGAGATACGGTGACGACGACGACGGAGAACTGTGGCACGACGGTGACGAGGATGCAGGAGACTGCAGTGACGGCAAGCCATGGGTGGCTGCGGACTTTGACGCAGAGCGCGCGCTGGGAGGCTGGAGCATCGAAGGGGAGAGTCCCACGATGACGGGTCCTACAACGGGCTGGCCTATGCCCTTGCCCTCCCCGATGCCAGGGGTGATGATCCCATCTTCCATCCCAAAGATCGGCGTCGAGAGCAGTCGCTGGTGAGCAGACCGGATTGCTCCCGCGCTACTTGTGTCCGAAAGCTCAGGTGTGGTGCCTCCGGGGGACGGTGAGCGGCTCTTGGCGGGAGTCTGGAAGATGGGCACCCTTAGGCCGGCGCTCTGCGTGTATACGTGGTACTCGTCGGAGGTGGGGCTAGCGGGGCTAAGACTCTCAGAAGCTGTCGAGGCAGAGCTCAGGCCAACGATGCCGACGTCACGGGACGACTTGTGGTGCAGGCGGGAGCGGCTCCCGGCGGCGTTGAAGGCCTCGGAAGCAGAGCGCGTGTGTGTCTGGAAGGCGGACGGCGGAGGAAGGGCGGCGCTGCCGGAGGAGACGGGTGCGGTGGAGGGAGGAGTGAGGTCGGTGTACGTCCTGGGAGACGCGTCGGGAGGCGCGACGAGCGCCAGACCGCCAATGTGAACCCCGCGACGCGAGAAGAGCGTCCCGGTAGACATCCCGCTGCCGCCAGTGGGGGAGGACGAAGAATCGGCAGACTTGCCGTCGCGGTCCAGCCCCTTGCTCCTTTTACGCCCTATCGACATAGGCGGCACGCTCGTCGTCGCGTCCATTTCCACAATGGCCAACCTACGCCTGTCCGCACCGCCCTCCGACGGCGTACTAATGCGGCGGGAGTGCCGGGCTCCTGTGCCCGCAGAGTGCTGCGACTGCCTCTGGGTCTCTAACTTATCGGACCGCGTTTCAGCACTTGTGCGGGGTGTGGAGCGTTCAGGAGATTGAGAGGACGCTGGCGCGTGGGGAAAGACGTGGGCGGCCGCAGGGCCCTGGTGGGAGTCCTCGTCGTCAGAGCTGGAGTAGTGTGAAGAGTAGTCCGATCTCGAGGACGCTGTAGACTCGCGCCTGATGCCGCGAGGGCGTGGTATCGTGTTCGACAATGGCAAAGAAGGGGTAACTTGCTGTTGTTGTTCCTGGGTATTGTATTGAGATTCGCGGCCTGACGCGAAGTCGTAAGTCCGCCCAGCGTGTTCGGACTGGTAATAGGAGAGGATCTGATCTGTCTCGCGGCGAATGAAGTTCGGACGAAGTGTCGGAGAGAGGGCAGCTTCGTCGCAGAATCGACACTCTCAGCCTCTGCATTGCTTCCTCCGAGGAGAGGAGGACAGAAACGTACCGGTGCCCGCAGGTAGCTCTCCGCCATGAATAGCGCCCTGAATCGGCTCGGGTAAACAGACGCTGCTCATCTTGGCCGCCTCGGCTGTCGTTTGGGTATTGGGGCTATGAAGGGGGAGACATGCAAGGGGTATGGGAGATGGTTGGGCTATAAGGTACGTCGGGAGGGCGGGATGGCTACGGGATGAGATTCCCCTATGGAGCGCGCCGCAACGGACGCAGCGCCCCTGAGTGTCTATGCCACCGGCCGCACGGTCACCACCGTCGTCACTGTCGCCTTGTGAACTTTCCACGTGTCTGGTGCTCTCTCCGACACCGCTCGCCTACATCTCCTGCATCTGCACGCATCAGCTACGGTCTTTCCGCTTCGCGCGATGTTTCCACTGCCGTGATGCGCAACGTGTTTCCAAGCTCCACGCCATGCTCTACATCCACTATCATACAGCAACTGTTACAATCGCCACATTGACAACGCCGATACTGACACCGGGCGGTGCCGAGGAGACAGGTAGCGTACCGGCAAACCCTGACTACGGCCCCTGCTTCCCACTCTCACGGACTCTCACCAGTCCATCTTGTTCGTCAGCTTTGGCGCGGACAACGGGATCTTCCTGCCCTTGTAGCCAAACCCGTCCAACCACGGCCAGAGCTGACTTCTCCTCGCCTCGAACTCCTCGATCTGAGGCGCCTTCTGCAGCGTCAGCGCGATGTCGTCCAGCCCGTTCAGCAGGCGGTGCCGCCGGAACACGTCGACTTGGAACGGAAACGCGGGCTTGCCGCTCGCGCGGCGCACCTCCTGCTTTTCCAGGTCGACCTCGAGCTCGAGGCCCTGCTCCGCCTCCTGCGCGAGCTCGGCACACTGCTCCTCGGACAGGACGACCGGCAGCATGCCGTTTTGGAAAGTGTTATTCTTGAAGATGTCGGCGAAACTGGGCGCGATGACACACATGATGCCGAAATCCTTCCTGCAATAGTGGAGCCGAATAGATGAGCACGAATGTTGTACACCGGCAAGTCCGCAAACATGACTTACAGAGCCCACGGCGCGTGCTCGCGAGAGCTGCCACAGCCGAAGTTGTGCTTGTCGCAGACGAGGATCTTCGCGTGCGTGTACGGCTCGCGATTGAGCACGAAGTCGGTCGGCTGGCCGTTCGCGTCGAACCGGAGGTTCGCGAACAGAGCGTGCTTCAGGCCTGTGCGCTTCAGCACCTTCAGGAACCGCGCGGGCGCAATCATGTCCGTGTCGATGTTCTCGACGTGCAGAGGCGCCGCGATGCCCTTCAACACCGTGAACTTCTCGACCTTCGAAGACGACTCCGTCGAGGGAAGTAGCGCGTCGCCTGCCGCGGCCGCAGAGACAGCATCCGCGGCCTTCTTCGTCGGTTCAGGGGGAGGAAGGACGGGGTCAGTGAGGAACTCGGTCGGATTCGCAAGTTTGAGCTTGGGGCCCGACGCAATCTTGGCCTCTGCGTCCGCGCCCAGGAACCTGCGCACGTCCGTCAAGTGGCCCGTCAGCGCGGCAGCCGCGGCCATGGCCGGGCTGAGGAGGTGCGTGCGCCCGCCAGGGCCCTGACGACCCTCGAAGTTGCGGTTGCTCGTACTCGCACAACGCTCCCCGGGCTTCAGTTGGTCCTCGTTCATGCCCAGGCACATAGAGCACCCGGCTTCACGCCAGTCGAAGCCTGCGCGCTTGAACACCGCGTCCAGGCCCTCCGCCTCCGCCTGCTGCTTCACGAGGCCCGAGCCCGGGACAACCATGACGTATACACCCTCCGCAACGTGTGCCTCCGGGCCAGCAGCAATGATGATTTTTGCGGCGGATCGCAGGTCCTCGATGCGCGAGTTGGTGCAGGAGCCGATGAACACCTTGTCGATCTTGACCTCCTCCATGGGCGTGTTCGGAGCGAGGTCCATGTACTTCAGGGCGCGTTCGATGGCCGCCTTCTTGCTTGGATCGGTGTAGTTGGCAGGGTCGGGAACCTTGCCGGTAATGGGAACCACATCCTGCGGCGAAGTGCCCCAGGTGACGGTAGGAACTATGTCTTCGGCGTGGATGTTCACCTCGACGTCAAACTTCGCGCCCTCATCGGTCTTGAGCGTGCGCCAGTACGCCTCGGCGCGGTCCCAGACCTCGCCCTTCGGCGCGAGGGGGCGGTTGCGGAGGTAGTTGAAGGTGATTTCGTCGGGGGCGATCATGCCCGCGCGTGCACCACCCTCGATGGACATGTTGCACATGCTCATGCGTGCCTCCATGCTGAAGCCGCGGACGACGGAGCCAGCGAACTCGATGACGCAGCCCGTGCCGCCGGCGGTGCCGATGACACCGATGATGTGGAGGACCACGTCCTTGGAGGTGACGCCCTCGTTGAGGGTGCCTTCCACAGTGACGCGCATGTTTTTCGCCTTCCTCTGCAAGAGGGTCTGTGTGGCCAGGACGTGCTCGACCTCGGACGTGCCGATACCGAAGGCAAGGGAACCAAACGCTCCGTGGGCTATTACAGAGATCAGTAAGCGAGGTAAACAACGGCTGTTCCAGAGACGTACTGGATGTATGAGAGTCACCGCAGACACAAGTGATTCCAGGAAGCTGCGGCCATATGAGCCAAACGCATGCCGGATAACAGCGGGAGGAGACGCACCGTGAAGCCCTCCTCAGGACCGATGACATGGACGATGCCTTGCCTCCGATCGGTCAGACCGAAGTAGGTCAAGCCGAAATCCTTGACATTCTCTTCCAGCGTTGTGCATTGCGCGCGGGAGTCCGGCTGAGCGACGAACTTTTCCGTAGTAGTGTAGTTCTTGCGCGAAGTTGTGCTAAATCATGAATGTTTGTGTCAGTCCAACGACCTCTGCATGCAAACCCGGGAGTGACTGCAACAAGTCTATGGGAAGTCAACCGATTCCGACAGGAAGTAGTGTGTGGAAAGGGCAGTAGGTGTAAGGAACGCATACTCACGGGATATTGTGGTCTACGGTCGCGAGAGTGCAGTCTGGACGGCGGACGGGCCGACCCGCATTACGCCTATAGTACAAGAGCGATCGTGAGCAGGTATACCGTACGAGCCTATACTGGGATAGCAGCAGTGATACTCACAGTCCCTCGAACGCTTGTGGGCTCGTCACTTCGTGCACCAGATGGCTATCAAGCACGCAAGGACGTTCAACAACTTGTCATGAATTGCCAATCAGACTCGTTTTGATGACAGACGTACCGGTCGATATAGATGAGCGCCTGGCCATTCTCGTCGATATCACTGCAGGCGAACCGCGGCACCAAGAGAAGGAGAGCACATCAGAGCACGCTTCAGAAGACAGAGACGGACAGGCTTACATGACATGATCGTCCCAGATCTTATCGTACAGCGTCTTCGGCTGAGCGACTGGCGCGGGCATCTTTAAGTGTGTTTTTGGTGTGGATGCGTGGAGGTATGAGGGGGATACACAGCGAGGGGGATGCTTGGATGTAGGAAGTGAAAAGAAGAGCTAATAAATACAGCCTCCCTTTGCACTTTCGTTCTGACTCGAGGGCGAGTGTGGGGTCTGCTCAAAGCTCCTGACCGGCCGAACAGCGCCGAGGATCACCTGATCAAATCGGGTGATCCTGATTGGATGGTCGCAAGCATCATGACTGTGGGGACGGCTAATAAACCACATCCCGTGCATCATATAGTTTAGGTAGGGCCCGCAAAGCTGACATGCTCACAAGGGAACAAACAGAACTATACAAGATGTTTGAGAAGGCTGTCTAGGTATGCCGTGGAGTGTTTACTAGCGTGTATATTGATTGGCATGCAGAACTAGAGGTTATATAGTCTCATCGCAGAGACAGCGCGGCTGCAAGCTAGTCTTATCATTCCACACCGCATCGTCTGTGAAGAGACCCTGAATAGCATAACGTCTACAAGTACACAAAAAGTACAGTCTACGCCTTCCGGTGACTTGGGACCGGGCCGACAACGCTCAGCAACCTCTAGATAGCAGTAGTGCAGCGACTCACCGAGCTCACGAAACGACAAGACACCCTGAGAACCCGGGGGCTGGATGTCCGATCCGGTGAAGGTGGCGGAAGCCTCATACGAGCACATACCACGCTCATGCCACTGCCAGGGAAATTGCGAAGCTCCACGGATCGCTGTTTCTATTGACTGTCACTCCCGCATCCCACACAGGGATATGCGCAGCCTCATTTGCGCAATAGCCTTAGTAGAGAGATCGCGTCCCGGGAATAGACTTCACGTTGCGGATCGTCCGCAACATCATCCCACGAGAAGGACTTCTTCAACAGAGTGAAGAAGCGCTTGTCGGCCTGCGTACCGTAAGAAACCACCGACACTTTTGAGGACATCTGCGCACTGACCTTCCGACGTTTCTTGTAGCAGAACAGGACTTCGGTTGACGGATCCGTGACTAGATCGGTGAGGGTCTGTACCAGAAGCGGGAACGCCGGTTCAAAGTAGACACAATCCGCCGCGAGGATCAGATCAGGTTTCGGTATGCCGGCTGGCGTAGGTTCGCCCCTGTCGTGCACGGATGTATGAGCCCGGTGTCTGGTAGGATCGACGAGACCGCAGCAGACCAGTTGAATTCCGCGACCGTGACGCGGCCATCGAGATTGTTGAGGGCAACGTTACGTTTCATGATATCTAGTAAGGGGCTGGAGCAATGGAAGCCAGGTGGGCGTGAGGTTCGCGCGAGACGAAGATGAGAGATCACGAACGCTTGGTCGGTGATCCAGACGCGGGCCCCAAGGTGACCGGCGACAAGCCCTACGAGTCCAGTTCCACTGCCGAGCTCGAGGACGGTCTTTCCCTCCAAGGAGCCTTTGCGCGCGATGTAACTTGATAAGACCTAGTGTACCGGGGCATCCGCATTCCGAGCGAACGTCGAGGGGAGGGGCGCGTCAACTAACCTCTCCAGCCGGCCATGCAATGCCTCCGCATCCCGGCGAGGCGTCGACTGCGAGTTTTATGCTGATGCGCGCAGGCACGTCCGTGTCAGGTTGGACGGCGGGACTTGTGTCGAACGACAGCTCTATGCTTTGATTGCGGATGGAAGGCGGCTGCACGGGTACGATACGCGCCGCGCCGTCTTCGTCGGACCCAGCGTCCTCGCGTAGATGGCGGAGGGGATCGAGTTCGTCGAGTGTCTCTTCTAGTGCGAGGTCGAGCATGATGAAAGGGCGCGCAGAGAGTGTGAATGGGGAGCTCTGGGAGGCGAGGCGGCCTCGAGGCTGATGATAGCGGGGGAGAAGGGCTGGACCTGGACTGGGACGGACGTGCCACGAGGAGGCGAATATTTGAGCTCACCGGCAGGCTGCCGCTCGCGCGAACGGCCCATTCAACGTTCGCCAACCCTCGCCTACCCCCACAAGCGGGCTCTCACGCGTCCGCGTTATCTTCTCCCTCATCCCGCCAACCTCTCTTGCCTCCGTCCCCCATCCTCCCCTCCCCGCCCCGCACAACGTCCGCGGTAAGTGACTAACCTCTCCCTGAGCGCGCGCGCGCGACTGATCTTGCACTCCACTTGGGCTTCCGTCTGCGCTCTTGGCTTGCTCATCTGCGTTACAGTCTAGTGCGCCAGTAGCGCTACCTTTCCTCCTCTTTAGCCCACGTCTCTCTTTCACATTTGTTACGACCCTCCACGAACCATAATGTCCGACTTCTACCAGGCAACCTTCCGCTGGTGCGTAGACGTTGCACACTTGATGGCGCGTTCGTACGTTTGATCTGACCGCCCCTCTTCACAGGCCGTACCATGACGCCTCCGATGTCATCGTCACCGGCTCTTTTGACAACGTAAGTATTGTTCAGATTCTTCCCGCCGACCCCGCGTTCCCTCCCCAGGTTACGGGCTGCTTGCAGATGTGGAGACGCTAACGCGTCATGCTCTCCCCCTATATACAGTGGTCGAGTACGCGCCATCTCACCAGAACCAACTCCGGCTCCTTCGAAGGCACCGTCCAGATCCCCTGGGGCGAGAAAGTCCAGTACAAGTACATCGTCGACGGACGCTGGACCACGACCGACGACCGCCCGACCGAGTTGGACAGCGTAGGCAACCTCAACAACGTCTTCCGCGCCCCAGTGCGCCCCGAGCCGGAGCCCAAGTCTGCTCCCGCACCGGAGCCCGAGACTGAAACCGAGTCCGAGACGACTACCACCGGTAGGACCGAGTCCGAGACGGAGGCAAGCTCGGTGGGTTCAGTGTCAGGCGCGGTGAGCGCGGCCACTGCAGCCGTGTCCGCCGCCGTAGAGAACGCCAAGCAGGCGGCGGTGGACTTGGTGGAGGCGATAGCCCCCGGGACGACTGAGACTCCCTTGGAGACCCCCGTCGAGACCCCTGCGGTAGAGGTGCGTGTGCTTGTCCCTGCTTTTGCTCCTTCCCTGAGACGCCCTGCTTCGCTTCTCTAGACTCCCAGCCCCGTCCAAGCGCCTGAGCCTACCGAGCCCGCTGCTGCTGCCACTGAAGTCACCACCGAGGCTGTCCTCCCCTCGGACCCTATTCCAGTTGCGCCGGAGGTCCCGGTCGCGATTCTACCTCTCAGCACAGAGCCCCCCTCGGATGCATCGACCGCGCCCCTCGCAGACGTGTCCGAGAGCAAGCCGCTCGACACGACCATCGTCGAAGGCACCGCGACCTCCGACGAACCCTCCACCCATGCACCTGCCCCCGCTGCTGCGGCGCCAGAAGACAAGCTGTCGACACACGTCCCGGCACCTGTCAACGGTACCGAAGAAAAGCAGGCTACGAACGGCGTCGCCCCCGCCGAAGACAAGGCCGCCGTCAACGGCACCACCACCAACGGAACTACCACCAACGGCACCGACGAGCCCCAGCCCTCCACCGTGGCAGCGAACGGCACCCCCGAGTCGCCCAAGCCCAAGCCCGCGGCGGCGAACGACGCGGAGAAACCGACGACGCCGACCAAGGACAAGAAGACGCGCTTCCCGTCCTTCTCCTCGCGCTCCTCGAAGCACTCGCGGGTGAATTCGTCCGTGGACGTGTCGGCATCCACTACGCCGGCGAGCGAGCTCGGCGAGAAGGAGGCGCACGGCAACGGCAAGGACACGGTGTCGAGTCGCTTCTCGACGGCACAGAGGCCGAAGCGGCGGACGAGCCTGTTCGGCAAGATCAAGGACGTCTTCCACCACCCCAAAAATGAGGCCTCGACGTAGGCCTGGCGATGCTCGGGCCTGACACCAGGTCTCTCGAACCTGTCTGTGGATGGGGTTACATCACAGACGTTCGGAGCAGGAGCCAGGTGGGCTAACTGCTGTTGGGAGACGCACATACGATATAGGGGCGGACACACTTACGCCGATTCGTTTACATCCTGCTTACGACCATAGACTTCTGACGACTGGCCACGTATTCCTTTGTACTTGGAGCCTTCTTGTTTGTTTCTCTTAATACTCGCCTAGCGCTTGTATATACTAGCCAGTTCTCCGTACTGTATTATATTTCGTAGGTAGTGATACAGGTTCTTCTCGGTCCATCAGTTGGCCGGTCGTGTTGTTGGAACTTGAGCGTGAGCCCCTCAATTCGTGAGTCGCAGATGAGCAGTTCAAGACGTGTGAGACGGGTATCAGGAGCAAAAGCACAGTCGTTCAAGCCTGGAAGCAGGTGCCAATCGCGAGGTACAAGAAACACGAGTACAGACAAGCAGTCAGATACGCCTGCACCGAACACAGTACCACCGGCCTTAAACTCCAATGCAAGCGCGCTTAGGTTGACACTCGGCCACCCTTTTTCTCTACTCGCCATTCCTTGAAGATACCGTCTAAACTTTTGTAGATGAGGTGGGAGGGCAGACTCCGGATGATCTCGCCCACACGCTCCTCGGCCTCGCCTTTCCCCTTGTCGCCTGCGGCCTTCTTGGCGTACTCGACGGTGAGGCGGAAGATCGCCAGCACAGCGAGCGAGACGTGTGTCTGCTGAGCGCCGTGCGCCGAGCCGGGGGAGAGGGCGGACAGGAGCGGGCCCGAGACAGACGGCGGCGTCATAGGCGCGTTCTGCGTGAACGTCGACCGCTCGCCGCGCACAAGGCGGAGGAGGATTTCGAGGATGTTGTCGGTCTCAGCCATGTGTGTGCGCAGGAAGCGCTGACGCTCGGTGAGCTGTCCGACGTTCGAGTTGCTCGCCCAAGATTCCAAAAGCGTCCAGATGGTAGGGGTCTGCAAAGAGCCGTGAGGATGAGAAATCAGGGCGAGAAGAAACATGCGCACCGGATCAGGGTCAACGACCTCCACTCTCTTCTCCCAGCCATCGGCTGCATCTCCGGCGACCCAGAACATGCGCCCAAACATGCTTCGCAGCCATTCTTGGACGTCACCAGTCTTCACCCACCGAGGCTCCGATAGCGGCTTCTCCTTGTCCAAGTAGAGGACGAGCTGAACTTCTGACGGAATCTTGGCCTTCCAGAGAGGCGGTACGGTGACGTCGTTCTCCAATTGCTCTGAGAGCTCGAGAGAGATGTAAGTGCTTTCTTCAGAACATCCTTCCATCTGTATAGCACGGTCAACATATGCGTACAGATAGGCCACTCTATGACTTACAGCAATGCCCTTGAAACCGCCGCGCTCATCGGCCATCAGTACAATGGTCACCTCAATACGGCCTTCAGCTCTGTACACCTTCAGTTTCGGCACAACCTCCGCATCGATGACGAGTCTCCTCGTGGCACCCGCATAGGACACGGACAAACGATTCGCGGAAGGAATCTTCTCCCCGAGAACATTAGTGGCAGTCGAGGAGGTGCCGAAGCCAGGAGGATTCTCAGCGCCATACGCATTCTCGTCGTACGCGGGCTGCGTCGACTCGGAGTCGTGTTGTTCAACGCCATCGCCGCCTTCGATGACAGTAGAAGCATAAGGAGAGATCTGAGCCTGCTCTTGGTTCATGTCCGGAACAGTAGATGCAAGAGAATCCATCGCCCGCAGCGGCGTGGCACGAGAAGCAGGAGGCGCAGATTGCAAAACATCACCATTTGGACCAGTGCTCTGCGATGGAGCGTCGGTAGACGCTGCAGCAGGGGGTGCATCTGGAGGAGGCGCGCTCTCGTTCGCAGCGGGGGGAGGCGTAGAAGAGACAGTGTCCTGCGAGTTCTGGTTTGTGTTAGCTTGCGCAGGAGGGGCCGGGACAGCGCCGCCTTCTCGCTCCTGAGAGTCAGAAGGCGCATCGGCGTGGCCGTCGCCATTGACCAGAGGATGGTCGGCGGTATCATGCGCGCCATTAGGAACGTAACTCGGGTAGTGCTCGTCATCAGGGCCCACTTCTGAGCCCTGCGCATCCTCGTCGCCCATTGTTTGATCAGCATCGTGTCCATCCCCTTGCATATACTCATTGCCTTAAAAATGATAAAACAGCCATATTAGTGGTGCGAACGAGGTTGCGCGTGAACAATGTTGTCCACACATGCGTAGGCTCAGTAAGGGACGGACGCTTACCATATTCACCATCGCCGGCGTCGCCATTGTCCAGGAAGTGCTCAACTTCACTGACATGGAGATGATCTCCGCCTTCGCCGTCACCTTCCTCTTCGCCAATGGCAGCCATCAACCAATCGCCCTCGCTCGTCGTCTCGGCGACGCTCGGGGCCACGCTATCGCGGCCCGCACCGTCATACTCCCCACCAGCATGAGGCGGAGGAGGAGGAGCGCCACGACCCTCCTCATAATCGCCATCATCATCCTCGAGCTTCTTGCGCTTCCCCTTCCGCGCATTCGGAAGCGACGAAGCATAGCTAGACTGAGAAATAGGATGCGCGTCATCAGGAGAAACAGGCGTGTGGAAGTACATCCGGACCCGCGAGGGGGGCGGGGGAAGCAGAGCTTCAATTTCCGCCTTCACAGCAGACGCGTCCGGAGCGGTAGATGCAGGAATAGCAGCGGCCACGGCCTCCGCACCAGTGCTGGTACCCTCAGCGGTCGCTGGAGGGGCTCCATCAGATGGCTGGACAGCCGTAGGCGCATCAGAGGGAACTATAGCAACAGGCTTGACCTCCTCTTTGACCGCCGCTGGGTCAACAGCGTCAGGAATCGATCCCCATACCCAGTGCAATTCGGGGATTTTGAGACCGACGATCTTGAAGTCGGTCAGCGTCCTTTTGTTCTCGTCTCGCTTACTAGGAGGAAAATTGCCAGACGTCGTGCTGATGTTGTCGCGGCTGCTCGTAGAAGCATTGTCGCCGTGTCGACCGCCGCGATTCGAGTGCGTATATCCTTGCCCGCGACCCCGGTACGACTGGTGCGACTGGTTCTGGTGGTTGTTATTGTAGTTTTGCTGGCTGTGTTGCTGGTGGCCGTGCGAGTAGCTTTGGTTGTTGCTGAACGAACCGCCGCCGCGCCGGTTGTCCCTGTTGCCGTAACCGCCGCGATTCGAGCCTTGTCCACGGAAGCTGCCACCTCCTCCACCCTGATTCCCTCCTCCTCGTCCACCCATGTTGTTGTAGCCCCCGCCTCCCCGTCCGCGGTTCGTCCCCCTGTTCATGCCCATCGACCCCCCACCGCGACCACGCCCCTGCATATTGCCTCCCCGAGCCGCATTGTAGCCGCCTCTACCACCCTGCTGAGGTCCTCCACCGCGGCCATACTGCCCTTGGGGCTGGTTCGGACCGTAGGGCTGCTGCATAGGAGGAGGCGGAGGAGGTTGGAACTGAGGCTGAGGAGGGGGCGGACCGCGGTGCTGGTTCGGGCCATCGAAACGTTGACGCTTCGCGGGAGGAAACTGCTGAGGGGAGTTATGATGTTGACTCGGCTGTCGGTTCGGGCGATGTTGCTGCTGCTGTTGAGGGAAGAACTGCTGAGGCTGCTGGTAAGGCTGAGGAGGCGCCTGTTGGAAGGGAACGGGAGCAGCCTGAGGAACAGCCGGGGCAGGCTGCGGAGGCACGTAGGGCTGCTGGTATGCGCCAGCTTGAGGCTGATATGGACTGTATTGGGGTTGAGGCTGGGGAGGAGGCGGAGGCGGCTGGACAACAGGGGGAGGAGGTTGATAGTGATGCTGCTGCTGGGGCTGTTGCACCTGCTGTTGACGTTGCTGCTGTTGCTGCCAGTTCGCGCCATAGCCGTAGTTTGCGTAGAGCTGGGCTTGATCAGCAGGGCGAGCGGCGGTAGCAGCCGCTGCCTGCTGAGCGGGTTGTGACGCGTTCCATTGCGCAGTGTACGCACTGGCTGCACTAGCTTGCTGGGCCGCGGCCGCGGCAGCCCAGTATGCAGAGTAATCCGGCTGAGCTGGTTGAGGGGGAGGAGGGCCGGGAGGAAGAGGGGGCTGCTGGGGGGTGTATGCGGCCGTCGCGAATGGATTCTTGTTCATTGTAGGCGATGTCTAGTGGGTAAGGCGACAGACGCGACCGAAGGCTGTAATACGCCTTTCGAGGACCAAAGCCAATAAGAGAGAATAGAGTAGTGACGTTTTTGCGCGAGGTGGTGGCAGCAGAAAGAGCAAGCACAACCGCTAGGGAGGTTGTGACTGACGTGATGGCCCGAGGTAACGCTCGACGAGTCACTCTCCTAATTCTCCCCCAATGCATCTGCAGAGACGACTGGCATTGCGAACGATGCTATGATGAAAATAATATTACGCTACGAGGGGAAATGAGGAATAGATGGAGTTGGGAGGACAAGGGAGACAAAGGCAGCATCGTAATATGAATCCGTGACATCCTCGCGACGCTGCTTAGGCCTCAGCTTCAACCCGCTTCTTTTTCTTTCTCTTCTTCGCACTCTCGTCCTGACCGTGATTATCACCATGCTCCCGAGTATGCTTACGTTTCCGCTTCTCTTCGATCGTGGGTGCAGCATCCTCCTCAGGCGCAACGAAAGCTTCTGCACGTTTTGCCTGCCTCTCCGCAGTGACCTCCTCTTGCTACAGGAGGTTTTGTCAGTGGCTGAAGCTTGTTGCAAACGAATACCTAAAGTACCTTCTCTTTCCTCTTCTTCGCCTCCCTTGCCTCCTTTTGGTGCGCTTTGAGGAAGTACTCTCCAGACTCGAGTTGAAGATCGACCTTGCGCGGCTGCTGCGGGGGAGGGAAGGGCGTATAGACCTTCTTCTCCTTCCTCTCCTTCTTCGCCTCCTCGAGTGTAGGGAGACCAGCAGCTTTGCGTGCCTCGTTCTTCTCCTGCACCCGCTCGTTCTTCCGCGCCGTCTTCTCGGACGTCTTGAGATGGCGTTTGCGGAACTTGGGCAAGAAACGATCCCAAGACTCTGTTGCTAGCTGAGGGTCCTTCGCCAGCTCGCGCTTGATCATGAGTTCCTGCACCGACGTTTGCAAAGGCATTTACTTCAGATGACAAGACGGCCCACCTTGATTCGGTATATAGGGTGGATGTTCTTCATGCAGTCCAGGACTATTCTCCGAACCTCCTTCAGACCCTTGTACGGACCCATCACGCCCACAGTGTTCCCTTGTACGAGAACATAGCACTGCGTGAGGAGCTCTATGGCCTGGGGAATCACGTCAACGCACGCTATATGCGTGGTTCTTTAGTGCTTACCTTGAGCGTGCTTCCATCGGGACCAATGATCCTCTGTCGCCTCTTCACAAACCGCTCCTTATTCCGCACAATGTTTCCAATCTTGATAATGTCGCACGCGACGTCGTCGTTTAGGATTTTCACGGCCTGAGCAACCGCTACTCCTCGTGCGAGCAACTTGATCATATCCCGAGCTTTGAGTATGATGTACGGATCGTACGTTTTACGAGTTGTCCGTACGGCCATGGAACCATGAATAAGATCGAGCGTACAGGCAATTCCCTGATGGGCAGGAAACATTGGGTCAGGCGATATGAGCGGGACGCGAAGTAGGACAAGACACACATGTGGATCCAATGCCTGTGTCACCGCACTCCAAACTTCCCGCAAGTACTTCTCGCGATACTTGGGGAAGAGGGTTGCAAACGAGGACTCCTCCGTGAACGGACCAGCTTTGTTGTCATCGGGTTGAAATGGATCGATTTTCCACTGTACGCAGCGTCACGACGATAGCTCTGTATTACGCGTGAAGATGCTTACACTTGAGATGGTAGGTGTAAGTACGCAAGATTACAGAGAGTTGCTAGTCATCGCTTACTGGTCAATGTCGTCTGTGTCCCAGGCTATTCAAGCGGTTGAGTGAGAGGCTGTGGCTGGGGGTGGCTGTATGCAGGACGTACGCTTGTCCTTCCTATGCCGTTTGTTCTTGTTCACGACTGGAGCAGCATCTGAGCCTTCCGCCGACATGGTAGGGTTCGATGCGAAGTGCGGCGAAGTAGAGCGGTAGAGCAGGAATTCCGAGAAGGGCAAGCCTGAGCGCGGTCACGAATGAACAAGTCTCGAAAACCTGCCCACGGGCGCTGATCATAGACGCCCGTTTCAGCAGGCGTCCACCAAACCGGCGACCTGTGCAGTGCCACAAGGCCCACAACTCTTGCTTTTGCCACACTCTACCATGGACGTTTATCCCGACGCCTTTGCTGCCGTCGGCACGCTCCCATATGACGATCCGATCAAAGTTGAAGACAGCGACCTCACGTCCTCGTACCCCTCGGAGCCTGATGACGGGAGTCGGTCCTTAGCCGACCGTATCGGAAACACAAAAGTCTACCTGCTCTCCGACGCGTCTAAGTCTCGAGGTGGAAAGGTGCGAGGGCAGCATGTATACGCGACATAGGAAATTGCGCCTAATGTGGGAGCCATCGCGGCCGCTTACTTGATCTCTGGTACTGGTTCCTTGCACGCTGGTCTTAGCGTCGACGGGAAGAGGACGAAGAGGTTATAAAGGATGAAGAAATGGACGAAGGAGGTGCGCGTATACTCTGCGGGTCCACGGACAGGCTCGTGCTTATGCTGCACGCGATGGCAGACTCCCCCTACCGCGACAATGCGATCCTTCTCCACGGCACTCCCATCTCCCACCTTCCTACCTCGAACATCTTCGCGTACGCGACGCACTTCGACGCGCATCCTCTCGGACTCGAGTGGGTAGACGACACTACCTGCGTTCTCGTCTTCGACTCCAAGTCCGACGCGCGCACCGCGTTCCGCGCTCTCCAGAAATCCCTCGCAGAGGAGCCTGCCCTTGACGATGGCACCGTCACCGCCAAACCCATTCCAATGCCCATCTGGCCCGCCGAGGACAGAATCAATGCGACTCTAGGGAAGGGTGAGGGGTTGAAGGGCATTTTGCGGATGCGCTGGGCGCGGCTGGAGGACGTGAAGAAGAAAGGAGCGAAGAAAGACAGCGAGTTCTACAGGAAGTACGGGCTGAACGCCGGGAAGACTTTCGAGGAGGGCCCCCCACCGCCGAAGCGGCGCCGTCCTCAGGACCCTGATTCCGACGCTGCCGCACGTGCTCAGCTAGACGAGGAGCTGGACAGCTTCCTAGCGGAAGGCGAGGACGCGCCGCCCCCTTCGCCGCCGTCGAAGATGCGCTCCGACTACATTGGGAAGGATGGGAAAACCCTCCTGGAGCGCACGTCGGCCATACGTGCCCACCCGGGCACGCTCGAGTCCCGATTGATTGCTGCGCTTCCTCGTCGTGCTCGTTCTGGACGCGATGGAGAGGGCAGATCATGGGATGAGGGAAAGCTTGGGCTGCATGGCAGACTCTCGGAGCCCGGGTCAGGAGGTGGGAGAGACAGCAGGGACAGGAGTTCGCGGGGTAGACGGCCGCCACGACCAAGAGCTACTCAGGAAGACTTGGATGCAGAACTAGACGCGTTTTTGGCGGCGAAGGACTAATGCTTTGGCCTGGGACGGAATGTTGCAGTTCATTACGGTATACTTTGAATGTAATAGTATGTATGTGTACGATGCGCATGTAGAGTAATATGACCTTCACTCCTCCTTCATGAACTACATTAAGCCTGGAGCCCTTCGCGAGCCTACGGCCGAGATGGCACCATGTATACGTACGAACCACGCTGTTGTCAGTCAATGATGTCACAGCGTAAGGGTCGGGTACGGTCTCTGGCTAGCCGTACCCAGCCCTACGATGGGACGACGGTTTTCAGCTGATAGAACGGGACTATGAGTCTATGCGACGCTGCATATGAAGAGCTTTCGACTCGCCTGCAGGCCATGGATGCCTTTGATCTCTTCCTTCAACGTCTGGTTCACGAGTCGCTGCTGCTTGACTAGAGGCAGGCCTTTGAACTCCTCGCTAGCGATGATGATGTTGTAGAAAGTCCCACAGCCACCTGCGCATGTGAATCCCTTGAGCAACGCTCAAAGCACAGTATCGTCGCGACGTACCTGAGACGTCCTCCACATGCAGCTCAGTGGGCTTGAACTTCTCAGTCAACTTCTGGTGGATGAGCCGCTCGCTGTCTGTCGAAAAGTTCGCCTGCGCTGCGGAATACCAGCGTGCGAACGAGAACGCGAAGTTGGCCAACGAGGGTCGCGCTATTCGTCGCGTGAGTACAAGAGAGAGCATCTTGAAGTCTGGAGCGCAGCAGGATGCGTCCAGCAGCAAGGGGAGTGTGGTAGAGGTGAAGCCGCGCGAGTCCGCGTGCGCCGGGATTCCAGGCCGACGCGTTCCGCACGCCGTGCCACTGTAGAGACCGTGCAGGGTTGTTTTAACTCAGTAAACCCACCGAAAAAGTAATGAATTGAATAAAGAATACCAGTTGATTTCCACGCAACCGAATGATTTCTACCCCGCAACCGGGTTGCACCAGGGGTGTGGACTTAAGGCGAAAATGAAAAGATCCAGCAGGTTTCAAACTAATGAATGGCGGGTGAATAGCAACCCGCCCCCCATTACTGAATATAATCCATGATGCATCACGCTGGCCATTTCATGCAGAATTGCTCAACAATATGTTATATTGGTGCTTCTGTAGCTACAATACACATCAGGAAGGAACAGCAAGTACTATGGCTCTACAAGCGGCGACCCAGAATGACATCCGAAACTAGAAGATGAAGTACACCAGCTATATAACGCGAGAGGACACCCACACGGGTCTGGAAAGTGCTGTTGTACTCACTGGATGATATGTGCATAGAATAGGACAGCATATGCCCAAGGGCGTGAGTGAACGGCGAGGGGACTGTAAGAAATGCGAGCTTACCGACACAATGATGAACTTCGTACCGCCATACCACTATTGACCCACTAGCAGCGACAGGTTCAAGGACACTTACGTTGGAGGTGCAATGCGATAACGAGCTGGAAACGATGGAGAGCCAGGGCAAAGTGAGGAGAGTACGTACAAACGCGCATGGCGGTCGTAGATGAAGAAGGCATTGAGACAGTAGCGCCGTTGGGGAGCCACCAAATGCCCCGCTGACGTCATGTTAAGCGCGCATATTCATGCTCCATGTGGACTTAGCATTTCACGATTCTGCACTGTATGAATACCCTTCTAAATCAATAGAGTTTTATAAGCACTAAGTTTAACACCCTTATTCAGTCTTACCCGGCACTACCTCGCGAACCTGCTGAAAATCACATTTCATTCGCGAACCTGCGGACTTTAGGTCCCGGCGCTCTTCACAGTGTGCGCTCTCTCGTCCCGATCCGCCTCGACCACCGCTCTGGCTCGTCCATGCACATCTTTATTTGGTGACCTCGTCCTCTCTTTGCTCAGTGCTCGTTGCTCTTATCTGTCTCTCCCAGGCGCGTAGGTAGTAGGGAATACCGACCGGGATGTTCGCAGGACTGTGGGCACGAGGAGCTGTCCTCGAGTGCCGTTCTGCCTCCTTGCTTTCGCGTCATGGGTCTTTCCGGCTTCTCCACCAGACGCCTTTGAGGCCTACCTCTCTTCCCGCACTCTCGCGCAGCAACGCATCAGCATGGTCGATGCTGAGTGCGTTTAGGAAGAACGGTCCTTGGAGTCCTAGTAGAAACATCGCTTTCCGAGCTGGTACTGCCCCGCGCCGTGCGTTCGATCCGCGTTTCTTCTCCTCGAATGCCGCAGATGTCCCGGTGAGCGAACTCCCGGTGCTGTCGCCTCCGTCTGTAGGAGGATGGTTGCTTGGGTCTGCGGTGCTCGTCTTTGCGATCATCGTCGTCGGTGGAGTTACTCGTCTTACCGAGTCCGGACTGAGTATTACGGAATGGCGTCCTATCACTGGAGTCCTCCCCCCTCTGTCGCGGGCGGAGTGGGAGAAGGAGTTCGACAAGTACAAGGCTACCCCGGAGTTCAAGCTGTATGTTTGCCTTACCTCTCCGGTCAATACGCCGTGGAACTGACGACGACCTTCTGACACAGGCTGAACCATTCAATCACTCTTGAGGAGTTCAAGGATATCTTCTACATGGAATGGGGCCACCGCGTCCTTGGTCGCCTCATCGGCATCGGTTTCGTCGTCCCCTTCGCCTACTTCGCGCTCCGCAAACAGCTCACCGCGGCCCTCCCTCGCAACCTGCTCGGCATGGCCCTGCTCATCGGCGCACAAGGTGCGCTCGGCTGGTACATGGTCAAGTCGGGCTTGGAGGACTCGCTTTTGGAGACTCCTGGGGCCGTCCCGCGCGTGTCGCAATATCGTCTTGCCGCGCACCTGGGCACGGCATTCGTGCTGTACGCGGGCATGTTCTACACCGGCTTAGCTACGATCATGGACTGGAGGTTTGCGAAGAAGGGCCTGTGGGGTGGTCTGCAGGACGGTGCTGCGCAGTGGAAAGATATCCTCGCGAACCCGCACGTGAGGAAGTTCGCCCGAAACGTCAAGGGTTTGACTGGGCTTGTCTTCCTCACCGCACTCTCTGGTATGTCACCTCGACTCGGCCCCTTATCCGTCAGACGGTCACTCAAGTCTTCTGCGTAGGTGCATTCGTCGCAGGTCTTGACGCAGGTCTACTGTATAACGAGTTTCCGCTTATGGGCGGCCGTCTCGCTCCTCCCGCAAACGAGCTCTTCGACCCCGCGTACGCGAAGAGTGCCGACAAGTCGGATATTTGGTGGCGCAACATCTTCGAGAACCCAACGACCGTGCAGTTCGACCACCGATGCTTGGTATGTGTCCGTAACCTTCCACGCCGAATGATGTCTTACCTACCCCGATCAGGCGATAACTACCTACGTTGCGACTGCGGCGGTGTATGCGTCCACATTTAACCCGGTGATTCGCGCAGCCTTGCCTCCCCTGACGAAGAGGCTGGCTACTGGTGCGTTCGCCATGGCGAACGTCCAGGTCCTCCTTGGTATCTCGACCCTATTGTACTTGGTCCCAATCCCGCTCGCTGCTATGCATCAAGCTGGGAGCGTCATGCTACTGACGACCGTGCTCCACCTGCTCATCTCGCTCAGACGGCCGGGAGCTGCCGCACAGGCTTGGAGACAAGCACTACGGAATACCAAGAGGACTACCCACTAATTCTGCTCACAATGGGCATTTAATGTAGAGCACCTAATTATCGCTATATTCGCTTTCGACACATCTTGTGTAAACACCCACCTCATTCAGCACATCATTGGGAATCTGACAGACTTTCGTTGGTGCCCGATCCAAAGGCAGTGAGCGATATGACAACATTGCACGTCTCCGGAACGACTAGTTTTACAATACATTCAGCGTTCCACCTCAGTCCTCCATCTGCACATCCTCGTCGGCCGTCGTCGACGCGCCGGCTGCAGGCACCTCACCCGCTGGAGGCGGCTGGTGCGGCGCCTCCCCGGTCTCCTTCGGGGTCATGCTCTGCAGGTAGACCTCGATGACCTCCCCCTCCAGTATGCGGAAGTCACCCTCGAGGGTGACGTCGGTTTCGTGTGCGCCACCAGGCCCGATGATGCCGATCGAGGTGTTGTTGATCGTGAGCTCTTTGTCTTGCTGAAGAGTCTCGCGTAGGGCATGCAGGCCATGCTTGATGAGCTCCTCCAATGTGCCTGAATGGCCGCAACATGGGCATGAGAATTGTCCGTCGGGACGAGACTCGGTGGCACTCACAGTCCGCGAAGGTCTCGTAGTGCTTCTCTAGGTACGTCTTCGCGCTTTGTGACCTCGCGCCGATGGAGATGGCGTAGTATTCATACGAGTTGCCTGATGGTGAAAACTCGTAGAGGTGGGGACCCTGCTTGTCCTGCCCGATCACGAGCAAACCGACACCGTATGGGCGGCGACCATATTCCTGGGTATTGATTTGCGCCTCTATTCGAAAGATTGTTGTTTCAGTGTACGGCTTCAGGTTAATCGCTACTGTGCAACGTACTGTCCGCGATTGCTGCAACGAGTCGGTTCACAGGTGCGGGGCGGTTGAAGAGCATGCGGGAGGACATGGCTTGTTGCCTCATGAAGTTGCTGAGACATGCGGCGTCAGGACTGGACCTGGCAGCCACAAGACAGCTCTACATACCTCAATACACGCGCGTCGGAGGTCAGACCAGCAATCGCAATGCCGACATGATCATCTATTCGGTACATCTTCTGCTGGTAGGACGCGAGCTCGCCGAACGAACGCTAACACAGAGAAGGATGTAAGAGCACAGTTAGAGAGCTCAAAGGCTGCTAGTTGCACACCTTCAGAGCCAGGAGGATTGCGTGTGTCTTTGACCGCAAGCCCACGGCGGCGGAACCCTGCTTCACGGCCTCGAGAGCATACTCGACTTGGTGCAGGCGACCTTGGGGAGAGAAGACGGTGTTATCAGAGTCGTAGGTGTTCCTGAACTGGAATATCGCGTCAATAAGTCGCCTCAGGGCTGAGATATGGGACGTACCATGGCGGAAGAGAAGGAGGCGTAAGTGTAGGGAATGGCCAAGCGCCGAGTATGTGGGCTGAAGGTGACGCGTCGCCCGCGACGCGCAAGATTGCCTATTCGGGATCGATATTTCCGAGGCGCCCATGGCAGAACAGGACCCTACCATACAAAGTTATGAACTCGAAGTTCCTGCAGACCGGGTACCGACTCGAGCTCTCTGCACCAGGTCTTGGACATTTCGGGCAAGCTGCATGGCACTCGTAACCGTGGAGTCCCAACGGAACGAATTATGCACTACGGCACACCCAGTGTCACCAATGTCCCACGAGCCCGAGTACGGCGCGCCATATTCGAGCTATGCTCAGATTTCTCCGTCTCCAGACTTCAGACAAGTAGCTATTCCAATGACTGAGTCCCACTTCCTCCACCCCAGTCTCAGCCGCATTAATATTCGCCTCTTTTCGTTTCCTTCCCGACACGTGAACATAGCCTGCTTATATGTTTAACTGCATGGCAGTCGGTCCGACGCTTCCCCATTTCTGTGCAGGTTCGAGAAGACTTCCTAGGAATACCCAAGCATCATAAAGGAGAGCCAGGTCGTTCGCTGTTGCTGATGTCACAGGGAAGGATACCAGTGTCGTCACCTGCAGGCGTGCCCTATAAAGCCTTCGCTCCATCGCTTCTACGCCTCTTCGAAGTTATGCACCTTGAAAGCTAGGTTAAGTGGTATTCGCGCTGCCTTCGCTAGCTTGGCCGCTGGCTGTATGCTTACTGCACTCGCATCTACCAGCCCAACCTGAAGGAAGCTTCTTCCAATGCTCTGATCTGTAAGGAGCGTTTTGGCTTGCAGACCCCGGCCTCCTGCTATTGATTGTCGTCAGTCTCAGTCAGTCTCATCAACTTTCGCAAGCCTTCATTCTGGCTTGCGTTTCACCTGGACTTGGCGATCCACATATCCTCCACGTCCCATCCTTCTAGGAGCCGACCAGCAAACAAACTATGGGTCAACCGCTGACCGAATATGCGACGGCATGTCGGCAATAAGTCTGCGGGACCTGTGGGGGCAGCATCAGTTTGCGCCCGCAATGAGGTGAGTCCGCCCCCTAGCACCGATAGAAGCGCATTCTTGAGTACGTCGTCGTACCCTGCTGCAAATTGGGACCCGTCAGGGCCTTCTCAGACCCCACCGTGTGCGAACTATCCCATCCAGCTAGCCGTGCAGCACCCGTGGCGCGCCCAGCGGCAAGGTGAGTATCAACACAACCTCTCCAGATTCGTTCTCTAAAGTGGTAGCCAGCAAAGGCTTGCCTCATCTCTTGAGACAGTGCCTATGTGAGCAGCACTCGAGGGTATCTTCGCAACTTACTCAGAGGCCAGATTGTGCAGTGTTCTTGCCCGATTCGAGAACGCTGGCGTCCCGGCCGTTCTCCTCTCACGCGCCACGCTCGAAACGGACTAGGCGATCACCAGTCCAGACATGTCGTACGTCATGCGTTGCGCATGTCCAGCGTCATCCCTTGAGCGCTTCACATACGCTGCACTAGGCCCTGACATTGTAGCGGTCCTGATCTCAAGAGGGTTACTTAAAACATCAAGCAATAGATGCATAATTGCCGTCCCGCATCTCCGCTGGTCCCAGGGGGCATACCTCCGGAGGTATGGTCGGCCATCTCCTGCGTGTCCGCGCACTTCAGAGCCCTAGCTAACATCCGGAGGGACCTTGTAGACATCGGAAGGACCCTATCCTCGGTGGACCTCACGTGTATGGACGGGGTGGTTGCGGTTGTGAGCGCTCCGCTCTATGGTGCGCGATACTCATGATCACGGACCCAAGTTGAACGGCCAGATCGCAGTTGCGCCATGCGCACTCCGTGTCGTCCGCGCGCTACATCTTCAACGTAACTCGGGCCTTGCTTGTCTGTTTGAGCACGTTTCGACTCACGGTTGCCAGAGCGTTCTGCCCATTGTTTAAGCTTAGGGCGAAGGTCCGACTACCATAGGTTCTCACCGATGCATCTACGGGCAAAGAGCTCGGACGTGAGGTCCAGGGGCAGACACGGAGGCCCTGCAGCTGGTTTGCAATTGACAAGCGATTACATTTTGCACTAAAGTAGCTATGTTACTACGTGCAGACAGCGTGTACGACGTGAGTGGCTATGACTACGGTACAGTGTTTCTGAAACGTCCGCTTTGTTTTAGTACACAGGGCTCGAGCGATGTGGATGCAATGCAGTAGACATAAATACACCCGAAATGTACCCAAAAGACCAAACAGACCAAGGAACACTACACGACCATTCGCGAGCGTGTAGCAGAAGCGAAACAGAGCGGAGAGGAAGCGGCAAATTAACTCGATGAGCCACCTGGAGCACACCGGACCGGATAGTGTCAAGCATAGCGGGACAGGCTTAGAGGCATGCACCACCGTATTGGTGATAGCCTCGCAGGCTCAAAGCGACGCACCAGCGGTTCCGAATCGTAGCACGATTGAGGGGGCAAGGGGGAATGACGTCGGGAGGGTAGACAGTGGCAGGGAATACGCGAACCGGATCGGTACCAATGAGACGGAGACGAGTTCGATAGCGAGGATGGCAGGGGCATATTGCGGGCACAGGGAAGTAGGACCGAGAGCGGACAAGGGACGAGTACGGGCAACTTGGACGAGAGCAGAACGGAACGTGTTGTGGAACTACAAGCACAGACTGGATATACAGATGCACATGCGAGGTATGTGGAGGATGAATGATGTAGGATATGAATAATGCAGGATAAGTCGTTTGGGCATGAGACTCGTGATAAATAGGAGTCGGATACCGTAAAGTCGACAATGGAGACTGAGTGAGGTGAGGGAGGTGCGGAGAGATGTTGGCGAGGGGAATGTTGAGGCGGCGGGGCAGGGGTGTGACACGCAAGGAGATATGCAGGATCTGTCCGGCGGGATCTGCATGGAGTTGTGAAACGACCGAGACCTGCTGGAGTGGAGTATCTAGTAACCATCGACGTGTACGGGCGGGGACCATCGGAAAGCGAATCGTCGTCCAGCGTCGTGATTTAATCGAAACGTTTTGGGGCACCGTGTTCTCGTGCGCACAGGTACCGGGGGATGATGCGATCGTACAATGCAGTCCTGATGTGTATGGGTATTTTGCAGGTCTGTTCCACATCGTGTTGGCGTCACAGAAAGCGTGAAGAGAGAGAGGCCTTTGGGGGCAAGCGCGGGGTATCCAGGCTGCTTGACGGTACGGAGACATTAATGTTCAACCATCGTAATCTCTGATTCACTCGGGTCATATTCTTCGTCGATCGTCTTGCCTCGGAACTTGTGGTGCGCGCGCTGCTTCTGCTCCATGCTGTCAGTCAGACTATGACATCGTGGCCCTAAGGTGGTGGACTGACCTCCTTTAAGGTTTTGTCTCGGGCACGGTCAGCAGCGATATGGCGCGCGAAATCGGCCTCGCCACCGTCCCGGATTGACAGCTGCGTGAGGGCCTCCAGCGCCCTCATCTTCTCCTTGTCCATCTCCGCATGCTCTTGCGCCGCAGCTCGATCCTCCGTGCTTTCTGATGCTCCGAGCGTTTTGCCCCGAGTATCGCGACCGCGTCCTTTCACTGGAGTGAAAATATCAGCATAGAAAACGTAAAACGCTGGAGATTCATTTACCAGGAACGACATCTCCTGGTTTGTCACCATGAACATCGGCCGTAGGCAGAACGCCGCGCGCAAGGTGTCCGCAATCGTTGTCGGTAGTCGCAACGGTGTATTCGACTGCTTTCGCGGTCCTCTTCGACTGATGCCCCTTCTCAACATCGTGTTCCGAGGCCGAGCCGGGGGCGCCCGAGGGACCTGAGGGAACACCTAACGGCTCGCTCGCAATACGATGGACCCGTCCCTCAGGGTTTTTTGCATTACCTCCATGGGCGGTCGTGTGGTGTCGATGATGGCGCGTTTGCTGTGGAGGTTGGGGGTCAACAACCGCAGGCGGACGCGACGAGAAGGGCACTAGGGCGGGCGAGACTGGTTTGACAAGCGATCGTGATATCGGCGCTGGAGGGGCAAACATGTCGGACTTGCCGAGCCACGCGAATGGAGACGAGTCGCATAACTCGGTCAAGCTATACGGACGATGGTAGCCCAGCCGTTTGGCGGTGGAGAATGACGGTGTCTGTTCAGTGACATCAGTTGCTGTTGCCTTATCTCTCCCCTTCGCTTTCGCTTTCGCGCGTTTCTCTATTGAGGAACGGCGTCGACGTGAGGAGGACGGATCATCGTGTGTGGGTGACTGCATGTGACTGGAGTACGATGAAGACGAAGAGACAACTGTGGAGGAGGCGGCTGAGGAGGCGGCCAAGCGGTTGGATGATGAGACAGGTGGTGATGACCTCAAGGAGCCGGCTTGGGAGGCGGGTTGAGCTGCCGGTGGGATGGGGGCGATGATGGTGGGGGAGGCAGTCGCACTAGACGCACGAGAACCGCAGAATCCGGGGGACCGCTGGGAGCGAGGAAAACCGCATGTAGCAGGGAACGGATACTCCACGGGCTCATCCCGCCTTCGCCTCGCCCTCCCCTTCCTGCGGCTAGAACTGGAACCGGGACTGGACGAGCTACGCCACGCACTAATTTCCTCAGCTTCCTCCACGGCGGTCAAGGGAACCGAGGCCGACACCAACGTCGAGGACGAGGACGACGAGAAAGGTCCAGACGATCCGGAACCTGGGTCGCTTAAGTGGTTACGAAGTGGAGGCCTGCGAGCACTATATGCGGATGTGGACAACGAAGCACTAGTGTTGTGAGGGCCGGGAGTATACTCACTTAAACCTGGGCCACTGCTCGCCAAGGACGTCGATCCCATCTTCTCGACATCGGGCTTGTTTGGGTACCAATCCAACTTATTCTCGACGAAGCGCATTGGCGGGAAATCGGGTGGGTCGCGGGGCGTAGGTAGGGCGTAATAGGCACTTACCAAGTTATCGTGCGAAGCCGACAAGGGACTGCTTGGACAGCTCGCATTGGCGCGTCGAAAATGACTATTCGACATATTCACGAAGCCCGCGGCGCGCATCTTGGGACCCAGAAGGGAACGTGCATCGACGGCGCCCTCCGAGTGCTTGACGAGCTGAGAGAGGGTAAGGGACGCACGCTGCGTCCTCGACGGAGAAGAGGCGGCGGATGAAGTATAGGGAGAAGCGGGGACAGAGGCTCCGGATGGACTGGAGGGGTACCACTGATGATGGCATGTTTCGTCTTGGTCCTGGAGCGCGCGCAGTATGCGGGAGGAGGTGAAGACGAATGCGGTCGTTCCATGCGTACTCGAGTTACGGCTCGTGTTCGCAGTAGTGGTAGAGATGATGGGCTTGCATTCATCGAGGTTGATAAAGGCGGGGCGGGGCGACTTTTGGTTCAGCGCTCTAGTACTAGTACTGTATGCAGTGGAGCCGGGGTCAGTCCAGCCGAGCAGACACAACGGATAGATGACCATGGTGGATACTGACCTATCTGAAGCAAGTGATTGTTTGTGGGTGTTCGACATTACTTGACAAGAGCAGCGGGCAAGTCCATCAGGCGGATGGTCGTGGCAGGAGCAAGAGCGGGCGGGAATAGATTCAGATGTAAGCTGGTGTATATAGTGCGCGACCCCGCCGTGGGGCAAACGATCGTGAACACAAACGGCTTCACCAGGCTGCCCAGCGCCTTCTCTCCCAGCCCCGTTAGGCAGCGCCTCCGATGACCGCGGTCCCAGAGGTCCCCTTCCGCCGTATCGAGCCGGCTGCGGGTAGCCTACCTGTAAGCGCTCTTCTAGAAACAGTACTAATGTTGCTCTACGCAACAGTTCCGAGTCCAGAGTAATGACGCTCGCAAGAAACAGTGCACGCCTAATCCTATCTTAAGGAACTCCCCTTCGGCTTGACCTGAAATACACACAGAGCACGGCGGCATCCACAAGACCGACCCTGCAAACCATGGTAAGCGAAGAGCGTTGAATCGATCATTTCAGCTACAGTAATACCCCAGTCCTTTTGACAGCCTGTCTTTATTCCTCTGCCAATAGAGGTGTTCCCTGTTATGTCCGGTATCTTATACCGGACTGCATACATAGCAAGTACTTAGGTGTTATGTGTCTTCGTAACTTTTGGGGCGGGAACCACAACAGCATGAAGAACGAGCTCTATCAGCTGGACAAGCTATTTTCGGGCCTCCACTAGTCCTTTTGACACCTGGCGTAGCTCAAAGTTTCCCGTTACAGGCAACATTTTGGCTATGTAAGCGCTGGAACAAGCATACGCTCAACTCTCTGAGTACTGCTCGTGGATGCGATATTGGAGGGTCTAATAGACTGAGGCACCAAATTTTCTCCTTGGTACCAAAGGGAAATGTGGATGCAGTATGGGTACCATGGGTGCATTTCGGGAGAACAGCAGACGACGTCAAAACCGGCCTTTTTTGACCACTGAAGCACCGCTCGCTCGAATTGCTTTGAGTGCGAGGTGCCCAAACTGGGGCATAGAACGCCCATAACGCCGTTCGATGATGCCAGATGCTCCCGGAGGCAGGGAAACGAGGTGGACAAGTAGAAATGACACTGTCAGACCCGTCACCGAGCTCGTATGCTCGCTCAGTACGCGGGGTCCCGGGCCGTCTTATCTCACAGAGCGCTTCTAGTTCTCATGGGACGTCGATACAGCAGATCTAATCATAAGCCGTCCTCAGTGTCTTATGGTCACTGTCGCTGGTGTTCCATGCTCCCGAGTGTCTATCGTCGTTTCCCATGGGCTCCCATACGCTTATCGACGAAATTGAGCCACCGAGGGCGTCCCAAGCGTACAGCTGACCGCTCTCACTCACCGACCACCACCTTCGCCCGTCGTCTGCAACACACCATGGCTAAGCCAGTGACGCTCACCATCCCCGCCACAGGCAAACAGATCACCGTGCCGACGGGGCTGTTCATCAACAACGAGTTTGTGCCCTCCGTCGACTCGACCGAGACCATCCAGTAAGTGCATCTGCGCGCTCGCGGACATTGCCTCCGCGATCGACGACGGGGGAATTGTGTCGTCTCCGCATGCTGAGCACGCCTTTGGACTCACCTGCAGGTGCATTAATCCGGCGACAGAAGAAGTGATCTGCTCGGTAGTCGCAGGTGAGCGTCTTACAGCCAATCATCATGCTCGTTCGCCGTCGCCGCTGCAGATCGCACGGCGAGGCCGCCCGAGGCCGCCCCGATCGTCCGATCCAAGATCGCGGAGGTTCGGATCCCTTCACCGCACGACATACGATGTCGGATGCACGACTACCCAACGAACGTGGGCGTCGATGGACGCGCTGCATGCTCAATGTAGCTCCTTTCGTGCTATTTTCTAGGGTCCGAGCGGGACATCGACGTCGCGGTCGCCGCAGCTCGCAAGGCGTTCAAGACCACTTGGGGCAAGAACGTGACGGGTTTTGAGCGGTCCCGACTGATCAACAAGTTGGCCGATCTCATCGAGCGCGACGCGCAGGAGCTTGCGGAGCTCGAGACCCTCAACAACGGCAAGCCAGTCAAGATCGCTCGGTATGTCGTCACGCGCCGCCCAGCGTGTTCGATGCGTGATGACTGGACCCAATTCGTTGCACAGCGACTTCGACATCGGCGACAGTGTCCAGTGCCTCCGCTACTATGCTGGCTGGGCGGACAAGATCCTCGGACAGGTCGGTACATTCCCAGTTTTGGCGAGCGCGCCAAGTGCGTAGTGACTGGGTGGTCCTGCGCGTACATTTCCTCGAGCAGTCTCTCTGCGTCTGGCAGGAGCTTTTCCAGGAGCAAACAAGAGAATAAAATTTCTCGGTCCATTCTGTGTGAAGTATCGTGAGCTGACGATCGAGATTGTCTGGGACAGGCTATTGAGGTGGACAACAAGACCAAGCTCGCGTTCACCAGACACGATCCCATCGGCGTCTGTGGTCAGATGTGTGTCTGCATACGCTGTGTTGTGTACTTTGGTTGACCACGATCTGCGGCCATAGCATTCCATGGAACTACCCCATCAACATGTGGTCAGTGACACGCATTGCTCAAAGTCAGAAGAACCGCTCAGAGTTTGACATTGACAGGTCATGGAAGGTCGCACCGGCTCTTGCCTGTGGTTGTACCATCGTCATGAAGCCCTCAGAGATCACCCCTTTGACCGCTTTGGTGAGTCTGATTGGATCAATTTGGCGCATCTCTTCCCGCATCACTCGGCCATAGGCCTTCATTCACACCTAGACCGGCGTACGCGACTGACGTTTTGAGGTCGCAATAGTCTGTGCTTCAAATTGTTCCCTAGCACCGCGATTGGTCGACACTTGCGTCACATCTCTCGGAGACCGCACTCCGAGAGATCGTCGCATCCCTTGCCTTTATGGGCGGCCTTCGTGCGGGACGTCCAAGCGTTGTACGGCCAGGTACCCGATCATCTTCGTTGTACCTTGCGCCTTCCGCGTTCATTTCACTCGTGTCTCCCGAGGCTTTCCCGTCGGGCCTCTCTTCGAACTTACCGAACACGGGGAGCTCCCCGCACGCCGGGTCCTTGTATTTTGCGTTAGAGTTTGCTTCTTCACGGCAGAAGGTCTTCTGCATGTCACAGAACTACCTGCATTCTGGATAGCGTTCCGACGTTCTGCTGCACGGTACCGGCACCCGATGCAGGATGCCTCCCCCCGCATCTCTTCCCACATATACCTCCATACTGACCAAGCACGCCCACCAGAAACTCTCTGAGCTCATCGTCGAGGCCGGGTATGGTTCTGCTTCACTCCGCACTGCGCGCAGGCTCTTATCGTTCCTCTCTCGCTGGCGACCCCCGCGGCAGGTTCCCTCCTGGCGTCGTCAACACCGTTCCATCTCTTGGCTCCGTCGGCGGCGCCGCGCTCTCGAGCCACAAGGATGTCGACAAGGTCGCGTTCACCGGGAGCACTGTGACCGGGCGGAAGATCATGGAGGCTGCCGCCAAGAGCAACCTCAAGAAGGTATGTCTCATTTGAAGGGGGAGAAGGGGCTGTCTCCGGTCAGGGAAGCTGATATCATGTTCTGCTCCGTTGTGCTAGGTCAGCTTGGAATTGGGTGGCAAGTCGCCACAGATCGTCTTCGAGTCTGCTGACTTGGACCAAGGTAAGCCGTCGCAGATGCTATCGTGCAGTCCACCAGCCCCAGAGACGGGAGACTGCCATGGGCAGTAGATTGGAATATCGATAAGGGAATAAGGGACTGACTTGCGAGTTTGACGCAGCTGCGAACTGGGTCGCGCTCGGTATCCTTTACAACACGGGCCAGGATTGCACCGCGGGCTCCCGGCTCTTTGTGCAGGACACTATCTACGAGAGATTCATCGAGGTATGCAACCTAGCGTACCTGACTTGAGCGTCGGGCGAACCCCCATGGCTAACTCATACACATTCGACGTCGTACAGATTGTGGTGCAGAAGTTCAAGCAGTTGAAGATCGGCAACGGCTTCGACGAGTCCAGCGGTGGTGGTCCTGTGGTAAGCGATACCGACTTTCCTCCGACGTCACGTCTGGGCTCGTGGCCTCGGACGGGATGCGACCATCAAGCCCAAAGGGTGCTGCAATTCAGTTCTCGCTTGGCACCTAGCGAGACATGGCACCATCAGTGCAGACTCATGAACCATTACGAGCCGTTGACGGCCTTTACAGCCGGAATTCCCGCTGACCACACTTTGGTTAATGTGCAGGTGTCGAAGATGCAGTATGACAAGATTTTCTCGTACATAGAATCCGGCAAGCAGGCCGGCGCGAGATGCGTCTTAGGAGGAGAAAAACGCCCTGGGAAGGGTTACTTCGTGGATCCTACTGGTGAGCGTTAGTGGGCCGTTCCTGTGTACACCATCGGGCTAAGCTTGAGTACGCCCAGTCTTTGTCGACGTAAAGCCGGATATGAAAATCGTTAGTTCGGAGGAAGGCTAGCCAGACCCGATCGGCTATCGCTGACCTTTGGGATTTCGGTCATAGGTTAGGGACGAGATCTTCGGGCCCGTGCTGGCCGTAGCGCGGTTTGCTACCGAGGAGGAAGCTGTCGAGCTCGCCAATGACACCAGCTACGGCCTTGGAGCCGGCTTGCATTCCAGTGCGTCGCATCTTCATCTTACGTTATCTTCTCCTTGCGCCCACGGCGCTGTATGGTCTGTGTATATTTGTACCACCCCCCTGTGCGGGTCCGTCCACGGCCATGCCTGCCCTCTGATACGCCCATCCTTGATCTACAAGGAGGCGAAGTCACATCATTAATTCCAGGGCTTGTTTCCGCTGACAGGCGCCGCAACGGGAATCCAGCCTCTGGGCAATGTCTTTGTTTCCATATAAACCTCCAGCCTCGCCTGGCTACTTTACTGACTAAAATTCCATCCACTACAGACGATGCGAGCCAATGTATGCGCGTTTCTCAGGCGCTGGAAGCGGGGACGGTGAGTCACAGACTACAGTTCGATTCGTTCAGAGGCGAATTGGAGCAAGCGATGTTGTGCAGCTCGGCAGCTCTGTCGTCTTACATCACCATGAGCTATGGCGCGGTGCAGGACAGATCGGTGTCGTCAACCGTGCTGCGTATACTGATTGCTCGCTTGCGTTCGCGCTATCTCTTCCAGGTATGGGTGAATCAGTATAACCTCCTCAACAATAATGTCCCGTTCGGTGGTAAGAAGCAGAGCGGAATCGGTGAGCTATTCTAACAGACCGTATGCGGAAGGCCCTCGCCGTTGTTGGCATCTAGCGAACAGCGGGATTGGCTAACCAAAGGCTGTGAACCTCGGGAAGGAGCGCTAATTGTGGTCCGTGCGCCTAGGTCGCGAGCTCGGAAGTTACGCCCTCGAAGAGTATACCTCTGTAAAGGCAATTCACTGGAACTACGGCGAGAAGCTCGACTGGCCGTTGTGAAGTGTTTTGACGTATCGTTTGGGATATGGACGCCGTAAGAAAGACGTGTACGAATATCGTGTTCCTCGCGCCCGTGTGGTTGCTTAGCGGCCGGGTGCCAATCGGATTTTGCGTTCTTGACGTCGTGATTTCAGCATCGCGCCTGTTCCACCTCTCACAAGCATCCGGTGCTCCGTCCTTGTCTCATGGCTCGCGAGTTCGCACCTCGGTGTGATTATTCACCGCCAACATCGTCCCCAGCTATGATCCTCTGCTCAGCCCAACACGTTCAGCAATGCTCGGTACAAAATACAATTGCAACAGTTCATTAATCTGCTGGCAACAAGCGTAGGAAAAGAGTACGGCTTGCTTTGCTCAGCCAAGGCATCAGGAGGTGGCATCGTTCGGTATCGGAAGCAATGGACGTGGTGAGTAGTATGCGATCACTACTGTGGATGTGTTCAGTGCTTGGGACAACGGACGGCCAAGACGTCAAAGATCGAAGGACTTGAACGGATGGGAGGCGCTGTTCGTAGCAGAAGACTAGCGGCGTGGCCATCATCAAAACTCCTTCCAGCGAAGCCTGTTTAAACCCTAGGATTATGGATCGTTTGCCGCACCTATGGTTGTAGGATAATGCATGCGTGCCCCTATCCCTCCATCACAGTCCTGTGCTCCTTCATACTAGCTGAGCAGTATTCGACAATGCAACATCGCGATATCACTCCATTAACCATCTAGTGCGAGCTATACGCATTTTCGATTCGACAGAAGCCCACCTCTAATTCTGGTGTACTAAGCTCTCACAATGACGGGACCTTGGAATCAGCTATGCACCCTTGCGCCGCGCATTTGCAAATTAGCCTAGAGTGGTGCTGCAAGACTGCGGGTTGGTGCGCCTGATTGGCTAGAGAAGGGGTGCTAGAGGGCAGCGTCTGGAGAGATTTCAACCAAGGGAGACTGCAGAGCTTGGATGGAGACGGGGCATCAACTTGGGGAAATGAAACGATTAGGTCGCCGCGTTTTTCACGAAGCCCACCTATACGATGCGGAGATTCGGAGAACGAATGCCTCTGTACCGGGCATTCTGAAATTGGCGAGCTGTTCAAGTCTTCTATTGCGGGTGCAGCCGCGAGAGGATGAGAGGGGGGGGTCTATACATAGGGATAAGAGGGGATGGCCTCGGAATGTAGGGATCGATACAAGCGGACTACAAATACATTGAGGACGAAAAGTTGTGACGAGACTGTCTATCCGCTACATGATATACGGGATGCCTTCTATTGGCGAAGACTAGGATGTGATATAAATATATGCTACATTGGGAAGAACAGCCATCTAGTAAGTGCAGAAGGCAATAGGGGAAAAGACGGAGAGAATGAGAAAGAGAATGGAGGAGAGAGTCAATGTCACAACGATGTCCCAAACTTAATGTCCTATTGTTCAAGAAAGGTAATCTAGTTGGCACCAGGATAGGTTTGGTCCTGGTAAGTCATATGCTATGGAGTGGTAATGCAGAGTTATAGCGCTAGTGAGTAAGGCGGACATAGTCGTGCTCGGACAATCACGTACAGGGTTCTCCGCCCATTGGCTAGCGACGTCGGCAGGGATCATTTGCCCGCTGGCTGGGTCAAAAAACACTTGCTGCTGTGGAGCGAACTGACCCATATATGCCGCGCTAGTGTACCGAGGGCATCGGCGGTGCTTCGATCAGGGCCATTACGAAAGGGTGAAAGAGCCGAGACGTACGTCTGTTGATCCCCTCCGGCCATAGTAGCTAGTTGAGCCGCCTGATAAGCGTACGTTGGATCTCCGGCGGGAACAGCATGCCCGTATGCGTTGTATGACGTCCCGACTTGCTGTCCCTGCTGCGCATAGCCTTGCGAGACAAACATATCACCTGCCTGACCCATACCACCCCCCTGCGCGAAGGCGGCTTGCTGGCTGTAGCCTTGAGGGTATGCCATCGGAACACCGGCATAGCTCTGATTTTGGCTTGCTTGTGCCCCCTGCGGAGTATATGGGCTGACCGGCGACGAGTTAGGGGAGCTGGCTTGCCAGCCCTGGGGCGCGGGATACGCTGAGCCAGCAGAATACCCCTGCACGCCTGCCTGCCATCCAAGCGGCGTCGAAGACCGTGCGAGAGTGCTGCTACCGTACCCATGGACGCGTGCATGCGGGTGGCCGGCCGGTGACGAACCGAGCTGAGACTGCGACTGCGACGGGGTGCCCGAGCGAGAGATAGAGCCGCCTGTGGACGCAGAGACGCCACGCTGCTCGCTGAGCGACACGTACGTGCACTCGATGTTCTTCTTGGTGCAGCGTTCGCAGCGCGGCATGGTGCCCGAGCACTGTAAAAGCGGCCGACCGAAATCAGGGTCAAGGACAAACATCGGGTCGGTGGCGGTGAGACGTGCGCACCTTGACTTGGCGCCGGCGGCATTCAGTGCATGCAATGGGCGTGCGCTTGCTCCGGACGATGGGTTGGAGCAGGCTCGGGTCGAAAGGGAGAGACCGACCGGCTATGGCGAGAGAAAGTCAGATCATGTGAGCGCGGACCGTGATCAATAGACGTTGCCTACAAGGGTTGCTCGACATTGCGTGCAAATAATCGCAAAAGGGTCAAGGGCGGGATGATACGAATGTGGTACGAAGACGAGTCGGGCTAGCTGTGATTAACAGATGCCTGTGACCGGAACCAGAGGCAGATGACGAAGAGGGGTGTTGGGGAAGGCAGGATGGACGACATGGATTCTTATACGCGTCTCTGAATTCGGCTGTCCGGGACACATATGAAGCTCGTCAGAGAAGGCGACAAACCCTAGAAGCTGCCGACTGAGCAGAAACTCGAGCGCGTGTGCCTGTGTACCGCACCGTACGGTCATGCTGATTTTCGTCAACGTGTAGAGAACGCAAAATCGGTAGAGCTGACCCTGTTTAGTCAAAGGAGTCCGACGGTCAGCGCAGGCAAGCTGTGCGGGATCCTACGACACGTTACGTACGGCATCGAGCTTTCTCGATCGGCACCTACTGCTCGTGAATCGGAGATGGGTTGAAATTCCAGCTGGCGTGGCGTGGCCTGCACACCAGGAGCGCGGGCCAGTCGGACTCGGTCCAAGAGCGACCATCAGGGCCGCGTCTGGAGTGATAATCAACGAGCCTCGCCTCAAGCGCGGTACCCATTCGGTGAGAAGCCAAAACCGCAGGAGACATGTTTCGCCAAAGTTGCATTGTGCAGAGCTGTTTGCAAGATGGAGTTTGTGTCGATGGGCAGATGGCGGGGTGGTTGATGTAACGATGTCGTGACGTCGCTCTGCCGCCCGTACGCGAACGCCTAACAGTACCGTCCCACCAGTATGATCCTGGGACCACGGAGAAAGTGTCAGCTCCCAGCTCACCTGGCCATCGGGCTGCCGAATCGAACCCTTTCGGCGGTCCCCACAGTCGGCTGGGTTTCGTACCTATACAATACCGCATGGGGCTAACGTTCGAACGTTGATCCGCTGCGCATTCGACCTTACACCACGCCCGGCGGAAACAGTATACATACGCTCCTATCGGACCATAAACGGAGCCGGTTAGTCCGCCACACATTCGAGTTGTACTGTGTGGACCCGCAGAATTTCGAGAATGCTACAGCAAGCTCAGACACCAGAGTGCGGCTCCTATCGTCTGTATACTTCAATTTCCAAAAATCCAACGTCTCCGCTCGGGTACCTACCGTAAAGACGTTCCTGAGCGGTCCAGTGCGTCATCAGGATTTACAGCTCGACCGACCTTAGAAGAAACCATCCGATCTTACGAAAGACGAACGTAGGCGCAGCAATCCTCAGCTGTCTATGCAACTGACACCGTCGCTCCGAAGGTGCCGAAGGCCTCACAGGATCCGAAACACGCATTCACCGTGTAGTAACTTACAGCGCGTAGAGATACAAGAGCCCCAGTCCGTTACATCGCAAGATAGTCTCGTACCTCCTCTTCTGTCAGTTTGCGGAACGTGGGCTTCACCCGCCCTGTGCCCTCGATCTTGCCAGCCGCCAAATCCGCCTCACTCGGGACAGTGACCACTCCGATTTCGATTGTCTTCTCTGTCATGTGGCCCTCAAAGCCTTCCTTAAGCGTGAGCAGTGCCGTATGGATGGCATCTTCCAAGCTGATGTCGTCGTTGTATCTGGTGGAGACGAGGCGAAGAGAACGTCAATAACAGAACGAATCCTATCAGAGACGAAAGGCGCACCGCTTTTCCAGGAACGTCTTTGCGTTGACCATGTTCTTCCCGATCGCGCTTGCTTTCCATGCCCAGAAGGAACCGGATGGATCTACTTGGTATAGACTTGGACCACGCGTAATGTCCCACCCCGCCACCAACAAAGATACGCCATACGGACGCACACCTCTGTTATGAAATTGATTGAGCATCATAATTGCTGTGGGTGCCCTTCGTCTGCAATAGGGAATATAGGACTCACCCTGACTGGGTGGCTTGCTGCATTATGTTCGCAATCTCTTGAGTAAGAATTCGCGTCGACGGGTATTCGCCGTAGATCTTCCAATACGCCTGTGCGCTCTTGCGTGCCTTGGCGACGAGGATGCGGAAATCCGGGCCCATACCGGAGTAGACGATGCCAATGTTGGGACAGATCACGGAGACCTTGTCGATCATGGAGTCGTCGATGAGAATGGAGGAGGATTTCTTCTCGGTGGCAATGACGATGCCATTGGAGGCTGCAAGCGAACTCAGCATCTGTCTCCATGGCTTCGACGCACCAGTGCGCGCACCTTTGATGCCGAGACTAGTCGTTCCGGATGAGACAGCGGCGAGAGCATGTTCTATCTGGACAAGCTTCCCGCTCGGAGAGAAGACAGTGAGGGAGTAACTAGTAGCACACCACTTGTTCAGAAGAAGGAAATGGGATACGCGGTGAACGCGCACCTGTAGGCACCTCCGTCTGCAGTAGCCATGTGTGTGATGTGCGGTGTATGTAGACAACGAGGAGCGGCGAGGAGGAGGGTGCAAGATTGCGAACCGAGCCCAGGACGCGTAATGGCAGCTCGACGCGCGTCGAATCGCCCCACGTGGCCCGCTCTCACGTGCATTCCCTTCCAGGGCACTCTGCTCGGGGCGTTCTTTCCACGTGGAACCCAATCTACAAGTCCGATCGCCACGCTCGCGTGCGCAGCACGTGGGCAGCAGCGCTGGAAAAGGGAGGATCTGCGATTTGGTCGAGTTCGTTGGATGGCGAACTGCGATGATGCTCGCGTTCTCGTCCGGACTCACCTCCCCCGGACTTCGTACGCGTGTGCCTTGCGGGTCTTTGTAGTATCTACATACCGCCCAGCCTCCTCTCACCTATTTTTCTTGGTCCGTCTTTCAAATTCCAGCTCCCTTCCGTCACCCAGAGAACATGAACCCTGATCGGCAGTCGCAGTCGGCCGGCTTGAACTGGTACATACTTGTCGTAAACCGTCCACCGTCAAGGTCGGACTGCGAACTCACCCGGCGCAGTCAACGGGATGACCTCACAACAGACGGTGGTCCGTTGGTTGTCCTTGTTGTCGATCGTCTCGCTGCGCTCGCCGACGAGGAGAAATTAGATGTCTGATTAAATTCGACGCCCCACGCCCTTTGCCAGCCATTCGTCTCACAGATTGCACAATTTTAGGCCTACCTGAACGGTGCTCTGAAACAACTCCATCAGTCTTCAGCTTTGCTACGCGAGGCAGAGGCGTCGACGACCATTATGTACTAAACTCGCAGAGGACTTCTCTCACAAAAGTTCATGGCAGCAATATAGTGTGATCACTGCGATGGTTAAGAGACTACGCAAACTACCAGCATCGTAGCTCGGTTGGCCGTATTGATCGTATGAGCTTCATAATTCGAGCTAACTCGTTGAAGCACGGCGACCGGGCTCAGAGGTGGGGTGATTGTGATCATGGTATACATTCATCTCAGAATTACAGCACAATAATACACGTCTCGACAGGTATGTCTTCTCCCATTGCTTTCTGTCCGTTACCAAGGAGTTTACTCGACCTTGAGAGGCGTGGTGCGGAGATACGGCTGCAGCTCGAACGTCAGCATCACACTCGTTCGCGATTACCATGGCGAATGAATCGTCTGCCCACCTTGTGGACGGTGAAGTTGGGGAACAGCGTCTTAGCCTCCTCGTTCGAGACTGACGGGTGGACGATGACATCGTCGCCCTTCTTCCAGTTGACGGGGGTGGTAACACGGTACTTGTCGCCGATCTGGAGAGCTGTGAGTGTCATTGCAAATGCGGGAGTCAGTGTTTTATCTCGTCCGCGGCGAGCACGGAGTAGGTAGACGCACAATCGACGACACTGTTCGATGCCGGCGTTAGACGTAAGTATTGATCAATGGTGGCATGGCAAGCTGTGTTGGACACCCACCGGATGATCTCGTCAAAGTTGCGCCCAGTAGACGCCGGGTAGGCGATGGTAAGGCGGATAACCTTCTTGGGGTCAATGATGAAGACAGTACGTATCTGATGAGACAAAGGCGTCAGTGTTGGACAGGAGTCCGCGAAACCCGCCATCATGAATGGCGTGCGGGATTACTACTTACGGTGAAAGGGAGACCCTTGGCGTCACGGTTAGTCGCATCCTGCTGGTCAAGCATATCGTATAGAGTAGAAATCTTGCGGTCGGCGTCCGCAATCTGTTGCGGTCGAGTTATCGTTTGGTCATGATCCGCTTGACGGGCAGATGCGAGCACCAATGGCTTACTATGGGGAATTGCACGTTGGTCGGCCCGAACTTGCTGCCATACTCGTTGATATCCTCGACCCATTTCTCGTGGTCACTGAGGCCATTGGCGGAGATACCGATGAGCTTCACACCGCGCTTTTCGAAGTCAGGGGTCCTGTATGCGCATACATCGTAGCGTGGATCAGTATGCATCATTCTGCCACCGACGGTCCAAATGCATGCCAGAGCGTACAGAAGTGCTCACCTCCGCGCGACCTCTGCAAGCTCTGTGGTACAGACGGGGGTGAAGTCACCGGGGTGGGAGAAGAGAATGGCCTTTCATACGTATAAGACCAAGGACGAGACGTCATCAAGCACAGACGAAGCATGCGGGGAAGAAGTCGTTATCAGATCTCCGAGACGCGCCTGGCCCATAACGGTATATGCTCACCCAGGAATCGCCAATCCACTCATGGAACTTGATGGGACCCTTGGTGGTCTCAGCCTCGAAGTCGGGCGCGATATCTCCCAGACGAAGACCCATTGCGAAAAGCTGCGTTCAAAAGGTGATGGAGAGGATGGAGAGGTGGAGAGAAGAGCCGAAGCAACTATCGTTCTCACCCATGTCCATGCTCGGCCTTAAATAGGGGGTTAAGCAGATAATGATTGCAAGTTAATGACTCCGGGGGTGGTGATAATCGCGCCTTCGGTTCACACGCTCAAAGGGCTGGTGAAAGGCTCTGGTGACGTTATTTGACTTGGCTTTGGGATGATAGTTCTTCTAATAGTCAGTTGGGCGAAGGGGTTGCTGAAGGGCGACGTTGCGACTAGCACTGGTGCTGGAGGAGGTCGACCGGAATACACAGGCACATTAACCATTGCCGAAGCGTTGCACTGTTGCAGCCACGACGATCATCTCAAAACGAAGATCTCCATGCGCGATCACGAGACTCATCACAAACCAAACGCGTCTCATATCATCGTGCCCGACAACGCGTACAAGCAGGGAACGAGGCTCCGTGGAGTGAGGGGGCTGAGAGCTTGAATCTCGACACCGGCCAGAGGGCTGCTCACTATCACTCGCCGTTTCATAACGCTGCAGGTCGAGCTTCGCGCCAAGCTTCTCATCTTGTCCCCATCGCCGATGGCACCAGATAATCCATCGGATTACCCTCTGGTCCCGGGAGCTGTGTGCCAAAGTGCTAGGTTGCGCTAAAACACACGTCCAAATGACTAGCATCGATGCAGTCATCCGAACCCAATGATTGCGCAATAAGTAGCGTACAGATGCAGGTGCAACAGCGAGGACCACGATAGCGATCCCAGGAACAGCGGACCTGGTGGGAGACTCGGGGCCGGGTAGTGCTACAAGCGACGACTATGAGAACACGGAATGCTGGGACACGAAACCATACAAAGCAATCAGTAGTACGCGACCGCGTGTAGAACACTCTGAGGATGCTTCTCTTGCTGTGCCTGAAGAATACCGTTGATCTCTTCGTCTATGTCATTTGCGTTCTCGATCTACATGGATCACGATCGCACAGGCGTTAGTTTCATTATCGCAATAGCGCCGTCTATTCGGGTTGACAGGGAACTCACCGCGGTGGCGAGATCAAGAATCGCTTTGCCTGCCAGGTGCGCCTCCTCGTGATTATCTTTGATTTCTAAGTTGATTATATGCACGGGTTTGTTGAAGTCACCGCCTCTTGCGAGCAAGTCTGGAACACCTCAATTGATCGGAAGAGAACGTCGCCTGGCGCTGCCACCCACCATCACATACTGCATCGAAGCACCTCTCCTCGCAGGTTATGACGATGTCAGCCACTGTCTTGGACTCCTGCCATCGCTCTGGTGCTAACTTGATTCGCCTATTCCTGTCAATCATTTGCAAGAGCCCGTTTGCGGTATACCTACGCCCCAGGTTGGATGTCGCGTCAACGAGGGAGGAAGAGAAAAGACCACTCACAGTCTAGCATCCTGGGATTGGAGCTCCTCATAGATATCGTTGTACGGGGTGCCGAAGGGATAGACATTGGGCTTGTCTATGGCTGGACCGGGCAACCGTACGGCCGACCCAGTGCCGGATGAGCAAACGCGGAAGCCTGCCTTGCTGAAAGGACGCACGTTCGTAACCCAAACAACCTTCCCGCATAGAAAGGCACTTACGCGAGCACATAGTGACCTTCCATAGATCGGTTCTGCATGACTGGTCGGATGCAATCCAATGCTACATACAGATACGTACGCACCTGATTACTTGCGCATACTACGCAGAATAGTGGACGCGGCTTGTAGGTCGTTGGCCGCGTCGGCTGCTCACGCGGAATACTGGACGCGCTTTGTGCTTCCTGAGTGAGTTGTTGATTTGAAACCTCATGGCCCGGGTGCTGTGGAGGAGTCGCTGTGGGATATGGAGGGTAGTTTTGAGGGACAGGTGTATAGTTTTGGGGGACAGGTGGAGGGTATCCTTGTGAGGAGGATGCCTGAAAAGAAGGTGCCTGATGCGGCAGCAGTTGTTGAGGAAGACCTTGCGAAGGCGGAGGCCCTTGAAGCGGTGGCCCGGACGGGGTGTTAGAGTGTGACCTCTGCTGCTGCAACCGAGGATCTTGACCTTGACGGGCAAGACGCGGGTCGCGAGCTCTTCTTGGGTCCATAGCAAGCAGGGCCTACAGTAAGACGCGTCAGAAAGCAAGTCGGTCTGCGTGCAAGAATCCCAAGTCTCAGCAGTATCCAGAACATTATAAGTCGTCTCCTCGACCCCGCAGGACAGTGCATTTTGCAGGTCGAGTATCCGCTTCCACTCTGTAGTCATCTCTGGCGAGTGAACAGTTTATGCTACTCACTTTAGCGGGCCAAAACCACAACGATGTCTGTTCAAGAGACGTAAGGACACGGATGGAGAGCCACAGGCTGGTGGCCGCTGTTGGTCAGGCCGGGCCGTGGGAATCGGCGCCGACTGCTCTCTAGCCCGACCCCGAGAAATTCGGAGGTGTGCTACTCATCCCCATCCCCGTCAACACGCGTGAGGTTCCTACTGCTACGGGCCTAGGACCTTCGTCCATCGACTATACAGCTCGTAGCGCGTGCAATACACTTGCATACATCACCGAATTGATCTCAGCTACGCTTGTTCGCCTTGCATAGAGCGGCGCCGACGGATGTTCGAAGTTCATGGTCAACACTGTTCAATTCTTCGTCTGCCACCACCGCGACGAGGCTGGCAGTACAGAACAGGAACTCATCTTTGAGTGGAGACAGTAAATGGAGCGCTTACGTCGTCGACATGGTGAAATCTCACTGAATAACATTAAGCTACATACATCTAACCTGAGGTCCCCATCATATGCCCCGGCCATACGCTTGTCTCTAACACAATGACTGTTGACAGTAAGTACAACGTCCTCCACTATTTGCGATTTTCTCTGCATTCCCGTCGTCGGACTATATGAGTTGTCTTACTGATCAACGTCCTAGGTCGCCTGAGCAGAACGGTCCCGATACTCGACTCGGACTTAGAACTGTAGGTGTCCCCCTGGCCGACCGTGCCGTTCAGCACTCGCTTCAGATCGAACCCGAGCTCCAATAGTCCGGGCCTTAGCTAGCAAGGTGTCCTAGTCCCTAGCTACCAACTACTCGTCAGAAGGGAGTCGAGCCCGCTCCGGCGCGTTTGCCACCCGAGAGGGACATACGTATGCTCCTCCGCGGCCCGCTGCTAGATTCCTTCGGCACGCCACCAAAGTTGTGTCCAAGCCACCGCCAAAGCAAATTCCTGCGTAATTCGGTTCGCGCATCCATGGTGCAGCAATAATGAATGTCCTTGTCCACGGCTTGTCATGCAGGCGCCGACCGGCTCGGCACCTCAGTCGAGCCCCGAGCATGGTAACGACACATCCCTCTCCTGCACCTCTAGTATCGATCGTACACGGCCCACACTCTTCTATCCGCGACGCCCCACAGCAAGCACAGGGAGCACAGGGATTTGCCAGCCCAGTCCAGGAGAGGTCAATCAGAGATCGCATACCCGATGCTCCGGTGTGTACATGCCCACAACTGTGTGCTGCGTGCGTCTCAGTTTTTGATGCACACTGCCAGAACAGCACATCCTTGGGCGAATTCGTTGCCACAGCGCTGGCGTCCTCAACTCACCAGCTCGGGTACGACAAGCCGACGAGACCGTGACACAGCCGCATGCCGACAGCATCTGCCATTGATTCCAACCGAACGGCACTGGATGGGGACATCCTCAATATAGACAATATGACCGATACGTGTACGTACACGTCCCCGCACGATGACTTTAGTTGGTTTTGACTACCTGCCCTTAGGTATATCTGCAGTTTTCCATCCAGGTCAGTGGAACGGCGGGCGTCGGGGGCACCCGTGCTCCGCGCGCTTGGCAACATAGTTGTATCCTTTGTTCCTGAGTCGCACTTTCAGAGTACAAGAGTTTGCTCGACAAGTGCAATAATCGTCATGCGCCCAGTTTTCGATGGCGATGTGTGTAAGACTTTCGAAATCCCGTATGGTCACGTGCCTGCTCATTTCGATGGAGTCCTTACACTGATCTAACCGTAGCAAAGTAATCGTTTGACAAGTTGACATCTCCTCCATACTGGCGGCTCCAGCGGCTCGCCATCCTCGTTTCAATTCGACCGGACGCATTGCGGCCACTGCCGTCCGGAGCGCGCTTTTGCCTTCGCGAAACGTTGTGCATTCGAATGATCATGGTCCTTTCTTGCCTCGAGAAATAGTCTAACACAACTTCTATCTTACAATCCTTTCCGCCCTTTCCCTAGCTCAAAGTATCTCACTCGATCCGTTCGCCCAGAATCTCTTGAGTGAGATCCGAGCACAGCCTCCAGAAGTTGTTGCGGATGGCCTCGTCCTTGGCAGCGTTGCTTTCCGTGTCCGACTTGCCATATGGTTCCGAATAGTACTTGCCCTGTACGGAAGGTCAATGGGTGCAATGCGGTGTCATGAATCCAGGTGCTTACCTGGTACTCCTTCCAGTTCGTCTGATTGATGTCCGTGCTGACCGCCGCCCATAGACTCGCCTCCGCGCCTTCTTCGGCGCTCTTGCCAGCCAATCGAGTAACCTTGTCGATCGCTACGCCGAGAACTCCATACGACTGGCCCCATGCCTTCTGGAGGTCCGTGTCGACCGCACCGGGGTGTACCGATATGGCGAGGATAGGCTGTGTCGCGTCCGTTAGCTTGCGGCGGGCGAGCTCCTGGGCGAATACGATGAGTCCAAGCTTCGTGCGCCCGTAGCTACACCACCATTTAGCACGGGTAGAACGTAGGATCGAGGAAAGGAGATGCCCTACAGCTGAGTCCCGTCCTCGTCCTTGCAAACCTCTTCCTTACAGGCGAATGTCGTTCCGGTGGGGGCGAAACGGTGCATCTCTGAGCTCTGCATCACGATGCGAACAGATGCGGGGGGAGCCTTCGCCGCCGTCTTCTGCATGAGAGGCAAAAGTCGGAGCACAATAACGTAGTGTGCAAGATTGTTGACCTGCACACCCATTGTGAGATGTCTAGTTCCAAACCCTAATGTTAGAACATTCATTCACCTCGAAGTGTCTTTCAAGGCCGTCAGACGTCATGCCGAAGGGAGCTTGTCCGATCCCAGCATTGGCAATGAGGATGTCGAGACGGTTCTCCTGCTCAACAAACTGCTTCGCCCAGCTGTCGACCCTCTTGAGCTCATGCATGTCAAGCTGGTGGTAGTGAATGGAGCCCTTGGCGCCACTCTCTTGGAGCGCCTTGTTGAGGTCTTGCACGGCGCTCTTACCATGCTCTGGGTTGGCAGAGACGAAGTGGACCTTCGCGTTGTGCTGGGCGAGAGCGGCTACGTTGTGGAAGCCAATGCCGGCGGAGCCACCAGTGACCAATGCGACGCGACCAGTGAGGTCAGGGATCTGGTCAGGCCTGAAGCGCTTGCAAAGAAGAGTTGCAGGGTTGAGTGTGTCGGGTAGGAGGGAAGACATGGTGCGGTGAGTGTACACGAGAGTTACGGTGAGACGGAGGCGGACAAGTGGAACGCGTCTTTTGAGGCTGAGGGCGATCATTGAGGCCCACCGCCCCGCTTGCCAAGGTTTATATGACCCAGCGATGACGCACAATGGCTGCTCATAGAAGGGAGAACGTCGTGGCTACAATTGGGTGTTCCCTCGCCTTATCGAGACCGGTAGTGTCTGATTGCACTGCCACCTGCCATGACTGTCGACACCGGTTGAGCTTCAAGCTGCAGCCATGGCACAGCATACGCATACATAGCGACTACATACGTCGACTACAGAGTGTATTTGAGTCCGCACGCTCGGAGCACAACGTATGTGCGGCGAGTATTACGGGTGTGTGGCCAACTGGGCCAGCACCACTAGCCTCTATCACCACGCAGTCGACACGCTCTCCGAGGACCTCTCCGGCCAAGCTGGCACACAAGTCCCAGAAATCGCGTGGTATAGATTCGTCCTTCGCCTGCCTGCTCGCTCTCTTTGTCTGGCTCGTCCTCTGGCTGGTCGAAGTATTGTCCCTGCGACACGACAATCAGCTTGCAACATATGAGATAAAAGAGCAAAATGACATGATGCCGTTCCTGGAACACTCTCCAGTTGAAATTATCGATGTCAAGCCATAATGAAGTTGATGTCCCGGATGTCGAGTTTTAGGGTGCGGTCAACAATGAAAATGGATTATAACGAACCGTTATTAACGGACACCCTCTTGGACCTCTTGTTAACACGTGTTATTTACGGTTAATTAACCGGGCGCTAAACCAAGTTCACAAGTTGTTGACCCGAGTAATAAACATCTCAGTCGACCGACAGGGTCCCTAGAACTCCGAGACACCTTGCCATTGCAAGTACTGTATATTTGACGAGGCATGACATGAAGAAGTTCGAGGGCAAGCGGGCACAAATGGGATTCGCGTTTGGCCGGTGCAAACGCGTGCCGTACACAGTAGATACAATAAGGCTTATATACGTAGCTAAATAGGGGTAGATAAGGGCGCGGGTATCCGTCGGGGGGGCGGGACCTGTGGCGCTCGTTCCGCGAGCTCGCCATCTTGACGCCAGGATTCCAACATGACATCAATGAGCTGTGTGGCGACGAATCCCGCTCTCCCTTCGAGATCTTAATCAGACCAAGCTCACTGGCGGCTTTGGCCAGCGGCCTGCATAAATTAGAGGCACCAAGCTTGCAGTTCACAGCAGCACTACTCTGGCCTACAGTAAACGCAATGAATGCGGTCTATTGTTGTTATTGAAGTCAAAAGGACGCTCAAATGGGTCCTAGTTTTGAACAATTCTTGACATGGCTATCCAGACTCGTACTTTCTAACTGTTTATTAACAGGTTATTAACTTGTCAATAATCCACGTGTTAACAATTCGGATTTGTTGCCCGCACCCTATCGAGTTTGGCCCTCTTGCCAAAACTACATACAGCAGTAGGCAGCCTCAGTGTCCTTGGCATCCTCTGTGTGGGGCAAAGTGGTTGAATTCCAGGTCGGATACACAGATTTTCGGGCTTCTGTGAGACAATCATGTGGACAATAGCAGCGCAATCATTTTGCGAACTTCGAAGACATCTTGAGGTATCCCCAGGCTCGGTATATGTCGCTGTCTGCCGAACATTTTTACATGGCCGGCTAGCTCAGTTGGTTAGAGCGTGGTGCTAATAACGTCACTGTGAAAGTGGTGCTTACGTAACGCCAAGGTCGTCGGTTCGACCCCGGCGCTGGCCATGTTTTTCTCTTTCACAACTTTCCAACTATCTCATTTTCCCCTCCTCATAGGACTGGTTCAGTATAGACCCATAGCCATGGGTGATCACAGTTCCCTCACATATTTCCAATGTGGTCTCTACCTTGCAGTCCCGCTCAGCGGCGTTTGCCGAGGGGACAACTGCATAGTTCTTCAGCCACGGAGACCCTGCTTTCCCACGGATTCAGAGTGTTGCAGTAGCGCCGGTGGCCAGTGGAGGAGAGCACCCGTATCCTCAAGACCCCGTACGACGTCGCCATGGCCAAGTCCAAGAAGTATGTCTCTGCAACTTGTTATCATGCTTGAGGGAACTCTAATAAGCGCACACTGTGTCCGCTAGCCATACCAACCACAACCAGAGCCGCAAGGCTCACCGTAATGGTATCAAGAAGCCTAAGAGCCACAGGACGCGTTCGACGAAGGGTGTATGTACCCATGATCCTCTGTCCCCTCTCCATGTTCTGACCAGTCTGGTCCAATAGGTTGACCCTAAGGTGCGTTCAATGAGCCTAAAAGTTCGGGTATGGTGAGGTCTTGATGGATGATTCGGTTTGCTAGTACCGTCGCAACAACAAATTCGCGTTGGTTGGTTCGGTGCGTCTTCCTTGCAGTCTTACGCTGTGGAGATCCTCATGTCATACGACCTTGCGCAGAGAAAAGCTCGTGCCGAGCAGAAGGCAGCATCATGATCATCCTCTCCGCCTCAGTAGTGCACCGTAGAGGATGACCCTGGAAGGCCATGCCCGGAGGGAGGGGAGCTGGCCCGAGTCTCGCGCAAGGCGACGTCGTTCCATGTAAAACACCACCACGATCATGCTGTGTATGCCATCCCCGCTATTCATAGGACCTACCGCGCAGAAATCGAAAAGACCAAAAACACTCAGCTTCTCATGTGTGTGACGGAGCCAAATCCAGTCTACCCCGCGGCTTGTTCAAGTTTGAGTGCTGGATGACAACAGAACTCGGACAACATGCTATGGATACAGTCGAGTATCAAGTACATAACCCCTTTGCAAGGACCGCCGGTGAAGGCAAGAAGGTTCATAGGGGAGTGAATTTGAGGCTCTTCCTCTGCTGCTCTATCGTGGTCATTAGTCGTTGTGCCTACACGTCTTGACGTGAGTAATCCTTGCATGTCTGGATGAAGTGCAAGACCTACGGCTGCATCTTCCGGAGGCAGCGCGCCTTTGGCCATATTATGCTTGCCGAATTTCAGCCTGTGCCTGTGTCTCTGGGGGAGCTTATCTGTCCCTTCGTGCGGTACAAGCAATGCTTCGCACTCCTTCCGAGTCGCGACGTGCCCGAGGAGGAGCGAGAAGAACTTGTGCCTGAGCACCGTCTTGATGCGCTCCAGCGCGTGCGTCGTGTACCACCCGTCGCGCTCGTTGCACGCCTCGCGGAGCGAGTCCTCGTCGTCGGCCTCGATCATCTCCTTGAGCATCGCGTCCGTGATGTCGCACAGCTGGAACGCAGCGGTCTCGGACGTGACCACCTGGCCATCGAAGACGTGCGAGCGCCGCCCGTCCATGCCGGAGAAGCGCACCTGCGCGGATTCGTTGCGCTGCTCCTGTCGGCGGGTGACCACCGAGGGGCGGACGATGGGGTGGTTGACGTTCCGGAAGTATAGGCGTTGGTAGCTTGTTCCGGGAGGAGGGTTAAACAAAGAGACAGGCGTAATGGGTACAAGGAAGCTTACAATCGGGCCTCGGGGTCCACACGAGGGTCGTATCCTAAGCGAACGTAGGTGTCTCGCCAGGGGCCGTCCTCGAAGACGTAGGAGACCAGCGGCAAGAGATATTTCGTGCTTTAGCGCGAGGGCGTGAGATGACGGTGGTGCAGCAACCGGAAAAACAACCTACTTGATGATATCTCGCACTTCCAAAGGCATGAACTGGTTGAATATGGCTGCACGCGTCCACACCGGTCGTTCTTGAAAGAGCTGCGAGCCGAGGTCAGTGTGATGCAATGATCGCTAAAGCGTTGGTCTACTACCTCTTCAAGCTTCTTCAAGATATTCTTGTCAGCTTGACCGCGTTGCTCTTCCACCGGCGCTGAGGGCTTGTCGGGCACCTGTCCCTCTGCAAGTCAGTAAACCGACGGAGGCCACCGATGGTCAGGCATACATTCTTGTCGCTGTAGGACACAGATATCGGCGCGAAGCCCTTCCAACGCATACGATTGATCAGCCGCTTCTTCTCTTCGCCAGTTTCCTTGTCCACGACAATGTCCTCAATGGACGCTGTGTTCGCCTTGTAGCTGCGCAAGCGGTCAATATGCCGCGGGAAAAGGCACCGTGGTCCACAGACGTACTTGTAGTTCTGCGGGACACCTTGTCGACTGAACAGGGGCGGGGGGAACAGCCGCAGGTTGCTCTTTGTCCTCACTGTTGTACCAGAACTGGTGCCCTCCCCGAGGAGCTGTGGGTCGATGTCCATGGCAGAAGGGTCAGCTTGTGTTGTGGTGATCGTGTAGTCCTCCTTTTCTGGAGGGATGTGGTACTTCAATATTCCCTCCACTATCCGAGCAGTGAATCAGAACCCCGACCGTTATGTGCTCAGGAACAGGCACCTACCATCCATGGCATCCATCGCGTTGCGCAACTTCGCTATCGGGTCGGCCATATCTGGCTGATACTGGAAGTCCGCCATACCTGACAGCGCAGCATTCAGTTCGCGTCACTTCAGTCAGCCTGGTCGAGCAGGGACTCACTTCTGAACCGCGCCGTCTTGGGCACAACACCCACAGCCTCCACAGTGTATTCTCCTATCGCGCCATCTCCAGGATCTCCATCCTTTCGCTTCCGCCTCCGCTTCACAACCTTGAGCACTATGTTGCTCGTATGCACCACCTCCCCGGGGATAGGATGCGCGTACGGGTTGCCTGGACGGAGACGCAGCTCGAGCAGAGACTCGACGCGGTCTCGCCCGGTCGCGCGGCGAAACGCCGCGTCTATGGCATGTTGTCCACCAAGACGCTCTATCGCGAGAGGTGCAGATGTGGGTTTGACGTAGCCTGGATACTCGACGGAGTAGAAGTGCGCTGCCGGGAGCGGGAGCTGTGGTGCGGGAGGAGGGGCGGCTTGAGCCGAGGATTCGCTGGTCTTCTCAGCTTGAGAAGGGAGCGTTGACGGTCCTGCGTTGAGGTTTGAGGGACCCGCTTGGAGTGCTGGATCGATGTCCATCGTCTGAAGGAGTGGTGAAGTGAGTACTTGAGAGCGCAGAGACGCGGGGCTCAGACGCGTCCCATCATCACGTGTGGCGCGAGTCGCTGCCTTGGATCATGGATGTAGCTGGACACACTGAATGCGAACATGTACTCGTCCATGGACGGTGATATCTCGACCCCAGCCGCAGCGGCGGAAACATCGATCGCTGAGGACCCTCTGAGCGAGATCTTCTCTGGTATCCTCGCACCTGGCTCGTCGCTCAATCCATCCTTCCTCCTCGTCCTCGATGGCGCCCTCGCAACCCTCCTCCTCGTCCTGCTCGGGCTCTTCTTCATCACGAACTACAATCCCCATCTGCTGTTCTTGAGCATCGTAGAGCTGTGCCTTTGGGCCAGCATCAAGTGGTGAGTCTTGCAAGCACACAAGTCCCGACGCCTCCTCTCGGACACCAACGCCTGACCATCGTCTCAGGTTTGTGTCTGTGCTGCGGGAAGTACGCTTACAAGAGGCTGCTCACGAAAGCCCAGATGGCCAGCCGCAGAAGACTGTCTTGAAGCCCAAGGAGGATTGAACGGCCCTCAATGCGCGCCTTCGCTGGCTCCGTCACGAACTCTGCTCGTATCCTACACGATCGTACATATCCTGCGGCATCATCCTACCGGCGCCCCCGCTCGCTCGTCTCATACCACACCTTCGTCTTCTTCGCGCTCTCCTGTGCAAGCTGGAATACTGGAGATCCGTCCGTCAGTCGCAGTCACATGGACAAACTAACCGGATGGCATGGAAGAAATGACAGAGCCTATGGGAGATAGGAGGGAGAAGCACGTACACTCTCGTTCGGTACCGTCCATGCCCTCCCGGAACTGCGCGACGGTCGCGTCTCCCCCTCGAGAGCCGCTCCCTGCCGAGGCTTGCAGGGACGCGAAGTGCTGCGCCTGGTCGATCACTTCGGGTAGTCGGGCACGGAATGTCTATGTGGAAGCATGGGGTGTGGACACGGGAAACGAAGAGTTGGGAGGATGCGGGGAGGATACGGGAATACGACGTCAGTGGATGAGAAGGGGGCAGGGAGAGTGCGCTAATGTACCTCAGTTAGGACCCGCGAGAGCTCTTCCGCGGGCTCGTCGTTCAGTCTGTACGTCGTATGCATGGATGTGGGCAAGGAATGGTATGCATGGAAGCAAGACCACGTACAAGTGCATCATCATCCTCCCGAAGCCATACCACAAGCCTCCCTGTCCAACGAGGTTGGAGAGACGCACGCTTCGCGGCTCCGCATTCAGCGCGTTGCGCACCCGCGCAGCGAAAGGCGGTGGGATTGTGAAGTCCGCGTAGTCCCTGCACAGTTCGGGGCGTTGGAGCGAAGCTCTATGAGATACACGTGACGCGCGAGCACGACTCACGAGTAGATGAGGATGTACGCCATCCAGAGAGGGATCTGGACCTTGCTCAGGGCTTTGATCTACTCCTCGCGCTGTTCAGAACTTTCTGCAGAGCGCTCCGCACGAACGCGCAAGACCCACATCTCCAGCCTTGCCGCCGTCGAGATGGCCCATGTCGGGCACGTCGACCTTGAACGTGCACTGGATCTTCTGGTTCTCGGCGAGAATGGAATCAATTGAGTAGTAGTCATCCTCCATGTTATCGTGAAGTGTGTGTGTGTGTTCTACGTAGACCGATCGAAGCAGAGACGTTAAGAGAGACGATGAGGCTGTAGGATGTGTCGGAGACCGAGGTGGCTGAAGCCTGAGGCAGTGGCAGCCGACGCGACGCGTCTCGCGCCAAACGCGACCACGCGCCAGTTTCCCACGCGTGTTCTCGCTCGACCTCGACGCCGGCTTCCGCATTCACCTTCCCACCTACACCTACACTTTCCCCCTTGCTTCATCTCTTACCGAATTACCCCTACAATGTTCTGCCGCTCCTGCATGTCCAACGTATCAGCGGCCTCCTCGTCCAGCCGCACCCGCGCGCTCGCGACGACAGCCCTGCGCCTCGCGCACACGCACGCACTACGTCACTCGTCGCTACTGACGCACTCACGGCCGTCGTCCCGCACCCCTGCGCACCACCACCAACAGGCGGGGCCCTCGTCACAGGCACGCGAGGCGTTCCACACGCGTTCCGCGGCGTTCTCGACGACGGCGCGGAGGGGGGCGGACGAGCTGCCGCGGGAGAACCTGCAGGCGATCTTCGAGCAGCAGCAGCAGCGATTCCTGAAGCTGCTGCAGGAGAAGCCGGAGGTGGAGGAGCACATCAGGGGGTTCGTGCAGCTGCTGAAGGATAACGGTGCGTCTCAGACCCGCCGCTGGTTGTCTTGGTATAGGCTGATTGGAGCATGTTGGTGGTGTGCTGTTGTGGATGATGTGGTGCGTCCGCAACGTCACTTTGCGCAACACACAGGCGTCGACGTCTCGTCGGGGCAGATGCCGAGCAAGTTGGATATGTTCCAGCTGATGATGAAGAAGGAGATACGGGAGAGCGCTACGTGCATGGCGACGACACTCCAAGAGGCGGGCATTGACCTGCGGAACCCGGTTCGTGGAGAACGCTATTAGGTTCAAGTTCCCGATAATGCTAACGGAATGCGTCTGTAGGAGATGATGCAATCGTTGATGACGATGCAGAGCATATCCAGGGGCAACAAGTGAGTTGCCCGAGAGAGACACGCTATGCCGCTGTTGTGGGGGACGCGTGTATTACTTTGCGTTCTTGGTGCTACTGTATGTTGTACTGTTCTTCTGAATAGGCTTTACGACGCTCGTCCGACTGGGACCCTGCTGTGAGATGGCACCTTGCGTTGAGCATTAGCACGCACACGATCGGCATGGAGGGCTTTCACGGAAGCGTTGGGACATCATGCATGAGTTGGGGTGCTCGGAATCGATGAAAGCGAACTCGGCAAAGGCGTGTTCACAGTCCAGTGTGGACACGCGGCCAAGATGGCAAAGTAGAAGGTTTACCGAGGTACGCAGCACGGCAATTGCCACGGTCCAGCGGATTGTCACGGGGAATTAGAATCGCCGAGCAACAGCTGATCTGAGCAGGGGGTGTCGATATGCACTGTACTCGGTCGGGTTATGTATGGGATGGGCCGCCGGACGTGGTCTGCGCCGTCTGGGCTGTGATTGGTCGAGTGAAGTTTGAGACTGGACGGTGCTGGAGGGAGGACGAGGATGACGTAGGGACAAGCGATCAATGACGCCATGGAGCAGGCGGTCTCGTCGCCGCCTTCAAATCCATCCTCGTACTCTCGCACGGGTCAGCCGCACTCTTCTCTCCGTCTCCCCTCGTCCTTACTCATCCCGCCCTACGCACATACCTCCGCACTCCTTCCTCGCCATGCCCACCGGAACAGGCGTCGTCGACGCGTTCAAGAGTACGCACCCAGCCCCCATGTGCACCGCCGTCCCTGATGGCTGACTCGCTTCTGCTCCATTCCCCATCAGATTTCATCCGCCACGGAAAGACCCACCATTCAGCTCAGAAGCAGCAGGATGACGATCCTTACCAGCTCTACACCACCCAACAGCCCGTCCAGCAGCAGCCGCGCGCCGACCAGAGTCGCCACCAACAGCAGCGCGAGGCTCAGGCGCAACAGCACCAAACACAGAAGCACGCCTCACCCAAGTACAAGGAGCAGATCGAGCAGATCGTCCAGGAAGAGCGCGAGGCCAAGAACAAGATGCCAACATACACGGGGCTCGAGAACTTCAGGCTGCTTGAGAAGATGGGCGAGTGAGTCGTCGTTTTCCGTGCCTTTCTGTATTGCTTCATTCGGACATGTGGAGTTGGAGTGGGATGATATCGTGCACGGTTGATACCTTGTGCCATCCGCCGTTCTTTCTGCGGGGGTCGCAAAGGCCGTGACGGTCGCGATTGTTTTGTATCGTTTTGTCCACATCGGAGGTGACGATGGGTTGTGTCATCACGTCGGAAATGTTTTGGCGTCTCTCTTGCATGATGGCGAGGCCCTTCCGCCTTCTCCTTCAGGATTGTCGCTGCGTGGGAGGCTCCCTTGCTTATCATCGACCTCAGCGGTGCATTCTCCAATGTGTACAAGGCCGTCGATCTCCGGACAGGGCAGAAAGTCGCAGGTGAGCCCGTCCCTCCCGTCACCCACATATACACACAACTGATCTGTCATTTAGTCAAAGTTGTCCGCAAATACGAATTGAGTGCCTCGCAGGTTAGTGTTTGATCATTCCTCTCCCCACACTCATTCATCATATATGTGTATTTCCTTTTCCTACGTCATGTCCGTAGGGGGCTGGCGAAAAGCACCTGAACCGCGAGTTTAAAAAGAAGCCGCGGGTCACGGAGGTGCATCTACTTGCTGTAATGTTTGTCCTTGACTGACGTTATTTCCTTCGTATGTGTAGAGGGCAAACATCCTTAAAGGCGTGTGCTCTTCTCTGTGCACCCTCACCTGATTCTGACGTATGACACAGAAGTGCAGATCATGCGCGGCATCAACCACCCGTCAATAGTCAAGCTATTGCAGTTCTTCGAGTCGCCAGAGCATTACTTCTTGGTTCTAGAGCGTAAGTGCCTACTACGAACTGACGTATACGCATAAACTGATGACGACTTGTGAATGGTGCAGTCATGGAAGGCGGCGAGCTCTTCCACCAGATCGTGAAGCTCACATATTTCAGTGAGAATCTCGCACGTCACGTCATTGTGCAGGTCGCACAGGGTATCCGATACCTCCACGAAGAGCGTGGTGTCGTCCACCGGGATATCAAGCCCGAAAACTTGCTCTTCGACCGCATACCCATCGTTCCCTCCAAGATACCCGCTCCGAAACAGTTCGACGAGGATAAGGAGGACGAAGGCGAATTCATACCAGGCGTCGGTGGGGGTGGAATTGGCAAGGTCAAGATTGCTGACTTTGGCCTAAGCAAGGTCGTATGGGACGAACAGACGATGACGCCATGTGGGACGGTGGGGTATACTGCACCCGAGATTGTGAAGGATGAGCGGTACAGCAAGAGCGTCGACATGTGGGCTCTTGGCTGTGTGCTCTACACCCTGCTTTGCGGCTTCCCGCCTTTCTACGACGAGAGCATCAACGTCCTCACGGAGAAGGTTGCTCGCGGGCACTACACCTTCCTCAGTCCCTGGTGGGATACCATTGGCGCATCAGGTACGTTGTTCGCGGTGTTGCGCCATCTACGTTGCTGAACGGGCTCTGCAGCTAAGGATCTCATCACACACTTGCTGTGCGTCGATCCAGCTCAGCGGTACACAATCGACGAGTTCCTGGCGCATTCATGGGTCACTGCGGTGCCTGCCCCCCCAGACCCTACTCCCCTTCCCAGCATTCCTCGCGCACCCCTCGATTCTCCGCTCCTCGCCGACGCTCGCGGTGGGGTCCGCTCCCCCGGTCTGGCCACGCTCAAGGAGGCCTTCGACATCACGTACGCCGTCCACCGTATGGAAGAGGAGGGTGCTCGCAGACGTGCCCAGAAGGGCGGTGCAAATCGCGGCTTCCTCCAGAACCTCAACGAGAGCGACGAGGATGAGGATGCCAAGCCCTTGCCGAAGCAGCCTCCCGCTGGTGCGGGAGCAAAGGTTGCGGCCAATCGTGCAGTTGTCGGCAATGCGTATGACGGTCGTGCTGGTCAGCGCGATCGTGGACGGAAAACGGGCGCCTCGAAGCCGTTTGAGCTCGACATGGATCATGCGACGCTACTCGGCAGGAGACACCGGCGCGGTGTGGATAGCAGTGTCGTCAGCGGCAGTCCGCTATCGAAGGAGGCACCAGGGAACGACCAATCTACGGAAGTACCCATGTCTCCCATGAGAGTGGACTAGTTCGGTCGACCGCGCATGTCGCCTAGCCGTTGGCTTTGATCCTCCCTCGCTATCTCACTCCACTGGGCCTCGTCATTCGTACTCGCATCGATCTGTTGCGTCTTCTTCCGTGTTCCATAGATCTTGTCCATATCCGCTGGCACCTTCCACACGCGCTCTTGTGCTGGCCATCACTCTGTAAACATACGATGTAGCTGTATATCTTATTGTGCCTTCTTGTCCTGTTAGTCCATCTGTGCCGTCTCATCATTCGTCCACTTCCCACCCTCCACACCTCTCGACCTCCCCGCTCGGATACTGAGCACCGTACGATTCGTCCCGTCTCGATGCATCATGTTCATACGCCTATCGCCAAGACACATGCATATGGAGTACGGCAATTTAGTAACATAGACTGGACGTCAGCTTGTGTATGCTTCGAGGACTCTGCGGTCGGTATCGTTCCGCGCCTTTCATTGCCTTTCTGGGAATGGTCGCCGGTCGCAAACTCTAACCACACCGACGAGACATTAGCGGTCCACTTGACTTGCCCGTGCGACCTGTGCATGTGGTGCTGAAACACCGGTGGACAAGGGCGGAACTATCCGCGTGTGGGCGGTGTATAGCGTGACGTTGGCGGGCCATCCATTGGGGTAGCTGGAGCGTGAAGCCACTGTAACTGAGGGCTAGCGGGAGTACAGGCGGGCTATCAGCCCTTCGGCTTCGGTAGCTCCGTAGACACTCACATACACCGCACGCACACCATGCGGCAACTAGACGCTGCAGGGAGCCGTGGAGTTATAGAAGTTCAAGCGTTGCGGCCCTTTTCCAGGTAATCGAGGGCTCCTCTGAACGCACTCAGAAGGCTCCTTGAAGGAGCCGTAGGAACGCGGTGTTGGGGTAGCTTACCGTAACCGATCTAGCCCAAGCACATGTACTATAAGCACACGCACCTCTATCACCACGTAGAATTCAAATAAGACTTTCTATTCGGGGAGTCGCAGTAAATAATACAATCCAGATATCGAATGGTCCCAAGGTATCATTATGTGTACATACGGTATAATGATCACCAATACGCAAGGACTCTAAATATACGTGGGAGAAAAGGGACCGCACCTGTATCGGAGCAGGCCGCTCAATCGTCGTCGCTGTCGTCGCTGCTCGAGTACTCGTCGTCGTCGCCGAAGTCGACGCTGCCACCCGCGAACTCGCTCAAGCTGATCGGCTGGCGATCCGCGATAGGCGAAACCGCCCCGGCGAGGAAGTCCTCGTCCTCGTCGAGGCCCATGCCTTCCTGCTCGGCCTCTCCCCCGCCGCCGAGGAGCTGGTCGTTCAGCTCCTCCTCGAACAGGGCCATGTCGATCTCCTCGCCGTCCGCGTCGGGCTCGTCCGTGGACATCGGCATGGTGGGTGGCGGCGGCAGCTCGATGTTGTGCGGCGGGGGCGTATACTCGTCGATTTCCTCCATGACGATCGGGCGCGAGGGTGCTGTGGGCGCTGGAGACGCAGGCGCGGCGACGGCTGGAACGATATCCCACTCGTCATCTTCCGAATCGGACGGAACCGCGGCGGCGATCGGGTTTGGTGCTGCAGACACAGGCGCTGGAGGGAGGGACACCGCTGATGATGAGTCGGGGAATGCAAATTCGACGGGTTTGGGAGGCGGCGGTGGCGACTGTTCCTTCTGTACAACTCTAGGTTTCTTCGCCGGAGGTTGCGGCCGTCGAATCTCGAGAGTTTCTGCCTCAAGCTGCACAGGACGTTCACGCTTATTAGGGCTCTTCACAAGTTTCGAGGGCGCCTGAGACGGCGGAGCATCAGGCGCTTCATTCTTGAGCTTGACAGGACCCGCCGGCGTGGATTTGAGAGGTAGGCTATGACCCGAGCGAGAAGTTGCCGACATTGGTGGGGGTATCAGTCCTGGCACTGCAGCGGGAGTTGGCGTAGGTGCAGGTGCTGATGCAGACGTCGATGTGGATTGCTGTTGCCGAGGTTTGGGAACCTTAGGCGCAGATTGCTTCGTCTTGAGGTCGGTTTTTGGCTCTGGTTTCGTCTCTGGTATCTCACCCTCGCTCTCCTCTTCCTCTTGCTTGACCGCGGCCAGTTGTGCGTGAGAGCTAGATGAGGGAGAGGAGGCTGATATCCGTGGAGGGACCGAGGGTGCAGCTGGGCGAATCACCGACCACAGTCAGATCGGCGACCTGACAGGTAGATTGCGTATGCGTATAACAACTCACGCGACTCGACATGGCGGGGAGCGAGCGTTGGTTTAGGATCGTGATGGAGGGCGACATATGAGTCTATCTTCTCGAGAATAAAGCTCTAGGGTCAATTGTCAGACAATCTGACCAAGCTGAGCGGATGCACATGAACGTACCCCATCTTCCTCGTTATGTATGAGGACGCATTCAAACTCCTTCGCACTCTTCTCTTGCCCAACAAAGTGCACACCGCTCTCGTTCTGTCATATGAGCGACGTTGAACTCCAAAGCGGTGGTTTGTGTCATCAGCCCATGACGCACCTGTTGACTCGGTCTAACCACAGTGACGTTCGACGGGCCCGTCTCGTCCTTCGATTTCTTGGTTTCGACAGTGCCCGACCTCGATGTATCGACAGACTCTGGCTTGAAATTGTCTGGGGAATCGTCGAGGTGAGCACGCACATTACATGAGTGGCGGTAGATACTAACACCGAAATGAATAGAACTCGCGCTCGACTTTCGCGTTCTTGACCGGTATTCCCTGGCGTAGTTTGAGGGTGCGCTTCAGCGTATTTCCGAGCGTAACCTGACGTCTGCCAGAAGGCATCCAGGCGTTATCCGTAGCCGTGGTCATCCCAAATGAGACGGAGGAGAGGATGGAGGGTGGGGATCAAGTCGAGGCACAAGCTCCCCTGTGCGCCAAGCCGGCAGTTAGAACGCTAACAATAGACACTACTGAAAACTAGCTGTGAAAAAAGATATATCAGCAATGCTGATAACGCTTGACTAGCCCAGTTGGTTAGAACCTTGGTGCTAATAATGTAGTTTCATAGGTGCCGCGGTTCCAACCCGCCGGTGAGCATTTCTTTTAGGATCGCAACCTTAATTTCGATGGTTCGCAAGACTCTTCCTCCTCAGGCGAACCCTCTGACAAAGGTACGACAATTGTTCTCTGTTTCACACATAGCATGCATCAGAAAAAGACTTCATTGCAGGCACGCAAAGACACTGTCATGATCTCTACACACGTCATTCAGCCACTGCGCGCAAACGTTCGGATATATTTCTACACACGGTCTTGCACTCGAACGCATTCAGACGGACGTCGGCTCGCAGAAAGAGATCTCTCTCATCCTCAGGCCACTCAGCAATGGCACATAGTCGAGCTTTACTGTCAATCCCGGCACGTATGAACCGGTCAAGGAGGTAATCAAAGGTGCAATCAGCGGCGGAAAGTAGGTACTGAAGGACGGCCCATTGGCCGCTGCCTCGAGTCTGTTGCAAGCGACTTCTCGGTATGTCGAATATCGGTGGCGGCGGTGCCTAACAATAACTTTCAAGCAAATCATGAATACGAATGCGTTGAGGAAGAACATACGTCTGACGGATTGCCGACACTCTCCGATCCGCATTGATTCACGGGAACCGGCGTGGCTGAGTGCGTCTTCTGTTTCGTACGTACTGTCTGTACATTGGCGGACTATGAGGCCAAGTATATTCCCAACAATGCGGGACAAGGAATATATACCTTCGGGCCCTGTTTGGTGTTGGTTTAGTCTGTGCGGTCGTTATACCTCCACGGGTCGACAAACGAGCTGCATTGCGTCGTTTGATGTTTCGACGATGAGCGTACAGCCTATGATAGCATTAGCGTTCGATGTGCCAATGCCCCTTGTATTTGGCAAATATAGGAAAACCAGATGCAGTCTGGTAAAAAGTACCTATGACGTCGACCCGAGCTTCGTGAGGAACAGCTAAACGTACCGCAGTGACCAGCCCGGAGATGGAAGCCTTCTCTTGCTTCGTCCAAGTCCGAGATAAGTCAAGATATTTTGGGAGCAAGTCCTTGATCAGGGTTTGGGACAGGAAGCGCGTCTATCAGCTCCGTTAGCCGCTGATGCGAGAGGTCGAACAAACCTTCGCTGCTTTGAAATCAGCTATGTCACAAGGCTCAAGGTACTGCACAAAGCCGCGAGAAATATGGACAAGAAGGTTTGGTATGTTCGGGGGACATTCCGGAGAAGAAGACTTCGATGAAGGTAGCGATGCAGGTAGCAGGGATCCATTCGGTGTAAGGGAGCACAAGGGCATTGGCGGCGAAAAAGTGGGAACGATAAGTGGTGCAATAAGCTCAAGTGATGCGGGGAAGAAAGCCTGCTTCGAATCTTCATGGGCAGACATGGGGACGAACTCTGCACCTGCGGAGGTCGGCTTGATGAACTCTGAAGGCTACTAGTACCGCAGCACCGAACCACAAAGAAGAGAAAGGCCGCCGTCTTCGAACTTGCTGTCCCCACTGTTGCCTGAGCCGTCGGCGGATGCTAATACGTATCTGCTGCGGGCAAAACCGTGTACATTGCAATCATAATATATCTGCCTCATCAGAAGAGGAAGCGCCCTGTCAGGACAGCAGGAACTGGACAGACAGGGATCGAATGGTCAACTTACAGATCTCCGCAGCACACTTCAAATTTCCCCGCAAGGAAGGGGTCGGCGGTATTTTGGAACGGATGGTCTTTTCGGTCAAAAGCGTACCATACAGAGCAAAGTACGGTACAGAACAATGGACCAGCATGCCAAACGTGCAGCAACAGGCGGCAGCATATCGTAGAGCGATCGAAGAGCTTCAAAGCCGAACGAAGAGAAATACGAAGAGGATTAAACAAAGAGCAAACCAGTATGTACGGCCTCGCTGTACACCTATCTATCAGGAGCCTACGCTTGGTGATAGTATATAAATGTCCTCGGGCCCCAGTGTCCGTGTGCAAAGTGAAATGTCCGCATCACAGCCGTATCTCACATTGAGCGTCGTCTCCGGGCGGCCTCCACGTCGACGTCGAAGCAAAGTCATAATTTAGGACGAAGCGGACACAGCGCCTGCAGACACAACGCCAGTCGAGGCGGCCACAGAGGCGCTGTCGGATGCAGATGCAGACGCAGACACCGAAGCGCTGTCAGTGGCAGACGCAGAAGCGCTGTCGGTGGCGGACGCAGAAGCGCTATCAGTGGCAGACGCGGAGGCGCTGTCGGTGACCGACGCAGACGCGGAAGCGGACGCCGATGAGTCGTCGGGCAAGAGGGGCTGGTCGTTCTGCCAGCCGTCGATGGTGATCGCGCCGCCCGCGTAAGTACCAGTGGCGACGTTGCGGGTTCCGGGCGAGTCGACAACGGTGTTGTCGGACTCTGAGGGCGCGCTGGACGAAGAGGAAGATGACGACGACGAGGATGAAGACGACGACGACGAAGACGATGAGGACGAAGAATCAGTTGGCGCGGACGAGGAGGCGCTGTCGGTCGCAGTCGCAGACGCTGCAGAAGCACTCGAGATGATGGAGCTAGCCTCAGGAGGAGTGATGGTGGTCGTGCTAGTGCTCGAGCTGCTGTTGCTGTCGCTGGATCCGGCGAGAGCAAGCTGACTGAGGAGCTGCTTCTGGGTGTCGATGAAAGCCATGGTAGGGCCAGCGAGGACAGCTTGGCTCGCACGGTCACGAACGTTGTTGTTCAGGGGCTGCCCATCGCTAGTGATGAAGAGGCCGACAGGGCCCTCGATACCCTGGGGCACGACGCACTGATCGATCGGGAACGGGATAGCAGTAGGCAGGCCACCGACGAGCATCTGGCAGAAGAGACCCTACATAGCGGTTGTTAGACAAATTGTCGCTTCATGAAAAACATCACATACATCCGTTGAGCCGTTGATAGCGGGCGACGAGAATGTGAGGAGCGTGCCGGGCTGAGCAGCACCAGTGTTCGTCACAGTCAGAGGCGGGTTCGCTGTGGACGTTGCCTTAGCGACAATTCGAATTGGAGGTTTTGATCCACACAGACCTTGAATACCAACATCACACCCGGAAATAAACTGGCCAGCGATAGCGAGAACCTCGTTAGGGAGTAGCGCAATGTCGAACGCCTGAGGGATCGAGGCGCCGTTGTTCAGGACGTTGAGGATTGTTTGGTGGCGAGCCTCGACGGTCAGAATCGAGCCGGCATCGGTGAGGAGCACGGGATCGTCGATTAGGTGTGCAGCGCCCAAGTACGCACCCACTCCAACATTCTCAACCAAACGAGCGACAGGTGCCATAGTCGCGACGTCGGTGAGCACGCTGTCGAAGTTGAACTGGCAGTTGGAGATGGGCATGTCGCCGAGGGATTGGATCGCCGACTACAACCAACAACAGGAATAAAATGAGCTGATCCGAGTCAACCTGCGAAGAGGCCTACCTCGAGGACGGTCTGATGTGTCGCCTCATCAGACTGGATGGCCGTGAACTGCTGTATGGGGACCTGCGCGTCAACGAAACCAGCGGCCGTGAAGTCCGACGGCTGGAACTTCTGAAGAGCCTGCTGGTAGAACTGCGACTCGGCTTGCTCAAGGACATCCGCAAACTCTTCAGCCGAAGTCAGATGTCGACTCGATAGGTTTGACAGACACATAGGCACTTACTTAAGACCAGGAGATTGGTAGCAGTGTCCCGTTTGGCGACGGGGGCACCGAGGACCATCAAGGGTGCGGCGAGGGCAAATAAAGAGGCGATAGAAGGCATGACGAAATATCTGGTTGCTTACTGCCGGAGTTGAAAGCCTGCTGGAGGACAATTTGGGCGGTGCCGAAACGAATGGAAGTGGTCCAGGGGCGCTACCGGGCAGCCCGAAGTGACTATGAGAGAGACGTGAGATGTCAGGACATTGCTCGCGCCCATCTGCAGCAAGGGACACGGGACACCGACCTTGAGCACCGAAAAAGAACGAAGAGAGGAGAGGGGGGACGGTGGAAAGATGGGCGAGGGGACAGAGCCCTTTAACTAGCGGGCTCCTGATTCGCCGCCGTCGTCTACCAGATTACCGGTTCGGGGAGACCGGCAGATTGCTTATCCCCATAACAACACTGGATTCTTCATATCGCATTCTCCTCGCACCATGCATTGATCATCCCGCGTTCAGCCTTCACGACCAGTCTCTCTGGTCGATCAACATGTTGTACAGGGCGAGGCTCCCGGACGCAGCAAAGTCGAATGTTTCCACCTGCGCTTACTCCTGGGACAGGGGCAGAGGGGATGTCCCACCAATGCTCGACATATCAATCCAGAATGATGACAACGAATCAGCACGTCTTCTCTAAAAGACAGGTCCCACGCGCCTCCGTTATACATTCACAGCTCTCCTCTGATCACTGTCAAGTCGCGACCGCTCCTGCAAATCATATCAGGAGAACAAAACGTCCATCCCGACGTCTCAAATTTAGTCGAGTTTTACGGTATATACATAGCACACCATGTCGACATCGCCTGACGTCGCAGCCACTCTGCCACATCGGTCAACGCCCGCAGGCACTTCATCTCTCTCACGTCTCCCTAGATGAGCTTCGCTTTCGACCGTGCTGTCCGAATGGTGGTCGTTGCTTACGAAAGGGACCCGCCTGGGACACGACTCGGATACGCCTCGAGATGTGATTGAGCTGATATTCACCGAAGGTGTCCCTCCGTCCGCTTCCACTTCAAGATCGCCCTCTGGCTGAGATCATGGTGTAGGCGTTGAGATCACAAGAGCATCGCAAAGCCAATCAGTGCTCGTGAGTCGAGACAGGGACCGACAAAGTTGCCACTCCCGCGACGGAAATGAGAGGTCCAGGACGCCTCTGGGGTCGGGCCCGATACCCCTTGCCCGAGAGCGCCGAATAGCCCAGGTGGATTAGAAGCCGAAGCAAGTGCCGTGTATATCCTGGAGCTTGTAATAGCTAGCGGTTCTGAGACGTTCGAGGGACTGCTGGACATGCGGCCGTGTTATGAGCAGACATCACTCATAACTTTGTCAAGTTCCAGTTTCAGAGCCAATCTAGTGTCCTGGTTTCCATTCTTCGAACGCCTTAGTACTCTTTACGGGGCGGCTTACTTGTGCTGAGGGCGAGTAGATTGGAAGCCTCATCGCGATTACAGCACACTTGTGGTACTACTGAACGTTATGCGGTCTTACCACATTGCCCGAGATGCCCGAGATGCCCGAGCCTATATAGTAGATGAACAAAGTGAAGACTTGATTTCCTCGTCGGGCAGGCCACCGAGAGACGAATAATGTACAATGCCGACTCCTACATTTCAGAAATACCCTCCAGTACCGCAGCTTCACAAGGCTAGAAGTCTGCCCGAGCTAGCCACCGAGATATCATAGCCTGCGCCTCCGCCGGCTTGTCGTGCGGGACGTATAGTCGCAAAACCTTCATGTCAGCACACCATTCCTTATGCCAGACAGATGTGCACGGAAAACACTTATCATATGTCCCGCGCCGCGGATCGTTGCGAACGTTAGCGGGCCCGCAGACTTGACCTCCCCTGCCTTGTGCCCGTCGACGATCCAGTCGCGGAAGTCGTGCGTGTTGTACACCGCGTTGCCCGACCACTCGAGCTTCTCGAGCCAGAGTTTGCTCGCGTACCAATTGCATTGCCAGTCGTACGTGCCCGAGTAGATGAGGACGGGTACGCCACGCTCGAGCAGGCCGGCGATGTAGAACTGCGAGGGCACGGCGTACTTGTCGAGGCGCTTATTGAATGCACGCCCGACATCATTGTCGCAGCTACTGAAATTCTTGGGCGTTTCGACGCCTAAAAGATCCCGAACCGAGGGTTGATCGAGATAGTCCTTGATGACTTCTGTCTCTCGGTAACAGAGGGTCCCTACACACGGCTGGAGAATGCTTCAGCAGGAGTGATTGCACAGCTGAGTCAAGGTGTTCAATCTCACCTTGGAGATGTCATAGACGTTGCGGTCTGAGTGCAGGATGTTGAGAAATGTCACGGGTACAAGTCAACTAAGTGCTGGTTGTCGTACCACTGTTCGCGAACACACCGCTCACTTGATCTTGACAAAAGTCTACCGCTGCTTTACATCCAATTTCATCAAATATGTCAACGCAGTTCTGCTGCATAGCCTGCTGACAGCGTGGCAGCTTCGGAGGTCACCATTGATGAGCGTCAGTGGTTCGCAATATGCATGATCGCAGTAAGTCTTACCGTTGTTTTCATCCGGACGCAGGCATTGATGGACTGGAAAGGGATATCAAACGCAGCAGTGCCGCATTCGATCTCGTATCTTCCCAGGTAAACCCTGACGATATCGGCGGTGTGATGCCTCAGCATGGCAGCTCTGGAGGAATTCGGACCACGCACATCATGATATCTACTATGCCGTTACCAATGATCACGCTAGACAAATTCAGCGTCTCTCGCCCCTCCGCGACCGCAACGGTGTTCTGGTCGTAGACATAACTCGCAAAGGCAGGTAGGTAGCGACCCTAGAAATGGTTTCTGTGAGGCACTTGAGAGATCAGGGGTCGATAAATGCACTTACGCCATACGATTCCCCCGCGAGGTGCAAGGCACGACCCTTGAACTGGGAGAATGTCTCAAAGAATATGGTGAGGAAAGCGTGAATGTTCCTGGCCGCATCTTCGGTGGTCTCAATTGTCTCGCCGTAGTCTGCGTACGAGAAGCCAACGCCGACCCTGTCCTGCGCAGTCAGCTCCGACAAGCAACGATCATTTACACAAGGCGGCTCACGGTTGATCCAGGAAGAAAATATTTGCTTCTGCGTTCCACGAGTAGGGATTCCAGGTGGTGCCGTTGCTTGAGACATTTTGCATATCAATACTGCACGGACCTCAAGGATTATGTGAGCTGACATGGACCAAAGCGCGCAGCGCAAATGTCCTCACCGAGCTCCATGAGGAGACCCATGGAAGATGAGCAACCGGGACCTTCAAGTGTGTTTCAACAAGTCAGATTTCTGACGCTTATTCTTCAGGCAATTCATACCCCCATTGATCCACATCATGACGTCGTCTGCGGAGTCTGTCAGTAAGCTGTAGAGCGGCATGATCTGCAGGAGGTGAAGTGTGCCAAGTATATTTTCCTCGGCAGCTGCCAAGATTCTTAGGCTGCAGGAATGATTTCGCAGGCTCAGCCTCCAGTGGGCCGCATAGTGCCTCATGTAATATGAAGACTGGCCTGAAGCGATACCAGGCCTTGGCGCCTGAGCATATGTAGAGAGGATTGCACGCATTTATGTCAAAACCTCTTGGGCATGTGTAGGTTGACCTTGGAGAGGAGTCGTCATTAAGTACTCACCGGTGTCTGGGTCACGTCTGCTCTCAAAGAAATAGAAGAACAAATGTTTGGCACCATAGTCCACGTCCAGGTAGCCTGTATACACACTGGGACTCAGTCAGCACAGCTGACCTTGACATTCAAATTAATGTAATTCGGCCTTGGTTGATTACTCACTTGACCGTGGGGTCGCAGAATTCGCTTTTCTTCACCCGCACTTGGTGAGATGGAAAGCGGGGATGAGCCAATGCCAGATAGCCGTTATGTGAGGTGACAGAAGCCAAAGAACGCGTCGAGAAGTTGCTCTGGGCCCGAGAGAACGTTCCGACTGAAACCGGATGAGTACTATCACGTATGCTTGCGACGTCAAAGGCAACCTGCTGGCTGCTCACCAGCCCCGCAACAGCTAGCAATATACAGATCGCCAGGGACGTGAACATGGTGGGAGACGATAAGGATGTTCGTGCGGGTCGTGTGGATGACTCTGGCTAAACATGGCTGCGCCCACGGGGACCGTCGCGTTCGCGGTCACGGATCTCCACACGCGGAAGCGCACCGGAGACTGGCGCCTACTGGGGTTACCCTCTAGCGCCCGCTTCCAGCACGTGTTCTTGTTGCCTCAAAATTTCGGCACGCACTGTACCCAAAGTTCCCGTGCAAAATCCGGCTTCTGGTCCCAGTGGACGTCTCCTTTCCTCACCTTCTCGGCTTGTATCTTTCGTATTCTCTTCTGGGTCTAGGGGTGCGACGAAAATGCTGGTTTTATATGAAACTGCGCTTGGCTACTGTCTGTTCAAGCTCACGGATGATGCCAAACTCGAGAGCAATGATGTCTGGGAGGACTTCAAGACACCCGAGAAGGCTAACAAGCTGTAAGCAATGCTTTCATGTCGTATATCTCTGTGTTGTTCATGCGCACCCCACTCGTTTTCTTCTCGCTTGCTCCCCTGTCGCGCCGGACACGAAATGCCTATACTAGTCTTAAGCTGAAGGCTATTCACCGATTCACCTCGACTGCGACTGCAGTGGAGGAGATCACTGCATTGCAGGATCAAAAGCTCAGCAAGAACTTGAAGAAGTTCTTGTCAGATGAGATTGTCGGGAAGGGGAAGAGCAAGGAGACATTGGCGGTCTTCGAGGCGGGCATTGGTATGTGAAGTTGGCATTCCTCGATTTCCGGTGTTTACCGGAGCGAGCAGGCAAGGCAATTAAGGAGAAGCTCAAAATCAAGGTCGTCTCACCAAACATGACCGAGCTCTTCCATGGGATCCGCTCGCAGCTCACCGCACTCCTGGACGGTCTTGACCCCAAGGATCTCGCAACCATGAGCTTGGGCCTCAGTCACTCACTATCACGGTGCGTCTACACACTACTGCAATGCGACCGTAATGCAACTTCTAAGCACAGTGCAGATTCAAGCTCAAGTTCTCGCCAGACAAGGTGGATACGATGATTGTACAGGCAATCGCACTCCTCGACGACCTCGACAAGGAGATCAACATTTACGCAATGCGTGTCAAGGTGAGCGTCCATTGTCATCCTCCTCAGGCCCAGGAGCCTACTAGTGCGTCCGCAGGAGTGGTACGGATGGCATTTCCCCGAGATGGCAAAAATCATTGTCGACAATATTGCCTACGCGAAGGTTATCAAGCACATGGGTAAGTGAGCTTCCTGCGAGGTTCTGGGTTGCGTCTCATTCCATGGCCGCTAGCTTTCCGGACAAATGCTGCCTCGACAGACTTCTCTGCCATCCTCCCCGAAGACCTGGAGGCCACTCTGAAAGCGGCCGCGGTCATCTCGATGGGTACCGACATCTCAGAATCCGACATGGCGCACATCAACTCGCTGTGTGACCAGGTCATTTCCATTTCCTCCTACCGTGCGCAGCTCGCGGAGTACCTCCGGAATCGCATGAACGCCATCGCACCTAACTTGACTGCGCTCGTCGGCGACCTCGTCGGCGCGCGGCTCATTAGCCACGCGGGTAGCCTGCTCAACCTCGCAAAACATCCTGCAAGTACCATCCAGATCCTTGGAGCTGAGAAGGCTCTGTTCCGTGCGCTCAAGACAAAGCACGACACGCCCAAGTACGGCCTCATCTACCATGCGTCCCTCATCGGCCAAGCACCGCCAAAACTCAAGGGCAAGGTGCGTTTTCTCCTTCCGTAGTCCGCGTCGCGTGCCCCTCATTGTGTCATGTGCTACACAGATGGCCCGTATGGTCGCCACAAAAGCCGCACTGTCGATCCGCGTCGACGCGCTGACCGACGCCGACGACAAGTCTGAGCCGCACGCGCCGTCAATAGGCATCGAGAACCGCGCGAAGCTCGAGGCGCGGCTGCATGCGCTCGAGACGCAGAGCGACGCGTCGGCTGTGCGGTCTGCGTTTGCGGGCAAGAAGCAGGCGCGGTTCCAAATGACAGGCGAGACCAAAACGTACAACACTGCGGCAGATGCTGTCGACCTTGTACCGACGCAGCGCGAGCCGATGGAGGCGGCGGTGAAGGCGGTGCTGGATGTGAAGGCGGAGAAGAAGCGGGCGAAGGAGGAGAAGAAGGCGAAGAAGCGTGCGGCGGAGAAGGAGGAGATCGCCGAGGGCATCGAGGAGGCGCAAATGGAGGTGGACGGGGAGGCGGAGAGTAAGGAGAGCAAGAAGGAGAAGAAGCGGAAGCGGAGAGAGAGTGAGGCCATGGTCGTTGATCAAGAGAAGGTAAGTCGCGTCTGTGCTAGCGCTCCGTCTGGCAGAGTGTTGACTTATTCATCTCCCCGAAGCCGGAGACTGAGGAAGAACGTAAGGCGAGGAAGAAGGCACGCAAGGCGGAAAAGGCTGCTGCAGCAGAGAATGGCGACGTGGATGGGGATGCAACGAAGAAAAAGAAGAAGAAAAAGTCGGAAGCATAGCTATTATCATTGCTATCCACTAGCTCTTGTCATATCTTGTTGTATTGCTTCCGCATCCCTTTGCTTCATCTTACACTCTTCCTTCGCAGCGATCTCCCGGTGGGAACCGATAAAGGTCTGGGTGCTGGATTATGAGCAGGCTCAATCGGTTCGGCAAAAGAGCATGAAGTCACGAGGTGCCCAACGGATGTCCTCTTGACCGACGACCGATGTCGATTCCAGTATTGGTGTATGGAGGCTTGTAACGTACCCCAAATGCATCGTCTTCGTCTCGTTCATCTGCCACTGTCACATTAAACCACTAAGCCGCGATAGCGGGCGGTGAAGAGCACCGGCGAACATTTAGAGATGCTAGCAAGGCTCACTCATACAGTACGCCTTCGCCCACCGTTGAAGTCGACAACAATACCTGCGTTCTCATACAGCGAGCAACTGCTTCCAAGATACCGAGTGGACCGTCATGCTCTCAGGCCGGGTGGGAGCCCAAACAACTGCCGTCGAGTGCTCGGTTGTCGGTAGTAGCCACCTTTGTCGATCTCAAGTTAGAAGTGAGAAGCACGATCACTGTCTCTGCTTCGGAATCCCTGCGCCATTGAGGCACGCCGGGACAAATGAAACTCAATCATGGAACGTCCTGACAGGTCGTCATATATCTATGTTTACAGGATATGGCTACACATCACGTATCGACCACGCAGACTACGGAAACACGCAAAAGAGGTAGGAGTCGGCTAGGACGCCGCTTCTATTGGGGCTGTCGAATTGGGTCGCGAACTGGCAGGGAGTTGAAAGAAGGGAATCGTGCGCAGGTTTTCTGGAGCGTGGTCATCGGCATCCAACTTCTTCCGTCCGCGATCGGTCTGCGTCAAGCGAGTGAAAAAGAGTTGAGTAACCGCATTAGAGAGGAGAGAAGATCACGCACAGCGACCGCATGGGCCATCCCACGCTCCAAGCCTTCGAGCAGGGTGCAGGCCTTGCACAGTTCGTTACTGGACATGTAGCCGCAGCGCCTGCACGTCTCTGCGAAAACACTGGATTAGAGGCAGTCGCGCGATGATAAGGAGAGCTTGGACGTACGCTGTGACTTCTGTGTCGCCTTAACATCCTCCTTGATCTCGAAAGCCTCACCTGAGTGTATAATGTCGATGATAGCGCTCGGCCGTGAGACCTCGAGATCTTTCAAGAACGCTCTGGCATGACCCCGATACGCGTCAGGGGAGTAGATGCATTCTGTTGAAAAGTAATCCAGCTTTTTGAAGTACGCGTACCTGACAGCACAAGGGTCATGAGCTTGCCATGCACAAGGAGGTAAGGGCACTCACATTACAATCTCCTTCTCATATGCATACTTGAAAGGCTTCGACCTTTTGATCGTGTCTTCTCCCTGTGTACAAATAGAAGTACAACGTCCGAGACGGGCGATGTCCCCACGCATGACTGCAAGAAGAACGGTTCGATCGTACGGAGGGGGTCACGCTGTCGTGATCGGACTCACTATTCATCAGCACAGTTTCCGCGATATCATCGGCATTGTGACCGGTCACAATATGCTCAACGTTGAGTATTGCTGCACCCCTATCGAGTGCTTGTCGCCGGAATACTCCGCAAAAGGTGCAGTTGTTTTTCTTTCCGATTTGAGTGACGATGGCATCCATAGTCCAGCCGTATAATTCGTCATATGATAAAATTTTCAAAGGCATGTCGTACTGCTGCTGATTTCGTTTCACAGTCTGAAACAGGTCCATATGAGTCTACACTTCGTCAGAGACAATGCGGTTCGCGCACCTCCAAAGAATCATCCCGGTACCCGGTGATCCCTTCGTCTATCGACAAGAGGAAAAGGTCCAAGCCGTAACTGTACCGTTCGTTCAGAGTTTTCATGACATGCGCAAGCACGGTGGAATCTGGGGGAAAGATCATGGTCAGAACGACGACCCCTGAAGCCATCCTTTTGAGAACCGCACCTTTGCCACCGGAAGCACCAATCGCTACCCGGTCTCCTGGTTTGAAAAGCTTCGCTTCCGTGACGGTGTTATGGACTTCAGTCTCAAACACATAGAAGAAGCATTCTTTGCATATTTGCTGCCCCGTCTTTGGCCGTTTCAAGATCGCACGAACGGCATGGCAGAGAGCACAGAGTCGTGGAGGCATGGTCGACGCAGTCAGGTAAGAGTTCTTTTGGCGCCCGTGCCTCAGCAGAGATCTCGCAGGAGTCAAGGATTACAATTTCCGCTTTTGGCATGGGCAGTGGTAGCTTCCCTGGCCATCAGCTTCCTTCATGCAACGCTTGCGCACGACAGAAGCGTCAACAAGCTCAAACCCTCGAATTCCACGTCATGTCCGGCGGCCCTGAGGCCATCTCAGCTGCCTAAACAAGTCATGATTGCTACCACCTTGGTGACAGTTCATGCAAAGTTGCTTCATCCTCCCGTGGACCCGGGGTGTGGTCATAATGGACCCGGATTCCACACGCATGTGTGCAACAGTCCTGGAAAAGGTCCATACACTCCAGACAAGCAGGATCAGCTTCCAACGAACCCTATACGGGAAGAACTTCTACTAATGTACCTGATCGTCTATGCTGCATGAGGAAGCACTATCACAGACACTCAATATGGTCAATTCGTGTACCAGATAGCGTAGTTCCGTTCTCAAGGGATGTAGTGCTATATGATCAGGCGAAGGTACCCTGCTCGCCTGTGCCCCGTTTTCTCTGGGTCTGCCTATTGCAACGACCTGGGAGGGCCTCTAATCGCTTGCGGTGAGCCATGCCCTTACCCCAATACCAGGGGATAATTATCGCAACATCTCAAGCTTTGTTGCCACATCTGAGACGTAGAACCTCGGACGTAACGGCTCGATACAGTGAGGGATGACCTGATCCTGTTGGGGCCACGCACGACCCTTGCGGTGCTGCAATCAGCCGCTGTCTTGCCTAAACCCCTTACGGATCCCCTACCGAACACCTGCTTTTTGTGCGGTGTCGATGGCGGGCCAGACCTGCTGTTGTGTCGAGGTAGGAAAGGCAATTGCCATAATCCATTCGAACTCCATATGACCAAGCCAGAGCCCTCCAACCCAGCGTGGTATACACGGACACCGCCAGTGCCGAACGATGTGTTGTGGGAATTGAAGCGGATCATGCACTAGGTCGATGTGCATCGCGACAAGGTGACCGCAGAACTCACGGCAAACAGCAAATGCATGCCCATTCATAGCTAACTACACAATCTGGATTGATTTGGATTACTGATACCCCTTATGCAGAGGCCTGACTATACTTTTGCACCCGCTTCATGCGAGTCGCAATCTCCCCGCGTAGCTCGCCAAGAGAAGCACGTCCACGAGAGGAAAGGTCCGCCTGTGTATCCGCCGCGACCAACACTTGGTCGATGAGCGTGTAGGGCAGCCATGTAGCGGCTGCCGTCTTCGACATGTCCTCAGTGAGTCGCGAGTCGCTCTAGAAAACGGTGACATCCGCACGTCAGCTCAAGCTCTAAGTTCGATGCGCGACCAACTCCGACGGTCGTTGCGCGCTCGATTGCAGAATGAATTCCCTCCGCAGCAACGGCACTTACCCTCCGCATCATCGACAGCGTATAGTCTAGAGCTGCCTCCAGCACCTCATACCGTAAGCAGGTACGGATGAGATATTCGGGGTGATGCTCCTGTGACACGGGACAGCGGATCCGTCAACCGTTTGCTTGTCTTGGCACTGGGTTATACTTACTTCGAGTTTATGGATGAGCCATGGCGGTGGAGGCGATGTCCTATCGAAGCTCACGATCGTTTCCAGCGCCACTTTGGAATACCTATAATCGGTCTGGGGCCCATCGTGCCGCTCGAGCGACTGCCGCAGGTATCGCCAACCACGCTCCGCCGGAGTGCCGGGCCACGACGAAACCTTGTCTGTGAGGAGCCAGTCAGACATATCCTCGCTCCTGCATATGACGGTAAACGATATCAGCACGCCTCCGAAATCACAAGCAACAGTGGAAGAATGTGCATACAGCACAGATTCCGGGTTCCTCGACAATCTGAGACACCGTCCGACAAGGTAGCTGAAGATGTCAGTCATGTCTAGATCCAGACTTCGCGCCGTTGCCATTGCGGTATTGAACCTGTTTGCTTGCGCTAGTCTCACTACGATTGAAGCCGGGGGCAACGCATATTCTGCCAAGACACGATAATGAAGTAGACAATGATTCACCGAAAGCGGAGAGAACGCACCTCCAGCCGACAACAACGTGGGGTCCCTACGAACGAGCTCGGCCCTCGCGGATAGCAAAGCGTACTCGTGTTGCATATCCTTCAAATCCACCGCCTCAGTATCGCGTTTTCCCGATGCGTACTTGCTCTCGGGAATATATTTAGACAGCCTGCGGCGCTTCCGGGGCTGAGTGAGACCGAGATGATTTATGAGGATTAGCTTAGTGACGACGACTACCATTCTCGATAAAAGCCTGCCTACCTCGTTCCCTGTCTCGGTAACAATGGGCAGCGTGATCCATTGACTTTTCGGGTCCACAAGGGCGAGTGCGTTCATCGCGACAATGTAGGCCTCCAGTTGCAACTCTACAAGCTCGGTGAATGCAGAAGCATCCCCCATCAAGGCCTCGAGCTTTCGAGCGCGCTGATACATCGTTAACGCAGCTGTCCGTCCATCAATACCGCGGAAGTTGCTGCCGGTAAGAGAACGGATACTCACCGTTTCGATAGTCCCCCCTGGAAACGTACCACGTGTAAAGGATCCTGGAGTAGAACGGCCGGATGCGCGGGTCCGCATTCCGAGCCTTGAACGCGAGTGCGTCTTCCACCTCGTCGGCCAAGCCAGCGAAATTGAGAGCCATGAGCCTGTCAACGGCGTTCTCCTCACACATCCTGTACAACAGCTGACTTATGGAGTCCCTCTTCCTGCAAGATGGCCATCAGCGATCAGCTTATTGAACACGGACAGAATTCGTGGCGTGAGTACGATCCATCTCGGACATGATACATACAGTCGTTCGTGAGGAGCGGATATGAGTGCCGCGTACGCATCCTCATACTGTCCGAGATCGGTCAACCCCTTTATCACGTTAGTCCACAAGGGCGTCGTGTCCTCGACGACACCAGGCTCAGAAAGAGCCAGTTGAGTGAAGAAGACGTCGTGATACGTGCTGATGGCGGCCTTGAACAGATCGGAGGCGTGCAGGTAGAATTCTAGCTGCGTGTCGAAGATGCGTCCGCTTGGGAGCACGTCCGCGAGAGCTTCTCGATCCTCGATCGACAGCGCAGAGTGTGGACCTGAGAAACGCAGTCAGCTGCAGCTCCCACAGAGGGGGCGCCCGTGGAGAGGAAGGGCACCGTTCACTCACCAAAGCTGCCTGCTAGAACCTCGAAAGCGGATCCCGCGTCGTCATAACGTCCTTCGTCTAACCACAAACGGCCTAAAACATACGTCACCGCAGGAGTACGTGGCAGCCATGCTAGAACCTCCCGCGCGACTTCGTAATAGCCCAGCTGACGGAGACGCTCGCAGAAAACGACCTCCAGATGCGTCGCGTAAGCAGGAGAGAGCGATTGTAAAAGACCAGTACGGTCAAGGAAGCGATGTGCGGATACGGGGAGTCCAGAAGAGAACGAGATCCCGTAAACGTTGGCTAGCCAATGGACTAGAGAGTACGTGGGCTGGAATCTAGCGCCGCGACTAGCGGAAACGTGCATGTTGCGCAATTTCGCGACAACTTCATCGTCTGCCCCCGGACCGCTCGCCTGAGTTGTCGGAGTCGCGTTGTCTCCAGCGGGCTGCCGCGCCACATAACGCAGCATGGCGACCCCGCGAAATACGACGAAAATCTCAGCGAGCAGCCCAGGGTCCCATTGGGGGAGCTCGTCCGCGAGGAAAAAAAGAAAGACCACGAGGGCAAGAGAGAACTCGTATCGCGCGTGGATGGACGTCGTTGCATATGACGCCGTAAGCGCCTTCAGCCACTCAGGGCTGATGGGGCGGGACAGGAGCTCTCCGTCGTCTTCTTCTCTCTTCACCTCTTTACCAAGCCCTCCGATGACATCGAGCACGTGACGCGCCAATTCCTGTATCGACTTGCCCGAGTCATGCTCCAGACTCCTGACGCGCCCGACAATCCAGCTTTCCAACCCTTCATCAACCTCCTCGTGGAAGTTGGAGACTCGGACTTGGTCCTGGATGATGTCGGCGTAAGGGAAGGCGATCTCTTGGCGAACAACTTCCTGTAGTCGTCCTTCTAAGGATCGCATGAGGCGCGGGCCAAGCCGAGTACGCATAGTCGAGAGAATCTTCAGAATGTCGAACTGCTTCTCCATAGGCTGAGACGAAGACAATTCTCTGCGCAGCCGTAGCGGTAGGTCTTCTCCTACTAGAGAAGCGATACGCTCACGCTCAACGATCAGGGCGCCATCCTCCGGATTGCCGCGTCCAATAGCCAAGGGCCATCGCCCGTTCCGTTCGATCTCTCGGCATCGGGCTATGAAACCTTCCCAATCTCGCTTGAAGGCATTCCAGTAGTTGGCGTCGAGAGGCGCCCCAGTCCTCGGATCCTTGGTGCGCTGGACTGTGCAGCCGACAACGGATGTGATTTGTTCTGCTACAGACGCATAGGAGAGCAGGAGTTGCGGGGGATAAGGAGGCGGGAGAGACCGGCATGCGTCGGTGTACCGAGCGATGGCGGTATGCAAGGTGAGAGGAGAGAACATCCCAGGCCGCATGATAGCCTCGACGAATTTGTCCACGGCAGAGCCTGGCGAAAGCAACAGTTCATCCAGATATGCAGGAGTGAGTTCAGCTTCCTGGGCATACGAGGCCGAGCTCCATCCACCAGTAGCAGTGGGGTCCGAGTCGTCCCATGACAGCACGAGGACCTCAACCATAGATTGGCCTTGCTTATCCCAGAGAGTGTACAATGTGTCGTCCATCACGGTGAAGTCCTGCAGATGGCAATGCACACTAGTCGCCGAGGCATCGAAGACGGTGACTGACCGTAAAGCATCTCCGTTAACAATGAAAAGTTGGAAGAAGCCACCAGAAGTCAGGGACCCCTCCGTGGGCACGAACACGAGGACATGCGGATCATCTGCATGTGATGGCGTAAAGACGCAGAGCAATTTCTGCGGCTCGGGAGGAAGAAGGACGGACGGCTTGATAGGCGTGGGCGAAGAGCGGGAAGCGACAGTGCTACGCCCCGGAGCCGTGGAGGGAAGCACATGCTCCGCAACACACCCGCCCCGAGCAGTCCACATGCGGAGATGACGGTCGCGAGATACAGTCCAGATGCTGCCAATGTCTGTCGGCTGTGGGTGGCTGGAGATAGAGACTATGTCTGAGCTGCCGGGAGGACCCGCGTGAAGGAGGGATGTGATTGAATGCAGAAAGGAACGAGCATCAGCCCTGGTCTCGCGCCATACGTCTGATTTGATCGGTATAAGCGATTCGTAAGGCGTAAAGTTTGGATGACGGTGTGAGATGTACTTACCATCCGTTGTGTCACCTCCCAGTGATTCTGCCTCTAGCCTGAGCAGCGATCCTCCTGGTAGAGAGATGACTACGCAATGGGTACTCTGCACCTGAACCAGGCCTTCGTCAACCGCAGTTTGTATTACATATTCGCGATACCATCGGCGGTTCGCGGTGGCTTGCCAGAGTGGCGCGCCCTCGCGAATGGGGATGACAATTCGGTAAAGAGATCCAAATCTGGTGGCCAACAAAACATGGAGCTCTTCAGATTGCGATAGCACGATCGAGGGGGAGGGTAGAATCGAGGCGGGGAAGTCGAAGCGCAGTGGGGGAACTTCGGACGAGAGAGATACGAGTTCTAGCATAAACCCGCCATGTGTTACGCGTAGCAGGATTGTACCTGTCAAGGGAGAGTGGAAGAGGGTTGAAAGAGAAGCATGTTCCAGAGGGTGACCAGAGTCGCTGCGAGGACTAAGATGGATTATGTCTTTCTGCGTTGAGTAGACCGGAATTGGTTGGGCGAGCGGGAAGAGGGCGGAAAGATGCGACGCAACCAGGACGCTGGGTTCCATCGAGAGACAGGGGTCGGAGAAAGAGGAGAGATCTGGACCCTTGCGTGGCTGAGTCAAACCGAGGCAGTGGAGGCTAAGACGAAGCAGTAATAGGTGCGTATGCCATGAACGCGCGAGGCACAGGCGGCCGGTACACGTCCAGGACTCGAACACCTGTGTGTCACACGGGTCACATGTTCTCACGGGTGCGTTGTCACGCCGATGCCCTTATTCCGCTCATCGCTCAGAGACCCCTCTCGTACGCGGCAACATACTTAGTAGCTTCCTATCCCACATGGGGAGCGGCGTCCTGAAATGTCTTTGTATTCTCTCGCTCGCAGCCCAATACCCTCCCGTCACGCCCCATTTCCTTCGTCGTCGTCGTCCGAATCCTGTCCATTAGTGTCTTCGAAGCGTGCATGCGGCTACAACACGAGGGCAAGCACCCTCACCGTGGCTGGCCATACTGTACCGCCCGTCTGTACTCCTCACGAATTGCCCAGGATGCAGCAGGTCTATGATTTCTTTCTCCGGCGGCACGATGGATGACGGTCCGCGTACGTATATAAGTTCGCGGGCCTTCCGCTCTCCAGACCCCCCACAGACAGTAAGCTACAACACTCAGCAGATCCTCCCTGCGTATACAATTTCCCGTTCCGTTTGTTCGCTTTTCTTGCCTGTACATTACATCCATCCATTCGTTTCACGCCACCCGCACCCAGCTGATCGCCGCGACATGGATTCCGACATGTCCACCTACGACGCCATCGTCTTCCCGGCAGACGACCGCCCACCGCACGTAGTCCCGCTCATGACGACCGCCGTCTCGCTCCCGACGGTATACGCCGAGCCGTACCGCTGTGGGCGCGCTCCCCACCCGGAGGTGTACATGGATTACATCGCCGACCAACTTGGCTCCCATGCATGGCAGTACCATGTGAGCCTCGTCTCTCAAATTGATCGCCGGACTCACTGCTAATTCACCGACCGTTTCGTTCGCGGGCTCACCATGCAGCTCGTAGAAGCTCTTGACGGCATGATCAAGAAGTTCCCGACGCCATACATCCTCTTCTATCCTGTCATCTCGCGGGACGGAATGCCGTTCCCAGTGAACAAGTGCATCCGTGAGATCCAAGGACAGAGGTACGATGAAGCGCGGGCGTGGCGAGGCAACCTCGTCGTAGCGAAGTACCGCGATACGGCATACTCTGCTATGATCGACGCCTCGATGGCGGACTTTCCCATCATCAAGAACTATTTGTCGACTCACCTCTCACCTTCATAGAGGTAAGCGAGTCGGGCGTTAGATCAATTTTCATTTCATCTCGCTGATCGTCGGGTCTTTTCCCGTCTCCGTAGAGCTTGTTTGTGTCGGTCCCCCGTTGTCGGATCCCCGTGGGCTTGGTGACAGCTTCTTTGACGCTTCTAACGCATATCAACGCTCCCTAAACAGTCCGTTCGCTGGCGTGTATATATCAGTACAGTGACCCCTAATATCGTAGTCTCGTATATATATTCACGATCAGATAACGTGCTGAGGGAGAGTGGAGACTCGCTGGAACTCGTGCATCAAAGCTCTTCGTGCTTTCTTGCCTCGGCTTGCGCCTCGCGCTCACGTTCCCTTGCCGCCTCGGCCTTCTTCGGGTCGCAATGTTCTGGGTATGGGCTTGCAGGGTCGATGGGGGGGTGAGAAACACGCCCCACCTTGTGGTACTTCTTTGACTCGGCATAGAACTTCTTCCAGTGCTGTACGCCCTGCAGACCATCGGATGTCAGTTATGAACGCAGTGAAGTACCAGAAATGAAACGCGCGAGGATTGAATCGGGGAATGCACGCGCGCGGAGGTGGGACTTGAATGGATCAAAGATAACGATCAGGTTGACGCACCCTCATCTCGCTTTCGCTTAAGCCGCGGAGGTCGTGCGTGAGGTGCGTTTTGAAACACCCGGTGCCGTATGCCCTTGCGGCATCTTTCCCAGCCCTAAAGGAAGAGAGCAATGATGAAGAGTCTCCATTAGCGCGCTAATTCCTGCAGGGAAACCGACTTTGTGCACGTCGCGTGTGAGTACGCACATCATATGATAAGAGCCGCCAGGGCCGTAGGTAGCACGGCCGGCGCTGACATCGTACACGTCCCCGTCGATCTAGATCGCACGCACTTCATCATGAGCTTCGCGGGTACACGCATGGGCACGACACATCGAAACGCAAGAATGACCCACAGCAATGTACACAGGCTTTTCAGGGTCCGAGCCGTCGAACTGGGCGAGGAGAGTCTCGGAGAACAGCCGCTGGTTCGTCTGCGTGTACCCGATCGTACATTAGCACCTAGATACCCATACAGTGCGATAGCAGAACGGTCACGCGCCCCCTCGCTCACGCTCTCGTCCGAGAGATACGAGAGAAGGGGAGTGCGGGACGTTCCGAGAAGAGAGCACACGCACAGGAATGAATTGTCTCAAGTTAGGTAGCTCCTGCTCCCACAGGAAGCTGCCGGTGAAGAACTTGCCCGCGAGGATGATGAACAGGGTCGCGTACAGAATGAACTTGAGCAGGCCGAGGCAGCCGACCTCGACCTCCTCCGTCGGGTCAGGCTCCTCAGGCCCCACCTCCTCGCCACGGGCAAGCTTCTCCTCGCGCTGCTGCTTGCGCTGCAGCCACTCCTTATGGGCCTGCTCGCGCTCGGCACGGTACTGCGCATACCTACGCGCGCCCACAAAGGGCAGGGGGTCAGTGGAAAGCATGTCACATGAAGGGCATCACGACTTTAGGACTTACGCCAGGAAGGGGCGGTTAGCTTGCTTGGTGGACACCTTCCTGTCAGGATCCACAGGGTCGTCTACGGTAGGATAGTCGTCCTTCAATGGGAAGTCCGTCCAAGGGGAAGTTGGAGCACTGCCGGGGGTTTGTGGCCCCAGGGGCTTGCCATCCGCGTCCTTCGGAAAGTCCTTCAGCTTCTCGGGCCTTCTACGTTGGGGGCGATCGCCATCCGGGTTCAGAAACCAAGACATTACGATAAGTTACAACAAATGAAGCAGGGATGTGGTACGAAAGCAAGCAGACGGTACTGGGTGGCGATGCACAGAGGTGTGTACGTGGTCCTGTTGTTAATAGTCCCACGACACGTTCGATAAGCTAGCAATGCGTCAGCGGCCACTGGCGGTTGGTGAGAACAAGGTCCGAGTCGATAGCGTGATATTTCGGCCAACAGGTATGTGTCCTTTCCATATTTGGACGTGGACGCCCTGGAGCGTCGCGTGCGGGCGCTGCACTTCAAAGAATCCTACGCCCTGTAGGTGCCTCCGCGAGCATAGCGTCTGGACACATAGCCTACCAAGACTCTAGTTGATATTTTTTCCAGCTCGGATGTTGACAACCGGCGGACGGTACCCAACGTGCACCTTCCGAATGGACCTCCAGGTCTCCATATGGTATGGTGAGCGCGGCTCGAGCTTGAGATTGTGGCGGTTGAGAGATGTCCCAACCGCATGTTCCTGCAATCATTCTCCCAGAACCCACGAGACTCCCAAAGCATCGACTTCCGCAATACTTTGCGGGGCGAGATAGCGGCATGGCGTGCCCTGGCTTGGCATGGCTGTCATTAGAAGGCCCCCACGATTCGAGAACACTTGCTCACGGACAGGCAGCATTCGCATAGCCCACGTAGCTTCGACTAGCAAACGAGATGTTCCCAGATCCACTGCACGCAACGGTTTTACAATGAGAACGAACCATGTATTAGAATGCTACTGAAGCATAATGGGACGCCATATTAATATAGCCAGTAGTAAGGTATGATAAATGTTACATTGCGTACGCAGAGAGTGAAACGAAAATGTCGAAAATATGGTGGGGATGTGTACGAGAGGGAGATGTGGATGTATGCCGGAGAATAAAATGCAAAAGTACTGAGGACCAAGCCTGGATAGAAGATGTGCCAAGCGTAGATGACGATGAGCGATGATCAGTAAACGAGGACCCCGCCTGTGGAGACGAACAGGACGTAGCGAGAATTGATTGAATGACACAGCGTGACAACTATGAGGACTGTAGTATGATGACAGATGTACGAGCTTGGATGCATGGCGAGGCATATACTGTTGCAGACTGACATGGGGCATAAGATATCAAGAGCGAGAATGAGATGCATAGGAGTGCGCCAACCGACTGGGATCGATCAACGAGTCAACCATGTCACCGGTGTTCAATCGCCGGAGGGCGCTCCTGAGTGCGCTCTTGAGTCACTGCTCTTTGCGATATCGTCACGTACGCCCCTCCAACCTCCTCCTCGCTGGCCTCCAGTCCTGGTGGTACCGTCGGTGTCGACGCGCTCGAATTCATCAAAGGGAAGTCCGCAAGAGGACCGTCATCTTCCTCAACCAACTTGATCTTGAGCGCAAGGAACCTCGGAGTCTTGATGAACTGTGGCCCATTTTAGTAGGTGATGGTGCAACAATGTAAGCAGACGTACCTTCGGGACAGAGTCCGTAGCCATAAGGCGGAAAACGTGCGTCTGAATACGTTCGTACAGACGAATCATTGTCTGCAGCTGCGTTGCATTGAAGGCGTTGGCCTGCTCCAGCTCGACACGACCTTGGAAGGTCTTGCCCGTCAAGCTCTGGATGACGTCCGAGAGGTAACCCGAGAGCTCGTTCCGAAGACCATGATCGATGTTGAGCTCGCTTTGCGAAGACGGTGCCAAGTACGTGTTGTAGATGACGAAAGCCTTCTGGATGAGAGCCTCGTGATGTTTCTCCATAGCCAGCTGACCAGGCGTGCTCTTAGCTCCTCTCCCTGCGGGATTCGCAGCGATAGCGCTAGATGTCGTGCTGAAGGACTTCTTGAAATCCTGAACGTCGAGGTAGAAGGACAGGTTCTCCTCGCAGAAGTTGCTCCGGAGGAAATCACGGAAGAGCGCACGCAGCTGTGGCTCCTCCATGATGAACTTGAGACGGTCCGTGTTGGACTCCTTGTGCGCTTTCTTCTCGGGGTCGTAACTTGCGTTCAACTTCTCCGTCATGGAGATGCGGCGATGTATCTTCGCATCAGTTGAGGCGGCACCCTCAGCGGTCGATGCGTCGACGCTGTGATCCTCCGATGTCCGCGCTGCATTCGAGACGTTCGCCGCGGAGCTGTTCGGAGATGGCCGAGCACCATCAGGCATGTCCCAACGGGCAAGTCGACGACCTTCGTCGGTGACGCGATAGATGGCCTTCGCTGTACAACGGAACTCTCCATGTTGCTACGATGAGAAGTGAGCAACGAGCAATGTCGATGGTAAAACGCGGATACGTACAGAGATGGACGAGTTCGCACCGCCAGCAGCACCACGAACGGTGAAGATGATAGCGGAGTCGTTGTTCTTTCGCTTGTCGGAAACAAGGGTGATGAGGCCGAACCGCACAAATTGCGCCGCCATCTCGGCCGCCTCTTCCCTACCGATGACGGACGTAAAGTCGCATAGCCACTCCAAAGCCGTCACGGCAGCGAAGCAGTGCTTGTGGACGACCGGGCCTTTCGCCCCCTTCTCAGACACGTCCATCAATGCTACGCCCTTCGACCGTTCGTGATACTTCTGGAACGCATCCATGGTCTCCATGTACTCAGGAGGATAGTTAGGCTGGCGACCGACGAAGCGACGAAAAAGGGCAGTGATGGCAGAGTGTGAGACGATGATCTCATCGTCGACTGACCGTCGCTCGAGATGCAGCAGCTTCATGCAGATTGGTTGAGAGGAAAAGACACGGGCGAGGTGGTCGCCATTGATGCCGTTCTTGCTCATGAACCGTTCAAGGACGTGGAGACCCTTCGGCGTCAGCACGTACACGCCACGCTCCTTGAAGAGGTTGGAGCCAGGATCCGCCGCGTTCTCAATGAGACGTGCATCCATGAACTGCTGGCACATCGCCTTGGCCATATCACGAGTCATGGAGAAGGTCGTGGTAGTCGTGGTCGTGACAATGCGAGATGGTTCTCGGGGATCTGGTCCACGATTCGATTGCGAAAATTTCAGCGACGCCAGGTTCCTCGCCGCATCGTCGCTTGTTGCAATCCATAAGGAGGGAAATCAAGGCGAAGATCAACTGGGGCACGTACGTGGTGAAAGAATTGGGGAAAGTACGGAAGTATTGCCTATTTGTGGTCAGCTCCAGAAAGGGTCGCAAACAGATCCAGCGTATCCTGGGAGGTATTGACGTTGTGTGAGCTGCGAATAAGGAGGAAAGCGAGTTGTACGCACCTTGAGGAATGGCCTGCCGCGTTTTGTCGTCTTCATCATGTGGGACGAAGTCGCCTGTGGTGCTTCTGCCGGAGGAGGCATGTTTGATTAAGGAGAAGATAGAAAGAAAGGCAAAAGAGAAAAAGGAGCCAAGCTGCAGAGACGGAGACGGAGACGGAGACGGAGGAGAGGAAGCCAAAAGGTGGATGGCGGGCGGGAGGAGGAGTCGGAGGAGATGATGAACGACGACGAGGGGCGCAGTCGGCGCCTGTGCGAAACCCGTTGACAACCCACAATTCGTCCCAATTTCCCACGTGGCTCCTCCCGGCCCAGACATGCGAAACAGGGCCGTCCCGAAAAATTCCTTCATTTAGTCTTTTTAGACATGCCGATCTCCCCGCCGGCAGCTGGCCCCGGCACTCCCAAATCTCCCGTTTGGTCCCCGCCTCCGGCCATCCCACAGCCGCCCAGGCGCAGGGCCGCCGCATTGCCCCCTTTGGGTTGTAGTCTGCTCATCCTCCGCCGTCCGGCCAGACATCGCTACCTCCAGGGTGCTCTGAGCAGTCGGGCCCGCACCTATCACCACCATCACGCAGCCGTCCATAGCTGCCCGCTGTTCTGTTTGCCATGAGGCGACCCGCGCTCCACAACTCCATTGTTCTGTCTGCCGCGTTCCCCTTCGAATCAGTCCCCATCAACTTTCAGGCAACTGATCGTCACGCCACCCGGTCGTCAGTCCGGCCCGCTTCTCCTTATGCGATACATAAGCGCCAGCGTCTAGCTATCCTTTCTCGCCCATTCCCCTCTCTTCGCCGCCAAGTTTCCGTCTTCGGTCTCGACTCGGCACGTCGTTCCAAGTATGTCAATACAACGGCGACGCCACAAAGCCCTATCAGACGCACAATAATGTGTGGGTATTGCACATATGAGCACTGAACTACAGGCATCAGATCACGCGAAATCAGTCCCAGTGTGGAAGGCGATCTGCAAGCCGCGCTCTGACTCGTTTCGTATGTTCATCCCGAAAGAGGTTCATGCAACCGGGCGAGGCGCGTATCGACGCGTTTATGCTATGGGGCGGAAGGACGTAGCGCCCGTTGTCATGTTTCAGGTGTCAAACGCTGCGACGTAACGTTTGCGGCCGGACGCTGGCAGCGACTGTCTGTAGACCACGGTGACCAGGTGTCCTTGGGGCATATACGAGGGGCCTGCGTCTACCTACGCGCCATGCGACATACGCACATAAAACCCTTCACGGCAGGGAATCCGATGTTTTCGATTGGAGAAAAGCCGATGAAATGGGGACGCAAAAGGCAACCGCCCGTCGTTTTCAATGACTTTTATCCAGAAATGCCACATATTTACGGATTGTTTGTCTCGCGCGTCCCCTTTTCAGAGACTTTTCTCCAGCTGGAAATACCTGAATCCCTGCCGTGCTTCCAGTGCGCTGACGCGTCCCGTGTGTTATATCATATCAGACATGAGTTTTACGGAGATCTCACTGACCTCCGTTCTCCGCCGCCCACAGGCTTTCTGACGACCGTGTTATCCGAGCACGCGGCCGAGTTTACGACAATGCCCTCATTTTGGCCCTGAGCACCACGCGACTACAAGCGTTATGCGACCTAGCGACGGTACGTCTAGAGGGCTCGATGTGGCCCGTTGTTCCCCACGTTGGTGCTGCCATCTCGTGTTCGTAGCCGGTGAACCTGGGGCGTCACGGGACAGGGAATAGGATATGCTTCAGGTTTCATCGCTTTTGACTCCTACCCCCACCCTGATGCTCTCCGGGTGATATAGAGGGTACTTATCCTCGTTGAGCGTTTGGACAGTACGCACCTTGTTTCTAGTCCTCAGGGCTGTGGGTACTGATCAAAGCTATAGCGCGGTCGGGAGGCTTGCGGATGTTCTGTGTCACTGTGCATCGTGCAGTACCATCTCGTGCATGGTGTTCGGCTTGCCAGCCCCTTATCATCAGATGGGCCTCGAAGTTACATAGTCGAGTCCATCCACCCGCCACATGTTTCGGAACGACCGCTTGGTTCCAGCAAGCACACCACCTAGCGCCAGTGTAGGGGGGCAGTGAGGTGCTCTGGAGCCCATGACCCGGCTTCGATGCATGGATCATCTGCATTCTGACGCCTGCTGCTCCAGCTGTCTTGGCGCATGTCGTCAATAGGAGAAGCAGCCGGTTCGAGTCGTCTGCAAGAACCTGAGGCCTGATGCCACAGCTTTCATTTACCAGGAGCCTCGCTATGATGCTTGCGGTTAACCTTGGTGCTTATTCGGCAGCAGGTCCACGGTTCTCTTCCTGCACAGCTTCAGATGCTCACCATGCGCTCCAGGAGAGGAGACGCCGTAATTCATAAGACTAAGTTATGGGGGATGTGCTCAGTAATCGCACGGAGGATGTCAAAGCCGAGCGTCCGTATTCATCTCAGTCGCCGGTCCCTACGAACGTCTTCATTAGGATCTACATATAGGACACCGGATATTTTGCGAAGAATCCATGTGAGCTTCCCTCCGTATAGGCATGCTTGAACCGTGTTGTTGATAGCAGAGGTGAACCGAACATCGAACATTCGAACTACTTCGGGTCCCACCCAGATCCGTGTCTGACTCAGGAGATAGACAGACAGTCTGACAGCAAGTACCTGAAGTCTTCTCAGTGTGCGTCAGAACTTGGAAGTTCATTGTCACCCAAACTCAGTCGACGGTTGAGTCAATGTGACAAACTGTGACAAGCCGGTTGGCAAAGGAATCATGATCGTCACCCTTGCGTCACGAGAGGTCACGGTATCTACCACGCGCGGCGCTCCGTCGCAATTGTGCTCAGTACCACCGTCGTGACGACGACGATGTCCGCAAATATCAACGTAGGCCTACTGCTCCATTGAGTCAGTCTTCAGATGTTGACAGGTTTCATACAGGATGCTTCAGCTATCCAGGCACTGCTAGACCAGCTGAAATCATCCGATGCCTGGCGCAAGGTCGCCAATCCGAACGCTGTGATTCCGGCGACCAACCCCCACGAATCTCTTAGTGAACGAGCGGTTCCCGATCAGTTGGTTATGCGCCCTCAGGATGACCATGAAGGGGCCGGATTTGAAGAAACTGATGAGAGCATGCATGTGGACACTCTTACGTCCGCGAGTTCAGATATGGAAGCTTGCTCGAAGCTACCCTCAGTCGCAGCCCTCCTTTCGCAGCTGCAGTCTTCAAACGCCCTGAACAGCGCGGTTGCAGGCACGAGCCTCCCACCAGTACCTATAGGCATATCTTCGGCGCACGCCCCCCTTAGACCCGGTCGATCCCAAAATGCCGGTCCGGATATGGCACCAGGGATTGACACGCACCAGCGAGCACCCCAAACGCCTTCCGAGAATGTGCGGGCGTGTTCATTCCAACAGGCCCTACCCCATCTCGCGCGGCTTTCCCAGGATCTAGACGTTCTCAGAATGCTGACAACTGTAAGTCGGCGCAGGATCGCGGGCCGAAGGCGACACCGCTGATCTACAGGCTGCGCACGCACCCTGTGTAGATGAAATCTGAGCAGATCGAGTTGGAGCGTCAGTTGTGGCATGAACGGCGAGAAATCCAACGGAAGCATGAAGAGAGGGTCAGAACGGCACGTACCAAGTGAGTGCCCTGGTAGCCACGCGTCGTTGGGGTCCTGCTGCTTCAGCTGCGCTCCTGTTCATGAGAGTTCTAACCTTCATGATCTTGCCTGGAAACACAGGGCGAACATCATTGGAGCGGGTCTTACACAATATGAAGCCGATGTTCGTCCAAGTGCTCAGCATCTCTGTGTTTCTAGTATCCAGGACTGACAATGCGACCCTTGGCAGGCAATGACGGACTCTTTCCGGGCAGAGCTGCGTAAATTCGACCGCGAGAGGGCGCTGCCTGCGTGGGATGGCCTAGTGACCAAGCAGCAGATCGCCCTCGAGGCACTTGGCGTACCCGCGATGTTCCCTTCGACGGAGGTTACGGATCGAGAGGTACGGGCGCTCTATGGCATTCCATTGATGATGCTGATGTGGAACGCTACCACCCAGCGTCAACAGAAGATCATGCAGGTGTTGGGTGGGATTATTGGAAGCGAAGGAAGCGATCCCCCACGCGTGGCTGCTGGCCGTGATAGATAACTGACAGGGGTGCATTGCGCTGCACTGCGCTTGGTAGGAATACCAGCCCTACATCCTTGGTTCAGCACAGCTCGGATTGGGTGCGAGCTACATCCCGAATACGAATATTGTAGGGTAGCCTGTCATTTGGTGACGCACCGGTGTCCAGTCAGCTCAGCTCCACTCAATGGACATTATGTTAATTTATGTACCGAAGCAGTCTGCCCCAATCTGGTCGAGGTCGCGGCGCCAGAGATTCTTCTCACTGTTATTATCCTGGTCAATTCAACGGACATTCAGTTCTGCGGAACGATGAAGTCTCGCCAAGTGTTGTTGTTGCCAGTACCCGCTACGCTGCGTGAGCAGGGTAGACGAAGATCGGGGTACAGGGCCATATAGGTGCTTTTGGACTTACAGCTGTTTTCAACCGGTAGGCCCCTGCGCGGCTTTTTACACACACCGTCGGACCATAGGATTCAAGTCTCGAGGTAACTCAGCACGTTAGCCGCACCCATGCCGAACTTAGCCTGGACTCGGACTTCGGTTGTCCCGCTGAACCCTGGTTCGGGCCGCCCTTGTCGAGCTCCGGCTGAAAAAGTTGTGCAAGGGTCTATCGTTCTGAAAACAGCTGTAACTTCGTTCTTTGATGGAGACAACACGACTCAACGTTAGACTTAACTAAGTAAGCAAGACGTCCCCTGTGGCCCATATGCTATCTCGGGATCTTGTTCCTATCCGCGTTAGATCCCTCGTGAAAAGCCTGTATATAACGGATCTGAACAACTCTAGAGGCTAAAGCTAAGCTATAGTAGACTATCCGGATTTGGAACAGGGGAATGGGCGCGTAAGCCCCGCTCGGGCTCCTCTGCTAGGCGTAGCTTCATAACTTGTAACTGCGGCATGCTACCATCAGTGTTCGGTCGCGTATGGTGAGCTATCGGCGATTTCAGGCTACATGTACGTACATAGTGAGCAGGAGTCGCGGGCGCGAGGTCGCGTGGGTGAGATAATTAAATTGGTGGCAAAGGAAGCAATAAGCGAGATCAATTGGCAACAGCTGATCATCCCAGGGGCTGGCCTCTGCAGCCTGCCGCGCTGAGAGCCCGACTGTTCAGAACGCCTCGCGGGTCTGGTCGACTGATACTTCTTCCGCCTATGCGGGCTCAGCCATCGCTCTTTTCTTTCATTCTGCTCATGCACAACGCGTGCAGCGTCGGCTCCTGCGTTCCCCGCCCTGCCTCCCGCCTCAAATAGAGCCCGAAGCCCGATCACCATGCCCTACGTCGACCTCGTGTCCTCTGACGACTATGCGTCGGTATGGTACACGACCAACTCTGCTTCGCTCAACGTCAGCGGCTTCGATCCCGAGAAGCCGACTCTGGTTCTGCTCCATTCCCTATTTCTCGACAACACTTGGCTCCATCCACAAATGGACGATCCGCGCCTGAACGCCAACTTCAACATCATCACGTTCGACATACGCACCGCCGGCAAGTCCACGTTCAGACCGACAGGGCGTTTTGACCTCTGGGTGACGGCGGCCGACTTGGCGCATTGCTTCTACGTGAGTTCCCATGTCAGACTGGGAGAAGATCGCCCTCGAGGTTGATCATGGCGAGAGCAGCACCTTCACCTTCCCCCTGCACACATCTTTGCTCCCGAGCTGTTCTCGTGGACGGCACTGCGTTTCGCTGCCCTGTGAGTATCTGTCATGCTGGTCATTGTGGGTCCCATCTAATGTGCTTGACAGTTTTCCGGAACTGTGCTTGAGTTTGACGCTCTGTAATGTGACCCCACAAACAGAGTACGTGTCTGATCTCCTCCCTATCACCGCGGATCCTCACACGGGAGATCCAGATTGAAGTCAATATTCGATGCATTCGAGGAGTTGTGCCATTTGTGGTGTTACGCGGAGGATTTGGAGTCATTTGAGACGGCGTGTAAGGAACTCGTGAACTGTTATGCCATAGTGAGTCCAACAGTGAACCGGTCGCATTCCTGGATTTCGGATGATCGTACGTCCATGGCCAGGATGCACATCCAGATATGGTTGACGAGGTGCGTATCATGGCTTGGCTGATTCACATAGAAGAGTTGTGACAACTCCTCGTATGCCGCAATAGCTCATTGCCTTCTGGGCCGTAAACTACCCCCCTTTCCGAAGAACACGTGTGATCATGAACGCGAACCTTGTACTAAACGTAGGTGCAGCATCAGGGTCGATGCGCTAGACGACTGATATTCTTTGACTTTGACAGAGAACTCCGATGACGGAGGAGGAGCTAGCGAACATCCGATGTCCAACACTGATAATCCAGGTCTATAGATGTTCTTATGTTTCAAGACGTCCGCTAACCGGTCACCTAGGCTGAACGCAGTCAGTCACATCCAATGGAGTACGCACAACAGCTGCGACAGGCACTGGTCAACGTACCAAATGGCGCACAGCTTTTCACCGTCAAGGGTGAGCACCACATGTTCCTTGCCAGGCTTCCCACTCCTTCCTGACTCTTTCCCTGTGTACGGCCATAGCAACCCACGGTTACCTCTGCCTTCTCTCGTCATCCATAGTCAACCAAGTTCTGAATAAGTTCCTGACTCGCCAACCCCCCGCGAGAAGCGACCTCGAGCCGCCTGAGATCCCCCTCCCGCAGCGCATGAGGATGGCGCTTGAACAGCTCTCCGAGTACACGGACGACCCGAGCATAGCAGAGCGCGACCCTCATTCTCCTCTCTCGTTTTGCTGTGTGACGGAAGAAGTACGCAAGAGCCAGGAAGAGCTTAACCGGATCTATTCGGAAGGGGAGAGCTCTGCTCTGTCTCCCCTGGCGCCAGATGGGCGCCCTCTGCGCAGGTACGTGCTCGTATTCCTCCCGCTGACGCGTACGTAAGTGGATGTGCTGTCGTCGGACCTCATGCCGCTTCTGGCGATGCCACACCCCTCCGGCAGAATGTGAATGATTTCAAGACGCTGATGTCCCCACCCGCTCGCTGCTTGCAGATACTCGGAGCGCAAGGACGAACACTGGCTCGAATCAAGCAACGACGGTTTTTCTTATACCAGTACGTTACACTCCCACCTGAGTGCAAGGGCGGTTTCCGTGACGATCGCTCACTTGTGTGACCCACTATCGTACGCATGGGTTTCCAGACATCAAGCAGATGTCGGACCGGCTGGGTGACCAGTCGAAGGACAAGAAGAAACCCGGTCGCCGCCAACAGCTCCCCATAGAGCAAGAGACCCTCCTCCACATGCCCTCGGAGCCAGTCACGCAAGAGGTCCAGCAGGTCGCGCGCATTCGCCGCGCGACAGTCCTCCCACAGAGTACTGCAGACAAGCACGTCATCAAGGGCTCGATGGCGAAAGTCATTGCGTCTGGCACAGCGACAAGTTTGCAGCGTCGGCTCCTCCGGTAGCCCTTATTCTGGTGGACCCCGCCGTTTCGCTGCTGGTCGAGGGTCTCACGGTACATACAAGCGGTTACTTATTGCCACCAGACAGTGTTGTTTTGGACAACAACCCAGGCACGCACTCGTTTCCCGCCTCCCCCCCTTCGCCTCCCGCATCTTGCTTGCCCATCTTGACCTGGGCATCCTATCATTTACTTCACTGGCACCCCCTCCGCCGCCATGATCTCAAAAGGAGTACTGTGCGGGCCGCGGGGCGGAGTCCCCTGCATTATCCCACATTCCAATTCATCACGCTATATCTACTACATACATACCTACGCTAACGCTTCATCTTGTCACGATACCTGTAGACTTGCGCGGGGCGCCCCGACGGCCTATAGAGACGGTGGCCGCCCCATATTCGGTACATATAACCCCCCTCCCAATACCGTCCACTGCTAGCCTCATTCGCTGCCACGGGTTCTTGACCATCTACATCGAGAGAATAGTGTTGCCATATACCACACGTCTCCCACAATGTCATGTATACTCTTGGATCCTCACACTCGAAGTCTGCCGCCATAGCGAAGCATTGTACGCAAGATGAGCGGATACAACGCAGAAGTGGACCAGCAAGCATATTGCCTTCGCGAGGGGCTCTGATACGTTCTACATGCTTTGCATTATTCGCATTGTTTCCTGCTTCTGCATGATATGCCGCCTACTTATATGCGCCACCGTAGGTAGTGTTGAATCTACGAAGGCAATCGTCTAAGCATTGTCTATCTATTGCACTCAATTTATGAACCGATATTTAAGCGACGCCGAAAACCCAATACAAGGTCCGTAGCAAAGCGATCAGGGTGCCTCATGGCCGTCACCGCGTCTATGCCGCTCAGCACGACACCAATAGAGAGAGGGGAAAATGGAGAGGAACCACTGATGCCCGATGATGTGTGGAAGAGTCCATGTCCGCATCACGATGTGCGTATCTCCGCCCACCAACCCAGACTTGTGCTTCCCGCCTCTGAGCTCTCACAGGCTACCCTCGATCATCTTCGCCTTGTAGTACCGCACCATCTCCTCTAGGCCCATGCGGACCGTCCAGCGCGGCTGCCAGTCCAGGACCTGCTTCGCGCGCGTCGTGTCCGGCCGGCGCTTCTGCGGGTCGTCTGCGGGCATAGGCTTGTAGACGATGTTCACGCGGCACACGGGCTCAACGCCGTCCTCGCGCTGGACCTTCTCGACGATCTCGCGGACGAGCTCGGCGAAGTCGCCGATGGTGAACTCGTCGCCGTTGCCGAGGTTCACGGGCCGGGTCTCATCCGAGTTCATGAGCGCGATGAGGCCGTCGACGAGGTCGTGGATGTACTGGAAGGAGCGCGTCTGCTTGCCGTCGCCGTAGACGGTCATGTCCTCGCCGCGGAGGGCCTGGACGATGAAGTTGGAGACGACGCGACCGTCGAAGGGGTTCACTTGGAAGCAGGTCAGTCGCTAGCGACTATAGCTGTAACATTGGTGACTTACTGCGGGGGCCTGTAGCGAAAGAACCATTCAATTAATGCCTTTGAACTAGATGGGACTGGGAACGTACCGTAGGTGTTGAAGATACGGGCCACACGAATGTCGACGCCGTCTTGACGGTGGAAACCGTACGCCAAAGTTTCGGCGACACGCTTACCTTCGTCATAGCACGCACGGGGACCAATGGGGTTGACATGTCCCCAACTGCAACGAAATTAGGAACGCAGTGGGGTAATGGATCTAATACACTTACTAGTCCTCGTGTTGCGGGTGTACCTCGGGGTCACCATACACCTCTGAGCGCATATACCGTCAGTGAAGCAAGATGAAACGGGACAGCTTTACATACCAGATGTTGAGGAGATCAGGAAGCGCGCCTTGGTACGCTTTGCAAGACCAAGCATGTTCAGCGTGCCCATGAACGACGTCTTGATCGTCTTGACAGCGTTGAACTGGTAGTGGGGTGGGGAGGCTGGGCACGCAAGATGGTAGATCTCTGTCCGTCATTGCCCGTTAGCACTTGTGCTCCGCAATGGTTCATATGAGGTAGACGCACGGTCACACTCAATCATGAACGGCTCGACAACGTCGTGACGAACCATCTCGAAGTTGGGATGGCCGACCCAGTGGCTTACGGTCGTTTTGGAACCCGTGAAGAAATTGTCAAGGACAGTGACTTCATGACCGAGGATCATGAGGCGGTCAACCAAGTGAGAGCCGACGAAGCCAGCACCGCCCGTGACGAGGATACGCTTTCGCTGGGAAGGGGGGAGAAGTTTGACGGGCGGGAAGCGGGAGAGGGTGGTGTAGGAGATGGACTGGGTATCGGGGTGGAAGATGGACTTGGACTGGTAGGCAGCGTATGCTCCGGTGAACTTCGCATGCTCGATCTCCGTTTCCTCGACTTCGTCTTTCTCAGCGTGGGCGGTAACGACGTAGTGTGGGCGGAGGTAAAGGGAGCGGAGCACGTCCAGGGGGACTTCGCAGTCGAAGCCGAACCGCTGGAAACCGACGCTGGTTATGACATTGCCGTTCTTGTCGAGGGTGCGGATCTGGAAATCAGGCTGTGAGCGATGGGGAGCCTGCGCGTGCAGAAGGTGTTGTGTAGTATGGTTGGAGGTTGTAGGTGAAGTTGGTAGAAAATCAAAGCATCACAGCCGACAGAACGAGCCACGTCCCGCGTCAGATGACAAGCTTCAAAGAAAAAGCGCGGCGATTGGCGAAGCACATACCGGACTGATGGGGAGCGACTCCTGGGCGGACATGATGGAGGTAGACAAGGAGCAGACACACGCACAGGCGGGTTTTATGTGCGCAACGGGGATAGAGGGCGGCAGGAGGAGATAGAGAGATGGAGCGAAGGCCGCAAACGCTGTGGGATATATGTAAACCGCACTGGACGCTGCCGGACGCGTCTGAGTCTGCGCTGAGCCCGAGTCGAAGTCCGAGATCGATTCCAGGTCCTCTTCCGGCTCTTCCGTGCCGGCCCAGCGGGCCAATCATATCGAGATCCTGCAACTTTTCCTCCTTCTCCGCCAATTCTGCTGACCGCTGCTTACTCTTTCTTCCCTTCACCCTCTCCAATATTCCCAACCTGACACACCATGCCGAAAGCTCCCAAGCAGAACACAAAAGCGAAGCATGACCCACTCCATGTCCAAATAGGCGAGGATGAAGTGCACGCGAAGTACGGCCGCATATCTCAGCCAGGGCGCCGCAGGAAATCAAAAGCACAGGACGACGACGACGACGAGACCGGCGAAGTGAGCCCACCGCGTGCGCAGACATCTCGGTCCGGACTCTCATATATCACTCCCCAGGTTATTTTGGATCCCAAAACCTCGCGGCGCATCTTCGAGCTCGCCCGCGATCAGCAAGAGGAACTCGACGAGAAGGAGCTCGAGGACGAGGACGAGGACGACCGACCGGACCTATCTGCTCTCAGGGCGCCGGCCGCCGCCGATGACCTTGATGACCTGGACCAGTACGACAACGAGGACGTCGAGGAGATAGAAGAGATAGTGAGTAAGACTACTCTATTCGATTACGCAGTCTGCTGACGCCCTCCATCCAGGAAGTTGATGAAGATGACATGAAAGCGCTCGATGCAATGCTCCCCGCTAATGCGGGCGAGCGGAGAACCCTCGCGGACATTATCTTCTCTAAAATCGACAATTTCGAAGCAGGAAAGCCGGACGTCGCGCCAGAGAAACACCACGGTCCGTTCTATGCGCACGTTCCTTACTATGCATGCTGACGGTTTCCAGACCCTGACCGTATACCTGACCCCGCTGCCGGCTTGGACCCTAAGGTCGTCGAAGTCTACACAAAGCACGTACTGTACACATGCACATTATGACAAGGACTTATCCTGACAATGTCCCAGAGTCGGCCAGATGCTGACCCGGTATAAGTCCGGTCCTCTCCCCAAACCGTTCAAGATCATCCCCTCCCTCCCGCAATGGTCGCGCATACTCGCCCTCACCCACCCAGAGAACTGGTCGCCACAAGCATGTCACGCGGCAACGCGCATATTCATCTCGCAGATGAAGCCACCACAAGCGCGATTATTCCTGGAAGTTGTGTTGCTGGACGCCATACGGGAAGACATCCGCCTGACCCGTGAGGGCGCGCGCAAGAACAAGAATCATCGCAAGCTCAACGTGCACTATTACGAGAGCTTAAAGCGCGCGATGTACAAGCCCGGAGCGGTTTTCAAGGGCATCGTCTTCCCATTGCTGCAGGTGAGTAGCCCCTACTACTTGCCAGATCATGCCTTCCTGAACGATTTCTGTGCGCGTTCAGACCGGCTGCACCCTGCAGGAGGCTGCAATCGTCGCGTCTGTGCTCGCCAAGGTCAAGATCCCCCTCGGCCACTCAGCCGCCGCGCTCATGCGGTTGGCGAACATGGACTACGCCGGTGAGCCGCATATATGCGCCCAGTCTGGCGGGCTACTGACAACACAAGGCACGTCTGACAGGCGCGAACTCGCTCTTCATCCGTGTCCTCCTGGACAAGAAGCACGCGCTCCCGTACAAGGTCGTCGACGCGCTCGTCTTCCACTTCATCCGCCTCTCGAACACGTACAAGGCGCGCCGCGCCGGCGACGTGGAGAAGCTGCCTGTGCTCTGGCACCAGAGCTTGCTGGTGTTCTGCCAGAGGTGCGTCTTTCCACCCCGTTTCGTGGCCCTAGACGGTGCTGATCACGGTTACGATGTCTGTCTAGATATGCGTCTGACCTCACCCCGGACCAGAAGGACGCACTGCTGGACGTCATCCGCGCGAATCCGCACCCGCAGATTAGCCCTGAGGTCCGCAGGGAGATCGTTAACTCGGTGGAGCGTGGCGCTCCGCGGCCAGATGCCGACGGGGACGTCTCTATGGCATGACAAAAGTATGATATATCCTAGTATCAATTTCCGTGTTGTATCCCTATCATGATGCTGTTTGTACTATCTCGCGGTCCTCCGTTGCGGATACTTTGGATGTATCAAGTTGCTATGTTGTCCAGCCATCGCATGAACGCGGATGCGCATTATCCATGTGCTACGTTACTTTTTCAAACGTGAGATCGACCGAAGCCGAAGCCGACCTACGAGACTTCTTTGGCTAATGTGCCCGCTTCCTCTTCTTTGGCCCCTTGTCATCCTTTGGCGCCGAGCGAATCGCCCCCAAGACGTCGCTCAAGTCCTTATCCGCAGCTGCACCCTCCTCTTCATCCTTGCGCTTCTTGCTCTTCTTCTCGCCATCCTTCGTTTTCGACTTGGACTTGGACTCGACGTCTTCCTTGCCCTTGATCTTGTCGACGCTAGCTAGCTCGGCCTTCTTGACCTTCTTCCCGAGCGTCGCGTCGAACAGTGCGTCGATCTCGTTCTGCGGCCGCGAGCCCTTGGCCTTGCGCTTGCCTCCGCCGCCTCTGTCCGCGTCCGCGTCCGTTTTCTGCGCCGTCGCAGTTTCCGCTGGGACGTCTGCACCAGGTTCGGGCTTCTGGCCGAGGGATTTCGGTTGAGGCTGCCGCGAGGCAGCGGTGGGATTTGATGCGGATCCAGAGGCAGGGACGGGCTGCTTGGCGGTGGCCTGCATGCTCTTCCAGCGCTCGGGATCGCGCTGAAGCACGTGCAGGTTCAGGTTCCGCGCGAAGAACTTGCCGTAGAACGAGCCCGCGAGGGCATGCTCGTGCGGGATGAGTGACCGTGCGATTTTCTCCTGTCCAACACGAACAGACGAAAAGGACGTCGCCGCAAATAAGATGAGATTCAGACAGTCAGAGGTGATGGGAGGACAAACCTTGAGGTAGGGATCTGCAGACGCCCAGCAACGGTCGCCAACTCTGCTGCCTATCCGATCGTCCACGAGGACGTGGTAGTGGCCGATGAAAGTCATGACGAACTTGCGCTTGGCGGTCTTGGGGACGGTCTCTGACTCTAGGGCTACGTCAAACACGCGTGAGCTTTTGGAGTGATGCGCCATCTGGATCAGGTCGTCCAAGCTCATGGCTTGTAGACTGTAAGGTGGTCAGCAACATGATGGTTATCCTCAGGCGGGAGGCATACCTATGCAGGACCACATCGTTATGTGGAGAGGGTAGCCGTAGCATGGACTGCAGTAAAACAGCACCGGGGACCTTGGGTTCTAGAGGATCCTCGATTTTCCGTCGTTTATGGCGCGGTTCCTCACTTGGTTCTTTCTCCTCTCGACTCGCTAACTCAACTACCTTCTGATAATCCTATCGTACAATGAATTAGAGTGTCCTTCGAAGAGTCACATGATTCGGACTCACCGGCAAGGGCTTCAACCTCAGAATGCACGGAACGAGGAGCGCCTTAGCATCTTCTGATTCCAGTTCAAACGCGGCGACAACAAGCTAACAAAACGAGTTCAGCCCCATCGTTTAGATCAAAGTATGATGCCACACATTACCTCAACAACATCCTGGATACCAGATTGAATAGCACCCGCGCGGTCCACAAGTGCCCGCAACACACCAGTCCGGGAGTTCTCTGCAAAAGTGATAAGCTATACGGAACATGAGAACCATGAACTCTGTTCGGACACACTCACTGACTATCTTCCCTGCAACGCCCTTCACCTCCTCCACCGCAGCGTCTAGTTGCTCAGGACTCAACCGCTCGAACGCCTTCGCCACCACGAAGTTCGCGACGGGGTGCACGGCAAGCTTAGCCAGCTTTCCCGCGAAGTACGTCCGCCACATGATGTCAAACACCCGGTCGGGCGATCGCCGCACAAGCGTCTCGAGCAAGTGCGAGGCCGTAGGGTCCCGTAAGAGGGTCATGAGGTAATCGGACTCGGGCACCCCGGTATCGGGGTTCTCATCTGTCCATATGAATTGAGACGTTGGTCAGGTTCCTCCGAAGTACGGAAAGGAGAGGGCACCCTTACGAATGGCGGTAACCATGCCGACGAGAGCGTGATCCATGAGAGAACCTGGCGTGTCAGCTATCTCGTAGGCTGCCTCAAGCTCGAGCAACATCTGGGCATGTGCGAGTCAGCTAGCTGAACATGCATTACGAGACCTCGCGAGCGGCACACACCTGTAAGACCGGACTGGCCACCTGGTTTGCCGCCAGCACTCGAACCTCGTTTCCGCCGAGCTGTTCTCGCAGGGTTGACACGATGCTGAACGCCGCTTTCCGGAACTCCTTTAGCGTACGCTTTCCCGCTTTTTCCTGGCCCTGCTCGCCATTCTCGAAGACGGACTTCATGGAGCCCTGCCGTGCCTTGTACGCAGCACTCTTCTTCGAACGTAGAGCGAACGCGGACTTCCCAGGGCTGCCGTTTGCTGTGTCTTCGATCGAGAGCACGTCGGATGCGAGCAGAAGCAGGAGGGCGCGGATTACGTGGGATGCAAATGGATCCATGATGAGCGAGGACAGAGAGGGTAATAACTCCTGCAGTACATTCGAGTGTGAGCTCATATGCGGTCGACGAGGTTAACACGAGCGTGCACGCACCTCGCATGCATCTAGCACTAGTTGGGTAAGGGTACGGAGCTCCCCCTCGTCTTCTTGTTCTTCGGGCGTTGGAGGGAGGATTCCTTTGGACTGCGCGTCCCTCAACAGATGATCCGAACCATGATTCAAAGACTTACTTCGCGGGCCACAGTCTCAGAGGCGACCGTGAGCAAGGTTTGGCAGACATGCGAAGCAAACCGGTGCTTGCTCAACTGCTCAAACCTGACGGACTAGTATCAGTGAGACGCGCAGCGTGCACATATCAGATCTGTGTACTCACGAGCCACTTAGCCTATCCATGAACACACGGCGAACGAAGTCATCCATGGAGTATACCATCCGCTCGAGGATGGTCGAGCAGTCGGGGTCGGTTGCGAGCTGCTTCTCCTTTCCAGACATTTCCGTCAGAGCCGCAACAAAGAATAGACGACGATCTATAAGTTTTACAAGATGACCAGGGACGTAGAGTACGAGAGCTTGCATGCGCACCCTCATTTGGATCGACGTCCTCGTCCGCCTCCACCTCCGGCTTGGTTTCCTGCCATTCGCGGATCTGCACGTCCACGGTACGGAAGTAAGCCTTGACCTCCGCATCCACATAGCCAAACGGCGCATTGAGGTCAGCAGCAGGGGCGTCCCGCGCAGGCACTATCCAGGACGGGCCGGCAGCATCCTCCTGCTCCTCGAAGTCTGGTACGTATGAATCTTGCTGGGGCTCTGCCTCCTCTTTGGATTTCTTGTGCTTCTTTCCCCTTTTCCTGTTCTCTCTTGGCATAGTTGCTCGTCAAGAAGTGGATTAGGCTACGCTGTGCGGAGTATGAGGTACCGGAGAAAAGCAGAGCATGGCGCGCTTGCCGTCCAAGGAATCGCCGCAAATTCCTGGCCGCTCGATGAGGCAAGGCTCTTTCGGTCCGGCGGTCTACAGAGCGCTCGCTCCTCTCCAAGCTCTCGCTAGATGTTGCACACGTCTCTCAGACGACAGCCGTGCACGACAACGTCTATATAGTTCTACTTTCGGTGGGATACTTTACTGTGTTTTTCGAGAGCCGGAGTTGCAGCAGAGTAGATATGCCTGATAAAGAATGTGTAGAATATCCAAACCATGCCTTGACTCCTATTGCATGCCATTGACATTGAATCGGGATGCTGCTGTGTAGGACGTGTATAGAATATCAAGATAACGACGGCTGGACGAGACGAGCCAGGTCGATGGAGGGTGGCTAGACGCGTCGGTTGGGTGCGGCGCGTGGGAAAACGGACGACAGGTCGGGTGAAGTCGAATCGCGCGAACCAACCGCCTCCTCCAGCTTTTGTCGCCCTCTCGTCTCTCTGGTATTCCCTCGATATGTCGCAGCTCCGCCGGCCGAATTTCTTGAAGAACTGGTTCGCCGTTGAGGTCAGTCTCACAAACTTTCAGAGGCATGACGTAGCAAATGCTGATCAGACTGCGCTGTGCAGGCAACCCCCATGTAAGTGTTCGAATACGTGCCATGCCGTGTCGTCCTCGCTCATTCTCTTCAGCTACGCTATCGTTGGCGCCGTTGTTGTTGGTGCGGGCTGGTACTTGACGCGCCTCGCGCGTGGCCCCGAAGGTATGTCGATACATGCTCTCATATCTCGTCCCTACCTTCATGGGTCGGCTCGCCCGTGCAGTTGTCTGGACGAAGGACAACCCGACCCCCTGGAACACCATCAAGCCCGACGAGAACACCAAGATGCTTACTGTCAACCAACACTTCGAGAAGAGGTACGCCCCATTCGCCTACGCCTCGTAATCGCCTTTGTTAACGAACGTTCTTAACATGTGCTTTCACAGCTGGGAAAGGAAGAAGCTTTGAAACGCCTCTACCTGTATCGGGTCGGCCTCGGAGTTCAGAAACCGATATACTTATCCTGTACTATCGACGCGCCCACAATTCCACAAGTAATCTGCCTTTATGCCAGGAGCTTACGTGTCGTTGGCCCTGTGTTCACGAGCGCGTCTTAACCTGGTTTCATGGTCATGCAATAGACACGTTCAAGGCGAGGAATGGATTGTAAGTGTGCTCACTACAAGAGGCATTATCACCGAGGGTGATAGGTAGTGCAGCAATGTGGCCTGCGCAATGCGGTTAGGGGCGCTCGTTGAGTAGCCGCACCCGAAGCATTGCGGTGCACAAGTAGCCTGCAGGCCTCGGGGTCACAATTAGCCTGTGACCATATTTAAAGGCTCACGAAGAACAAAATCAGCAGAAATTGCTTTGTACTGCACCAAGCATGCAACCGTCCCACATACGTGCGGCCATACAACACACTCGACTATTTTTCCTAGGCCAGCCGCCCGCACAGAAGTGCAACTACGGTACTTGTCCCTACACCGGGAAAGCTTATGACGTGCGATTTGCACCGAGTCCGGATCCCCAGCCGCCTCGAACATCGAGTAGCCCGCCAGCTACGTGTCCCTGACCCGTCACCCCATCGCCTCGAATGACGCCGCGTCGTCGTACGACAACTTGACCTGCGTGACGTTGTGGATGCACGGCATTTGTGCGCAATCATCGAAGGTGGACGTGATATCGGGCGCGACAGTGCCGCTCGCGGTGAGCCTGTGCATCTCGTTGACGAGGCCCCGGAAGCTGAACGTGCCCCCGGGTGAGGCGGGGCTGTCCCAGGAGTCTTCTCTGTACGGCCGTATTGTTTGCGATAAATGACATGTTCGTAGCGAGGGATCCAGTTGGCAGGAATGTATCGTTCATCAGGACACTGCAATCATGGCTGTAAGCCGGCATCCGAAGAACAATCTAGTCCAGAGGGAAGCCCATTGAGGAGACCCCGCCCAGTACGTTGGGACTCCCAGTGCGACAACAGGCAGTATATGCAATCAACACTTGCATGTATGCTGGCCAGTTCCTTATCGCCTATTCGATTGGATAGAGATAAGCTAGCTGCTCGCCGGGTGCATAAAGGCGAGCCCCCATGTCCGCCGTTGGAAGTGCGTGTAGAGGACATCGGGGGGAACGGACTCGAATTGTCTACGTTTCATACCAGTCAAAGTCAAGTACTCCGCATGCTGACTACTAGTGCTGGGGTATGATCGTTATGTACTCTGCGCCCAGCTGGTCGAGCAGGCCCCCACGTTGCAGTAAGGGTGTTGTCCCCGCACAAAAGCCTATCGCGGAATAGCAGGTGTGAGATTGTGATAAGACCTCGGAGATACATGGAAACACGTTAGGTAGCATAATGGGTTGAGTTGTGAAACTGGCCCTGGGGAGCTATGGTGTGGAGGACTCGAACGAGGCGTCCATGGGCCAGCGCTGGCTTGCGAACCTTGTCTGGATGTCGCATCCCACCTTCTTCGGCAGCAGCTTGACTGGTGGCGCGTGACCTGGCACCTGAGAAGCGGGACCGCCGTATCGCGACTTGCGCCATCTGCGCAAATCTAAATCTTCAAGTGATTATGGAGGATGAAGGCGATCTTTCTGTCTACCATCGCTATCATCGCTAAGTGACGAGCCTAAGGTCAGAAAGTCGCCACTATGGTCGTGCCGCTTGGATCCCCTCAGCCCGTCTTTGCCCTACCCCTCCTCGAAGATATCCCGGACGATCTGGCAGACCGCCCTGTAGATGGGCCACCGTTGGTATGCCACTATTATTACGCCCTCTCACACGTGCTGACAAGCTGAACAGAAGGATATTGGGCCGCTGGGACTGCCGCAGATCATCTTCGGGGCTGCTACCTTCTCGGGGAGCTACAACTCCGAGGCCACAATTGCTAGCGATGTTCCGGTCCGCACTGTCCGCCTCGCTCTGCGGTGCGCTGTATTCCTTGCAGTCTATCACTACACCTGCTGAATTGCGCGTACAAAAGGTACGGCATCCGCGCCTTTGACACATCGCCCTATTATGGGCCGTCAGAGATCGTGCTCGGCACTGCACTCAAGGTCCTTGAACCAGTCTTTCCCCGCTCGTCATACAAACTCGTACGTTCTTCAGTGTCAGATCTTCTGTCGGCTTTACCTACCTGCTGATCGCCGGCGTCGTCCACGTACAGATGACGAAGTGCGGACGGTATGGCCTTACTCAGTCCGAGTTCGATTATTCTCCCGAGACCATCCGCAAGAGCGTCGAACGCAGTCTGAAGCGTCTCCATACTACTTACCTTGACACCGTATATTTGCACGACGTCGAATTCGTGTGCACCCCGGTGGGCCCTCTCGAGGCAGGCAATCCAGAAACGGCCCTTTTCGAGAAGAGTGCGGAGTATGGGCTTGCTGAAGGGCAGGAAGGCAAGGTGTGGGGAGAAGGAGATCAGAAGATCCTCGATGCCTATGCGGAGCTCCGAAGGTTACAAGAAGAAGGCAAGATCAAGCATATCGGGATCACTGGTGAGAAAGTAGACCTGTGTGAGGATTCGTGCTATACTGACCGAGCCGGACCCAGGCTACACACTCTCGACGCTTCTCCGCCTTGCGCTTCTTGTACTTCATACCCCGCCTTACAGACCGCTCGACGCCCTCCTATCTTACTGTCATCTGTCCCTCAACAACAGCACCTTCGCCACATACGCCAAACCGCTTCGCGAGCGCGCAAAGGTTACCCAGCTCGTCACCGCATCCCCTCTCAGCATGGGCCTCCTCACTCCGACGCCCCCACCCTGGCATCCTGCCCCCGTGGAGTTGAAGGAGGCGGCGAAGGATGCGAACAGGCTCGTGGAAGATGCGGGGTGGGAGGGCGGCCTTCCGAACCTTGCGATCGGGTACGGATTTAGGAAAGGGCAGGAGACTGACCTGCCAGTCGTCGTGGGACTCAGCAGCCCTCGTGAGGTACACGAGAGCGTACGCGCGTGGCGCACAATCCAGAAAGGCACCGATGAGGGGCAGCGGGTGGTATTGGAAGACAAGGTCATCCGTACTTTCGGGTCCTCATTGAATCTCTCTTGGGCCTCTCCCCCTGAAGAACTGCGGGTGTAGAGCTTCGATGTAGTCCGTCGAGATATCCGCGTACGAACACCCCACGCTTGTATCAATCACTGTGAACCTGGGAATAATCATCTACGGCCGCGTGGTACGCCCCTTACTGTCATTCAACGGTCGCTGATACATGTCTCTCGAAGGATCTTTATGATGACGAGTTTCTTTACTCCAGGGGCGTAGCTTTCGGCGCACTTCGTACCGACGTGAAGTGTGAGGCTTCGAATTCACTTTCAGTGAGAGTTGAAGTCACCCACAACCTGATCCTTTCGCGAGATCAATTCAGTCGCCACCCAAAAACAAACAAGGCACAAGAGCCAGTCCGGTTGGCTGGAGCAGTCCCCATATCATATTTAGTCGACCTCGGCGCGACGGAAAGTCCGCGTGGTTGGTATGCATACCCCAAACAACCAAGTCTCGGACTGAGGCACGACTCCATCTTCGAAAGACACTTCCCGATAATTCTTCATTGCTACAATGATGTCTCTCTCCTCCCTAGGACATATCTTGTTACGCCTCGCCGTCACCCTCATCTTCGGAACGCGCTCGCAGGCATTCCGATCTTCGGTCATCGCAAATCCTACGTTATCGATCAATAACATCCCGTTCAGCACAAGGGCGCACTGGATGCGAGTCGCCAACGCCGCGCTCGCCGACATTAAATCCCCGTGCCCGGCCAGCGCGTTCGCGACTGTCATAGTCAACCATTCCGCTGCAGGTTTGGGCGAGCTTGTATGCATCGGGGTCAACTCTGCGATGACAACTGGTAATCCAACAATGCACGGTGGGCTGTTCAAGACAATGTCTCGATTCTTCATCGCTATGGCTAACATATCAAAACTTATGCAGGCGAGATGGCTGCAATACATAATTGTACCTCGATAATGACAGACCCGGATGGGCCATTCAAGTTTACCCCGAGCCGAGCAGAGGCTGCATTCACAGAGCTCAGTCTCTACACCAACGCGGAGAGCTGTCCGATGGTCAGCCGTACTCCTATGCCTGAATGATGCCGCCGTGCTGACCTGATCCTGCCCCTTGCTAGTGTGCTTCAGCGATCCGTTGGTCAGGCTTCCGCGAGTACATCTACGGCACGAGCATAGACTCGCTGATAGAGCAAGGCTGGGACCAAATCCGCGTGCCTTCGATCTCCATTTTCGGACAATCGTTCGATCTTCCAACGCAGGCAAGACTGCTCGGTGGGGTGCTCACCAATGAAACCGATCCGTTATTCTTCTGGCGTTTCAATCCCGACTTCCCTTGCCCCACAGGTTGTGCGAGGATTGCCGGAACATGCGAGCCTTCGACCTGATATCATTGCATGGAGTGGTTCAAGCGATGAGATCGTTGGGCGGGTTGAAGCAGCAGAACTCCAGGATGTATGCATTGTTGCAGATGTAAATAACACAGTTGGTTCGCACCCTCGCTCATAGCTAGTCGTGAAATCATCATCTTGCTGCTCCTCAGCCGGATTAATGAATGGAAAGAACCTGTATTACAGATGCGTCGTAAAGCAGAGTATAGATACATTGACGGTTATGACTTCCACACATCCAGCAGTCCGAGCCCGGGAACCAATAGAACTGCTCAACTCGTAAACGATCCCACCGTAGCGGAACTACTACCGAGTCTTGATGATACCAGCACTGATGAGCTTCATGATGTTCTGGCGGACGGCCGGGTTCTTCATGTGATCCTGGAGCGCAGCGGGGTCCGACTGCGCCTGCTGGAGGATGGATTGCATGATCGGGTCGCTCATAATTCTCTGTGGTACGAATGTTCGTGAGCTTAAGACCTGGACTGGACTCAAGTCGGGTGGGACGCACAGCAATTTCGGGATCACGCATCGCCCGCTGGAGCGTCTCTTCCTCGGACTCGCCCTCACGTTGCGACAGCATGGCCTGCTGGCACTTCCAGACCTGCTCCTGGATCTCCTTCACGTGCTTCTTCTCCGTGTCGATGTCCGCCGCCTGCTCTACGGCCTCGATCGCCTTCATGTAGTCACGCATGGCGAAGAGCACGTGGCTCTTGCGGATGTACGCCTTCACGAACTTGGGGTCGACCTTTATGGCCTCCTCCGCGTCCTTCAGCGCCTCAGGAAGCGCGGCGAGCTTCGTGTACGCGTTCGCGCGGTTGTTGTAGCCGCGTGGGTCGCTAGGATCGCGCTTGATCGCCTCCGTGTACGCCTTGACAGCCCCCGCGAAGTCGCCAGCCTTGAAGAGGGTGTTGCCCTCCTCGCGGGCAACGGCGGCCTTTTCGGGGTCGATGTACTCGAGACGGGCCTTCTCGGCCTGCTCGCGCTCCGCTTGGCGGAGCTTGTTGAGGATGTCAGGTGTGCGATGCTCGGTGAGCGACTTTTGGTAGAACTTGATGGCGGTAGGAAGGTCGCCCTTGCGCTGGTACGCGCTACCAATGCGTCCATAGGCCTTAGCGATCAGCTTGAAATCGGCACGAATCTACGTAATAGCAGGTTAGACCTTCGTCATCTATTGGATAACCTGCAGGGACATACCTCGCGACCCTCTTCGATGGCCTTCTCGCACGTCTTGATGGTCTCGTCGAAGTCACCCTTCTCAAAGTACGCAGCGGCTAGGTTGGTTAGGAACGTGATGTCCTTCGGCCAGATATCCCAAGCCTTCTGGAAGTGCGTGATAGCGCCCTCGAAGTTGCGCGTCTTGTACGCCTCCGCCCCGAGCTTCTTTTCCTCTTCCGCCTGCTTCTTGGTTGCTGCCTCCTCCTCATCGAGCATCTCGACGTCCTCTTCCTTCGCAGGCTCAGGAGCCTTCGACGAGGAAGCAGCAGGTTGCGGTGGCGGCGAAGTAGGCGGGCTCTGGACACCGGGGCGCGACACGCCAGGCGGGAGCTCGTCGGAGCCCTCTTCGCGCGAGAAGCCCTGCATGTCGATGCCCATCAGCGCGCCAAGGACGTCTATCATGCGCGGGTCAGACTGCAGGGCGGTCTCAGCGAGCTTTGGATTCTGCTGGAATAGCTGCAGTTTCTGGACGAACGCGGGGTCCGCGAGGTGCTTCGCCGTGCGAGGGTTGGCAGCAAGCTTGCCTAGAAGCTGAGGGTCGCTGAACATCTTCCCAAGGCCAAATGCCTCCGCGCCATCACCACGCTCGTCCGCCTCTACATATCACAGATTATGTCAATATGCGTACTATGATGGGGCGGAGTATCTTGTGCTCACCTTTGGCGTCGATGACCTCCTTCAAACCTTTTCGGAGTGCAGGACTGTCCTCAATCTTGAGACCAGTCTCGTACGCCTCGATGGCGTCTACATATCTCCTCTGACCATGGAGGGCAGCGCCCTTGCGCGCATAACCCTTTGACCAAGTAGGATTCACTTTAATGCACTACGTGCAGCCCCGCGCGTTAGTCCGGACTGACCAAAATCGAGATCGACGCACATACTTGCTCCGCGTCCTCGAGCGCGCCTTGCCATTGCTTCTTCCCTGCCTTCGCGGCGCTCCGGTTGGACCAGAGCACGAAGTTATTTGGGTCAAGCTCGAGAGCCTTGGAGAAAAGTTCAATGGCCTTATCGTAGTCCTTGGCCTGGAAAGCCTTGTTTCCCTGGTCCTTCAGGGCGTCAGCCATGTCCGCGAGTGCAGTTGCAATAGAGAAAAGTATTGGGATGAAGTCAGTCGCAGGGCAGTCGTCTCTAGTAGCGTAGAACGCAGGACTTTTATCATCTTCACGGCGTCCAGTGCAACTAAGCTTCAGACACGAGCACGAAGATTCGAGAAGTTTCCCGCATCCCCATCCCGTTTGGGATTGTCAACGTCCCGATCGCTCACTTATCCTACCTGATTAGGGTTTAGCGCACAAAAATACGGGACTTCGTACTGGCAATCAGCCTCAAGTCATACAGAGGCGGGCAGGCCTCAGCTGTTGCAAGACCGAAATATAGTAAATAGGCTCAAGTATGTACACGTCCAACTTACACCCTGACAGATGTTGTAATAATGGATACAAGATGATGGTATGAGCACAGCAGAAGACACAACGAGCAGCAGATACGCAGAGAGCTAAACAGTAGAACAAGACACAAGATTAAATACCGACACATTCCATATAGCAATGGCGAACAGAGGCATGACCTGTGCACGCCTATAGAAAGTCCTCACGGCGGCCTACGCTACCGTTTTCATGGCTGTTTATTTTACTCGAGCCTCCATAAACTTAACAGCGCACCATCCAGTCGCCGTGTCATCGATAATGGGGAGAGGCCACCTAGTGCGCCGGCCCTGGGCCCGGGACCATCGTCGTGAAGCTGTCCGGACGTTGCATGACGTCTACGAACGAGTTCCACTCCGACAGCCCAAACCCGATCGACGCTCCCCACATCGAGCTCTCGTCGGCAGGGTGGATGTACGCAAGGTCTTGCGCGACGCCGTTGTCGCGGAACATCTGCTGGTGGTGCGGAAGCGGCTGCTGCATCGTCTCCGACTGTTGCGTCGCATATCGCACCATTGGGAACGACTGGCTGCTCGTCGGAACCGTGGGCGAGTACTGCTGTTGATGGGGCGATGGGTGCTGGTGGTGCGCTACGTGTCCGTGCGGCTGGGAGGTGGAGATGGAGGCCGTCGACGGGCGCTGGGCTGGGTAGGGAGAGGGCATCCCGTGCTGCGGGTGCCCTTGCTGGGTATACTGCACGTTGCCGATCTCGGACTGCGGCTGTGACGTCCACCGCGTGGCAGATACCGGTGGTTGTGTCGGGTGAGGTGGGGCTGACGCATGGGAAGACGGGGGAGGGGGAGGGACTGAGCGTTTGGCGACTTCCAAGCGACTTGGAAAGGATTTTTGCACTTGGACGCTCGCCTGGAACGCGGCTGCGTCGTAACGATTGTATCCGGGAGAATCCGCAGAACGGGAGTACGGAGCGTCTTGATACGGGAACGCCAGCGTCCGCACCAGACTGAGGACCTGCGCCTTCTTCCGCTCACGCTCTTCCCTGGGTAGATCGAGGAGCTCGTCCGAGTAGAGTGGTGCGAGCGCCTGAAGGATTGTCAACGCCTTGTCCGCAACAGGCATCCATCGGCTAGACTCTAGGGATGCAATCGACTTCCGGATGTTCTCCCGGAAGAGGCTGGCGGCGGGTTGGTCCGGCTTCGTAATAAGCTGGAAGGAGAAGAACATCGCGGCCGAGAAGACGTGGAAGGGGCCCCAATTCATGTGTCCAGGAACGGCAAGCGCGGTGTTAGAAAGGAAATCAGGACGCGTCTGGCCGACGAGGGCGATGAGCTGAGACGCCGCACTGACAGCGATCTCGAGGCTCTCTGGCACCTTCGCGTACGGTCGATGGAGGGTAAATCGGATGTGGTGGTACGCGGTGCGGATGATGACACTTTGCACGCCGAGCCGACGCACGGATGTAATAGGACTTGCGAGCGAGCGAGCGATCCGGTACTCATCAAGATCCAGTTCTTGCGGGAGCGCCTCGTACCACTCCGTCAGCATCCTGTCTTTGTCCTGCACGGAGGAGTAGGGGACTGCACGGAAGGACACTGCATCGTCCATGATATCGCCGAGCACATAAGCGAGCTTGAAAAGGGCGATGTTGGGGAGATACAAGCGCTGTGACTTGTCGATGGACGGGTCGCAATATGTCGGCAATTGCGTATTAAAGTGATGCGAAGCGATGGCTAGCGGGCGTCCGAACATGAAGGCTTGCCAGCGTTCAAGTAGGATGATGTGCCACCATGCCCATCGTCTCCGTTCAGCGACGCTCTTCTCGAATCTGTTTGATCCCGGATCTCGGTGAAGACCCATAGCGGTCCCAATGGTGACAAGCTCCCCTCGTACGCTCCATGTCTCCTCTGGGTCTTCTTTGGCGAAGGTGAGATAATGGCTGCGGACAAGGAGGAGCTCGACTAGATCAAGCGAATACGATCGGCCCGGGCTGGATGAGCTTTTGCGGTAGCGGTCTAGTGCAGTGCGCATGATGCTATAGCATTTTTGCCCGAGCTCCTCGCAGGTCTCGGACATGCCCTGAAGGAGCGCATGCCTTGGGGGGAGGTAGCGAGCGGCAAGCGCGATCAAGATGCAGACCGTCGCGAGGACGAGGCGGTCGCCATGCTTGCCCTTCTTGTACCGATCCCACCCGGCGAGTAGCGCGGGTTCGTTCACATGCCGGTAGACCCAATTGCAGTACTCGAAGTAGTACTCAATCAAGCCGTCGATCATGTGGATATCCGGTAGCTGGGCGGTCAGATCCTGGTCCCAATCGCCTGTGGATCCGTTGTGATCGATGTTGTCGGCGATTGCGCGGGAGTGAGAGGGCGGCGAGGGAGTAGACGCAGACCTGTCATTTTGGTTGTCGATGTCGTCGCGGTCGGATGCCTGTCAGGTCGATGTGTAGTGAGTTCAAAGTGACATACAAGGCGCCGAGGGTAAGAGACATCGTACAACTTACGTTGATGAGGTGAGAGGCAGCACTGGTGGCGCCCGCAAATAGACCACCTGAGGCTAGCTGGCCAAGCATGCCGGGTGCACTTGCCATGTCCACGTCTTCGGACTTCTCCTTATCGTGCGAAGGACCTTCAGAGTCCGGACTGAGTCTTGATGTCGAGACAGGATCGTAAGGAGATGGGTGGTGAGGAGGTAGAGACGGACGGCGCTCCGAGGTGTAGCCATTGGGAGTCGGGCGACCAGGAGTATAGGTGCTAACATGTTGCTCGAGGAGATTAAGGGAGTGTCGGATGCGAGCGAATTCGGCCGCAGCATCAAGAGGCCGCCTGAGATTGACGAAGATGACGGATATGAGAGATCTCCGCAGAAGAGTGATGGAGACGGTGCTGAACGGACACATACTGTTGATCTACGGCACTACGAAATGAAGGATCTGTATCGTGACCTTGATAGCAGAGGGAAGTGGTCCCTGTACAAGGCCAAATGAGGAAACGTCGGTAGGAGGGGCGGAAGGGACACACCTCTGAGCACGCAGGACGAGCAAGGGCGGTTTCTAGATATCCGAGGACAGCGAGGAGATTCAATTAGTCAACGCTGAATGCCGAGGGGGCGCGCGGGGGCAAGCGGATACGACCAGAGGGTGCGCAGGCGATGGTCAACAATGTCCACGATGCACGCACCTGTCGCACTTGAGTTTGCTGTTCCTGCATGGCTCGCAGTTGATAGCCTTACGTGCCCGCTTGGGAGGCGGGCGGGCATCGAGCCCCGCGCTATCCGCCGTTTCGTTTGGTCCGTTCGCGCCCGGCCCTGGGGAGCGCACTCGTACTTGCTTCGTCCTAGGGACCGATCCAGAAGCAGGACCTGATGCCGCAACCGCGGACAGATGGCCGTTTGAGTTTCCAGACTGTGTCGCAGGCATCCTCACATCCAAGCCAAGGACCGAGTCGTTGCGCGCGGAAGACAGGTCGATGCCGTTAGCTATGCCGCCAAGATGTCGCCGACGAGGGGGGGGGTTGTGAGTGGACGAGCTGGAAAATGGGTAGCCGCAACGTCGACGTCGGGGGCGAGAACGGCAATCGACGGAGACCGAGCCCAATGGGAGCGTCTTAACACCCCAGGCGCCTCCTCTGCTTCCGGTACTTCCTCTTCTCATTCCTGACTCCTGCAAGCCGCTGTCACTTTACCGCACGAAACGTCGTCTCTGCATGCGGATGGGCCCTCGACCCAGCCTTCCGAGCCCTACCACCGCCGGTAGCCATCCGTGTCGCATCTGCATCCCTCCACTCGGACAGTACTCCAAGCTGGTCGCCCCGTATAGAGCATTCCAGATCAGGAAGCTTCCGTAAATCGGGGTTTCAACCTGCAGCCCACGAGTCTTCCTCCGTCCGTGGGACCACAGAGGAGCGGGTCCAGCCAAGTAGAAGTATAGATGGTGACCAGTCGGGAGGTGAGCGCAAGGTGATCTTCATCGCCCAATGCTGCGTCCTCGAGTATGATGTCACTAAACACATGCACAAACAGGGAGATCTGATCTCGTGCGATACATAACCGGTTCATGTATCGCTCCAACTTGCCAAGGGCGGTCCCCAGAGCACGCTATCAGGTGCTATCCTCATTATGCGATGATCCGGCAACAATTCAGCAAGATCATAAGCAAGTCCCTTACATATTTTGCGCTCAATGTCTACGGATGCACAGTTGTCACAATATTGGACAAGAGCGCCTGCGAGCTGTCGCGGTGTATGTACTATCAAAGGAGATGGTATCATCAACGCCTTGCATAGAACACACATTCGATTGTTGCAACAAATTTACCCTGCTCCGCCACTTGACGCACCGTCAGACCTGTCAGAGCATCTCCGAGGCTCGGACGTGCACCAATATACATATCACAAGGCAATCACCACACATCAGGCCTACAGCATAAAGTTTTCCGCGGATCGAGAACCGTATCTCTACTCAATCTCTAGTCTAATATAATACATTCCTTTGAGCGCAGGCGAAAATCTCCTTTTGCTCGGGGTCGCTCTCGTGCGAATCTCTGTGTTCTTGCACCGAAACGACCAGACAAAGGGGTGCGCGAAAGCAGAGCAGTACAAATGCTTATTTGGGTCCTAACCAAGTAAGAACGGAACTTGAGTGCTCCGTGATCCTCGGGCTCATAGTGCCGTGTGGTTAGACTAATCCGAATGGCCAGTGACTCCAGTCACAAATACGACGCAAGTGAAACCAACGTCTTCGCGGACGTGGTGATAAACTCTGTAGGTCGACAAACCTTAGCTGCTGGGGTTCGTGCCACATGGCGAGAACTCACGGTGTATGAACTTACCTAGTATCTACTGACTCGGGTAACTCGAGAACGATAGTTATCTAGTATCGCATGGCACAAACGATGAGCACCGGCATGGTCATAACAAGGCGAAAGCGGAATAGAGGAATGGATACACTCATGACGAATTCAACAACTCAATGACATACGACATCTACGCATTTTATGACTATTGCTTGCAGCCAGGACAAAACAACGTGCCAAATTATCAGCAAGATTCCTCCCATGAGACCTGATCTGAACGGCGCGGATGGGAATGGGAATCAGTACGGATACGATACATGACTAGGATACACATGAATAAGTCTTCTGATTCTCGACGACCCCCTGGTGTGTTGGGAACCATTATAGCTGGTTCCATAATTCTAATGTCCTTGCTTGGTGGCCTGGAGCGCGCACAGCGCGGCTGCAACAGTAGACGACTTCAGTACTGCATCGCAACGAAGGTGCTTGCGCCAGGCACGTACCTCCAACACCACTGCCATCCTTAGCGAGGCCGATGTCAACCTTCTTCTCCACCTCTTCGCCGATGAGATCGCGCAACGAATCGCGCAGGCGAGCTTGAAAGTTCGGGTAGAACTGAATCAAACTGGGAACCACGCGCTTCAGCACCGTTTCTCATCCGTCGCCGTCGGAGATCATACGCTCACCTGCCGTCCACACCGACACCTATCTTCTCCTCATCCGTCGCAAACCCGCCACCAAGCTTCGCACGCCCGGTCTGCACAAGGACCGCCGCCACAGCGCAGCCGCTGAGCTTGGCAGCGCGATCCGCGACGAGCGATGACGCCCACCGAACGATGGCAGCATCTCGTAGTGAGACATTCTCGGGATCCAGTGATAAGCGTTGAATGACGATGCCGCGGATGCGCTCGAGTCGTGCAACGTCCTCTTCTGACAGCTGGTCAACGTCTACGAACTTGACTGCTTGCCAGTCAGGAACCTCTGTCGTAGAGCCATTGAGCGATATCTGCGCATGCTCGGCGTCTTTCCCCGATACGGCAGGTACGCGCCCTGCCTCCCAAGCCTCCTCGACCTCGGACATTACTGCCGTATCGAGGCCATAGTGAGTGTCGAGAACATCGCTCGAGCGACCGTTAAATAGCAAGGGTTTCGGAGCGGCATCAACGAGGGAAAGGAGGATATTACGGGTGATCTCTCCCAGGTACATGCCGGAGATGAATTTCTCGAATGCTTGCAGGCGGGGATTAATCGATTGGCGATCTAGTTTGTTATCATAGGGCGTGCTTGGAAGAACTGATCGCTAGTGAATACGTGTTCATGTCAGCCATCAGCGTAGAAGCTGGTGAGCATAATTCGTACTGTGTTGTTAAATGCACCCCATTCTGTGTTTATGACCATGAAGCCGCCCTTCTGTCGTGCTTCAGATTCACCGAGCTTCTTGATGTTGTCCACACGCTCAACGTAAGCGCCATTGGTACCCGTGCCGAATATGCTGCCTGCATCACGAAAGGCGAACCGATTTCTGTTAGCGCATATGGCTATACTTTGTCACGCCAATACTCAGGAGCTCACCCAGGATACAGCCACCGCTGGTATATGCACGAGAAAGCAAGGCTCCGACAGTCTACGAGGATTAGCCTGAGCCCTGCTTCGTAAATGGAACTACTCACATCGTTCACCAAGGCAACACATCTCACGTGTAGGTGTTTACGGTTGAAGGCATCTTGAAGGAGCTGGACCACATCATTACCAACAGCGTTCTTTGCCGAGAATCCCTTCGTCCATGTCAGAATCTTTCCTCGGTTCAAGGCAGTCTGCTCGACTGGGAAACTGAAGGTTAGCCCGAGAGGAACTGCAGGCTCCTCAGATAGCGGAGGTGAACCGAAGGGGTTGACTTGTTCGTTCGTCGGGGAGGAAGGCACCGCAGAGGCGAAGTCGGTTAGGAAGGCATCAACGGAGTCTGCCAAGTAGTCTGCACATTCGAATGTTAGCGGAAGTTGACCACGGCAGTGGAATGTCGTGCGCTCACCAAACAAAACGCTCGCCTCGCCTGTTTTCAGCTGCTCTGAAACCTTGTATTTCTGCTGCCTCAGCACAAATTCCTTGTTTCCGAGAAGCTCGACCTCGCAAACACGCCTGTGCGGCGTTACTGACTGTGTGAGAATTAATCATTATGAATGGACGCACAGGTTTGTCCCTCCGAGATCCAGTGCGAGGAATGTCCTGTGTGAAAGCGTATAATCAGTCTATAAACAAACGCAGATGCCACGAGGCGATCGAGATGGAAAGCAAGTCGGGCGCTATGACGTCGTTGTGTCCATTCCCTGCATATTGTCTCTGCAAGAAAAGTTCGCGGTCTTGTGACAAAGAAACGCGACGGAGGCTGTATGAGCCATGCGTGTCAATTGCCCGCGTACATTCTCTTCCAAGGCGAACGCTCGTCCGGGCCCGTGGCCGCACACCCCAAGGGGATGAGGGGGTGAGCTGCGCTCACAACCTCGTTCTATCGATGGCGTTACACCGAATGCACGTAATCTCGGGGGAACAACTCGACGCGAAGCTTGATGGAGCATCGGCTTTCCATATTGAGCGCGCGGTCACCGGTCCTGTGCCGGGAGCGCGTCAACATGGAAGATGGACACCTTCCGGGCGGGAACAGACATGGACGGGGACGGCGAACGATACCAATCGTGGGTAGACGCAGAGGGTGGATACGGGGACAGCGAAATTGGTGACGCGGATGATAGCGATGCAGAGCGTACACCCCGGCCAGCGGGCTGCGCGAACCAATCAAGAGTACTCACCCAATTTCCGTCCCGTCTGGCACGCCAGTCACGAATGTCGGGCTGCGAACAAGGCGTAAGCATAGGCATCTTACAGCAGTAACGGCTGCGCTTACATCATGGCCATCGGATGGTTATATTCGCTCAACCCAAGTTCAAAATCCTCGAGGAACTTGGAAGTGATGCGCGTGAGATCATCCTGGCTCAGGCGGAACTGTTGCTCAATCTGTTCGAGGACCCGGCGTCCATCCTCCGGAGAGGCCACATAGTGATAGGATGTGTTGCTCATCGTGACAGGGCCAGTCAGGAGGGTGGTGATATTGCGGGAGGAGGGGGGATGAGGACGGATGGGACTGCCGAGAAAGTTGGCTGTCTGCCCATCGACACTTATGACATAGGTGCCGGTCACGTGCATCCACTGCGATCGTCCTTGGCTGCCTTTTACAGCACTCGGCCCTTGCGATAAACCACTATCGTCATCGTCTCCTTGCCGTTTTGGACGGACGGACAAAGTTCATCGCTGGAGACTTTCTGCAATGAGTGATGTCGCAGACCCAACCTCTGCAAAAGGGGATCACCTTCCAGTAGTAGTCCGGAGCGGTCCAGCCTGCGAATGTGGATCATCAAGTCGACCACTGGCACAGGAGCATTTGTTTCTGAAAACCATGAGGCCTGGACGCTCGTGGAAGGCGTCATGTGGACGTTATAGACCCGCAATACCCATCACCTGTTCAACAGCTTGGCAACTCAATGTCGACATGCGCTGGTTGACTAGAAGTCGTGAGTGGATGCTCGACGCCCACAGAACCCATTCCTACCCTGGTGCTCGAAAGATGGTTCCTCATAGCGTGAGCTTTCCGGTGTCAGCTCAAGGTCAGCTTGTTGGCAGCTAAGGTATCTAGGAGAAAGAAGTCATGTTGTGAATGCCACCGTCAGTTCGCGTCTGTGGCCAGCCTGAAGCCAACCGACAAGCGAAGTCCTTTAAGCGCCTTAGGCATCGGCCGTTCCCGGCGACCCGTCGGGCAACACGAGCCAGCTGCTCACTGACGACCTCCACGAATCACCCTCTATTCTGTGCGCATTCTCCCTCTTGCTTGCCTGTTCTGCCAGTGGTTTGACCTCACTTCCTGCTCCAGCTCCGAAATGGCTTCAAAAGCAGTCGCCGCGACGGTGGTGAGTCCCGCTCAAAAAATCGGCCCACTTACCCGGGGCTCGCGCGAGAGGTTTCGTGACGTTTGACCTTGGTCTACTGCAGGACTTCGCCCGCATCTACACCTCCCTAGGTCTTGGCAAGGGTCAGTGTTCTGCTTCTACAGTGGGGGAGGGAGAGACCGTAGTGCTTACGCCGGATATGACAGAGACCATCGCGTCCCTCCAAGCGTTCCGCAAGCGGCATGCCGACGCCCAGCGCATCCAGGCGCAGCTTGCGTCCCAGCCGACAACCGTCGACCTCGAGCACTACCGCTCTGTTCTCCGCAACAAGGCGGTCGTCGATGAGGCTGAGAAGATTCTTCGCGACTTCAAGCCCGTCACTTACGATGTGAACACGCAAATCAAGGCGATTGAGGCGTTCGAGGCCAAGGCGGTGAGTTGATGACTTGACCACCTTTGCGCTTACGTGTGAGGCGTGTAAAGGATTTGGGACGCTCATGCAAGGCAAACGAATCTAGGTCGCAAAGGCGAAGGAGACCACAGAGAAGATTGACGCGGAGCTCAAGGATCTCCAGGCAACCCTCGCCAACATCGAGGAGGCGCGTCCGTTCGAAGATCTCACGGTGAGTTGATCCCTTTCGCTTCCGTTATTAGCAGGCTGTTGAACTGCCTATCACGAATACAGGCGGAGGAGGTTGGCAAGGCGCACCCACGCATCGTCGAAGCCGTCGAGACTATGATCAAGAAGGGCAAATGGACTGTACCCGGTATGTATCATTCCTGCTACTTTGACCATTCCTTAGTCATTCATTGTTATTCAACGTACAGGCTACAAGGAGAAGTTCGGCGACCTTTCCCTTATGTAAACATGATCATACTCCACATCGTCATAATAGACCCAGGAGGCGCTCGACGTTCCTTGCACGATGTGAGAATGCGTGAATAATCGTCATCGGGAACTTGTCGGGTGGAGAACAATCTTTTGGTGACTGACAGAGCGGACGGGCCTTAATCTGCGCTTACAGCCGGTTTCAGCTCGCTTGTCGCGAGAGTGCCGCGCCGCGTCTCGCGCATTTGCCTGTTTTCCCCTTCTAAGCGCCCCCAAAGGAACTTCGGACGACGATATCTCCTCGACAGCTCAATGTAACCACTTCATTCTTGCGTATTCTGGCTCAGGATCATGACGCGCAGGGCACGGTATTGTATTGAAGTTGCGCCAACTCGACGTCACCAACTTCTGGGCATTCCGGCTCTTCCAGCTCCCTACTGGACTCGGACAGCGTTGTTGGCTGAATGGTATGGCGTACTCTCCCGGAAATTATCGGAATGGTGAAGACAAGACGCTATCGAGGGCTCTGTGTCAAAAGGCGGAGTGTCCAGCGACAATCACGTCCACCATAGGCTGGGCTCGGGTGGCAGCCCTCTTGAGCCAGCTCAAAGTCCTCGTCGGGGAGCACCAGACACCATGACTTTGTGAGTAATCTGCACCTCCATAATCCCTGTGGTCTTGCAAGGCATCAGGGGCCATGTAGTCACTGTTGAGTAGGAGGGAGGAACAGACGAGGTCGGTAGATTGGAGCTGCAAAGGAGAGCTTGTAGAACACTACAATTGGCAACCGGCACAACTACATGGGTTTGTACGCTTACAGTGGACATATGTGACATGTTTCGTAGCAAAGATGTGTTGGATTTGACGATATACGACAGAGTGGTGTAATAGGCATGCGCCAGAACCCTTCGCAGAATGGAGAAAACGTACACCATGGACCTCTTCTGCACCATATGCCCTCCGTGACATCCGCCAACGGCTTTCAGTGAGCCCTCCAGGTATCTCCATGTTATGTTCAAGGAAATATGTGCGATGGATGCAGAAGACGGCAGGAAATAGACTGAAAGCAGGTGAATCGCCCGTTGGACGAGTTGCTAACTTGAAACCAGTACCGTGCCCTGCACGTCGTAATCCTGAGCCAGATTACGCAAGAATGAAGTGGTTACATTGAGCTGTCGAGGAGATATCGTCGTCCAAAGTTCCTTTGGGGTCGCTTAGAAGAGGCAAATGCGTGAGATGCGGCGTGGCGCTCTCACGACAAGCGAGCTGAAACTGGCTGTAGAAAGTATCTCAATTG